CGGATTTGTGGCTGAGGAGTTAGGGGCGGGCGAGGCTTGGCGGTGGATCAGGTTCTTGGCATTTCGATGTCTTTTTTTTTTTCTTTTTGGTGAGGTGCGGGATTTCGGAAAAGGAAGGTGTGTGCCTTGGTTGAGGATTAAGGCGGGGTGGCGGGAATGGACGGCGAAGTTTGGGTTGGAATCGGTGGTTGGGCGTGGACATTATTTAGTTGATGGGAAGTAACTTTGAACTGCAGCCCGTCGACAACGTTTTGGACTTTTGGAATCGAATAGGCGCAGGGAATCCGTCTGTCGTGGAATTGGGCTTCGAGCCTATCTTCGGAGAAGGAGCACTGGACGCAGGGAAGACATAACTCCGACGGCCCTGCCCGTCGACCTCGAGTTCAAATTTTTCAGTCCGTACGTTAGTACCCTCGAACGACATTACTCACCCGCCATTCAGCGACGCACACCATGTCAGTACGGAATATTTATCATATGTTATCTTCTGCAACGAGGCGCCCTTCTTACGACAGTATTTCGCCGAAAGGCCCGCCCTAGCCACCCTCTTGCCTCAGATCCAAGGAGCTAAGTCGTACTCTACTCCTTCGAATCGACTCATTTCTCTCACAGATATTTAGACATTCGGGATACAGCGCCGCCTCGTGTTCGCGACTGCTCGAACCCTCGTACCCTAGTACTTCCGTAAATAGCAATTGAGAGCCTGTGGGCTCGGAGGGAAGGGCGAATAAGCGAGAGGGAGGAGGCCTCGAGGCTTGATAGAAGAGGTGGGTTATGTTATGACATAGGCGTTCCTTGTGTGGTGGTTGTGTCGATTAGGGCTTGGATGTCCGAAGAAGTTGGTTATGTTCGTTCGAGGTTTGGCCGAGGTGTGCAGGGACTTTGGTTTGCATTCCGAGTCGGGCGGAGGCTGGTATCTGGGCACTGGTTATTTTTGAGACGTGGAATAAATTGGACAGAAGGAGTGGAGTGATACGCGAACATGTCCTACTTTGGTTTCAGGAGAGTATGCATAGTTAGATTGCTTACCTAGACGACCGTGCCCTGAGAACTTCAATCAACGAAGGGGATGATCATCAAGTGGAAGTATACGGTAGGCTCTGATCATGATACGGTATGAGCGGAAAATATCAGCGATGTATGTCATCGCTGGCCCGCGTTCTAAAATTAGCGCCCAAGAACTCAAGGCGATGCGAGGACATCGAGTTCGAGTGAAGATGCTTGTGATGACTGTCTATGTCTATCAGATTAACATCAAGCATCTTATTTGGCTTCGCCTGCATAGTGAAGGTTATTGTTACACTACCTCGAACTTCGAAGGAGGCAGGCAGTTTGAATTCGGTAAGGCGGCGATGACGTTTTGGCCGTTCTTTTCCGAGAATAGTTAAGTTCCAGAAATGGATGTTAGGGCCCGAGGCGAAGTGTAAGTTTGGTTGATATGCCTTCAGAGGAAAGTTTGGGATGGAATTTTGGTATGGATAGGATTCTATGAAACGCCGTGGCTGGCCTCGTTGTTTCGTCGTGGTGGATTACGAGGGAGGGAAGGACAAGGGAGTAGAATCCACGGGAGCTGAAGCGTCGAGAGGTGGGAGATGGAAGTGTAGGGAATGAGCGAGGCCGGCGCAGGGACTTCGCGCTCGGCAAGATAAGATACAAAGGGCGTGGACCTGCTCAGGGTGTGATCTTGATGGATGCCGGGACGGAGACAGATGTTCGAGATGGCCGCCTTAAGGGATGACATATGTAGACGGGAAAACGGCGCATTGAAGCGCGCAGTGCGCGTTTCCATTTCGCTTTGGTTGTCATTTTAGTTGAAACATTCAGAGCGCGTTGTGTCGTTCATGAGGCACATACGCCGCCCTTCGACCCTGAGAAGTGAACGAACTCCCATAAGGAAACGGGGAACCAGTGGGCAAGCGTGGTGAGGGTAAAGTGGAAGGCGTGGCTTCCCGCTCCCTTTCTCGCGCTTCCGAATAACGAAGGCTGACTGACGGATTTCGTTTCTGGGATCCTATCGTTCCGAAGTTGCCATATTGCCGCAGGGTACAGCCTCGATTTAACGTTCAATCCCGTCGACTGAAGCCAGAGATAACAAAAGAAGATCGGAGGGTTTGCTAGTAAACTTTACCTTTTTCACCTTATTAGCGAGTGGCCATACTTAAAAGAAGATGGACTTGTATGTGCTATTGTGATTTCGAGGGTGAGAGAAGAATGGTTTGTGATGGAGGCGTAGACGGGGAATGAACGCTCCTGGAGGGATTGGGAAATGCGCGGGCGCCTATCGCGGTTATGATCGAAATGGTGAGATTAGATATGAGGAGTGATCAGAATCATCATGATGGAGGTGTAAGTACCATCTTCGCGATCTCACTTAGTATTAGATGCAAGCTATTCCCCAGTCATTCACACTATCAATGAAAGGCCAGGCGTCGACGGTACGCTCATCGCTGAATCAAGAGTTTGTTTGAAGTCCGGCGGTGTAAGGAATCTCCTCGTCGATCATCACATCTTTCATACATCCCCTTCCTTCATGTAGGGTTCGATTGTGCAGGATACCACACACCAAGTGTTCGTTGAGAGAACCGCCCGTCGTTAACATGTGAGTCTTAGAAATCGGTTTGGTCATTGACCTGCAACCTAGGTCTGCCAGACAAGTTGCCCTGCCCTGCCAGCCAATCCCCACGAGAGATTAATCTCCGTTTCATTTAAGAACCGTTCAGGCCCGGAGCGTGCATCCACTCGCCTTCCTACCACGCTTTCATAATTACCCTGAGAAGCCTAGCCACGCTAGAACGCACGATGTACGATTATCAGCCATGTCAACCCACGTCATAAGTCGTTCTCTCAAACAATCGATATCGCGAACTTCCAGTCGGTTGAACCGTTTCTACGATGCGCTGTCGCTGTTTTGCGTGGACGTGGAGCCTCTGTGTGGTCATGCGACCCGAAACCAAACCGTACCCCGAATAGAACGGGAGGAAAGGTCTCCTTTGACGTTGAACGGACCCATCATGGACCATTGACAGGGCTGGCAACGCCCGATGCTCACAAGGTACGAGAACGGGGTCTAAGGGGGGTCTCCGTGACCACGAAGTGGAACGCCACTTCCAAGACCTCGGGGAGGAGGTGCTTGAATCGCTGTTAGAATGCCTCCGTGTGGGGAAGGGGTGGGGATTTAATTAAGGGATTTGACGTTGACAGGGGGAGAGAAGAGGTGTGGCATCGATTATGAAGTCATGTTTAAAGCAGGATTGGCGAAGCGTACTGGATAAGGAGTCAGCTGTACATGGTGGGATTACGGTGTGAGAGGAGTACGGGGATTTCTTTCAATGGTGACGTTCCGCGACAGCTTTGTCGCTGTATGACAGAAGAGATCAGATATAGACTTTGTTGTGATGAGTGTCGAGGGAAGAGATAAGTGGTGACGAGGGACTGTTTTGGGTAACCTCCAAGTCTAATTATTTTTTGGCAGATAGAGCTGGGGTGGCCAAGGTGACTTCAGATCTCAGAGGAAGAGGCGGGGAAGTCGAGGTGGTGAGGTCGCCGTCCTGTCTTAACAATGATATCCTCTACACAAGGTTCAGCGCAAATGCTGAGGTTAAATCTTGTAGAACTTGGCCCTTTGTCACACGAACGGTGAACGGAGAGAAGAATTCATAGATAAGCAGGGAACTCACGACTTGCTCGAATGACCCTCGATTCGCATCGAGACCGTCGCCACAGAAGTCTAATCTGGCAGGGCGGGTTCTCCAGCAACGAAATAGGCATTTTGTGTGAGCCTCGGGAAGGGTCTTGAGCCGCTCAATGATCTCATGACCGACTTCAAGTTGAAGCTTTCCATTAATGTCACTTTTGGGTATCACAATTACTACCGCTTCAACCTCTTTGTTGTCCCAGTCACTGAAAGGCCCGGGGGTGTAGCTTTCGGGCTCGGCAAGAAGGCTGCTTCTTTCTAGCCAGAGTGCCCAATCAACTGGAAAGTTTATCTCGAGAATGGTTTTAAGAGGACTGTGAGTCAACGCGCGCCTAGCCTAGTATGGAACAGTCACCACCCTGAAAGGCGCCAACATTCATCGATAAGGGGCTATAAATGTCCTTCTTCCTACGGCGTGGATGAACGCCACCTCACAAGGCTCATGGTGCGATACGGTGCGAAACGTGAAGGTCCGGGGTATTTTGAGAACGACATGACGCGGCATCTGAAAGGAAAACTGGAAACGAGCGAGCGGATGACCGGTTATCACATTATGATAGCGGGAGGACCTAAGGTCTTCTTTGAATGGGCTCTGAGAATCTATGTGAATGCAGTGGAGTGGGTCTTTGCACAGACAACTTGTTGTGTACGACGTGAGGCCGAGGATTCAGACGAAGTGAACTGGTTTCTTTTGGATGGGGGAGGGATGTGTACTTCCTCTGCTTTGTCACAGAGAGTGAGAAGCATTACACAATGCACTTTGGCGGTTCACCCGTCACTTCCGTTCCAACGTTCGTGGTATATTTGTACGCGCTTCCTTTCTGAGCGCTAAAATCAAGCGGCCTAATAATGCGGCTCTGTCGGTGGCGGTCAGTAAAAGGAAGCAAAGCAGGTGGGGTGGCGGCGGATGGCGCAGCCTCACAGTATTGTAAATGGAAGTAAATGTGATATCAAGATGAAAGCTTCTTTGAAGTCTTTCGCCAATAACAGCTGTGCTTACCCTGATGAACTAGGATGTAGTGGCACAACGAAGAGTTTACGCTGGGTTCTTGGAGTTTTAAAAGGGGAGGACTCAGGCTCCTGTAGGAGATACACCTCCTTTCCAATTTCGCCCTCACCATGAGTAAATTTGGAGCGCCGAGTTCACTGCGGCTTCCTTCGGGTTAAGCGCCCAGGCTTCGGGATGTCCTGAGAAGGCCAGCACAGCCACATCACACAGCCACACACCTCCCTCCCTCGCGAACATTTGCTTCCAGTCCGTATCAACATCGCAGACGACGAGCTGCTCAACACATAACCCCCAACAATGTCGACAAAGCTGGGGAAGAGGAAGGACAGGGAAGAGGACCAGGCTCCCGAAGGTGGCCATGGGTGCGTCACGATGCTCAACCTCATGAAAACTTCCAACTAAAGTGCATCTAGTTCGACGCTTTTCGTCTCGAATCTGCCGTACACCGCGACTTCGGTTGACCTGCAGACGTTGTTCTCGGATATCGCGCCTGTGAGGTCGGCGTTTGTCGTGACTGAGCAAGGCACGGGTGTGTCGAAGGGTGTTGGATATGTTTCGTTTGCGTTGAAGGAGGATGCGGAGAGTTGTTATACCAAAATTTCCGAGGAGGGTTTGACGCTTGCTGGGCGGCCCATTCGAGCTCAGTGGGCTGATAAAAAGGTGCGTATTTGAATTCTCGATGTCTTTTTTTCCATTGGTTAATGTTGTTTTGGGGATTTTAGAATCGGCGTAAAGAACCCAAGGAGGAGGGAGAGAAGAAGGAATCAAAACCGAAACCTGCACAAGCCAAGGCGTTTGTGAAAGTACCTCATGATCCCATGGCTATTAGGGCGATTATCGTCTCTGGTTTGCCTTCCGGAATCGATTCCAAAACATTATGGAAGAAGATTCGAAAATGCCCGGGAGCGGAAAAGCTGGAGTGGCCGCAGAAAAAAGAGAATGGGGAGGAGGATCCTTCGACTGGTGCGCAAACAATATTCATCTCTATCTATCGTCTTGACCGACAGCCCCTCTAGCTCAAGTCATCTTCGCGAAACCAAGCAACGCACAAGACGCCGTAACCAAACTGCACGCGCACGTCTACAAGGGTTCTCTTCTCTCCGTCACCCTCAAGAAACGACTTGAAAATCTCGCCAAACCGATCCTGAAAAAAGGGGCCAAGCCGGCTGAGAATGCGCCTACTGCTGTGGCTCCGAGCCGTGCTAGCCGTCTCATTGTCAGGAACTTGCCATTCGATGTCACCGAGCAAGACCTTAGAGCTCTTTTCCTCCCACATGGCCCCGTGTACTCGATCGATATCCCCAAGGTGGAGGAGACGGTGAAGGGGAAGGAGGGTGAAGAGGATAAGGTGGTGCAGAGGAACAAGGGTTTCGCGTTCGTGTGGATGTTGAGCAAGAAGGATGCGGAGAAGGCGTTGGAGGCGTGTAATGGCAAGGCGGTCAAGGCGGGTATGGCGGAGGAGTTGGTTTTGGATAAGCAGAAGAAGAAGAAGCAGAGGAGGTTGGAGAAGAAGATGGCGGCTGCTGCTGCCGCTGCTGCTAAGAAGGAGGGCGCGGAGGGAGAGGATGGAGCAAAGGGAGAGGAAGACGAGGAGGAGGATGACGACAAGATGGATGTGGATGAGGAAAAGAAGAAGAGTGCTAAAGAGCGGGTCATTGCTGTGGATTGGGCGTTGAGTAAGGAGAAGTGGAAGGAGGAGGTGGCCAAGGCGGAGCAGGTTAATGTGGACGCGGAGATGGCATCTGCCTCTGGCTCGGGCTCGGAGGATGAAGATGACGACGAAAGTGGTTCGGGTTCCTCGGGAAGCGAGTCTGAAGATGATAGCGATGACGAGGGACTGGGTGTGCACGGAGAGGACAGCGGGAGTGAAAGCGACAGCCAACCCTCCGATTCTGACGACGAGGATTCAAGAGACGATGACGACGTTCCCGTCAAACCTCAGTTACCACCCCCAGAAAGCGGTACAACACTCTTCATCCGGAACGTGCCATGGGAAGCAACCGAGGATGATTTGAGGACACTGTAAGGCGCTATAACCTTTCCTCTTATTGTCCCTCTGCTCACCCGTGTTTCAGGTTCCGTGCCTTTGGTCCCCTTCGCTATGCACGGATAACGATGGACCCAGAGACCGGGCGCTCTCGCGGTACAGGGTTTGCGTGCTTCTGGAACAAGGAGGATGCAGACAAAGTCATCGAGCAGAGCGACATTCTCAAAGCGGAGACGATGGGGCAAGCAGCGACGGTAAGCTCTGGTCTGTATTCTTTGGCGACGACCCCTAAATAATCACCGTGCCATAGCCCAAGAAGAACCCATTCAGCCTCCCCTCCATCTTGACTCCCGATCCATCGTCCAGTTTGGCAAGGACATTGGTTTTGCATGGGAGAACGCTTGATGTGGTTAGAGCTGTGACGAGGGATGTGGCGAGTAGACTCAAGGAGGAGGGTGAAAAGTTGAGGGAGAAGCAGGATAAGCGCAACATGTATCTCTTGCGGGAAGGAGGTATGTACTACATTGACATCCTGCCCGAAGCAGTTCTAACCTAGTTATTCAGTGATCTTCCCGAACTCCCCCGCTGCGGCCCACCTCCCACCAGCAGAACTCGAACGCCGCAACTTATCCTACAACTCTCGCAAAGCGTTGCTCAAGTCCAACCCGTCCCTCTACGTCTCCCGCACGCGTCTAAGTATCCGCCAGTTACCCATCTTCGCTACCGAGCGGATGCTCAAGCGACTCGCCATCCATGCCATCCGTGCTTTCAACATCGAGTTCAAGGAGGGTAAAAGGGAGGGTCTTACGCCGGATGAGTTGACGGAGAGGTCGGAAGAGAATCTGGAAAGGATTTTGAGGGAGGGTATTGCGGAGCAGGAGGGGCAGGAGGCGAAGCCTGTGAAAGCTAAGGTGAAGGCGAAGGGCAAGGGAAGGGATACGGGTGTCAAGCAGGCGAAGATTGTTCGTCAGGCGGAGCGTGTTGATCCTATTACTGGCAAGGGACGGAGTAAAGGATATGGGTTCCTCGAGTTGCATCGACATGCTGATGCTCTACGGGTCCTGCGGTGGTCGAATAACAACCCCAAGGTCAATAGTTTGTTCGAGGAGTGGTGGCAAGAGGAGATGAAGGATATTTTGAAGAAGGAGCAGGCGAAGAAGGGGGAGGAGAGGGATGAGGATAGGATTAAGAGGATTAAGAATGAGATTGAGGCGTTGGAGGAGGGGGAGAAGAGGAGGGAGGGTAGGGGGAGGTTGATTGTCGAGTTTTCGATTGAGAATGTGCAGGTTGTGCAGAGGAGGGCTGGGGGGAAGCAGGAGAGGCCTAAGGGCAAGGAGGGGGAGAAGGAGGCGGAAGTATCTGTGAGTTCCTTTTTCGTTTCGTTGAAGTGTTTGTTCTAATCCATATTCACTCCAGCCAATCAAAAAGGCGCATGGCGCCTCCGGAAAGAAGGGCCCGTCGAAGCAGAAAGATGGACGCGACCGCAATGCAAAGACCACATCAGATAACCAGGAGCCTCCAGCGAAGAGACAAAAGAAGAGCAAGGACGATTCCGAGTCTACTGCTTCATCGCCTTCGAAACCGAAGAAACCTTTCAATCCTGTCGGGTCGCTAATAGGAAGGAAGAGAAAGGCTCGCAAACTCAAAAAGGCGTAGTAAAAGTTCAGTAGTACTGACACTACGGAAATTGTAACAATTTGTCACGTCACAAATTACAATTGCATTGCTATCTCGCATTTTGTCATGTCACACCAGGGCTAAATTGCTACGAAGTAAACGATAGTGTCACAGCTGTATACGGGGCCCCTGTGTATCTGATCTAGCGTTTAAGGTAGTGTTTGCTCCATTTCCGTCAATCTGATTATCTTGTGGTTGTACAGAGCACAGAGGCATTGCCGACTCTCGTCGAGAGTGGATTTCTGCTTCCTGAATGGCCGATTCGTATTTAAAACGCGAGTTTGAGGGCGGGTTGTTGTGACAAAAACTACTTTGCTATGTCACACGACGACCCCCGATTGCTACAATTTCCGTAGTGTCAGTAGTAGTGCTGCACTGTTACGCATATCTACCGCGTCCAAGAACAATCTAACGCGTTCTACAACTTTCCGAGATCTGAATATTCGATCCAGCCGGTTTCTGCTTCGTCATCCCCTGGAAAAGTGGATTGGTAAGGCAAATCAACGGGTTTTGGGCGCTTAAGGCTTTCTTGGCCCGTGGGGCAAAAGCCTCCGTCGAAGGTCGAGAACCAATCATGTTGCTCCGAATTTGATTATCAATTTGTAGGTTTGGGTTGCGTGGAAGTGTGGGTGCAAAGTGAAAGACCGCTGGTTGCTTTTGAACCTTTTGCTCGACTTTGTCGACGTCCTCGAGGCACCAAGAGCCAGTAATACAGAGTCGTCTTGTCAGCATCGACACCGGGCGAACATCGCGCAGCAGCAGCACATGGAGCCATCAATTTCGTTTAGCCTCGCATATGGGAGCGGCCATTTTGATCGCAGAAATTCTTCCGGTGCCGTGCTGACGAGGCCCTGACGGAACCGCAAAGAACATGAATCAGCCCCGCTGTTTGTGGACCTGAACCGCCATGTTCTCCCATTAAAAAACCTCAGTCTCGTTTCCTGGAAACTACTGCGGAATCATGAAGGTCCCCAAACCGCTTCGACCGAAGCCTGCCCCGCCAAAGTTTGGCCAGGACAAGGTGCTACCAGAGAAGACTGTAAAGTGCGTTTTGAAATTTCCGTGGATGGAGTAGTGGATTTTGACGCTTTGTATCGTGTAGTCCGTGGTCGAGATTGTTGTTTGGATGGGTGACGCCGTTCTTGGCTGCTGGATTCTCGAGGCCGTTGGAGAAAGATGGTGCGTCGCGTGTCCGACGAGCGCTTTGTGCCCGTTGCTTATCCCGCTGTATAGACTTTTGGCGACTTCGCGATTCTGATCTGAGTGCCTTGGTGACGGACAAGGTCGAGCAAAGCTACTATGCCCGCTGTCCTCCAGAAAAGAGACCTCGACATCTTCAAGAACAGACGAATGAAGAGATATCCGAGAAGCCCGGGGATGAAGAGTCATTGAAGAAAGACGACGCGACCGCGACAGAGACTTCTGCAAAGAGTCCATACGACGAATCGCTCTTCAAGGCGCTACATTCAACATTCAAAGTCGAGTTCTGGATAGCGGGTGTCTTCAAGTTGATTGCAGGTGCGTTTTTGAGCGTGCCTTTGCGCCCGGGGACGCGTTGCTGATTGGTGGTCTACTAGATATTCTGAGGGCCACGACGCCCCTTGTGACGAGGGTTTTGCTGCAGTGGCTTGAACAATCGTACTATTATCATCGTCTTCCGGAATCTGAGAGGGAGGGGCTTGAACGTCCCCATGGAGTTGGGTATGGCATTGGGCTTGGTTTCGCGGTGTTTGCCATGCAACGTACGTTTTCTCGTTTCGTTCCCTAGTTTGGATATTGAATTGACCGAATTATCCATTAGAGGTGGCCAGTTTGGTGAGTTTGGCGTCGTCATGTTCTCCAGGATATTTACTGAAGCTGGACTCTATAGTTGAACAATCACTTCATGCAAAGTGGGTTGCTTCCTCTCCGACGATTTGAAATATTGAACGAATGCCATTTTTTCAGTCGCGATGACCATCGGTCTTTCTGTTCGAACTGGGGTATGTTTGCTTTATTACAGCATGGTCGTTTCTCTCGCTGACTCCTCCATTTTAGCTTATCGGTGCTATCTTCAGAAAAGCTCTTCGCATCTCAGGCAAAGGTCGTATCAGCCACAATGCCGGCCAAATCACTACAATGATTTCCACCGACACTACTCGACTTGACCGTTTCGTCGGCTTTGCGCATATGTAAGTGCGTGTTCATTGTCGCTGAGAGGAGCGAGGCTTATTTGATCTTTCGGTAGTCTATGGACTGCTCCCATCCAGGTATGCTTTCCCATACATTGACTTGTTTTTGTCGACTCATCTCTGGGCTTAGCTTGCCATTGGAATTGGTTTGGTTATCGGAGTGGTACGATCTTTCAATTCACTTCCGTGTAGCCATGTCGCTGATATAAATCGCACATAGCTCGGATATTCGGCACTCGTTGGTTTGGGCGTTCTCATCATCGGTCTACCAATCCAGATCATTCTCGTCAGAATCATGTTTATTCAGCGATCTAAGGGAGTGAAGTATACCGACAAGAGGATCAGGTTGACCAACGAGGTGGGTTGGCTGACTTTTCACCGTCTGAAGACACTGCTCACGAAGGCACTCAGGTTCTTCAAGGCATTCGCCTGGTCAAGTTCTTCTCATGGGAACCCTTCTACGTTGACCAAATGATCGAACTGCGTGCTGGTGAAATCTGGGCGTTGAAGCTGACTGCGTACGTCCGATTGGTTTTATGTTTGATTTTGAAATTGATTTCGAACTTCGTGTTTCTAGGGTTGCACGATCGGCGATGATTGCCATGATGACTTTCATCCCCATTTTGGCTTCCGTCCTTTCCTTCGTAAGCTATATTGCAATGTTCGATGCGGTGAGGGCACCTACTGAGCGATGTTTTATAGATCACCTACGCATTGACTGGTCACGCCCTCGATGTCGCCACCATCTTCAGCGCCCTCCAGCTGTTCAACGTGAGCGTTCCTCCGATACGCAATGGTCCCAGGTTGCTAACGACGCCCCACAGATCATCCGAATTCCTCTGCTCTTCTTCCCCTTCGTTCTCGCCTCTTACTCCGACGCATTGGTCGGAGCCAAGCGTATCAGCGCATTCCTCACCGCAGAGGACCTGCCCAAGCCCTATGCCATGGAACAAGAGTTCGAACTGGCGATTGACGCGGAGGGTGACTTTGCATGGGAAACAGTAGGCTCGCCTGACCATGGAGATGGGAAGAAGAAAGACAAAGACAAGGCGAAGGATAAAGCTAGTTCGGACAAGGGGTCTAAGAATGGCAAGAAGGGTGAAAGTGAATTGCCGACGCATGTGGATGAGAAGTCTTCGTTGAAGGAGAAGGAGAGTGTGAAGGAGGAGGAGAAGCCGTTTGAGTTGAAGAATCTCAATTTGAAGGTTGCGAAAGGCTCGTTTATTGGTATTGTCGGAAGGGTTGGATCTGGAAAGGTAGGTCCACGGTGGCGTTAATTTTTCTTCGTTATCCTCTTACATCTTGTTCTTAGAGTTCCGTCCTTCAAGCTCTCATTGGCGAGATGAGGAAGACACGAGGCAATGTAAGTGAAACTCTAACCCCATGTGTGAAGTTCGCTAACGGGGTGTTCGGCAGGTTAAATTCGGAGGCTCGGTTGCATATGCCCCTCAAAACGCCTGGATCAAGAATTCGACGCTGCGAGAGAATATCTTGTTTGGACAGGAATTTGACGCGGAGAGGTACCATGCTGTGATTCGAGCGTGCAACTTGGAGAGGGACATTGAGAACCTTCCGGAAGGCGACCAAACTGAGATTGGAGAGAAGGGTATCAACCTTAGTGGTGAGTCTGAATCGTCCCTTCGTTCTTAAACAGCGTTTTAATTGTTTTTTTCGTGACGCAGGTGGTCAAAAGGCACGCGTATCCCTTGCGCGAGCGGCGTATTCCAAATCGGACATGGTGCTCTTGGACGACCCCCTTTCGGCTGTGGACGCTTACGTCGGCAAGGCCATCCTCGATAACTGCTTGCTGAATGGTCCTTTGGCGAATAGGACGAGGGTTCTTGTGACTCATTCTCTGCATGTCCTTGATAAATTGGACTATATCTATGTCATGGACCATGGGCAGATTATCGAGCAGGGGACATACGACGTACGTCTTTTATTTCCATCGCAGTCGAGTTTAGCTGTTGACGAGACGGTGGATTTAGGATCTCATGGCGAATAGCGTTGTCTTCTCTCATCTCGTTGAGGAGTATGGAAACACTGACTCGGATGACGATTCTGTGCATGCGGAGAAGCAGATTGTCGGTCGGGATCGTGCCAATAGCAAAGCTAATCGAGATGGACCTCAAGAAAATGGTGATGCTGTAGAGGGCAAGAAGGGTTCTGGAGCACTCATGCAGGACGAAGAACGAGAAAAGGGTTCTGTGGGGTGGTATGTCTTTGCTAGCTATTTGAGAGCTGCGGGTGGCTTGTATTGGGGAGTTTGGCTCTTGACTGGGCTTACGCTTTCTCAAGCGGCTAATGGTGCGTTTCTCTCTCATTTTTTTGGACTAGGAAGTGATGCTGAGCATTGTGTCTGCAGTTGGTAACACCTTGTTCCTGGGCTTCTGGACTGCGGAGAGTATTCCTGGGTTTAAGCAAGGACATTATATGGCGGTTTATGGAGGCCTTGGTGTCGCTTTAGCCCTGATCACGTTTGTGCTGTGCTTCTCGTTCACGTACGTGTTTCCTACACGGGATATCTATTCGTTTTCTAATTGATCGTGTGTTAAATACAGGCTTGCGGCTTTGAGGGCCAGTTTCTCCTTGTTCCGTGGTGCGCTGAATGGAGTTCTTTACTCGCCCGTGTCGTTCTTTGATACCACTCCTATGGGTACGTTCTTCGGGTTTTGAATCCTGGAATTGGAGCTGACCGTTTGACAGGCCGTATCATTTCTCGATTCTCTAAGGACCAGGATACCCTCGATACCGATATGTCGATGATTTCGTTCCAGGTATGTGGCTTTTTCACCGGTCTCGGTATCAAGTACTAAGTTTGGTTGTTTAGTTCGCCAATACCCTTTTCAGCGTGTTTGGAACTATCGCCTTGGTGTTCTATACCTTCCCATACCTTGGTATTGCGTTCGTTCCGTTGGCCATCTTTTATCAGCTGGTCTCGGTGTACTACCGGACTTCAGCTGTCGAGATCAAGCGATGGGATTCGGTTCTTCGTTCGCTTTTGTACTCGTCGTATTCGGGTGAGTGACCACGGCCTTGTTCGACTGACTTGAAGGAATGCTGATCATGACGCTTGTATGTTGCAGAGAGTTTGACGGGTTTGTCGACCATCCGAGCTTATCGAGTTCAGGGACGTGCTGTTTCGGATGCGGAGGATGGACTCGACTACCAGAATCGGGCGTACTATATGATGATCACTATCCAGCGGTGGTTGGCGGTGCGCCTTGACCTTATTGGAAACCTCCTGCTGCTTGGTATCGTCCTGTTCGCTGCTGGGTTTAGGAATAGTGTCAATCCGGCGAGGATTGGTGTTGTGTTGACGTATACTTTGAGCAGTGAGTGGGCTTTTTTCGTTTTTGTGTAGGTGATGAGCGCTGACTTGGATTGCTTTTAGTCACCCAATTCTTTTGTAAGTTCATTGAAGTCATAGTCCAGTCGGAGACAAATGTTGACATTCCCTCTCAGCGGAAATGGTCGCACAGTACGCGCAGATCGAGCAGAACATGAATGCGGTGGAACGTGTGCTGCATTATGCCGACTTGCCTTCGGAAGGGGAGCGTCAGACTTCGCAGGACCCGCCGCCTTCTTGGCCGGAGAAGGGGGAGATTGAGTTTAAGAATGTTGAGCTTGCGTATAGGGAGGGTTTGCCGCTTGTTTTGAAGGATGTTAGTTTCCAGATTCGACCTGGAGAGAAGGTGCGTGGTTCACGGTTCACGGAGCACGGTGCCATGGTGGACTGATGAGGCTGATTGGTGACATTGCAGGTTGGTATTGTCGGACGAACGGGTGCTGGCAAGAGTTCCCTGTTGCAGGCTCTCTTCCGGTGGGTATTCGAGGTTGGCTTAGGATGGTGGCATGTAGACTGATCTTGTGTTCAGGATGGTCGAGGTACAGAGCGGCAAGATCGAGATCGACGGTGTCAACATTAGGACTATTGGTCTTGAGAGTTTGAGGACGAGGTTGGCGTTGGTTCCTCAGGACAGTGTGTTGTTCCTTGGAACTTTGCGAGATAACTTGTATGTGAATTTGGGCTTTGTGTGCCATACCGTCTTTGATGCTTATTCTGTTCTGTTCGGTTCTTAGGGATCCAAAACGTACACGAACGGACGCTGAACTCATTCAGGTTCTTCAGCGGGCGTGGTTGTTGCCCAAGGATGGTACTGTCGACCCTGCGGCTGAAGCCAAGTTCAGCCTTGACGCTATTGTTGGAGATGAAGGTAAGGATCAACCTAGGAATTGGGTATTGGAGTTGAAGATTGCTGATCTCTGTCTATTGTAGGATCCAACTTTAGTGTCGGCGAAAAGCAGTTGCTGGCTTTGGCGCGTGCGTTGGTCAAGAACAGTCGAATCATCGTTTTGGACGAGGCGACGAGTAGTGTTGATGTGGAAACCGATGCCAAGCTCCAGAGGACCATTCAGACCGAGTTCACGACGTCCACTCTCCTGTGTATCGCGCATAGGTTGAACACTGTCGGTGCGTATCTTACTTTCTCTCAACGCCTTTGCTCCAGTATTCATGGAATTTTCGTCTTTCAGCGTATTATGACCGCGTTATGGTGATGGACCAAGGCAAAGTGGCGGAATTCGACACTGTGCTGAACTTGTTTGATAAAGAAGATTCTATCTTCCGTTCGTTGTGCGATGAAGCCAATTTGCAGCGCGCGGATATCCTTAGAATTCGTTCGGAACACCAAAAACTACTCGAGTGAAGAGGATGGATGACAAGCTAATGCATGCTGGATTATTTATGGCTTTTAGACGTATACACTTTTTATTATAGTGATAATGATACCTTGGGACTGGTTATATCATAGTGTTACCCGGTGCGCTGGCTATTTTCGCAAAGTCGTCGGAGGAGGGTGGAAACTGAGGAGGAATGTTTTGGACCCCGACTCGGACTCAGACGATCAAGCCGGGTATTGCCGAAAGAATGACGTATGCGAATGCGAAATGGGTTCGCGTTTGGTTGCCTTTCGCTGTTCTCCACCAATGCTTCAGATGCTCAGGACCTGCGTGCAGCGATGTAGAAGACTCGGTTCATCGAGCAGAGCAATGTTCTACTCGACGACGACTATTCCTCCACCAGGGTCGGACGCGCACGTCGAACTACAACAGTCTCTTCCTGGAACGATACAGGCTCACCGGTGCCACATTTTCCTCAGATCTGACAAGCGACCCACCGAGTTCCCGGAGAAGTATATATCTCCCATCCACCGTGCTCTGCTGCTCCGGTTTTTCCGACAAGGTGTCATCGCCAACTCGGCTTGGTATCCCGACGCTTCCGCCTCCGACGTCCCTGCTGCAACGGTTTTCACACCTCTCGCTGGGAGACTTGATATACCCGAGGTATCCTTGGAGAATATTGATGCTGTTGAGAAGCGGATAAAGGCGCATTTGGAGCTTGAAGGGCCGGTGTCGAAGGAGACTGGAAGACTGGTGGATTTGTATGTGTGTACGCATGCTGCGAGGGATTGTAGGTGTGGGGAGATGGGTGGGTTAGTTGCGAAGGCCCTTAGGGAGGCTGCGGAGGAGTGGAATAAGAGTAAGGGGGCTGAGGGTGTGAGAGTGAGGGTTGGAGAGGTTGGGCATGTTGGTGGACATAAGTGAGTTGTTGGTGGATTGGTTTACTTGATTGAGATTGAGATTGTTTTATAGGTATGCTGCGAATGTGTTGGCGTATCCGCATGGCGAGTGGTAAGTGATCTCTTTTTCCTGGGTTGGACTAGTCTGACTGGTGTATAGGTTTGGTATGGTTCGCCCAGAACATGCTTTAAAGTTGCTGGAGACACTTGTTTCTTCACCTATTCGTCCGTTGACGGAGAGAGATCCGCCAACGTGGAGGTCGCATTGGCGCGGACGGATGGGGTTAGGAAAGGATGAACAAATAGAGCTGTTCAAATTGACCCAATAGGTGCCCTCGACCCAAAGCAAAAGCCATATCGGTCACCGTCCTCACCTACCCGGGATGGAGGACACGCAGTACAAGGTGGACGGGTCTGGCCAGTGTTCGCCCCTATGGACACTACTACACAACAAGAACTATAGAATGCTTCATCTCATGTCCACTGTCATGGTCAAAATCAAATCCATGCAGCCACTGCATCTCGCGGGGCACCAACCCAGAAGATCCTTGGACAATCCTCTTCCTTCGCGACGTCCATTTTCTATCAGGCCACCTTACTGGGAATAGTGCTCTCGATGACCTGGAATATTGAAGTCGGTGTGACGAATGAACTGCGAAGCTGGAGACTAATGTCAAAGCGCGCACTCTGGCCAGGGGCTAGGGCCCTCATTCCCTTCGTACGTACTTTGTCCCTGTTTCACGTCAATTCCCTGTATGTCAAAGTGTCATGTCAAAGAAGGCTTGGGATGCACATATGGACTTGGGACTAGAATAGCCAGCTCGCGGGCATCGAGCGAAAGCTGTCGACTTTGTCAGTCTGATGCTTGACAAGTGGGATGGAGAATGTCGCTGGTTGCTGTGGCCAAGAGCTAATGGTACGTATTCAAGAGCCAGGAGAGCGGGTTATCCTCTTGTGTTGGGCAAGACATGAGACGTATGATAGTGAATCTGGCAGCGCTACCCCTGGCCAAACGATTGAGGTCGCAAATGATCACTTATCTTGAATGCAAGGAGTACATTTTTTGCCAGGCAATAATATCACTAAGTAGCGTACGGAGATGCTAGTCTCTATAGACAAAACCTGTGCTGCACTTGTCAGAATGTCGCGTGCAGGACAAGCGGCGTTCTGGGTGCTGACGGCGCCTGTTGCGGCCACTGGCGAGGTTATCAAACGCCCAGCGACACGATTGTCCAAATCCACAGGCGTGGTTTCTGGTCAATCCAAGGGAATGGTTCTCTATATATGCTATATCACGGAGCAGCGACCCGAGCGATTATTTCTCCAATTTCATTGCAATTTCAGCGAAATTCAGACACCCGAGCTTGCATCCACAAGCAGCCATCAAATCCGTGGGAAATGGCCTTGTGGGCGTACAGGGAGCATGGAACGCCCGAACAGGCTTGTTTACGTTCTTCAGCTTTGTACCACCAGCAAAGAGCAGCGGAAACTGCAGAGACCTCTGGGCGCACTGGTTTTGAAATCAAGGCAAGCCCGCGCCGCAGAATCACCTTGACCACGCACTCACAGACAGGTCCGATCCGGACGAAATACACCCAGGGTACACCGAGTCAAGAATCGACTTGTTGACGGTTGACAAGCCCCGCGCAATCGACTCTAGCCCCTCTTGGTGAACATTTAGCTGAAAACATTGGTTGCCACCCAGTGGCTAGAAGCACCGCGCATTGAAACGTCGTCCGGTAAAGGGCATCACCACCAAATAAGGAGGTAAGCGCCGTATTATCCTCGACGTCGGTAACACGCCTAATTACACTCGGATTTATCGTTTATCAGGTGTGAAACAGAGTGCTAATCGAGGCCTGTGACGCCTTATAGGCACCTCCAAAGTCTGACGCGCCACGGAAAATACTTGGAGGTTCAAGTCTATCGCCTCGGGGAAACGAGCAGAACCGCGTTTTGCTGTTCGAACTTCACAGCGGCTGTTTGCCATCTTGGACAGCCTCCCCAGGTGCTGAGCGGCTTGCCTTCGATTCCCCACGAACCCTTTTCACCGCCAGAATATCAATTTGCACACTCCTTGAACCCAGATTTCCCCACATTCGCTTCGTTCTCTCGCCCTTCCTCTTGTTTCTGTCGTTTATCGTTTAAAGTTTCGGTAAGTGCTCGCTTCGTTTCGCGTCTTCCGCCCCACGTTCCCATTTCATGGAGTTATGTTACAATGTGGATGGTCCTTGTTTATCATCCCCCACACTTCCAGAATTTCTGTTTTCCCTTGCTATTTTCTTTCTATCAAATGATGGCAATATGGCTCGTGCTTCTTTGCTTCTTTCCCTCCTTAAGTCTAGCCCACTGTCTGAGATCAAGTATATCTGACCTCGTGCTGGCTCGTAGATCACTGCATCACCCCGCTCAGTCACTGCCCACTCAACCAGCTCTCTGCCTCAAACTAGAGCCGCCCTTTTCTCTCCCGCTTTACCTGGCCAGAAGTTTCGAAACCAGTGCCCCCACTGTGGTCCCCGCCGGCCTACAACCAAGGTTTGGTAACAACTGTGCAAGCACTGCTGGTATCGCACTGAAACCTCAGCTGCGCAACCTCACTTGCAGCCCCACATCGCTGTCCATCTCCCTTCACACCCCATTTGTCGCTCTCCCTCTTTCCTCTCCGAGGCGTCCACACGCATCCGTCGAGATCCATACCACGACATAACCAATCTCCTCATTTCCTCCATTAACGGCCTCAGAGATTCCCCCTGGATCTGACAATAACCGACGGAGTAAATTTGAAGCTTATTATCTCCATCCCGAGTGCGTTGTGTCAACCTCTGTCGTTATCATCACCTCACTCACCTACAACAGCATTCCTGATCGCCAGGGCAAACGACAATTACATTCGCGCCCACCGGAGCACGCTGCACGACTCGTCTGCAAATAACCAAGTAGCCTAATCATTGGGTCGACGGTCTGGACGTTCAGTCGGTGCTGAAATCGTAACCTTCAGCCATATAAATCAACCAGACACACGGATCTTCCGCTATCCTGCTGGTCCACCTTACAATTTTCTGCGCGCCTTCGAGCGAGTTCTCGAAGAGAGTATCTCAACCGTCTTCCAATCGAACTCAGGCAGTCAAGACCTTTCAAGTTTCCAACCACACGTATCAGGCTCTACGTACACGTTAAGGTAAGCGCAACGATTGTTACGTCGCCCCGCAAGCCCATTGACTGATCGCCTCGGACAAGTACAGTTTCATCTTCCCCTGCAAGGCTATATACCTGCAAAAAACGAAAGATAGCTCGTTGACGATCATCTTCGGCTTAATCACAATCACCTTCGTGGAGTGAATCTCGATAGTCCGCAAGAACATTTATAAAGCGATCCACCTGCCGCTACGCATTCACCAATCACACCACTCCACATCATGTATCCCTCCACCTCGATGTCCTCGACTCAAATTCCCGCCACACTTTCGATGCTGCCTGAAGAACTCCTGGAACGGATCCTCGACGACTGTATCACAAGTCTCCTCACGGCCTCACATTCGTCCTCCTCCTTGACCACCTCCCCTTTCCCGTCACCCTCCTCCAGCCCCTCGGTCAGCCCTGCCAACTCCAAACGCAGCTCACCGTCCAACTCGAGATACGCAACGCCAGCTGACACTCCCGCGGCGTCTCCTACTCGATCACGACCACCTTCGCCAGGACTTCCAGCGCCTTCAGATAGCCATGCTCCCTGTCAGCCACCTGCACCAACCTCGACTCGGACAGCCACGTCGACGCCGTCACCGAGTACAAGTAGCGTCCTTAACCCTGTGCTTATCTCGCGACTCTTCCATCGAATTGGCGCACCTCTTCTCCATCGCTCCATCACTCTTTCATCACGATCAAAGACGCAGAAGCTATTGGACGGTAGCTTACGCCACCACCCTGAGCGGGCCCGGTGGATCCGCTGGCTCGTTATTGCGGGGATTTGGGAAGGAGCTGGGGAGGTTCTGAAAATCGTGGCTGCTGTGAATTCTGGTGAGAGCCCGTTCCACTTTCTCTATGGGAAAGGGAAGGGCAAAGAATGGACGGAGGACGACGACCGCTGGTCGACTGTGGGCCTGCAGACGTTGGAGATCACGATCGACGTACCACCTTTCATTCCTCAACAGTCACAGCTGCCACATCAAGCCCAGCAAGCTCTTAGGCGATCGACTACTCATCCCGGTCACACTAGCACTCCCAGCCAGCGTGCAGCTACTGCACAAGATCCTGATGCGGAGGAATTTTGTGCTGGCCTTGCGGCGCTGGGTGACGTACGGGGAGAGGGCTTGAAGCATCTCGTGGTGCGAAAACCGCAGAATGTGTATCTTACCCACCAGCGGGCCAAGATGGTATTCAGTGCGCTGGCGAAGCTTGTCGGAGGTTCCGCAGGGCTGGAATCGGCTCACGTCGCTTTCCGGCTGAGCGACGACCCCGTTCCGCCTGGCTCTCGACGAACACCAGGCGCACCGCCGAGCCACCCTCATGGGCCTATCGCGTTGTTCACAGAAGCATTGTCACGTTGTCCTTCCCTCCACACCTTCACAACTCACCTTCCATCAGTATGGAATGAAGCCATCCTCCGAGTCAGCGTCAATGAGGGTTTAGACCGGATAGTCCTTTTGGGAACAGGAGGGAAGCCTGTGACCATTGGCGATGATAACCTCTCGCAGCAGCACGCTGTCCCACCTCTCCCGCGGACGCCGCCCCTGGCGCCTTCTACGGCCTCTCTTCCTGCGCATCCTGTGGAGAGGGTGTATGCTGCTAGTGCAAGGCCCTGTGATGGGTTTGCGATCGGCGTCACGAGGTTCCCTACCGTCCTTCCTCCGAGATCGTTCCCTACTAGAGGCACTGGTCTGTTCATCACAGAGGCAAGAAAGCATGAACGGTTGTGTTCGCTCATCCGAGCAGGGGCTATGGAAGGAGAGGAGCGGGAAGATCGGCACCGGGAAGAGATGGTCCGTGGTATGGTTGCTCAAAATATGTCGCCTAATACGTCCAGTGTTCCGCTTCTCGCCATCCCCACACCTACCTCTTTGGGGAGACCGTCGGTGCCTCGCGTGAATGGGCCGCAGTCGAATTCTTCGTCGCAGGGCCTTCATGCCACCATCTCTTCCTGGATATCGTCAACGTTGTTGTAGACTTTTGTTCATTTGTGCCGCTGTGCGTGCGTTCTTCCGGGTTTTCGTTACGCTTTCGACTTGTGTATTATGCTACCCACTTTGTATGTACTTTAGACTTTGTGTATTTCTACTTTGTTTAATTAGTTTCCTTCAAAGAACTGAACACGATGTCATTTCGGTCAGAGTTTCTCAGCGCGTATCGTTTGAAAAGATTCAAAGCCACAACATGTTCAATTGAAATCTAGTTACAAGCTAGACGACGGCAGAGAATCTTTTATTTAGAGCAACTCGTCCAGGTCAAATTCATAGATCGCTCTGGTGACGAGGTCTTCCAAATCCTCCAAGTCCCTCTTTCTCCTTCGGTTGTTGTTCTTCTTGGGAGCTGCCTTCCTCTTTGGGGCTGCCTTCTTCTTGGGGGCTGCCTTCTTCTTGGGCGGTGCCTTGCGCCTAGGCTTAGGCTTGGGCTTGGGCTTAGGTGGAGGAGGGGGTGGGGGGCTCGAGCTGCCGCCGCCTCCCATAAGTCTGAATGAAACGGTGTTATATTACTGATTCTCAGGCGACACTGAGTGTAATAAGGGTACTCACCCTCCGAGAAGGTTTCCTGCGACGCTCGCGATTGCACCGAAGAGGGGATCTCTCTCCACGAGCTCAAGGTCTGTGAGCTCCCGGCGGGCGTCGTATTCATCGAAGCCTACTGGAACGGCGACGACGGAGGAAACGACCGAAAGGGCAGCCACTGCGAGTGTTGCTCTGAAGTGGACCATTGTGATTTCAAAACGAGTGAGGTGTTGGATGAAGTGGAAGATCGTCGCCTGAAGCGTTGTTGTTTTCGTTGGAGAATTGAATCTGCGGTCAACGCTGATTTCCTGGGGTAGTTGGAGAGGCCTGCTCTGAGGGAAACCATAATGAATACCTCTCACCCCCTTTTATAGATATCCGTTTTATAACGTCACTGCTTTTGGAAGTTCTTCTTGCAACCTGACCAACGAGCTTCGAGGTCTATTATGAGCGCCAAGACTGTGGATATGCCCAGCCGTGGATGCCGAATGGGCGCTCTAGCCTTCGTTGTCAATCTTTTGCCATTTTACTAGACGCGCTCACAGCCTGAAAGAACAGCCAAGGCGGAGAGATGAACTAAGTGCATTGCCCTAGGCCTGGGCGGTGTTGTGCAACGGATAAGGCAAAGTGCATCGCCAGAGATCATGGTTGCTGAGCGAGGATCAGTACGGGCTCGACGGGGAATCGAAGTGCCCGATGGGCGGTAGCTTATTGGTACTCGACAGTTTCGCCGTGGAAGTATGGCTTTGATTCTATGATATAGCAGATGAGTATCACTGGTATCGTGGCTTACTGTACTTAGTAGCCGTCTGCGAATGGAAAGAAGACGAGCACGATTTGCCGCGAACGGAACTTCGGACGACTGATATGCTCATCTACCCATGTCGCTGTTTCCGGAATAGATTGTGATTTTCTGCAGTTACGAGGCTCAAAGGGGCTCACTGCGATGGCGGGTCAGGAAATGGGGAGAGGGAAACCCAAAGGGAAACTCTCGGTGCCAACTCACTTCGGTGTTGTGTGCACTGCGTTGGAGCCGGGCGAAAATTCCCATCAGTCAACCTGTAGATGATCAAGGCCACCATTCGCATCACGTTCGCTCAAGATTTTATCGGTGATTGTGGTTCTACGACGATACACGTCGCCTCTGGCTCTTCATGTGGAAGAACATTCAGAACAGATGGCTCAAGCCTTCTTTCTACATCTAACAACGAGTTCAAACCTCAGGCGAGAAGGACGACAAGTTGTTCCTTACTTCCACACATACACACACATAGTCATTTTCCACATCAGTTTCTGTTCACACTTTCTTCCGTTTGGCGACACAAACACCAGAAGAAGTAGAATTTCGAGAAAGCCATTATTCCACTACTAAAGTAATCTACCAACTGCATATATCCCGTGCATCTAGTCGAGCTCGTTGAGTTCACGAGCGTCGAACTCATCGTCGAACATGCGGTAGGCGAGGTCATCGTCAAAGTCACGGGCATCCAACTCCTCGAGGACCCAGTCACGGAAGACGAGGTCGTCCTCGAAGTCGCGCTTGTCCTTCTTGCTGCTCCTGAACATAGCAGGGATTGAAGCGAGACTGGAAGATCGACAGCCAGTTAGTAAAAGTAGTAGACAAAGAGGTGTAAGAGTGCAACTCACGTTCCAGCGGTACCGAGCCAGTTCAAGGCCTTGCCACCGATCTTGGCAATGCCAGCAAAGGAAGGATCGCGAGCGTCGAGAGAGTCCATGAACTCGCGAAGGACGAGCTCTTCGGATTCAGAGAGGTCTCGCTTGCCGGTGAAGATCCTCTTGATGAAGCCGAAGATGGGTTCACGGGCATCGAGGTCGTCGACGAGCTCACGAAGAGCGAGCTCCTCAGTCTCAGAGAGATCACGCTTGCCAGTGAAGATTCTCTTGATGAAACCGAAGATGGGCTCTCGGGCGTCGAGCTCTTCGAAGTCACGAAGGGAAAGGTCGTCGACGTCGGAGAAGTCTCGCTTGCCGGTGAAGATTCTCTTGATGAAGCCAAAGATGGGCTCACGGGCGTCGAGGGAGTCAACATACTCGCGGAGGGCGAGTTCCTCGGATTCGGAAAGATCACGCTTGCCAGTGAATATTCGCTTGATGAATCCGAAGATGGGCTCGCGAGCTTCAAGGTCCTCAAAGTCGCGGAGGGAGAGGTCGTCGAGGTCGGAAAGGTCGCGCTTGCCGGTGAAGATACGTTTGATGAACCCGAAAATAGGTTCACGGGCGTCAAGCGAGTCGACGTACTCGCGGAGCGCGAGCTCCTCGGTCTCCGAAAGATCACGCTTGCCAGTGAAAATTCGTTTGATGAAACCGAAGATGGGCTCACGGGCGTCGATGTCTTCGACAAGCTCACGGAGGGCAAGCTCCTCAGACTCGGACAAGTCCCGCTTGCCGGTGAAGATTCGTTTGATGAAACCGAAGATGGGTTCACGGGCGTCAAGGTCTTCGGCCAACTCCCGGAGAGCGAGCTCTTCAGACTCAGAGAAGTCTCGCTTCCCGGTGAAAATCCTCTTGATGAAACCAAAGATGGGCTCTCGAGCGACAAGTGGCTCAGCTACGAGATCAACATCCCGGGCAACGAACTCGTTGGCCTCCTGGGCAATGGGGACGGCGAGGACGGGCGCGATGGCAAGGGCGGCGACGAGGATGGAGGTGGAGATTTGAACCATGTTGATAGATAGAAATTGATTTATTTAGAGGGTAGTGGGGAACGTTTGGGGGTGCGGTCAACGCTAGTAGTTCCTTGGTGGGGGTGAGGCCAGCTCGAGGGGAAGCAAAAAAGTGGGGTGGGGGTGTACTTATACCTTGCCCAGTGCCAAGAGATCTTCTTTTTGCCTTTCAGGGAAGACCCTGCTCGCTTAACCGGGCAGTGCCGTTGTGGCAAAGTGGGCGCCCGAGTTGAAACTCGGTGCGCTGGAAACGGAGGAGCTGGGTAGAAAAGACCGAAAACATCCGCCGATAAGGCTATGTGCACTAATGATGAATGGTCGACCAGATGCACGGTAACCTTGTACATCGTTCGGGAAGAAAGTGGAAGAGCAGCATCATCTTGCACCAATCGACGCTGGGGAGGCTCGGAGCAATTGGGAGACCAAATGATAGTGGCTAGAATTTCTTCGGGGTGTCTGCCTTGAAGGGCCCTGCTGAGATCGAAGCATGCAGTTCGTACATCCCCTCCTGGTTCTTGGAGACCTCGCGGATTACTGCCCGCTCATTTCAAGCGCCGTCGATCATAGTTCTCGTCCTAGTCCCGCCGGATCCTATGCAACTAGGGAAGAAACCTGGACTTTCGTTCTCGTCAAGCTTCAGGAAATTGTGGTCTGCGAGTCGTATCACTTGCTTCAGGGCACATTTCAGAACCCACATTCACCCACAGTCACTTGCAATGCCGAGCAAGGGAAAATGAACGCCGTGCGCTCGGTACTTCCGGTGCAAAAGGGTGTTGACTTATCGCTGCATCATCAGGGAACAATCATGGAATGACTGAAGTGAACATACATCACCGGATGACGAAGAGCTTCTTTCCGTAAACGCTGCCCCAGACCCACGAGGAACAGCAGGAATAAATGTCAACCACCGAAACCCGACTGAACCGCCCTGGCCAGCGCCCATCACTGCATCAAGCGCCCATCAAATACAGAACGCAATGACGTCCGAGAGATGCCCTTTCCGGTAAGTTTTGACAGTTTATTGGATAGCCCTCGACTGCCAGGCAGCTTCTAGGGGTTTGGCGGTCGACCAGGGTGAGGAAAATGCCCAGGGTCCTGCTAGGGTCTAATGCATGGGAGAAGCACGAGGCCTTATCGGCGGGAAAAAGCGAGCAGAGGATCCCGCCGGGACGGACATGCGTCGGGTTTGTGTCGAGGACGGCCAATGCTAGATGGTCAACTCTCCGTGATGAGCTTATGATGAGCTCAAGTCGCCTCGAGAATGGGAGCGTCGAGAATGCAGTTGTATGCAATGGTTGACGTACACAGCCGATGCTGTGAGAAGGCCTCCGTCCAAAACCCAAAGATAATCAGTTTTCCTGACGACTTAACAATACCGAGATCGACATCCGAGGACGAATCATCGTTTCCTTGATCAAGTTCCAGCGTCATGGCTGTGACTTACGGGACAGTCGTTCAGCAATGCGTCCTGAGCACATGTAGGTATTGCAGCTGCCAGTGAATAACGGCTTCATGGATTGTTGTGCCATCGTCAACTGGTAGTCAACGCTTGTAAGCTGCGACCCTATGCAAACGTCGTGAGCGACATATCAGGCGTAATTTTGGACCAGGAGAGCAGCATCTTCAGGGATTTTTGCACCTTGGTTATGACAGGCCAAGGTCATGCATAACTTAAAGCGAGGGACTGAAGGTGAGCCACCTTCCAGATGAAGGCCTGCACTCGCGTTCATCTCGGTCCGGCTGGAGACTTGGATCAACTCGCAAATAGCTGTTAAATAGTTGCTAGTGCAACGCACCTGCGACACACTCTTCATCAAGACTTCGACAGCGTAAAAGAATTCGAAGAAACCTTTACAAGCTCTTCGCGTTCGCCAAGATACTATCCACGGGTGGTGGTCTTGAGTAGGTCCTCGAAGGATCCAAAGCTTGTCACCGTCATCGTCCAAGGCTTTTGATAAAGTTGGTTCTTTCAAGCAGTGCGATTAAGCGCCAGGAACATCGCCCGCACTTGCTCTCGGTCATGGAGTGGAAGCGCAACAAGCCGTCTTGTAACTTGCGCGCCAGTTCTAGGCGAGAGGCGGCAACGGCCTCTCAAAGAAGCATGAACAAACAAAGAGAAAACATCGCGGTCGAAGGCTGGTCACGGGATAAATATGATGGACGATCAGGTGACCTCATTTCACCACGAGGCTCGACCAACTGTCGTGTTTCGCTTCTTGACCGCTTCCACAGTCGACGCTTGTTCTATCCCGCCTCCAATAAATTGCCGCGTTCCCTTGAACCTGGGGGCACCATATTCTGGCTGGAGAAACCGTGACGAAAACCACTAGTTGCAGAGAATAAAGAAAATCCAACGGGTTGGACTTGGTATGTTGAGAACGTATGAAATAACAATAATTTTAGTGTAGAACTGACATACAGCTCATCGCATATTAGGTTGACTCACGCGACTTTGGAGATAGCTTGCGCTGCTTGAAAGCGAAGGATTGAACCTCACAGTCAGTGAACATCGAACCCGAGTTTCGGCTGCCTTGTTGAACGTGAATGCTCTTCAGAAACACACAATACGCGGCGCGCCGAAGCAAGAGCAACACAGTCGGGAAATCTGAATAGGGATGAGGTTCGGATTGCCCAGATCACCCTCACCGTCTCCCGTTCGAGGGTAAATGCAAATTCAGCCAATGTCGCGCTTCCTTGACGTTGTTGTTTCACCAGGAGCCGTACCAAAACGAAATCCACGACAAAGAAACGAGCTACGACACCCCAAACCAAGTCTATCTCTGCACCAGTGAAGTCAACTTACAGACGCGGCACCTCCTTCGGTCTACGAGACGATACCTCCTCCAGCTCTGACTCGGATTCGAGTTCCTCAGACTCAGACGACTCCCACATTCATTACCCGAAGGAATACAGTGACGATGACGACCAGTTCCTCTATGGATCAGCCTCGTTCGAACACCAGTCATCCTCCGACCCAGGCAGCTCGGACGAATCGTTTGAATTCAGCGTCTCGACCGGCCCTACAGGACAGAGGCTAGCAAAAGTCAAGAAGGACAAGGGGAAAGGGAAAGCTATGGCACAAAGTATGGACGGGCGGCGCAGCAGTAAGAAGCACCCCGTGAAGCTCGACGAGTCTGGCCTTCCGGTACTCCACCTCTCTCTTCGCAAGAGCCCAGAAAAGTCCCGTCAGGTGGATGAGACAATCGCCGCTATCCGCTCACGAACGCGGTACGAGGATCCATATGAGGAATGGGAGAAGAACGTTAGGAAGGAGGCATTCGTACGTTCATTCGTTCTTAATGACAATTCTCTTGTTGACCGTTATCTCTACAGCGTACCGCTCGCAAAACCCTCTCGACAACCCAGAGTAATCTAGAGGCGTCGCATCAACAACTTCAATCTCAAGCGCAGCAAGCGCTCCTTTCGCAACACCAATCTCAAATGCAGCAGGTTCAATCCCAACTCCAAGCTATGCGACTGCAACAGGATAGGGAGGAGGCTCGATTACGGGAAGAGTTGAAGAACCGAGACAAGCAGCTTTGGGAGAGAATCGAACGGGTGATCAGCATTGAGGAGGGCAAGGTGCGGGCCAAGATGGAGGAGGAGCGGAAGAAGCAAGAGGAGGCGAGGAAGAAACTGGAGGAGGAAGAGCGCAAGGAACGCGAAAGACTTGAGAAGATCAAGGCTGAGCAGGAAAGGCAAAGGAAGGAGCAGGAGGCGAAGGAGGCAGAAATAAGGAAGAAGAAGGAAGAGGAGGAAAGGGCGCGGAAAGAGGAGGAGGAAGAGATCAGGAAGATTGAGGAAGAGGAGAAGAGGTTAGAGGAGGAGAAACGCTTGAAGGGGGAGAAGGACAAACGAGAGCAAGAGGCTAGGGCGAAGCTCGGGTATCGTTCTGGAGACGAGGAGTGGGCCAATGCGCGTCTCAGTTTGCTGCAACTCAAGGACACCGTTCTTGCTCCCGTGAAAGCCGATAAGGAGACGAAGAAGAGATTCAATGCGGTGCGCAGGCAAATCACGCCGAAAGTGGGCCAGTTGACGAATGACGAGGAGGCGATCACGCGTATTGTAAGTATTGGTTTTTCTGTCTATGCTTACGCTAACAACGCTCTAGTCTAATCAATTGCATTCCCTTGTCCAACCGACACCTCCGCACCCGCCAATCATCTACGCGGCCCTCTGCTCCTCCCTTGCCAAAGCAATCATTCTACAGGCAGAGACAGAGGTTACAGCAGAGAAGAAAGCCGCCATACCTCTGGCTCGCGTGGCCTTTAACCTCCTCACATCTCTGGACGGTGTCTTCCGTGAAGCCTTCTGGGCGAAACTGGTGCAGAGGACGGGTGGATGGGTGATACCCAGCGTGATACCCTTCGAGAAGGACGTCGACGGTCGCAAGTGGGGCGAGGGTCCCAAAGGGCGTGGTCGGGGACGAGGTGGGGCTGGCGAGAGGTGGCTGATTATGGGTTACCGCCGGAGCGAGAAGGCGGGCGCCGGGGGCGGCGAGACCAGTAACGGCACCGGTCCTCCTAAAGACCTCGAAACCTCAGCGGAATACGCTACCCGCCTCTCTGGTATTATGCGTGTCTATTGGGAGATTGTGAAGGTCCAATGCAGGTACCCGGGGAAGCTGGCATTTCCGGACGGCCCTGGTTGTGGACAGAGGTTGGCACCTGAGGCGCAGGCCAAGGGTGAGGGACAGATGTTGCAGAGTCCGTATAGCGTCTCGAGGTTCTGGATGTGGTTTGCGAGGTTGAGCGCTGTGAGGCCGCTTTTGGAGACTGGAGTTGCAGCCGAGTTGGTTCATAGTAAGTGCATTCTCGTTATTTTCGCTGCCTGGTAGGTTTCTGATGAATGTTATTTCACAGCTGCTCTGGAAGTTATGGGAGCTGAGGCATGCGACATCTGGGGCAGACAGTGGATTAAAGTTCTGCGACTTTACTATGAGGGAGCGACCACGGGTCTATACCCCGAACGAGGAGCTATCACTACCGGCAACGACCAGGACAAGACGAAAAAGGAGAACGCGAGGCTTGGCGGGAGCACTGCAGAGGGCAAGGCTGCGCGTGCGCGAGTGCAGATGGAGATTGAGAGGATTGTGAGGGGCGAGAATAAGAGTATTTTGCGTTGATTTTGGAGGGCATGGGACGACCTTTTTTACGACCAGTAGGATGATCTACGACTGGAAATTGACGATAATGTAGTGGCATGACTAATGATACTTGATTGAACTCTCTGGAGAGTCTTCGAACGCAATCCCATAATGATGATTCTACCATTGGAAGGATGGCCCCCGACGTTGGCTTGCAGTCAATTCTGCGACGGAGGGTCAGATGCGTTGATCCCGTGCCAAAACTCTGCCTTCCCGTCCAGGGTAAATGATTGATATCCCAACCGCAAAACCTTCGTTCATTGGCAATTAGGCGCTACGGTACACATATACAACAGGTGGATTTGTACTACTCTAGACATGGTCTACAGGCACTTGTAAACTATCAGGTGGGCGGATGACTATTCAACCCCTCCTCCTCGTACCTCTCGCTGAGGGTCTCGTGAAGAGACGGGCGGGCCAAAAATTCTAGTTAGGATGGTGCTTCTCGACGTTTCTTTTTGCTTGAATCCGCTGCATCGCCAAACTGACGAGCCATAGAAGTCCAAGCAAAGAGATAGTCGCAAAAAGCGATGGGGGATCCCCCGACGACACAAGCCGGTACTGCAATAGCAAGGTCATCGCGTCCCCGAGTTGCAAGCAGAGCTCGAGGAACTGGGGCGGCAAAAATTAGATAACCAAAAATGAGGGCGGTGCCCTCATAATAGTGGTTAAACTATTAAGAACAGATACTACACTTGATCTAAGCCAAAAGGCCAGAGTGGTAAGGAATCAAAAATGTTGGGGGAGGGTTTTTATAGTCGAGAACCTGCGCACGGACCATCTGCTTGTTTGTCAGGAATGTGGAGATAGTGCACTGCCACGATGACGCACGGACCATCCATTTCTCCGAGGGCGCGTACCGATTCGAGCGCGCGTCGCGTCCGACCACCCGTCGTTCTCGTACGCGTCGCGCAGGTCTTGCGAAAGCAGCTTCTCTGGCGGCAACTTGGGAGGGTCTCCTAAACGCAGTCAACGGGAATGGACTGATCTTTATCGCAGATTATTAGCAGTTGATCACATCTCCAGCTTCCACAGATAATCGAAGTTTACTCTACTCTCTGGATGTGCTGGCCTCAACATGACCTCTGCAGCTTCGGTTTACTACCGTTGCTCACAAGGTACCCGACTGATAACACGATTCTCTGGCGCCTGTCAGTGTGAGCCCGAGCGCGCTAGACTCTGAAACACGTCCTGATAAATAGTTCCCGTCTGCAGTTGCCATCATTGCCAATCATTGATCATTCCCTCCCCTCTCTCACGAGGTGACGGTTTCAATGGACGGTCACGCGATGTTTGAAAAAATTGGATACAAAGGTCGAGGTCGGTGGTTGTTGCCAGCTCGACAGACCGGCTTCTGCTCCTTCCACCTGCTAGCGCAGACTCCACTGCCCTCTCCTGCGACGTTGATCGTCTGCAAGTTCTCCCTCGAGTTGATTCTCATCTAGGGCGACTAACAGGCTGAGCCTCATCCGTTGGGTCTATTCACCACTTGGACTGCTGTGCGGTTTACCCCTGGTACCAATAATCTCCTTGGACAACTTCAAACATGACTTCTGTGGAGCAAACGACTTCGGTTACGGTCTTGGGCCACTCCCACTTGCGATTCCACGAGTTTGTAGGACAGACACCAGCGGACATCCTTCGCGACTTGGAATGCCAGAAGGAAGGAGAGTCGGGATGGGCAGGAACGAAGTTCATGGCGTTGTTCTGCGTCATGTCGGTCATCGTGGCCTCCCTTTGCTTCATCGCGTTTGCCGGAGTTCTGATGGGTATTTTGGGTGCGTCTCTATCTCCTTTCACCGTGACAGTATTCTGGGTAGCTCAACCCCTACGATTGACGCTAGGCCCGGCCCTCTCGGAAGTGCACACTGTCGCCATTTCCCTCCATTTCATCTGCTACATCATCCTCGTCACCGTAGGCCTCCTTAGGTGTGTTAACATCCTATTCCTGCTTCCAGAAGGTCTCTGATAATCATCGAATTAGCGTGTATGGAATTGCAAAGGAAAAACGCAGCTTCCAATCCTCCTATTGTGCGGCTCTGGTTGGGCACATCTTCTTCGCTATCGGGTCTGGCGCATTCTGCCTCGCGATCCTCTTCAATCCCCTTCCAGGCAAGCAGGGTCTGGACCAGCTGAACAGCTGTCTCGCCATCAAGCATACTATCGCCACCCATTTCTGCAAGAGGGATATGGTAGCGAAAGGAACTGCTTTGTCCCTATTTTTAGGGATGTGGTGCTTGGAAGCTCGTATGTCATCTGCCTATTTCAGTTTTATGTGATATTGATTGAGCGCTAACGGGATTCTGTCAGTCTCGTTTTACGCCGTCAATCGCTTTGTCATGGATCTGGATGTTCGCCAGAAGGATAAATCCAAAGAAAGAGCTGCTGGGGATGAGTGGGATGCTTATTACTGTTGATAGTCTAGCTGGAAATATACAGTATCGAGTTCAAGAATTGGTGCGCTTCAGTGCGAACACTTGAATAGGCAGCGTCTTACCTCAAGCTAACCAATAGAAGACTACATGGCTCTCAACATAAGCGCCCGTCGGTAACTCCCGTTGCCATCACTTGCAATTCTCCCACCCCGCTCCGTCGCGTTCGCGCTTCCTTGAGTGTGTGACCCACCCCCATGACCGTCTCATGCAACGTTCGTCGTTACATGGAGCTCGAAGAACGCCGGTTAGAACGAAGTAAAGCGTCTACCTGTTGACAAGAAACGCAATGGCTCTATCGAAGAGCATATGGCTGTGCTCGGTACGAGTAGAATGGTATCTCTCTACGAGGTTAGAGCGAAATTGATTGTATTCCATCCGTACATACCGCTCAGGTCTTCCACGATGTCAAGAACGCGGGAGAAGGGTTGATGAAGGAGTTCAGCTGAATTCCAACTGGGAACACTCATGAACAATACGTATCCTTCAATTGGAAAGTGGTACGCGATCAGGCACCCTTCCAGCCAGAATGTTCAGTCGCACTTAAGGTAAGGCCTACTCTCATGTGAACCCATTGCTGTAACCAAGTCTTAAGGCCCATTAGGCCCTGGTCACAACCAAATCTGACCAGTCCTGTGGCGGATTTCTACGATTACCAATCTCTTATCCCAGGCGACTGCCGGTATTCGCTGCCTTTTTCACCTCACTTCGTTTGCGGGGTACAGACTCTGTACCTCGATCCGACGTCACCCATGATTACTCTGGTCCAATACTTGAGTGTTCCGCACACGGAATACAAGCGTTACGGCTCCTCGAGCGGAACCGCTGAGCAAACAACGGCGTCTTGAAGAGCATTCGTAAACCTTCAAACAACCTTTCATTCCGTCGCTGCGTCACCTATTTCCAGCCCACATCGACCCTTCCTCACTTCAATACCGGCGGCAAGTGGCAACTCAAATGATTATATCGGAGGGTGCGATTGGGGGTGTTACGTTGGCGCCTTCCGCGGGCTTTCTGGAAATCACACATATCCTCCCAGAAAACGTCAAGAAATACACACAGCATTACGACCCTGGGTGCCGACTCGGTTTTAAAGACCTCTTCAAGTAACCACAATCTCCCCCTTACCGCATGTCGATATGGGGAGTTGACGAGAATGCTCCCCAGATGGAATGTCAGGAATTTATACCAGCTCTTCCAGAGTGGCCCCGTATCGGACGCACCACCGCCCTACCTGGTGTCAACGGGGGACAGAAAACATACGTGATGGACCAAGTATGTATTGACACAATTGCTCATGGGATTGCAGATCATTCTCTAGACCTTTTCTATTTCCCGGGTTGCCTGAAAGATCCTGTTAAAACGCGGTCTTGCGACCCTGTCCGCGGACCTCCCCACCCCTTTCTTCCCTCGTGCCTGCCTACCCGCCAGGTCAGCGAACCACCCCCTTTCCCTTCCCTTCCGCAACGCATCACCCTTCGCGCGCACGCGACAGAGCTCCGATGACGCTCTCCCTGCCTTCCGAAGTTCTTCTTTACCTTGTGGTACCTGTGCTTAGCGCGGCTATCTACTGGAGTAGACAGCGCAGCCATGCGTCGCGTTCTCTCCCTCTCCCGCCTGGGCCCAAAAAGTGGCCGCTTGTTGGCAACCTCTTCCATATTCCAACTACCTTTGAATGGGAGACCTACGCTCACTGGAGCGAAGTGTACAGTGAGTTCTCCAATATTCTGGATAGGGGTGTTCATTTAATTAACGTCAATATTAATCTTTAGATTCGGATATACTCCACTTGGATGTGGCGGGCAAATCAATCATCATCGTCAACTCACAAAAGGTTGCAACAGAACTGTTCGAAAAACGTTCTGCCTTGTATTCGAGTCGGTTCGTGTCCCCTTCCTCTGTTCCATCAATACTTCAACTAACGGTTTTACTCAGTGCACGCTTTGTGATGGTCAACGAGCTGTAAGTTTCCGTCATCCACCTTCAACCACCACCATATTCAATTCCATCGCCGACATAGTATCGGCTTCGACTGGCTGTTCGGCTTTATGCCCTATGGTGAAGGTTGGAAAGAGCGACGACGCCTCTTTCAACAACACTTCCACCCACTGAATACCTCGAGCCACCAACCCATCGAACTCGAGTTCACACAGAAGATGCTGCAGCAACTTCTGCAAACTCCCCATGACTTTATGAGCCACATCCGACAGTGCGTATCCATTTCTCCTCTCGCTTGTTAATTAACATACGGACTGTTTGCACTGCAGTATGGTTGGTGCTATCACGATCACCATGGCCTACGGCCTCGACATCCGACCATCCAACGATCCATACATTGAGATCGCCGAGCAGGCACTCATCGGACTCGCAGCCGGAGCAGCACCGGGCGCCTTCCTCGTCGACTCCCTACCGTTCTTGAAACACGTCCCCGCTTGGTTCCCCGGCGCAGATTTCAAGCGCAAGGCGGCAGAGTGGCGGTCATGGACGAGGAAGATGGTCGAGGTGCCTTTTAGGGATGCTCAGAAAGCTATTGTAAGTCTCTCCCTACTACTCTAGATATCTATCGAAGGAAAGGATGTAGTGACATTTTGGGATTTTTAGAATTCTGGAAAGGCGATCCCATCTTTTACGTCGATGTGTTTGGGGGGCCTCGATGAGTCGAAGGACAACACGCATAAAAAGAAGGTCATCCAGGAGACGGCTGCTACGTTCTTCGTCGGTGTGTACCTTCAAATCCCGTCCATCCCATCCCCGCCTCTGCTGAACATCACACTCCTCGCCTGATAGGTGGTTCCGATACGACCGTGTCATCCCTCAACACGTTCATTCTGGCGATGACCTGCTACCCCGAGGTGCAAGCCAAAGCTCAGAAGGAACTCGACCGGGTCCTTGGACCGAACGCTCTACCGGACTTTGGTGACGAAGAGTCCTTGCCTTATATCTCGGCCATTGTGAAGGAAGTCTTGCGGTGGCAGACGGTCACTCCTCTTGGTATGTGCGACTCTGACCTTGGGTTCTTGGTACAACTGACGATAGCGGTTTCAGCCATTCCCCACTATCTGACTGAAGACGATGAGTATAATGGGTACTTCCTCCCGAAGGGATCTGTAGTTGTTGGCAATGCCTGGTACGTTCATCGTTCCTCCTTGTCCATACCACCTGCAACTGACCGGGCTTGGTTACGGTAGGGCAATGCTCCACGATAAAGACGAATACAACCAACCACTCGTCTTCCAACCTGAGAGGTTCTTGACACCAGACGGTTCAAAACTCGATCCTAACGTTCGAGAACCTACAGCTGCTTTCGGGTTCGGACGCAGGTAATACTTCGCTTTTCTTGGAAGAAGAAAGAAGAACGATACTGACTGTAGTTCCGAACTGTATGTGCAGGATTTGCCCCGGAAAACACATGGCCACGTCGATGCTCTACATCGCCATCGCTTCCATCCTGACCGTATTCGAAATCTCCAAAGCGGTGGATGAAGATGGGAACGTTATCGAGCCCACGAGGGATTATGTGTCCAGTATGGTTTCGTACGTCTTTTTTTATCATCTACTTGTGTGCATGCGTGTGTGCGTGTGTGTGGGGGGGGGGGGGATGGAATGCTGAATATGCTGCTTTGGTTTTGGTTTTTGTAGGCACCCGGAACCTTTCAAGTGCTCGATTAAACCTCGTTCCAAGGCTGCTGAAGCTTTGGTTTTGTCGCTCGGATGAATTGATGCGGTGTGGGCTACAGAGAGAGAGAGAGACCAGGATATGGTGCTAAATGACGATTTTGTTGGGTAGATGCGGGTGGAGGTTCAACGTTCAACCGTAGAGGCTGTAGTCACCCGACTCTCTCGAGGACGTCGATCGCGAGGCGGGGCGACACTACGTACACGCCCATTGGCAGGGGCTGAAGGTTCGCCATAAAGACACGCTGAACCCGGGAGGATTGGAACGGACTAGGTCACTTGGAGTGGAATGGTGGAACAGTAGCATTTTCCAGAACAGTGATGCGATTCAGAGGAGCGTATGGGATACAGGAGGGATATGCATACAATAGCAACGAGAAGAGACAATACGTAGTTAAGTACTAGTACCAGGGAATGACTGTAATAAAAAAGACCAAACGTAATAAATACCACCCCATAGTAAAGACAATACCACTGCATGTGCAGAAATGAAAACACTTGAAAAGCGACGAAAAAACACATAATTGGACGTTATAAATCACCCTCTGAATCGATGAAACATGCCATACAAAACCAATATTCTCGATATGTAAGATACTGATTGAACCCTGTCCACCCAATTCGTATAACTGAGGTATAAGGATACACTGTTCGCTCCATAGTATACCTAAACTGAAACCCGGAAACCTTGGAAGTAATGCCTCTTCGTCGCCCGTTGTGGCACCGATGAGGAGGGCGCTGTCGTCCATCCCACGATATATACGTATAGTTGATTGAAGAAGGTGCGTGAGTGTGGGGGTGTCCTTCGAACCGGCGGATGTGTCGATGCCTTGTGGTCGATGATGCAGCGTGCTGGCGCTGGGTGTAGCAGTGACACCCCCGAGCGTACGAGTTGTCAGTGACAGCCAATCCACCTGTCCCCACCCGGACACCACCACCAAACCCGATGTCCCAACTCCGACTCGAAGCCCATGCACGACCTTCCAGCCCATGCAAAAAAAACCGACTTGAAACCTTGTGACATGCGACTTCGAGACCGGAGACTTGAGAAAAGAAAGCTACATGATAATGCACGACTTGTTAGGGTCAATGCCCAATTCGATAAGCTCCTCTTCAGCTGCTTCCTTCTCGTTCGCCTTGAGCTTTTCTCGCGCTTCGATAGGGAACCAGTCTTGCATAAAGTTGAGGAGGGCCCAGTCCACATTGGCTATCATCGATGAGGCAAAGAAGGAAAGAAAAGCAAGGGTCGTCAGTATCAACATCCGTCTTCCTCGCATAATACAAGGGGGATAGTAAGCAAGAAGGAACTCACATCCATTCGCACTAAGCACAACCGGCGCCCTACACATCGGACAATCCCCCTTATTCCTCTTCTGCATCTTCACCAAACACCTCACACAAAACAAATGCCCACAACTCAACCTAATCGGTTTAAACGCAATAGCCGTGCAAATCAGACACGCGTAGTCGTCAACGTGGGGTATGATAGGTAGGAGGGTTTCGCCGATGGCTTGGACGAGGGTGCGCGGGAGGGAGGTGGTGCCCAGGCGCCCGAAGAGGAAGGGCGTGAGGGAGAGTTGTTGGGCGGCGGCTGCGGCGCGGGCTTGGGCAAAGGGTGAGGGGAGGGGGAGGGCAGTGCGCTTGGTGTGCTTTTTGAGGATTTTGCGGGTTGCTTCGGAGCTTGCTTCTTGGAACTGTAGAAAAAAGTTATCACCAGTCAGCTGGGGAAGCGGAGGAAGGGAATGTGGTGTAATAAATACCTTCTTGATATTGAGAATGAATAGGTTGAGTTCGATGAACTGGTCCAAGGCTTCTCTGCTCTTCCTCATCTTGAAGTTGCGCCGATCCGCGATGCCCCGCTGTGTTGCTTGATCCACGAAAAGCTGGAGACGCCGCTCGCATTCTTCCAAAGACCGTTCGCCGCCTTTGACTTCTCCGATGTGTTCGAAGACTTCGGCTTCTACGTAGAGCTGGAAGATTTCACGCCATGAATACAGGTCGCTCTACAACAGAATGGATGAGTTAGCTACGAGGCCAAAGTGTTTTGGAGAGAATTATGCACCTTGGAAGGCTGGCTAGACGTAACCTGCACCGACCCTGCATGAGAAGTGAGTGCCGAATGGGGTGCGAACGAACGGGACGCGGATGCAGGTAGCGCCGTCTGCGAAATTGTCTTTGACAGTTCATGCAGCGACTCCCTGAACTCGTCCTGCGCCTGGGAGAGGTGGGCAGACATCGAGTCGATCGCGGTGGACAGGTTGGTGAAGAACTTGGTGTCGGATACGAGTGGGATGACGACTTCGTGGGTTCGACCGCCCGAGGGAGGGTGTGGTGGTAGTTCATCTGGGACGACGAGGGGCGGGGTCGCCGGGGAGTCTCGCGATGGGGATGGGGACGGGGATGGTCGACGCGGCTTCTGGTGCAGCTTTTGGTCGAGCGACCAGAGTACATTCTTCTTCCTGCTCATCCGGCCTCCATCTCGCTCAGGAGAGCTCTCAGCCTCAGCCTCGGTCTCAGCCTCTCCCTCTTCTTCTTCAGAGTCCACTTCAGCCAGGGATTCATCACCGTCTTCCACGTCCTCGATCTTACCGCACTCTGTGGAGTTGTGCGGTGGGAGGTCGGGAATAGTGACCCACAATCGCAGGTGAGGCTCGATACGATCGGAGTGCTCGATGACCTCATATCTGATTCGTGCGTGGTTGACTATCACAGGCGATTGGATGTCTTCGAGGCGAAGTGGCGGCTGAGGGGAACTTGGTGTGTCGGGGTCGTTCGGGGTTGTTGGGGACTGTGAGTCCGCAGAGTCGGTCGCTTGCGCCTGAGATACACTTGAGCCGCTCCCAAGGTCGGTGCCTGTGGAATTGCTGGCGATTGTAGAGGGTGAGGCGGGGATACTTGGATCGGTGGGGAGGGAGGCCGAGGAAGATGGGATTGGGTCCGGCGAGCTGTCGATTGTGAGTTCCTGGAGGATGGATGGGCTAAGCCCTATCGACGAGAGCTCCGAGACAATCTGGTTGATGATCTTCTTAAGCTATAGGTCGTGATATTGTTTCAAGTGGTCCATTTAAAGGCAATTGAGCAAGGTCGGGGGATGGGTGGTACGTTGGGAAACAATACCAATCAGACCAGTCAGTATCCAGCAATAGAACCATTGAAAATGTACGCACCTGTCGATACTGAATTGCATTCTCTTGAAGTTCCGGTGGCAAGTCCTTCAAAATTTGTGTATATTTCTTCGAAAAGTGCATCGTAGGCCTCGTCGATCGATTTCTTTCCTATCCTGTGCGTCCTGGCCCACTTAAGTCTCTTCCTGGACTGTAAAACGCCCCTATACAAGCCACGTTCGACAACCAAGTGCTCTTCCTTTCGATTTCGGTGCCTGGCTGGACAGTCTCCCAACGGGGGTGTACTTCAAATTCGTGTCGTTCGTGAGGTGGTGGTAGTGGTGTAGTCAAGCTCGCCTAAAGATCCCCTAGAAGTATAAGACAGCGCTTTCAAATCCATTAAAATCCCTCGTCGAGTAAGATTTGGAGGGAGCGTCGAGGGAGGTCGAGGACAAGATCCATCCAGTTTGCCTCAGCCCTCTGTCGGCTTCAAGTCGGATTTGCCTTGTTTGGGTCATCTGCCAGTTGCCAAGACATTTTTGCCCCTGAATTCGATGCCGACTGAGCGCTGAGTGTTCGAGTCAATGTTCGAGTCATATTTTTCGAGAACGAGTGAGGATGATGGAGGCTGGAGGATTCACTGGATGGTCTTTGGAGGGACGAGGAGATGAGGAGAGGAAGAAGAAGAGCTGGGCGCGTTCCCGCTAATATCAAAGGACCGGGGTCGGTGACGAACGTGCGTCGTTGTTAGAGCCACACCCTTGGCTAATAGGCTCTGATAAGGGATATAGTAAGTTAGGCTTACACTTGGCTCCAGCGTAGACGATTTACCTTGTGCATCTTGGCTGCTGTTGGTGAAGTCATGGAGCCCTAGGCAGGCTCGAGGGACTGGGTGCCCTCTTAATTATCGTCCCATCATCGAGATTAAGTATGCAATAGATTTAGTGCCTCTCGATACCTAGGCTGGAGAGCTGGGTTGGGGATAGTCCCTCAGTGTAGTAAGATCGAGTACGCGCTTCTCAGTCTAGATCCCGTCATGGATGTCCACTGATTTCATCTCGACGAAGCAAAGATCCTCAAGCTTCATTCCGGTTGCCATTCGTCCATTCCAACGGTCACTGAATGGTTAAACATCGACTAACCAATGAAAGTAGGTTGAAGGACACAACCTACAAGAAACCTTTGAAATGCAATAAATAGCCCAAGCTTGCCCAAGTCCTAGTCCAACGCCTTGGTCCGGACACAAGCAGCTGCCTCTCACCTCCAAGGACGCAGGTCAAATGCAGATGCCGTACAAAGCGCACCCTCGAACCGAATACACATCGGAGCTACATTCAAAAGTATGTATGTCCATGAGCGCCTGAGGCAGCTTTTCTCAATACCCTAGTAGTCTATCTATACTAGAACCCGCGTATACACACCCCGGAGCATGATCATGGGATGAGAGAAGGACAATTACGCTCGACTAGCCACATTAGGGTTTGCACAAGCGCTCGCGCTCCATCCCCCACCCGTCCTCCCTTCAGCCCCCAAGTCAGCCCATCGCAAACCCACCCAACCAACCCTCACTTCCAAGGCCCTCGCAATACCCCACCCCACCCCCAATCACACCAGCGACCCAAGAAGAGATCCTAGCCGGCGCTTCACTGAGCGCTTATCGCCCACGAAGATCAATCGGTTCCCATTCAGTATGGTTCCCAGGCAAGCCCCAGATAACGTTATGTACTAGTTTGGCTTCTTCAGGTTGATGTCACCATCAACCGTGATAGCATTAATCATGCGTAAGTATGCCCGTAGCCCTGCCGTGCCATTTGGAGTTGGGTGACAGACCCATTTAAATGATTAGAATTTGGGGTGCGTGTCAGGGTTGAACACACACGACCACGAGCGTTCCCTCCCCATTATCACTTCTTTATCGCTCGGTCGCTCGATCACAGTTTTCTTTACTACTACTTTCCTCCTTTACGACTACTACGACTACTTGACTGAGGATTCAAGATGGGCGACCAATTGGTACGTGTGGAATCTAGATGATCGCAATTGCCGTCGAGGATACATGGATTAACTCGTTTATTGGGGGCATTACCAGTCCTCAGGTAAGATCACCCCCGATGACGATCACTATCGCCTGTCGACTAGACATTAACGACCCTTTTCAACCCATCGATTCCTCGCGTAATGGCAAACAGAACAGATCGTCGGTGAGTCTGATCGTAGTTGCCCTATCTATCTGTCTACCATCGAGGGATGCGGCCGCACCTTCGCGTCGACGTTAGCGCCCCCGCGCAATTGGGTGTGCTGAAGAGGAAGAAGAAGCGGCGCTGACGCGCTCGTTTGCTTTCTTCCAGAGTTTAGGGAGGCGTTCTCCCTCTTTGACAAGGGTGCGTAGTAGCATCGCCAGCCGACACATCGCAGCACCTTCTCACTTCCCTACCTCCCCCTCTCCATCCTTCTCCTCCTGCCTGGGCCCACACCCTCCCTTCCTCTCCCCCCTCCCCCTCCCTCTCCTCTCCCCTCCTCTCCCCTCCTCCCCCCCATCCCGCCAACCCTCCAGACGGCGACGGCACAATCACCACCAAAGAACTCGGCACCGTCATGCGCTCCCTCGGCCAAAACCCCACCGAAAACGAGCTCCAAGACATGATCAACGAAGTCGACGCAGACGGCAACGGCACCATCGACTTTCAAGAGTTCCTCACCATGATGGCCCGCAAGATGCAGGACAGCGATAGCGAGGCTGAGATCAGGGAGGCGTTTAAGGTGTTTGATAAGGATGGGAATGGGTTTATTAGTGCGGCCGAGTTGAGGCATGTTATGGCCAACCTTGGTGGGTGTTTGGTGGAGTGGGGTGGTTGGACAGCTGCTGATGCTGATGATGCACTTTGGTATACTCTAGGTGAGAAGTTGACAGACGCCGAAGTCGACGAGATGGTCAGAGAGGCGGATATCGACGGGGACGGGCAAATCAATTACCAGGGTACGTCACCTAATCTCTTACTGCCCCTTCAATAGTAATACTGATAGACTATCACCAGAATTCGTCAAGGTACGCATGTCCTGCATGTTATAGTGCAACTACTAGCTGATCGCCAACACCCTCCCTTCCAAAGATGATGTTGACAAAGTAAACGTAGTTATCTGAAAGAATGGCGATTAATTACCCCTTGAATGGAAACGAATTGGAACGTGATACAAATTGAACTGGAGCTGTCGAATGAACTGTCGAGCGGTTGCATGAAGTGCTGCCCCGACGTCGTTGTCAGTGACAGATCCATGTGCCCGCGTTTGGAAACAGAGAGAATGAATAGATATGTCGACCTTTTCATGGCTCCTTCTCATTGTGTGAGCTTGACATCGCTTTCGACAGTACCGGTCTGAGAAGGGGAGCGAAACCCGGGCGCTCATCGAGCGCTTATACTAAGGAAAGGAGATGGGTGCTCAAGAGTCGACACCTAGCGTGCACGCTCATGAAGTGAATTCGACTATCTACACAGAGATTGTCGACTGCCAGTGACAGATCCCATGACTCGGAAGAGGAGGATGGTAAGCGTTAATTATTGATGCGGTGATGGGTCGAAAACAAGAAAAACAAAAGGGAATGCCCCCTGGCTGGATTGAACAACCGACCTCACCATGATCTTCAGGCCAACACCCGATACGAGTGGTGCGCTCTACCACTGAGCTAAGAGGGCTTATGATTGGCCAATTATTTAAATCCTTCGATATGTTGTCGATTCAACGAGCGCAGCTTAAACATAAGAGAAGTCCGACTCGTCGTCGACGTCCCGACATCTCGTTCCTGACTAGAGTTATCTTTCTCCGAGGTTCTTGCCTTGCTTCTGCTCGAACGTCATCCCAATCTCCAAGCCACATCAGCGACGACAAGAGCACTGGAACCGTCGTTATCCGATCGATTTCAAAGGAAAGTTCAGCCGGCTGAACACGATCCGAGTCGTACTATTCGCGAGTTGCTTGCTCTGCTCAAAAACGTTTATGCTGCAGCGATCGTGGGACGTCCTTGCGAGGGTATGGGTGCATACCAGTGGCAACAACCGTTTCTCTTCAAGTTCGACTGGTCCTTTCGAGATGCAATCCCAATTGCAACAGTTCAAACCCCTAGGTACGCATTTGGGATTCGAAGCAGACAAGTTTCCACTCCGCGTATCGAGCCTGGTTATAGCTGGTTATTTCTAGAATAGCAATCTGCGTTCTCCGCAAATATATGACGGCCAATTGAAGCCCTGATTCCACCACTTCCCCGCCGTGCCGAGTTAATTCAGTAGTCCATGTTCTCGTGGCCGCCTCTACTCCAAGCTTCGATTTCATGATCAGCATCTTATCCCCTTTCGTATAGTCGAATGTCCCATGGGACAAGCCGAAAGAAGCCCATCCTCGCGTGGCTGGGACCGCCAACGGCTCCTGGGGCACACCATCCCGTCCAAACTTCCATTCGCTTTACCCAAAGATTTACCGACTTTCTCACCCTGCTACCCTGCGAAGCCTTCTGTTAGCGATCTCTCGTCGAGGCCTCCCTTTGGAATTGGGCTTACCAGGGTTACATTATGTATATGTACAAGCATTTTTGGAGTAGCCCCCCTCCTTCGGTGGATGTAATGCCCTGTGACTATGAATAGTTGAAGACCTCGTGGCGAATTCTTGACGCCCTTCGGCGACACTTACCCCAGCACTTTGTCATTGAATGCCGAAACCAATACGGCTCTGACCTGTCCTTTCATCTCAACTCGTCGGCTGTTCACCGTCACTTGGTTTTGGCGACCTCGTCGATCCTCTCGTCGCGTCGAGCAGGGACAACGCACCTTTCTAGGACTCCCTGAAGTCCTTGCCACTGCACTCAAAACTTTCCGGCTCTTCCGAAAACTGTAGGGAATGGGATGGGCCCTTCTGGAGATTCGCTGTATACCAAAATCTACGAACATGGGGTGGAGGTCGTTGAGACATCTACGAGGCTTGCTGGACGACAGGTGCCACCGCCCTATACAGGGCCCTCTCCGGTAGTCGTCATGGGTGCAATGAACGCCTCGTTTGTGGTACGTACATATCCTCTCAATCCCCGGCTGCTTGACATTGACTTTACTCTCTCAAACCCCCAGACGGACGGGATACTCTACGGTGAGTAATGCCATTATCTCTATCACTCAAACCTTGTACTTAATCGGGAGCCGGTATGCAGGAGTTCACCTCGTGCTGTTCGCAATGTGTTGCTACATCCTGTTGACCCCGGGTCACAGACGGATACAGTGGTTCGTCCTAGGAGCAATATGCACCATGTTCGCAATATCGACAGCGGACATCGGATTGTCTATCAAGCTCTCAACAACGGACCTATGGGTCCTCCTGCAACTTCCACCCCAATCCTCCATCGACAAGATGCCGCCAAAAGCAGTTTTGTTCGTGACGAACAAGTACGCCAAGTTCCTCTCCTATCTGCCATGAGGCTTGCTCTCCACGTTTACTGACACTGGCGATTGACCCTAGTCTAATCGCGGATATACTGTTGGTAAGTCAGATCGCATGGACTCCACGAGGGGAGCGTCCTTTCTGATCGACACCCCTCCGTCACGTCAAACCCATCATAGTTTCACCGATGTTGGGTTATCTGGGGGAGACCTCGCATAATTCTATGGATTGCTCTCATCTGCTTGACCGCGGATACAAGTGAGTTTCATTGTTATCCGTCTCGGGAGTGCTTGCTTATTATTCTTCACGGGTGCCATTACTACAATGTAGTCTGGGGTTACATGGGACATGCAGCAAAAACGGCAGCATGGCAACACACCTTCCGCCCACTCTACCTCTGGACCGTCTTCGCACTTAACATCACCGTGACTGCAGCCGCAGGTATGATATCGTTCCATTCACCACGCTTCCTTTCCATCTCCGCAAGTGCATGGCATTCATTAATGACAAACTGGTGACAGTGGGCCGGATATACTGGGTCTACCTCGTCGGCATATCCCCTGTCGAGCGGAGACTCAAGCGAATCTACCGCGCAATCATCTCGACGCTGGTCGAATCGGCAGCCGTGTACTCTGCGTGTATCCTCGTGTTCCTCCTCTGGAGTCAGTATGCATCGCAATCGGCTTACTGGGTAGGTGTATGTCCGCCAATCCTTCCCTATTTTTCTCCCTCCCTTCCTCCGAACACACAACCCTCCTTATCTTTCTCGGGCCGCGCCCTTTTGTTTTGGCACCCTCAAAGTCCAGGCTGACCGACTTATTACGGCGTTTAACTGTTTATTTCTTCTTTGCTAGGTGCTTCCTCTGACGATGATGACCCGACTAGTGGCGAGTAGTTTCCATTTCTCCGATAACCGACCGTGAAAGAGCTGACTTTTTTTGTGTTATGTGTTTATCCTTCCACCCTCATTCATTATTCAACCCGCATACGCACACCACCCACCCAATCCCAATCGCCGCGTAACAGGCCATTATGCCGACGTTGATGATTGTCCAAGTGGGTTTGAGCGGGAGGTGCTGTCATCCTCGAGGACATGACTCGAAGCACGACTCGGTCATCCTCGATACCGTCATTTCACAACGGAGGGATCAAGATCATGATATAGAAAGTGGAATGCACGTCGAAGAGAGGGGCCTGCCAGAACTATCTATGGACCTTGGACATAGCAACCACGAACGGAAAGGGGAGGAAGTGACTTCCATGGACGAGAAGAGGAGCTCCAGTTCGCCGTCGATATCAGGACAGCAGCGGCAATAGTAACATTCTAGATGAGACTCGCTTGGGCTAGTGCAACAAACATCACACTGTACATTATTCATGCATCATACGGAATCATGACCCTTAACGAAGCAAGCGCGAGTCTGAATTCAAGCATAAGGCATAGTACATCTGACATTTTCATAAGTAGGCAAACGGTGGAGGCTATGTATCTACTCGAGTAAAGAGCGACAAGGATGAGTGGACATCCTATCTGTGGGGTGGGTGTTGAGTTGTATCGAGGGACGGGATTAGAAACTGGCATGGAGCTCGAAGGGATAGAACGGCTCCAAGCGATGAATACTACAGGGATGTCAGGCAGCAAAAAAGGCTACATTGTCAAACGACCCATTGAAACGAAGAAAGACTGGAAAAGGGTATCCAAAGGAGTGTGAAGACTTGGTCAAAAACAAAGCAAACAACTACAGTAGTGATAACGACGACAGAGACAAGACAAAACAAAACAAAAGATCAGAATGACAAACCGAATAAAATTATTAAGATCGGGACGATAAAGATAGAGAGAGGGGGGAGAAGGAAACCGTTCGTGAGTCTGAGTCCCAAATGCAACAACGGTTGCACGAGATAAAACAGGGGTAGTCAGTGGGTTAATCCAGAACATGATGATCTAGAGCCTGTGCCCCGGCACAGCCCAGAAGAGCATTGTCAACGCTGTTGAAAACGCAGCAACCAGCACCGTCACCCAGATGGCCCGCCCAAGCAAGAGCTTCCTGACATAAGGCTCTCGCATGGTCAAAGTTCGGAACGGTGTCGTCTCAGACTGGTTGAGGAAGACAAGGATAGGGTCTAACTCATACTGATGTGAGATCAAGAAGAGAATGGCGAGCGTATATGGAATGAAGAGCTGCAAGTAACGAATTGTATTTAGTTGTCAGGTCATTCTAATGAATTCGAGAACACTTACGAAGAAGCGTTTGGACTTGGGTTCGACGTCCAAGAAGATTAGGGCAAAGCCCACGGCAAGTCCTATCCAGAGGATGACGAGTCCGGCTATGAGGCGGACCAGGGCGGATATAGGTGTGAGATTACCAAAGGCCTTTGAGCGGAGGAAACGGGGGAAGGCATCTTGTTCCATCGCCCTGAAGCAGTATTCCTTCTGGGCATGGAACATGTCAGGAATCTGGGCCATTATCGATAACTCAGTCTGGGTCTTTGGCTCTTGCGTGCTGCTGAGGGGGAAGCTGTGAATTCGGAGGGCGGGAGGAAGGTAGATCTCGTGGTTCTCTTGGGAGTTAACCGTGTTTCCGGCTGGCGAAAGGTAACGGTAGAAGATGCGCTCTGCTGAGGCAATAAGGTCTAAACGAGTGATTGCTGCTGAGCGGGGGATAACCGTGGGTGCTCTGGATGCCCGTCGCAGGTTGAAGAGGGTAGGTGTACGGCCGGACAGCGAGAAGGGAGTGCTGGAACGAGGTGGGTCGGCATTTGGATCAGAGGGGGGAGCAACACGACCAGCGTCTGGTGTGGTTGAACGTCGACCGTGTCCTGAATCGCTGGTCGCAGCCAAATTGCGCCTGTCGTGTTCTGAGACGAGGTCTGCCGTACTCTGGGTGCTCCGTTTGGTATGTGAATCAGGGTTGAGCCCCACGACGGTACCGTAAATCGATCCTCGTCGGCGAGCATAGTCCCAGTATTGAGGCCAGTCTTCCTTAATCGTCCTTCCAGACTTTCGAACGTCCTTGAAGTAGGCGCGACAAAGATTCTCGTGTTGCTGGACATCGAGCCAAAAGTCTAGAATATCCTCCGCGCCCTCGCGTTGCAGGAACAGGCTGGGAACGGCTTTTAGCGACATAAACACGTCAGGCTGTACAACGAACGCACTAGAACATGAACAGATCGACCGGCGGGCGTGTCTTTCTCGACAGGACCTCTGTAAACGATGGTAGCCTGTTTTTGCGGCTGTTGGCCCAGTCATCTTGCTGTCGCTTCTCGTCGTCCATGGCGGTGAGTCAATATTAAATCCGACTTGAGACTCTTGCGGATGCTGCTGTCGCCGTCGGTGCCTTGGTCGTCGTTGTCGCCGTCGTCGTCAAACAGTGGGGGAACAAGAAGAAACCGCGGGAACGCTGTCCGTTGATGGCGAGAAACTGATTTGTCAGCAAGGTTCCCGAGCCTCGCGGTTTGGACAGCGTCGACGACGTTCTCCACAGCGACCTCCATCCTCACCTTTTTCATTCAACGCTAGGAACACGACTATGAGCAGCATCTTCGCCCGAGTCTTCCCTCCAGCGGTCAGAGAAGTCCGCATTCTCATGTCCCAAACTGGTCCGGGGTCGTCCGGTACACGGTGAGCAGGAATTTGTTTGCCAGCGACCGACCTTGAATTTATATCGTTTCCGCCACGTCCAGGGAATTCATCCTAGCAAACTACCCCGTCATCAAGCAAAATAACCAGGATCTGCCTGTGCTCATTCGTGAAGCAGAAGGCACGCCTGCACGAGCGTTTGCCCGTTTCGGTGCGTGCAACCGCTGTCTATGTCCAATACACCATCATCCTCATACTCTAATGTGAACAGAGCGTGGCGTTGAGAAGCATGTGGAACTCGAAAACCTTCCGTCGTCACAAGTCGCCTCGAGGATCGCTGAACTGCTCGGCATCAGCAAGAAGTAAACCCACCCACCACTTTTTAGACGAATGTAGAGGTTTCCTTCGCTTGCAATGTCCAGTTTCTTTGGGGAATTACTCGGTGCAGGTCTATCGGCTGTGCACATGCTTCGAAGATGCTTAGGAGGAAAGGTTGTCCAATGTTGTCAGAAGGGAGTATCCGAAAGGTGGTGTTTCGCGTTAACGTCCCGCAGGTTCCGGTTTGGCTGGTATACCGCGGCAAACATGTTCTCTGCCCTGACTGTTACCGCCTGGACTGAGCTTCTCCCTCTCAAGGCATGTGGGCTGGATCTACGATGTCGTTCTAGCAACTGGGACAGGACTTGTCTGTCCGGATTAGAAGGGGGCCGGAGAGCTCGGTACTCGCCCTCCACGCCTGTGACCCCGCTTGGAATCCCTCCCATGCATTACATCCTTGTTTGTCCACACGCAGGGAAGCCAGCCTATTCCCTGGTGCGCTCCTGACAAATCAAAGCTTCCCGTCCTATTCCTGGAGCCCGTTCAGGGGTTGAACTGACATCACAGCAGGACGTTCTTTCGCGACTTCTTCGACTCCGTAAACAGGACACTTCCTCTGCCAGTCCAGGGGGTTATCTCTGGTTACAGGAATGCTTTCCCCGTTTTCTCCATGATTCGCCATAACCCCTCCTTCGTTCTCTCATTACCAAGAGCAACCTGTCCTTACCGGTCCAGGTCTCTGGCAGGGACTCCAGCGCCTCCTCGTACCTGGAAAAGCAAGGGCCAATTTACTATGGACCCCGAGTCGGACCTGGGTTTCTTAAGACTCCTTTTCGAGACTCACATTGATAGCATAGCAGGCAAAGATCCAAAAGGCAATTGTCCGTACATTCAATCCAACTAGGTAACGTTGTCCATCAACCAATGTCCAAAAATACAATTCAAAGCTCTACACAGCCCACTCCTATACATCCATTTCCGACACATCTAAGACACCAGTCGGCCTTGGACCCGGGAACTCGGTGACAGTGACAACAACAGAGCAATCAGGGTCAGGAGGTCCACTGGGCGCAATGGTTCGCGTAATGGTGTTGGTGAAGGGGCAGCTGGTGAAGGACGGGATGGCTGGGTTGATGGCGCCGCTGGCAGGGATGGTCACGGTGACGACCGCGTCGTCGCAGAGGGGGCCGGACGGCAGGGGCACGGGGAAGGGTCCTACCGAGCCGCTGGCGGTGGGGCGTTGGGTGAAGACGGGGCCGCTGCTGGGGAAAACAGTTGGGCGCTGAGTTAAGACGGGACCGCTGCTGGGGAAGGGGAAGTCTCCGCTCGGGAATGCGCTGCTCGGGAAAGGGAACTCGCCACTAGGGAATGCACCACTCGGGAAGGGGAAATCGCCACTAGGGAAGGGACCGCTGGGGAAGGGGAAGTCTCCACTAGGGAAGGGCCCGCTGGGGATGGGGAATTCGCCACTAGGGAACGCACTAGAGACGGGGAATTCGCCGCTTGGGAAGGGGCCGCTGGGGAAGGGGAATTCGCCACTAGGGAACGCACTAGAGACGGGGAATTCGCCGCTTGGGAAAGCACCACTGGGGAACGGGAAGCCACCACTAGGGAACGCAGTGTGTCTCTGCGTAAAGACTGGTCCACTGCTCGGGAAGCCTGAGGGGAATTCACCACTCGGGAACGCGCTGCCACTGGGGAAAGGGAAAACCTGGAGCGTTCCAGTGGGACCGGGGAAGTCGCTGAAGGGGAACGAGCCACTTGGAACCGGGGAGCCTGAAGCGCTCGAGGGGAACGCCTGCGTGACGGTGATGGTGTTGGTGCTCGTGCAGGTGGGACCACCCGTCTGCGTCATGGTGACTACGACGGAGCAGTTGGGGTCAAAGGGGGGAATGCTACCCGTCTGTGTGATGGTCTGTGTGCTGCAGGTTGGGAAGCCTGCGAAGCTAGAAGGGAAGCTCGTTACGGTGACACTGGATAGGATTCACCGAGGATTAGCAATTTTGATAATGATATAGGAATTAGGTCACTTGCGGGAACGCCTGGACACCCTTGAGCGAAAGCGCCGCGGCAGCGACCAAGGCAACAAGCTGGCTTTTAGCGAACATGATTTAGCTGGAGCTTGGAAAATGGGATCTGGCTTTCTGAGGAGAAGGCTGTCAATTTTTACGTGGTTTATATACCAGTGGAACTGGTAACGGTGTTGCATGGCCGACATGATAGACAACAGAAGCAAGAGCACCAGGGAGGCCCTAGTTTCAGGCATGCTGAGTCGTAATCCGCCTCTGACGCCTTTTGTTACAGCATCCATCAGCATATAAAACACGGTCAGTGCTCCCCACCAGGAAACCCATCTACCTATCGCCGAAATGTCTAGCACCAAAATTTTGGCGGTAGCGTAGATACCTGTGCGATATCGATGTGCTTGCAATCTGATATTAGTACCTCCTGCGAGTCATGATATGGGTGGAGTCGACCGTTTCTTGGCAAACATTGACTAAAGTGAGTTGAGATGACGCGCGGGCAAAGTTCTCCATGGGTGCTCAAATGGAGATCGAGGCATCGTAGCGCGCGTTGCGGCCATTGCCCTTGCATCAACTGCGCATGGAGATCTCGGTTTGGCCTGCGGCACTCGATGTCCGTCTCTGCCTAGACTTTCGGTTACCCCTACATGTAGCGACCCCAACTTGAACCATTTTGTCGTACGAGTTCATTGACTTCGAAGGTATCCACTACATTTCCTCTGGCAAAAAGAACGTGAATCGCCACGTTCGAGCTCTCAATAGATCCTGCGTGCGTGAAGAAATTCAGATCAGGGGCATAGGTGCGATAATGGCGCCTAAAATTTCGTAAAGTCAAAGCTGATTGGATCTCTCTTCGACCACCAGGGTTCCTAATAGGTAGAAACCCAACTGGTTATTCCCACAATGAAAGGCGAGAAGAGAGTCATTCATACGCCTGGAAGATGTGTCCATGACCGTTTTTGAAATATCATGTCCACCATGAACGCAGCTTCGCGAGTCGGAGTCTCGGAGGGCGGGTTTCGTGTTTGCCATCGGCTTTCAGACCAAACATTGGACAGTGCTGAGTGAACCCTTCCTGGCCCCTACAACTTCTAGACGCAAGTTTTCCCGTACTCAAGACTTCAGTCTAAACATTTGTTCGCTGTGGGTACCACTGATCCTTGTTGAAGCCGCCGTGAAGAAGAATAACCCGAGAAGGACGTTTGTGCAGGATTTCTGGGAAATTCGGCCCACAGTTCCCTTATGCAGCATTTTTTAACCACCACTATGAAGACACTTGTTATCATTTGACGCACACAGGCGTAAGAGAAGCAGGTATTGTTGAACTATGCCGTTCTATAAACCTTCTGGCCTCTTATCCAACGGGATTCGTGAGTAACCCGTGTCGATATGAATGTGAGTACGCACCACTTGCTCATAAGTATCTCCGTGTCGATCGTGAACTTCATTCCCCGTAGACGCACTTGCATGCAGCCCTACATCTAGGGAAGTCATTGCTGATCGACTAAGCGGTTGCTAAGAATGACAGAAACAGTCGAGTGTAACATCTTTTACCGCATTGAGTTCGAGAAGCCCAAGTATAGAACTTCGCCGCTCCATCCACATGGCAAAGGAAGCGCCTCATTGACTATGGTTTCCCCCGAGATGATCAAGAGACCTCACCCAAAGTTACCACAACGCCACGAAGACGAGCTTCTTCCGCCTCTCCTGCATGCTGCGATGGGCTCAGTGTAGCTTAACTTAAACCAATCCTCTCACCAACACCACTCTCCTCCCTTTGCACCGTGCCAACCATGCACGACGTCTTCAGAACACTGCGCCGTCTCCCCTCGTTCCTCGTCAAGCCATTCCAGCGGCGGTACACTCGAATCAAGTTCCTCGACCTCCCAGACGACATCATCTACGAGATTAGCGGCCACCTGAGCGTTCGATCACTATGCAACCTTTCGTTGACCTGCCATCACCTTTATTTCAGCCTTCTCTTCCCCCACCTTCGACGTCTAGGCTTGGACGACCCCTTCACGCAAATCCATCTCGATGGCCAGAACACAACGGATGCACTCCCCGCACTCCGCCTCCTTCTCTTCCCCAGTCCCATCAAAACGCTGAGCTGGAAGGCGGGGAACGATCCTAGGGGTCTCGTGAGAGAGGCGGAGCAGCTTCGGAGGTTGGTCGCGCGAATACCTTCAGTCGAGTTTCTGGAGCTCGACTTTAGCAACAACTGGCCTGTCTCCGAATCGCGCTACGGGCATTCGGAAAACAGCTACTGGGCGTGGATACGTGTGTGCACCAACCTCCTGCACGTCGTAGCCCAGAAGTGCCATTTCGTGGTTATCACGAATCATTATCAAGTGTTGGCCCCATGGCTAACTTTTATCGGAGGGAAGCCTTACAATCTTGACGACGGGCTGTTATCGAGGATATGCGCGGAGTGGAAGGCAGACCTCGAGACGAAGAAAGTCCGACTAATACGGTCCCCCTCCAAGATCTCACTTTCCTCTCCTCCACACGCTCACTCAAACGAGACCTTTTCGCCTCCGTTTCCTCCATCACAGTCCGCACCCACCACGCCGGGATACACAACGGCCCGGCTTATCATCAACGACCCGGGGTTGTTCCAACGCTCCCTCTTTGGAGAATGGGCGTTGAAATGGGTGAACATGATGCCTCTTACGCATCTCGTCATCCACCAAGGACGCATGCGCCTCCCACTCCTTCGCCAGCTGCGACTGCCTGACCTGGTGCACCTCACGATCTCACGAGGGTACGGCCTCACCACCGCCGATATGATCCAGATTCTCCAATCCAACACGTCACTATCTACCCTGGACTGCCTGGAGACGAAGATAGGCACCACCAGTGGGATCGTTATGCTTCGCAAGCCCAAAAAAGGCTTACATAGGGGGCCCGGGGAGATTGGGTCGTCATTAGACAAACTGAAGGGGACAGCCACCTTCCTCAGGAGAATGCTGGAGATGGAGTTGGGTCTCGGGCGCTTGACAACGATTACGGTCCAGTTACGCGCGGAAAATATTCAGCAAGAACAAGCTAGCTTGTTGCGGTTCTACAAGGCGCTCTCACATCGAAAGAGTGTGTCCACTCTTATTTTTGAGCTTCCACCACCGCCGCGCTCCCCCAGCCAGTGGCGCTTCGAGAAATGGCTCGAATTGGGTGCAGATGGAGGCAAGGAGGAGAATTTCTCGGCACTGCCTGGTAGCATGCTACGGCACATCAAGAGCGTCCACATATGTCGCTGCCCTGGCTCGGACTCTTCGATACCCATGGACGACCTTTCCTCCCTTTCGCATTTGCTAATCAAATGGTTATCCAACTTTCCTTCGCTTCACGATGTTGGCTTTACGGGCCTGTTCGATAAAGAGAACGTACCGTCGTTCGTAGACTATTTACACCTGCTGTGTCCCAACCTCACCGTTCGCGTTGACGGAGAGAGATGGTCTTTGGCCCGGTATGTCAGGTAGTCGGGTTTGCATTGGACCAGTGTACTACGTACGATGTCAACTTTATAAACCTCGCTATCTACGATCCACCGTCGCACCAAACTCTTGTACCAACATCCTCACCGCCTCTTCCAGCTTCTTCATCCTCCTCTCGATCAACACCACATCCAGCACAAGACCTCCATCTCCCAACCTTCCCGCCACAGTTACCACGTTCGACACAATCTCCGAGCTGCCGAACATGTATTTGTAGCGACACATCACCTTTCCGAGGCCCTCCTGATTGAGTCCGGAGCGTGTGTGGCAGATGGCGCCGCTCCAGTCGACATCCACAACCCTCGCAACAGAGATGTTGGAGATGGTGATGTGCTCGTCCGCTTTGGCGTCGAAAGGGATGAACGATCGGAACCCTTTCTTTTTTGCTGCGTCACCGTGATTCGCCTCCGTAATACACCCAACAGCCTCCTTCATCCTCCTCCATATGAGGCTCGCATCCTCCTTCTTCACTCTCTTCCTCCCCTCCCTGATGATCCTCGCCAGACCCAGTACGCTTTCTTCCCTGATCCTCCCCACCTTGAGGAGTGGGAATGGGATTGGGATGAAGCAGTTGTGGGGGTAGTGGTTGAGGTCTGGGGCGAAGTATGGGCGGAGCGACGCCATCCCCGTCGTGTTTATCAGTTTTGAAGGGGGCGTTTTGGTATCGGAATATATAGTCTATCGCGATTCGATGAGATTCGCTCGATTAACGGGGAATCGGGAGTGAGAAAACGTACCTTGATCAACCAAGCAGTAATAATATCGCCAGTCGAAAGTCTCGCTCCTTCCGCCACATCACCGCTCTCATCCAAGTTACCATGGGAGTTCTCGAATGAGGCGGCAGCCTCCCGTCGAACTTTCTCCACCAACCCCTCCCAAACCCGCTTCGGAAGCACGACGATGCAGTTCTTCCGTTTATGGAAGTAGAACTGCCACATATAGTAGACGAACCACACGAAGCAGAACCAAAGGCCCACGATCGACGAACGGTACTTGAACTCGTCATCATCGCTTCCTTCGCTGACTTGTTCTCTGTCGTTGTATTTCTTTCCCGCGATAGCCCCTTCGGAATCCACCGTCCTCTTCGAATCGGTCGCACATTGAACCCGCTGCTCTCCCTCCAGCCCCTCCAGGATGTCTTCCAGTGCATTCCTCTGGAGGCCCGGGGTGGAGGGGAGTGGTGGGACGTCCCATTCCCTCCCGCTCAACTCGGCTTCGACTGCGTGGACGATGAGCGATAATCCCAGTCCATCAAAGAGACCATGTGTGAAGTGGATGCCGATGCACGAGTACTCCTCCCCTGCCCCTCCCTCCTCCTCGTTCACCTCTCGCCCTCTTTTGTCACCGACAGAACCTCCCCGAATATGCGTAACATGCCAAAAGGTCAACGGCTTCCCACAATAATGCTTCATCCTCCTCCACATCGTGTTCTTCCTCACTTTCTCGTGCATGAACAGTTCGGGTGGCAGACTGTGCGTTATTCGACCGCTGAGAAGGCTTGGTGTTACGCCGTATTGGGCGAGAGAGCGGGTAGAGCGGGAAGATGTTAAAACGTATTTTCGTGGTTGTTGGGCGGGGTCTTGGGACGAAGAAGAGTTGGGTGGTGAAACGCGTATTTGATATCCCTGCATGGTGCGATGTCAGTAACAACAGAAAATGGTATCGGAAGGCTCGAAGAACGCTATACACACCCGCTCACCAACCATCTCCAGCCTCCCACCCAACAAAGGCCACTTTTCAACGACCCGGTCAAGCGCCTCCCCCAACTTGTTGACGTCAATGTATCCGCGGACGAGCCATCCGGTGGTTATCGACGTCCCTTCGCCCATGAGGTCGTACAGTGTGAGTGGGTAGATCGTGTCATGTTCAGCTTGTTCAGGCTCGTATGATCGTCGTTTGCGCTGGTCGGTGTCGGCATGGTTGGAGTTGGAAGTGCGTGTGTCGGGCTGGGTTGGATCACGCACGGGGGGAGGAACGCGTCCGGGAGGGGTGCGTAGTAGGCACTTGGACGCGTCACCATCAGTGGCAGGCGGCGGCATTGCTAACTCGCAAAGTAGGATAAAACGTTGTGACAAGACTCTGGACGAAGGGGCGCCGCCGAGAAATATCTCCCACCCAAGAGATTCGAAAAAACGTCGCGTCGGTGAGGCGAAGCGGGAGGCGGCAGTGAACGTCGAACAGTCGCGGTTCAGGAAAGTCGAACATGGGGCCACCGAGAGCGGTTTTATGCCTTGGCATGCATGAGCCAATGCAAGGCCGTTGCTTGAATGTCTCTTCTATTGCCCTTGTCGGAAGCGAACGGCAACGCTCGAGAAAGGACCGGACGAAGAGGCAAGGCGTGTCCTACTGCTGGACCTTACAGCTTGTTCACCCGCGCTCGTAGCTAGGAGATAGTAGTTACCCCCAGGCAGAGCTCCAGGTTTACCTTTAGACGGATGGGTCAAGTCGGGAGCGCAGAACGAGATGCAAGTAGAAGGCCAGAGCGTTGAATGTACCCATTCAAGCTCAAGCACCACAGACAACACACGATAAAATCACATCACATTCTAAGTCTATGATAAAAGGCCCTAGAGGGGACAATCAGCATCGTTGAGCGAATGAGACGGCAAGTACGAGGACTGTCCACTCACATAAAGCGACATATATACAAACCAGAGTGGTTGAAAGAGCATAGTCGATGGTTTTAGCAAATGTATGTAGTTGATGAATTGGGAGAACATAGTAGTCAATGGATTGTTTGCATAGTCGACGGGTCAAGAATGAGCATAGCCGATGACGGTCGAGGCGCCATGGTATGATACTTCACATATCATATCACATCCCACTAAAACGCCCCTCGCGGTTGAGCGCCAGGGGTAGCGTTTCCGGTGGACATAGTAGTAGCGCATAGGCTTCCCGTACTTTCAGCGCCAACCTATAGAACCAAAATGGGATTTCATGATCGTCCCCAGGATTCTTCCCAGTGGTCCCCGGTGGTGCCCTCCAGTCCTGTGGATTGGCAGGAGAAGGCCACCCCCAATAATGACGAGCCTCCGTCCCGCGGATGGACAACATCGAGTGGTAGGTGGTAGAAGTTCGGAATTGTGAACTTCAACCCACCCCCAATCACCCGGGCCTGCTATCCAAGAACATAACCTTGATCCAGACTTGGATCTAAGTCATAACGACGGATCGTCTCTTCCTGGACAGCGAACTCTTCGCAACACTTCGAGCACGTACGACGCAATTCGCATACTATACCATTCCTCATTCTCTATCCGTCCTTCTTCGTGCCACCCGTACCGCACCTCATCCACCTACCCATCCTCAGTCCAGAATCTACGCCCCAACTCCAACACTAACACCCTGACTCTGATCCATCACACCCCCTCCTCCTCCTCCTCCTCCTCCTCCTGCTGCTGCTCCCGTACCAACGCCGCCACCACCACCAACCTGCATCGCCAACCCACTCAGCCTCGCAATCTCCCTAAACGCATCCACCATCTGCGGAACCACAAACGGCTCCCTCCTCTCCCTCTCCAAATCCCGCACAAGGTCTTCAAGCTGCCTCTTCTCCCTCCGCTCGGCGTCCAGCGCGCTTTCTAATTCTCTGATCTTGGCTTGGAGGTCTTGCGTGGTGGTGGTGTTTTGATTGTAGAGCGATGCGGGATCCCTCTTAAGGTCTTCCAATTCTCTACGGACACCCTCCAGCTCTCTAAGAGCAACTTCCAGCTCCCGCCTAGTATCCCCAAGCACACCCTCAACCCCCACCCGCACCCTCTTCTCCTCCTCCAACCCGCTCTGAAACTCCCTCCTCATCCTCTTCTCCACCTCCAAAATCCCCTCCAAATCCCTATTCTTCGATCTCTCATACCCAAGCGCCCTCTTCTCCCCCTCCGCGCTTTTCACCAGTTCCTCCATCGCTCGCTGGTCGTTCTCAGCGCGTTTGGTGAGATCCGCGATACGCGTGGTGAGATCCGAGACGCGCGTGGAGAGGTCCGAGATGGTCCGTTTATCCTTCTCTGAGCGTTTAGAGAGGTCCTCTAACGCGCTCTCGAGCTCCACACCCCTGCGTTTCTCGTACTCGAGTGATTGGACTGTCCGAGCGAGGTTCTCGTGCGACGCAGCTAGCTCCCTCCGCGCATCCTCGCGCTCGCGTTCGGCGGCGTCTAGTGCACTCTGGAGGTCCCGGCAGTGTTTCTGGGATGCGTCGAGGGCGGAGCGGAGGTCGGAGACTTGCTGACGGAGCTCGTCCCTAGTATCTCTATCTGCGCCTCGGTCTCTTTCACGATGCTCCCAATCTCGCTCTCGTTCTCGCCTCTCGCGTTTACTGGGCGACCCAGATCTACTACCCCTCAACTCCTCAACCTCCCTCCTCAACTCCTCCATCTCCCTGTTATGCCCCTCCTTAATCCCCTCAATATCCTTCTTGTACCGCTCCCGCATCTCGTCCAGCTCCCGCAGGTGTTTCTGGTCGAGCAGCCACATCGGGTGTGGTTTCGAGTGCGAGTGCGGCGGCGGGCGGGAGGGGGAGTGCGGGTCTTGGGTTCTGTGTTTATCCCACTCGCGAGTGTCTCGTCCGCGTTCAGGATCGCGTTCCCGCGATTTATCCCAGTCGTGGTCGAAGTGCTTGCTTTTATCCCTATCCCACTCGCGTTCACGAGTAGAAGTGGTAGCGTAACCTCGTTCCCGCGAACCGGAATACGCCCTCTCCCTCTCCCTCCCCTTCTCTCTCTCCCTCTCCTTCTCGTTCGAATCTCTACTCCTCTGATCTTTCGAGTCCCGACTTCTCCAATCCTGATCCCACTTGCGTTCCCAGTCGACGTCCCGCGAAGAACGATCTCGATCTCGATCTCCGTCTCCACCTCGGGAGAGACCCCTGTCTCGATCTCTTTCGTCGTAAGAACGGCCTCTGTCGCGTGAGAGGTCTCTAGTACCTCTATCATGAGCTCTATCTCTGTCGTGAGCCCCGCCTTTGTCACTCCTCTCAGCAGGAGGAGGGACCCATTTATACTCCTCACGTTCCCCGAGTCGAGGAACAGCACCTACACCTCCATTAACAACCACACCAGACCCTCCTCCTCCTCCTCCCTGAGCGCTCCCACTATGCTGCTGCCCAGTATGCTGTCCAGCAGCCTCAACCCTCTCAAGCTCCCTCCTCAACCGATCCAACTCCCCAGACAAAGTCTGTATCTCAACCTGCGTCAGCGTTACGTTTCCAATCGTCGACGCCAGGCCCATTGGCTGGGGCACTGCAGGAAGTGGAGTTGGTGCTTGAGCTGCAGTTTGGAAAGACGCTGTTGTGCTCGCTATAGGAGGCGCCACCAACGTACCCGGACTAGCGTGCGTGGCGGGTTGTCCGTACGCAGACACCGGCACCGGCACCGACGCGGAGCCTGGTGCAACTGGTACCACACTCGGCGGATAGCACGCAGACGCAGATGGGGGAATACCACCTGGGGCGGGATACGCAGTAGGATGCCCTGGGGGATAGCCCATCGGCCCCACTACTCCGTGAGTTCCCATCGAGCCTACTCCGTGAGTTCCGGCTCCTAGTATTCCAGCTTTACGATCACGCTCATCCTCATCGTCACCTCCGTGGTGGTGAGAGTCAACACCTGTAGGACTGTACGCTGGGGGGAGTGGTTCTGCGTGTGTGGTGCTGTTCGGCGGTTGGTAGTATGCTTGGGTGGTACTCGAATGTGGGTAGGCTTGGGCGCTAGAAGGTTGGTACGTCTGTGTACTGGACGGTGGTGGGTAAGGATGGACGTTAGACGGCGGATAAACCTGCGCGCTGTACGCAGAAGTACCATACCCATAACCAACAACCCGATGACCACCAATCCCAAGCCCAGACAACCCAACCCCATCATCCACCTCCTCCACTTTCACTCTCGCACCCGCACTCACGCCCATCCTAGGATTCTGAACGCGAATCGCGTTCGTACCCGATACCGAGCCTGGCGGTGGGGGAGGGGTCATCTCGACGTCCCTCACACCTCCGGCATTCAAAGGGATAGCATTGGAAGAAGTACCAGCAGAGGAGGAGGCAGGACCGAACCTCGACACCCTCTGCTGTTTATTGGGTTGCGAAGTATTATGACGATGAGGTTGCGAAGCCGTATGAGGAGCAGCACCAGCAGGAGGGGCCGTGGCAGCACCAGCAGGGGGAGCGGGAGCGGGTGGCAAAACAGGAGACCCAGGCTCCTCTTTCGGTCGTACCATCCCCGTCCCCGTCCCCGCACTAGGCTTCACCTTCGCCTTCGCCTTGGCTTTAGCTCTCGATTCCTTCGCGTTCGCATTCGCCGTAGCACTACTCCCTTTCGCAGTCGCCGAAGAGCCAGCCTTCGTTTGCGCATTTACATTGGACGCAGAGGCAGGCCTAAACGTAGACACACTATTCCCACTCCCAGTATGAGTAGCACCAAAAGCAGGAGCAGGAGCAGCAGCACCCTGAATGGCATCCTTGATAAAATCCACAGCCGCCACTTCAAGGTGCCGCGTTGTCGCACCACCACTGATACTATCATTGGGATCAGCAAGCCGCGCTCCTAGACCTGGACCCAGTCCGAGTCCGGTACCGGTACCAGCATCAGCAAGCCGCTCGCTCAGACTCATCTTGGTCGGACTCCGACTACTCTCAGCGGCGTCGTAAGCATCGTAACCGCCGTCCTGCCTGTTGTTGGCAGCAGCGCGGAGGAAGGCGCGTGGTGCCACCGGAATCGTGTTGGATCCTGTCATTTTGGGGTGCTGGGAGGCTGGATTTGAGGAGGGGTGGTGGTGATACGAGGATGACGGGTGGTGAGCAGAAGAAGAAGACGAAGGATCGGGGTGGTGAAACGAGAGTGAGCCCGGACCTGGGCCTGACGCTCTGCGCTTTGTTGGAGGTTCGCCGTTCTCCAGTCTGTGGTTGTAATCTTTGAAGTCTTTCGTATCCCTGTCTCGGTCTTTGAAGTCTCGCTCTCGCTCTTTATGCGAGGAGGCATTATTGGAATGATATTCCTTGGAAGAAGACCCGGAGGGGTGTGCACGTTTTTTGCCGCGAGGAACGGATACGGAGGGTGCGGTGTTCTCGGACGAGCCTGCTGGGCTGGGGTTGCGAGAATCGAATGCATATAGACATAGACATACACATGAGGTTGGATGCGTGTCGAATGTGTTGCGAGCAGGGGGGAGATTAGATAGAGTGAATGCGTGTTGTGGCGTGGAGATATAATGAAGGTGAGAGTGCGGCGTGGCGTAGGGCAGGGTATGGCGTGGTGCGGTTAGAGTGTAAGCCCAGGATGGTCGAGCGAGTCAAGTGGCGAACAGAGAGAGAAACACAAGTATATGTACATCAGTCCCCGTTTGCAATAGACAAAGCGAGAAGCGCACCAGAAGTGATAATTCACACTTGTTCTGTATGAGAGGACGCGGATCGCAGGAGGTCAGAGACAAGTTGTAGGTCAGGCGAGGGCCGTAGTCGGGGACAGACGAATCGCAGTCAAAAACGGGTCATAGAGGTGTCAGCAGACAGAAGACGACAAGCAAAAGCGAAACCAAGCGTACATGGACAGATCACTCAGAGTCTGCTTGAGAGCCTGCTGCAGATCGTGATCGTGCGGGCGAAGCTTGAGGTATAAATTCGTATGCAAGATCTACACCAACAAAACCGTCAGTATTCCATCACCTATACCCCTACTCCAAACTCCCTCAAGCAAAACTCCATCCCAAACCACCCTCCTCCAAACCCAAAAGAACGAAAACTCAAAGGGAAAGCCAGGCACTCACACCAAACTGCTCAACCCCAAACCAAGTCATCTCAACCACACCATGGCTAACCAGCGTCACATTCTCCGCTTTGGGATGTGGGATCTTCAGACCGGACAAGTCGCCCCTCAGGACACCCATACTCTTATCCGTGAATTTGGTGAAGTATTGGGTGGATTTGAGGCCGTGGTAGCGGATGGTGAGGGTGATGTCGACCATGGTACCGTTGGGTTTGCGGGGGCCGATCCCGCCTGGCGTTGGTTGGACGTGGAAGGACATTTGCGGGGCTTGGGTTGCGTGTTGTGTGTTGTCTTGACGGTAGGAACTAGTAGTGGGTTGCACCACTTGTCGTTGGGTGAATTCGTTAGATTATAGATGTCCAAGAGTGGACATGTACATATGAGCTCGCGACAAGAAAATATCGAGCAGGGATTGAGCAAGAAGGCCTCAAAGTCGAGGGAGAGAAGAAACAAGCGAGCCGCCACTTGCTGCGACGGCGAACTCGCTGACGAGACGGTCCGATCGGGTGTTTAGGGGCTTCTACGGCACGTGAACGGCACGTGTATCGATAATGAGATCGACGCGTCCAGGGCGCGTTCCCGTCCCTCCCTCTCATCCTCCGCCCCTCCTTCCCATCTAAAGTCTTTCTGACCCCTGTACAAACATGCAAGTCACATCAGCACACCCAGGCCATGCATAAAGTGACGACGTCTGACTGAGCTGACAGATTGAGAAGACCAGAACCTGAGGGAAGGGCTGACGTAATGCCATCTTATCTCAAAGGAAATCTCCGCCCGCCATTCCAGAGGGACGACATCGCTTGACATACACAGCTGCATTGGATACTTAAGGTACCCGCTTCGTCTTTCATCGACATCTCTTCGTCCCCCCACATCGATTGAATTCGTTTCTCCAAGTCTAACCTAGTCTAACTCATCATGTCCTGGCAAAGTACGTTCCTTTCGATGAGAAGGAGAAGGAGGAAGATGCTGATTGTATGCTCTGTTCTCCATTCACAAACCATTGGTTGTCCGACTCCAATTTGAACCCCGGTGTCCTGCTCGATGGTTCCGTACATCGATAATGGGATCGATGCTACTCTCCGCCCGTGCATCATCTGCATCTCTCTACGCCCGGCCTGAATCGATCACCCGCCCCGACGATCCTACAACCACTACTCGATGATCCTGCCGCTGCCCGCTCGATGATCCCGTCACTACCGCCACTCGATTACCTCCCCACCCCCGGTGACCTACCCGCACCTTGACCGACGATGACGACGACTGCCCAATCCCGCCCCACCGATGATCCCCTCACGCCCCTATTGCGATCTCCGCCATAACGATCCCCAACGCCCATCCTTTCAATGACGGTCGCCATGCCTCCAACCTTAACACGACACTTCAACGATACCACAACAACCCCACACCCTCACCATCCACCAACCCTCTCCACCCACGCTGACCCACAGCCTACGTCGACACCAACCTCGTCGGAAGCGGCCGCGTCACGCACGCCGCCATCATCGGTCTGCAGGGCGGCGTCTGGGCTTCTTCCCCTGGTTTTAACGTGAGTTGTCGAACACCCGTTCAAGGTGGATTCTTGGACTGACCTATCGTCCTACCACCCCTTGCTTTGCCACTCATCCCCACTCTCTCTTTCCCTCACTCTCTTGCTCTCATCATGCCCACCCATCCTCCTCCGCCGACACATCGGTAACCCCCACCAGCTCACCGCCGAAGAACAACAAGCCCTCATCTCCGCCGCCAAGGGCGCCCTCTCAGGCGACGAAGCCGGCGCCTCCCAACTCCAAGCCTCCGGCCTCCGCCTCCAAAACGAGAAATACTTCACCCTGCGCGTGTCAGAGCGGAGCGCCTATCTGAAGAAACAGGTGCGTTTGGCTTTTCTCTTTGTTTTTTTTTGGGGTGTGGCTAGGCTCCCCGGATATGGTTCCTTGTAATTCTGATTCATTTTCTTTCTGGGTTTTGCATGGTTTTGTGTTTGGTGCTTCCGCCGTCATCGACCTCTCGTCCACGAATCGTCGTCAATCCTCAATCATCCGACCTCTCGCCCGCGCCGGCGTACATAACATACACAACACAACCCACAGGCCGACGGAGCGATCGTCGTCAAAACCAAACAAGCCATCCTCGTCGCCGTCTACGTCGCCCCGCTCCAAGCAGCAGAAGCCACCCCCGTCGTGGAGAGCCTCGCTGACTACTTGGTTTCCGTTGGCTATTAAGTACTAAGTAGTTGGTGCGCGGTGGATGTGAGGAGGTCCGAGGGGTGTAGGGTGTGCTAGGAAGAGAGCATGTGGGGGTTGTTATAGTTGGGGAGGTGAGTTGGAGGAGGAAGGGTGGAGGAGGTGAGAAATTAGGAGGTACTAGTATACTACACTACCTGTCCGTTCGTCCGGTTTTCCGCCACCTTTTGTCTCCGATGCGAACACGTTTTGGATGGTCCCCCCTGGACTTCAAACGTCCCCCCCCCTCCCCCGAATCCCACCCTTTTTTCGCGCTTAGCTGTTACTGTCTTCTACTTTATTTCTACCAGTCTCTACTACCTTCTGCCTTTCTAACTGCACCACCGTTCTATTTTCTCTTTTTCTACCTTCTCGCTGCCCCTTCTACTACTTCCTTCGTACCACATCCCTTTACCCTCCTTTTGTAATGAACCAGAAAGAAACGGAAATGCTAAGAATATTCGAAGTAAGCATTATTGTGAACTGAGCCATCTTTCCTCACCTTAGACTCGCCTCCTGGAAGAGAATCAGATGAACCCATCAGGTACATAGCAAGCTCATCCTCCATCTCACTAGGCACGAAAATGCCAAATGGTAAATTAACTGAGCATTTAATGCCCCTACTTATCCAACAGGCGACTCTTTCGGCGGGGTGCCATGACAAGATAGTAATACGGAACCATTTCGCCCCCAGATCCAGATCTTACTAAGTAGAAAAGTAGAAAGGTTGGTGATTGACAGCCGCTCGGAATTCAACATTCAATACTCAGCGCCCAGTGAGCGCTTGAGCCCTTGCAAGTCGCATCCGTCCGAGCGTTGGGAAGAATCTCACGGATCACTCACTGTAGTAGTTGAAGTATCATCTGGCAGTTGGGTATGTATCAACGGTACCTTTGACCCGTGCGTTCCCCACCTCTCAGCGCTCAGCCTTTCGTCTACTTACAGATGTGCCTAAAGAGTTAAGTATAGGCCCGCGGATTCAACCTTCAAGTTCAAAAGTTCAAACGCATTTCTTGATCCGGGTCACCTTCATCTCTTCCTTTAACCATTAAAAGAATTATACTCCTCTCGCCTGCACTACCCCTGGCCAATTTTGTCGCTGTCGCAATCGACCCCCTTGAAGACTTGATTATTCTTACAAACCAGGCTAGCCGGTCATAGTTGAACGTTGAAGTTCCATTCTGATGGATTGTGTAGTTTTCAGTCCAATTTAAGGCATGTCAACTAAGGCCTCTAATAAGTATAGCAAGTCTTCAGGTGCTGATGAAAGACGCGTCTCGCTATTTAGTGCTGGAGAGAACACTCCAACATCTTGTTGAATGGTCTGACACAGTCTACATATAGACTCGGACATCGTTCTGAGGATAGGCGAAAGCCAGAAAGAGTTATTGGTACCCCTGACCTGGCGTACAAAGTCCGAGGTTCCGTTTTCCACGTCTTGCGGTCCTTGGCACCGTGCTGGTCATCTGTCGACCTGTGGCTCGGGTCCGCGCTTTACACTTGCTTTACACTCTTGATCTTTCCGCCAAATTCCAACAACGGTCCTTTACTGGAATCGCCCTCCAAACATCGCCACCGCAATCTCTTGTCAACGGTTTAGATGGCTGGGAATCAGAAGAACCCATATGCATGTCAAGTGTGCGGCAGTGCTTCCAGATGAACGGTGTTTGCTTCAAATCACCGTGAATAACGGACAGCGAAGAGCAGGCATCTGAAGCCTCAAGTTGCTTTTATCAAGGGCATGCATAGTCGTCGACGGCCCCTCTTCCACCAAATAACTTCACTGCAATGGCCATCTCGTCTCGGCGAATGGTGAGGTCGCTTTGCGCCCTCCTCGCCTGCGTCGTCATCGTTTCGCTCCTCCCAGAGTCGCTATTCTCCACCACGGACCACCACAGCCAGCGATTCGTCGATGTCATTGTCGAGCAGCAGCCCAAGACGTACAGGATCCCGGTGCCGCAGATCAGACGCAAGAAAAAGGTCGAGCCAGCGCCAGAACCAGCCACACCGGTCCTTGAAAAGCATCGCTTCCGGTCCGACGGTTTGCTGGAAGTCAATTTGAATGGGCCGCACCCGATATACGAGCTGATGTCTCGAGCCGAGAAGACTTGGAAGTCAAAGTTGAATCACGCCAGCCGGACACTGGAAGAAGCAGTGGAGGAGTACACCCGGAGGTACAACCGACCGCCTCCAAAAGGATTCGATCATTGGTGCGCGAGCTTTTTGGTTCGTTTCCGACTTGGAATCAGTCTGACCTATCTCTAGGTGGGACTATGTTGTAGAGCACAACGTTCAGCTTCCCGACGAATACGATCAAATATTCAACGATCTCGAACCGTTCTGGGGCATCGAGCCTGAAGACCTCATCGCCATCCAGCAGGAGGCGGAGACGAAGAAAGACTCGTACACGGTTGGCAAGACGGAAGACGGCGATGTCGACGTGTTAACTTACGCTTTCGAGGAAGGACGCTACCAACAGCTCATCGTTGGGTCCAGAGGCGTCGTGTCGCTTCTCCGTGAAGTCCAGGATTACCTCCCACCCTTCCGAGCCACCTTCTCACCGCATGACGGTCCCAATCGCATGTCGGACTACAACATCAAGAAGAGGGTCCTCGACGCTGCAGCTTCGAACCAGTGTACGTCTGCCCAATGTGCGATGCCTTGATCCAGCCTGACCGCCTTCCTATTAGACGTTCGAAGAGCAGACCTCCCAAAGATATCCGGAACGGGGTGGCGATTCGCCTGTGCCCCAGACTCGCTGCCCCGCCGCAGACCGCCTAATCTCGACGAACCCCCTCCAAGGCCTGCGAAGAAGACCTTTATCCACGACCATGTTCGCACCATGGATCCTTGTATCCACCCTAATCACTTCCACCAGCACGGCCAATTTCTTTCTCACAACATGGGGCCTTTATCCACGACCAGGGGCCGCCCCTACCTAGCCGTTGGCAGTCGTATACAATAGCCGGAAATGAACCTTTTAATTTCTTTCTCACAACATGGGGCCTACGCCTCAAGATGCAATGGTTCCCGAATTCGCCCAATGCTCGACGACACTGCACCACAACATTCGGTACCCGACCCCCTATGGCTGGGTTGAAGATATCTACCCTCGCTCCGACGACCCACCCTTTGACGATAAGATCGACGACCGCCTGTCGTGGCGTGGCCGGAACACGGGCATCTTTCACTCTAGCACCACGCTATGGCAAAACTCGCAGCGTGACTTCCTAGTCGGCTTCGCAAATGAACTCGAGGGATCAATCAAGCTTCTTCCCCCCAATGTCACCGAAACCGAGCCACTGGGTGGCTTGCGGGAGATGCGGAAATCGAGACTTAATCCGGCTGTCATGGACATCGCGTTTGCAGAGGGCCCCATAGCGTGCTCGGAAAGCACTTGCAAGGAGCTCGAGGCTATTTACCCTTTCCGGCCTTACCAGGGGGCCAAAGAGGCAGGCCAATACAAATATGTCATTGACGTAGGTGCTCCATATGTGCATCGTTCCCGCAGGCTACTAATCAAATACCCAGGTCGACGGCAACGGGTGGTCTGGGCGGTTTAAGCGCCTTATGACGAGCAATGCCCTTATTTTCAAATCGACCCTCTACCCTGAGTGGTACGCCGACCGCATCCAACCTTGGCTGCACTATGTTCCCATCCAGCTCGACCTTTCCGACCTCCACGACGCGCTCGTGTTTTTCCGGGGCGATGGAAACGGCGAGGGTGCCCACGAAGACCTTGCTAGGACGATAGCCGTCGCCGGTCGAGAGTGGAGCAAGACCTTTTGGAGGAAAGAAGATCTTGTTGCCTACTTTTTCCGGTAAGAGTGATTCAGATCGTCGCATATAGCGGAAGCTCTAACCTTTCTGTCGACAAGGCTGATACTTGAATATGCGCGCCTGATGAGCAAGGACCGGGAAGCAATGTCATTTGTGTTGTCATACGATGAAGACTAACGGACAGGTTTTGTATTCGTTATACACTATCTATCAATCTATATCGGTTTCACTTGGAGGTTATTCACACACACACATTTCAGTTACCTCGTTCTCGTTATTCCAACGTTCTGACCATTTCCGTCGCCCACCACGAGGTAAGTGGTGGGTGAGACTGCCTTGGATTCGCTTATTCCGAAGGTTCTCGAAACCCTGTGAAGGTGACGACAACATGCCCCCCTCAATTTCCCATGGCAAGCAGATATAGTGAAAGTAACACACACTTGCAAGCCGTTTGTCTCGAATCCCAATGGACCATTTGGGCAGTCTGATGCCCCATGGGCCATGGCCACGCTACCGTGCCGCGAGACCCAGCCAATTGGGTTTTATTTCAAATTGTTGCCACAGGCAGGTTCTCCGCCCATCTGACCCTTGTATGATGCACTGACCCTTTCTTTCTTACATACAGATACACCAAGGGTTCGAACCCTGGACAAACATGTTGCAGACGCAAGGCGAATATATGATGAGCCTTCACTCCGTTTGATGGTAGGTTCCTCCACCCGAATTCTCTATACGGTCACCGTCGCGCGTTTGATTCAAGCCCTCTCTCTCGATATCGACGCGTCTTGACCTGTGGCTTCGAGCTCAAGAGGGACGATGGAATTGGGATATCGAGATGAACTGTTGCTTTCGGTACTGGTAGGTCCATCATCGATCCACGTGTTTTCATTCCTGAATTAAATGTGTCTAAAACTGCCATTTGTTGGCAGATTGAATATTTCTTTCTCGGTGAGTCTGTTCCTGTTTTCAATGAATATCGCGACTTGATGGCTCGAAACGAATGCTAACCGTTGTATCAGGGTATTACTGGTACTTGGTTTTAACCTGTACCCTGGCATTGCTCCTGTCCCGAATGAGGCTTCCAGGGCTGTTGCAACTGGTCCTGGTGACCATGTTTCTGATCTCTGTGGCTGCTCTGTCCGTCGACACGATCGTCGTGTATAGAGAGATCGACTCACCATCCGGGTCGTACCCATTCCAGTTGCGAAGACCTCGCGTTATTCTCCGTGTCGGGAACTCGTAAGGACATACGGCCGATTCAGTACCTTCCCACCATTGCTGATATTCCGCACAGGGCTATATCTCAAGCCATTGTCGTAAGTCATCAAATCATGCATCTCTCGGCGGAATGCTCACTGAGCGAGTGCTCCCTTCAGAGTACGAGATGCCTGAAGTTGTGGCCTCGTAACAAATTTGCAATGGCCGCGACGGCCGTTCTTTTCTCTGCTAGCATCGGTGAGTACTACCCAAGACCATAGACGTTAGCAGAGCCTACGTCAATTCCGCTATAGCAACAGGGATATTCGGAGTCAGTGGAGACCCTTCGTCGATCCGCGGCCAAATGTTGGTCTACAATTGGACAAACATGGCATCGACGGGGATTCTCAGTGGAGTTATCAGTAAGTGTACAGTCGTTTACATGAAGCCAGATCCTTATTCACTTCCCACCCAGTCGCTCGGACTCTTTGGATGCGGAAACAAGTTACGAAAGTTTACGACCCAGTGCACTTGGACTGTTACCCCAAAATTAACATGCTGTGGGTCGTATTGCCCGTACCTTTCGTCGTTCACCCGAACTCACAGCCTGCTCGACGGTGTAGGATTGATTCGGGAATAGGCTTCCCAGTCCTAGCGCTTATTGACCGCCTTATCCCTTTCGTGAGGCGAAATTAACACCCACGGTTGGCCGAGGATTACTGATCGCTTTTAGAACCCGCTGCAAGCGGCGTTGGTCCAGATTGCTGTGTGTGTCCCTTCTCATTACTATGTGATCATGCTCATCGTCTTCGAAAATCAAGGGTATCACCGCCGGTCGAATCATCCTCCAGACCGCACTCGGAAGGAACCCAAGATGCGTGGAGAGCCTTATGAAGGAGCTCAGCGAGCAGCAACGTTCCTCGACCCCGGTCCTCGATACCATTTTCGGCAGCACTATGGGTCCTTCTCTACCCGCAGGCATCGATCGGACAGCTTCGATGCAGTCCCAGATTCCCCCGCCTCGTGATGATCTGTCCATTCGGATCGAAGTTAAAGGAAGCTCAGCGAGTCACTTGCAGCCATCACCAGTGCGTTAGTCGAGAATGTGAGTCTTGAAAGGTAGATGTCCTCGTTTGGAATGAGCGTCCCGAACTTATCGTGCCTTGACGTAGGGTTGCGGCATTTTAACTTTCCTCTCTGTGCGCAGTGATCTCTCCCCTTAATCACTTTACTCGGCGTCTCCGGATCCTCGTTTAGCTTGAATGACTGTATATCTACGATGTTGGAGTGTTCATTACCAGGACGCATTCCCATGCATTCTACCTACTGTATTTCCAGTCTCTCACCCTTGGCAGTTGAACGTTGCACTTTAGCCTGTATCTATAGTCACATCTCGGTATTTCACTTCAAACATGATTTGTGTTTCATTAAACCACGTTCCATGCAGGCATACTTGTAATAGCGCCAGAGCCTCGCGTGCCATCGATCGTAAATTAAACCACGTTTCGTTCGGGATATCCACCAGTATCCTTTCATTTTACTGTAACTTTAAGTACGCGAGAGCTTTCGTTCGGATAGGGGCACAATCCGCGCTCACGTGCGCCGAGTTTGAAAGCAACCTTCAACGCCAACCAGTGCACCACCATCCTCTCTCGGTGTCCTGCACAGTGCGGCACTCGGTGTGCGGCTGCTTGGCCTCGTCGAGTGACCCTCCGGAACTGTACCGCACTGTTCTCGTCCTTCTCCATGATGTTAATGGTGAGTATCATTACATTGCCTGCCTCAAGACAACCGCAGATCCCGAGGCCAGTCGGTGGTTTAAGCTAAGAGAAGACACATGCTTTCCGATGCCGAATGGGATTTATGAAGGGGGTATGACTATAGTACAGGGGTGGGACTTTGCGCGCTTCACTGACTCGGAATTATACAGTACAAACATACATCGTCAACAGTGAATGGATCGTGAATCTGGTATCAAAAGGCGGAATTAAATCCTCCTGGTGAAGACGCCAAGAGGAGGCCTCGCGATGGCCATGTCCTCGGCAGCGAGGAGCTCACTGATGCCAGCATAGTAGGCGATGAAGGCCGTGATGACACCGAGAACACCACCAGCTCTGACCCAGCTGTAAAAGTGAACGTCAGTAACCGTGCAGAAAGTGAATCGCCGTAAAGGGTAAGGACGTACCCAGTAGAGGTGGTGAAGTCACCAACGGCGAGAGCCAAGAAAGTAACCGTGAGGAAGGTAAACAGCGCGATGAAAGTAACGTTCTTGCGCAGAGCGACGATGCTGGAAGACCAAGGGCTAAGTTATGGAAGAAAACGAATAGGCTGCGTGAACTTACAGGAAGAAGAAAGTCACGATGCACCAAGTGGTCAACCAGATTCCCAGGGCAGCCTTGAGCTGTTCGGTATCGTCACCGTACGAGGCCAAAATACCAGATGAAGGGATCATGATAGTAGCATAGGACAACCAGAACGCGCCATACGAGGTGAACGCTGGAAAGAGGCGCGCGTCAGTGACTCGCCAAGATATGATCCCGAGGTAAGCGCTGGCAACCGCGCCGCCATTGGCAGGGGCCGCCAAGCCCGACCCGTCGATCCCATAAAGGGAAAAATGATGACGTCGTGACATCAGAGGGCTGGCTCAACCATCCGCCGAAGGAAGATGGAGGCGCTTATGGGATGAAAAAAGATTTGCAAAGGCGTCTGACACCCACCGGTAGCAGCGAACATGTTGCCCCGAGGGAACTCCCACATCCCAGCGAGCAGCTGAGCCAGACCACCACACCCGAGAGCCATACCCACGACGAGGTTAGGCGTGGTGATACCTCTGGCCTGCGCATTGTACAGGGAGAGGATCAGGGTTGTTGAAGCGAATGAGAAGAGACCCCTAGGATAAGAATAAGCGAGATTAGCCAATTTCGTCGGTGGAGAGAGATAAGAATAAAATTTTCAAAGGAGAAACACTCACAGAGCGCCAGGGTTCGCGATGCGTGAGGGATGAGCAGCGACCTCATAACCAGGAGCACTACGAACTGCATCGCGAGGATCAGTCGCCTGGACGTAGGCCTTTTCGATATCGCCAGCAACACCGTTAGACATTATGGCTGATAGCAAGTAGTGTGGGGTGGGGAGGGTCGGCAGGTGCTGGGTTCAAGGAAGAAGCGGAGGGAGGTAAGAAAGACCGACTGAGGTCAAATTCGGCTTGAGCAGGATTATTTATGTGACGGACGGCAAGCGGCAGAGATTGACGCTTCGGAGCGCATAATCAGCATATCCACACCCAAGCCCTGCCGTGTGCGGATAGTTCTTGGAACTTAACGATCATGGGACTTGGCTAGCAGCAATCGGAGCCATGTTCACAGCCCTATTCTGAGCACTCAATTGACGCCCAGCATTTCCTTCGCTGCTCCAGACTCTCCTGAGGGACACCCAAGGCCGTCTGTCATTCGATGATTGAAGGAGTCCGATGCCTTCGTCATCTACAGCTTCCAGTGGCGCCGTTGGCGCTACTGGCAAAGTGGGGGTGAGACACCACTAGGTGGCGTGCTTATGTTCTAGGGCCAATGATGACACTGGTTAACCCACGAAATGAATCTATATGTTCATTCGAACGTACTTGCTGAGACGTTATCAAGCGTAGGTAACCCCAGACAAGCATTCTGACAATTACACATTATCCGATGGTGTCTGGGGTTGACGTTGACAGCTTGGATGCGGCCTCATGCTGTGGGGTACGACTGATGAAAAGAAATCTGCAAAACATTTTGGCTGCAATGTTGGGCGGCCGTCAATCGGTGACCATGTGCGCGATGCACACAGCCTCTCAAACGCTCTTCCAATCTTATTCACGCAATCCTTTTCTTTGTTCTTGAGCTGGATGGGACTATGTTAATTATAACCTGAAAATCGAACGTCCACTGAACTCGTTTCATTATCTCCTTCAACTCGTGGCTCCCATTCTCAACTTCTGTATACGAGCGAAGTACTTCGACAATCTAACTATGTGACCGTTTGGGTTTCCACTCTGCGACAGTTGAAGATCCGCTGGGTAGATTTTGGCGCTGTGGAGTTTGCTGGAGCAAGGTGTCCAGAGCGCACATCCGCCTTACTACTTCCGAAGTTGATCTAAAAATAGAAATTCCACCGGCAACTCGTCATGATTCAATCCGCCTTGGCATCGGCGGGAGTCACTCACTCTCATCTCCAGTAAAGATCGGCGGTGAATTGAATTGATTCCTATTGATTCACGCTCCTAAAAGTGAAGGCGACTCCGCAAAGCAATCGACAATGCTATAGGAAGCGAAGAGAAAGAAACGTTCATTGGATTCTGTGATAAATTGTGGTCATCGGAATGGTCTGGGTGCAAAGGAAGGGGCGAGAACTTGAAGAACGGTTTCCGTTCACAGTCCGAGGAGTGCTTGGAATTTCTAACAAGTTCTCTCTCCGGAAATGCACAAGAAGATGTCATCTTTGTCACACAGAGAGGGTATATTCCGGTGAGGAAGATTACCGATGCCTTCATCACCAGGAGTACAATCCAACAAGTCAAACTAGGATGTGTAGTAGCCCCAACCACTAGAGAAATTCGTCACGAGAGAAGCTATTTGGCCCACACGAACGACGTTCTAGTGCCAACTTCGTCGTTCTTCGCGACAATCTTCAAGTCACGGCCTCCTTTGGTCCTCTGGAAAACCACAACCCCTCCGCTTCCTTCACTGGCGCCTGCAATCAAGTACTCGTCACCACCGTTTTCCGCGGGCCCAAACTCCATCCCGCGAATCTGGTGAAGGCCCGTAAACACCTGCTTCACCAGCCTCAACCCTTCTCGACGGGTTCCACAGCCGACGTGCTCGAAGATGGCAATAGAATCTCCTCGCGGGTCCTTAATTGTACCCTTGTTCCTGTTCGAAACGTAGATATAAGGAACGGGGAACCTCCTGCTAGGTGGCGGGATAAGGATCTCAGCAGCAGCCCACAGGGGGTTCTCCGGTCCATCCGAGGGTACGATGGACGCATTGGCGATGATCGACGCGTCATTCGTACCCAAAGCAGGAATCTTCTGAACCGTGAGAGTTGAAGAGAGTTCGTGGAGTACGAAGAGCCGATCCTCTAAAGAGGAGGTGAAGGTTAATTAGCCTTACATGCTCCAGGAAAGGATTAGAGCAGAAGTAGGCATATAGATAAACTTACTGTAGATCGAGATGTGCCGAGGGCCGCTGCCTTTGGGCTGAGGAATAGAGCCGGCAATCTTGACTATATCAGTGCTGCCAACGACATCATTTGGGACCAATCTCCAGATTGTATCTGCTCCCTGGAGAGATGAAAACAAAAATAGGTGGGTTATTAACAGAGCGAAGTGACAAAAAGATTCGAGCGCTTATGAAATGAGATTGGCGGCGGTACTTACCAGATCAGGTACGAAAATCTCGCCGTTGTACTCGTAAGCTTGGTGTGGGTTCGACTCCCTTATATCGGCGGCCTTGGGGAAGGTGACTGTCTGCGTGGACTCTGCGACGAACCGGGTACCGGCCGACGTGGTGTTGAAAACCCTCCCGTTCCCGCTGCTGTAGTTGAGGACGATGACCTGCCCGCTGGACGTCAACGCTGCAACATGCGCTGGGTTATTGCCACCAGAGCTGATGGTGTCCAAAGGAGCGGAGAGAGATCCATCCCCTTGAAGAGCAAAAGACTGGACGAATCCACCATTCCAGATCTCGTTGACAGCGCTAAGATAGGTTACAGTCAGTCGGAGATGCGTCGAGAAACCAACGGCGAGACTCACTAGAGCAAACTGCTGTTCTGGGGATGCACAGCCAACCACGAAGGGTTGATCCCAGTCCGTGACCTGCTCGCCAACTCCAACGTGGAGGTTTTGGCAGTGGCGGTGAAGAGATACGTGGCGACAAAGGCCTCGTATCCACCAGCGAGGATCTTGAAGGACACCATGATGACGAGGAACCCCGTACACGCAGGAAGGAAGGCTCGGACAAGTGGGGGTGGTCGTTGTCGTCTTCTTTCGAGCTTACTCGCTCCTTACAGGCTTTATGGTTTTATCACAACACTGTAAGGGAAAAATAAGCCAGATAAGACCGATGCAAGAAGTCCAGTCAGTGTGGCGGATGGTTGTTCCAAGCCGGCATCGTCGTTCCCAGTGAGCTTCGGATAGTCCATGGCACCACAATTTCGGAGTATTGTCGACAGAGAAAGTCAAGAGCAGAACGAAGACAGCCAGGCGTCCAAACAGTGAGCTCCCGACGACGGTACCATGGCGGTCGCTGGTCAACTTCGAATTCTCAAAGTTTCCGGACCGAGCCGCACTGGATTTCATGATGCCAAGCGACGGATGTAAATGCGCAATGGACTGATAGAGTTGCGTTAGTCTATAGGACTTTGAACGCTTTAATGAATAGGTTGCAATGGATTGCGAGGACGGTGAATGACGTTCAGGCCTTTTGCTTCCACTCTGTTTAGTGGTCATGAGACCACAGCTTCGCGCCAACATATCGGAATAATTCGTTTGGGAGCCTGTTTCGAAGCTTATTCTTCGCTTCCTGCACTTCGATGTGTTCGCGGTCGGAGAAGGAAGATGCTTACTTTGTGCTTACTATTCACGATGCCCGATAGTAGACGAAAGAAGGGCCGAATATAATGCGGAGCCGTTGCAAGAACTGGGCGGAAGTGTTTGGTAGGAGACTTCATTTCATTAGGGAGCGCGAGTACAACCGAACCGTTGTCTCTCTCGTTATGTCATTGGGAGTATCAATTGACAAGGAGTCATGTTATCAGGCGGCTAACCACCCACGATGGTACAGAAATCGGACCAAACGTCGTTCACTTCATCCAAACAAACGAGGTCCTCGTGCGAACCTCGCTATTCCTCGCAACAATCTCCAGATCCCGACCGCCATCGATCCTCCTCAGAACCACAACCCCTGCACCTCCCTCGCTCGCACCAGCAATCAAGAATTCGTCGCCACCCGTTTCGACCGGTCCGAACTCCATCCCCCGAATCTGATCAAGGCCAGTAAACACCTGCTTGACCAAACGCAGCCCTTCATTCGCAGTTCCCAACCCGACATGCTCGAAAATGGCGATCGAGTCTCCTCGCGGATCCTTAATGAAGCCTTTGTTCCTGTTGGAAATGTAGATGTACGGGACCGGGAATCGTTCAGTGGTAGGGGGAATCAGGATCTCTGCTGCAGCCCATCTGGGGTTTTGTGGCCCGTCGGAGGGGAAGGTCGTCAAGGTACTAATGATATCCGAAGTGTTGGTTCCTAAAGCAGGGATTCTCTGCAGCGTGAGGGTCGAGGAAAGTTCGTGAAGCACGAACAGCCGGTCGTCTAGAGAACTTTGAATTAATGAATTTTGAAAATCTAATGGTCGGTCACGTACTGTGGATGGAGATGTGGCGGGGCCCGCTTCCTTTAGGTTGAGGAATTGACCCAGCGAGTCTGACCAAATCCCTGCTACCAGGCGTGTCATTTGGTACCAGTCGCCAGATAGTATCGGCTCCCTGTGAAAAGTCAATCGTCAGCACATGCTTTGACGAGGAATCAGCTGGGTATACCAGATCAGGTATGAAAATCTCGTTTCCGTATTCGTATGCTTGATGAGGGTTCGAGTTTAAAACGCCTGGGGGTTTGGGGAACGTGATGGTTTGAGCGGAATCTGCCAGGAATCGAGCGCCTGCTGTATTGAAGACCTTTGCGTTTCCGCCGCTGTAGTTGACAACGACGATCTGTTCTTTCGACGCCAGAGGCTCAAGGTGGACTGGGCTGTTACCGCCGGAGGCGATTGTATCCAGAGCAGGTGAGAGGACCCCGTCTGGCTGGACGGTGAATGACTGAACGAAACCGCTGTTCCAAATATCGTTCACCGAGCTGGAAGGGAAGAATTGTCAGCTGGGGGTGGATTTGTGGCTACATGAGACTCACTAGAGCAGGCTACTGTTCTGGGGATGAAAGGCGATCCATGAGGGTCCATTTCCGGTGCGCGACCGACTCGCCAATTGCAGAGTGGAGGTCTGACCAGTGGTATTAAAAATATACGCAGCGATGAAGGCTTCGTAATAGCCACCAGCGAGGATTCTGAATGACACCATGCCAGGCAAGACAACGGAGATGGGTACAGTGGCTCAACCCCAAATTTACCCCACCATTTTATCGTCGATATTGCGTTTCATGGAGAATCTGTGTTGAGTACCGTTGAGATGGATACGAGACAACAGTCAACTATCCGAGAGGTCATGCGATTGGGCTTCGCGCCGGCATATCGGATAAATCGTGTCGATACCAACGGACGCGGGGAGTCTGTTGTGTCCCGCAGGCTCCCATAGGCGACCTGGAAAAATAAATATCCTCTCATCTCGGTATTTTCTGTCCTTTGTTCAATGCCTTTATTTAGTCAGGCTCAGTCCTTTTAGGTCGTATAAGACGGAAAGAGGCTTACCTTTGCAGGATAATAGTTCCAAAACCCACGACATATCTGGACCACTACGGTGGTTGAACAGAAATTCCCAGAGTTCATGAATGTCCATTAAGGTCGTTGCCAGAGAATACAGCTTGGTTATGGTTGTCAGAAAGGGGAGGATTTGCCAAGGCTCGAGTCCGAGCCCAATCCCGAAGGTGCCAAACAGCCCCAAGGCGATGGCAAACAAATTATGATTGGCCCCTTAAGCACTTCCACAAAATCCTGGGCCGCTTACCCTCGTACCTCCACGACACCGCCTATTCCTCACAGATTCTCGCCTCAACCGAGATATATGCGCCACAACACAGCGTAAATTTCTTTAAACTCAAGCAAAACTACTTGATTCTCGGTGGTGGTGGACTGTGTCGCGGTGGCTCCAGTCGGCCAAAGCATCTTGAATCTGTCAATAGGGCTACTGTGCAGTGAATCGACGGCCTCTCCCCCGTCTTGAATACTCTGGAGATGTCTGAACTTTTTGCTGGCATATAGTGCGATTGGTTCTATCGGCTCTGGGTCCTTGACGCCGACTTAGCTCGCACAGGAGGAAGTGACTCGGAATTCATTCAAGTACTGCTACGCGCTCTGGGTCTGGCGCGCCATCGCACAATTGTGCGTCTCTTCTATGATATCGGCATTCGATAGCCCTGTCTCTCGTGGAATTTCAGAGCACCGCTCTCTATTGGACTTGGACTCGGAGGTAGTCCTCCTTATCTCAGGAATGTCACATGGGACTAGACTCCGTCTCTTTTCCATTCTCTTGGACCTCCTCGGTTTAGGCAACATATTGGACTATGCGACGTCGTCTTACCTGCTCCTCCTACATAACGCCCACGAGAGGAGCCAATTATGTTACTCGATGCTCCTCGCCCGGACGGCAACCCACCACCGCATTCCACCTTTTCTGGAGTTGAAGCTTCCAGTAATCCCGATGTGTTCATCCATGACGATTGGTCTCTGCAAGCTTGTAGATACTCTGAGTCATGCAAGACTCATCGGATTTTACTGTTCATTCGAACACTCCGAAGGCCTTCGGACACTTTACGGATTTCGTGTTTTGGTGCTTTCCACTGCGGGCGTCCCCCGGATCGTCTGCGGGGAGTCCCTTCTCAATGCAGCCCTGGCCGCGAAGCACACACTTTTAGTTGGCGGTGAGAGTGGTTGTTTGTTGAAATCAATTTCTCGGTGATAAAGAGCGAAGGAAGTTGACGGTCGCCATTAGCCAACTTCTCATTTGTTGTACAGGATATGAATTGGGAAGCAGGGGACAAGCCATATTTTTCGGGACTCCAGGTAAAAAGCCGCCTTACCCGCTAAAACGGCAACAAATCTAAATTTCGTCAAAGGTTGTGTCCAACAATGCTGAGACTCGCTCTTGTTGTTGAGAGTAAGCCCTTCACGTTGTCTCAGTATCAACGACGGTGACCGTGGCAGCTCATGCAAAGCTCATGAGTTTCGTGGACCTCGAATGCCGTGACATAAGCTTTTAGGCCTCTGGGCTGGAAACGAAGTATGATCTACATCCTTTGATGTGACATGAGCCTCTGCGGCGAGCTCGTTGACTCTATTACGGCGGCCTCTGTTCGCAGACGAAGTCGAGGTGGCCTCGACTAACGAGAAGACCCAGTCTCGACAGAGCGTCGCTTTGGTTAGCCTATGAGAAGACGAGGTTTACTAGTAGGATTCTATTTTAAACCTGAGGCGCTAACCAGAAGGGATATCCGACAAGCGCCATTGTGGACCCCGTTGCCGGCTCGGCAGACGAGTATTTCCGGATATGGCCAGCCCACCGTCTGCCAAGCTTCGAGAGTCCCGTTGCGTCCTTCCGCTTGAATTCGAGAGATATCAGTGAATCCTCTTTCTAGTGAGCCTCCTCTTTCCCTTGTCGAGAATGTGGCAGCAAGCTCAACAGAACAATGCAGTGTTCCAGATTGAAAGGCTGACACAGCCCGTTGGTCTAAAAATAGCACGTGGGTGACCGGGGTCCGCAGGTGGATGCGGCATGACAAGGCAAGGAGCCAAATCCATCAGAGGGCAACACGAAACAACTTGTTCCTCACTCTCCTTTATCATCCAACTCATTCCCTTCCCTTGAGACTTGCGCCCTCGTTGCTGGTCATTCGTCTAGGAATCGGCAGGCCAAGTCCTCAACGATGTTGTCGCCGTCCTTATCGCTGCTTGCCCTAGGGCTTGCGTCCGTTGCGCCCGCTCTCGCTGCAAAACCAGGTGGTTTCGAGGATGGTGGAGATACGCTGGTCAGCGCAATGATGGTGCGTTTGGCGAGAATTTTGGCTCGGAAAACGTCTTAACAGTCTCGCAGATGTTCGTCGGTAATGAAGAGAAGGTCTACATCCTCGACAAAGCCGAAGGAAACGCTGCGCAGGTCAACAATCATCCCGCATGGGCATCCGTTTGGTGGGTCTCACAAGCGAGTCTGTCTAACAACCCCTGATTGGCATTCGATCCTCAGGGATATCAACACTCGACTTGCGGAAGTGATGGATGTGCCCTCAAATGTTTTCTGTTCATCTGGGATGCACTTACCCAATGGCTCTTTCGCAACGTTTGGCGGAAACGGTGCGGTCGGACGAGGGGGTCAGATTGGGTCCGTCAAAAACCCAGGAGGTTTTACCGCCTCATGGGACGCTGAATACCAGAACTCGGATGGATCTCGCGCGATTCGTATCCTCGACCCCTGTACCTCCGCAGACGACTTCAACTCGCGCCAATGCAGATGGTTCGACGACGCCACGGTTCTGGCAATGAAGGTGCCACGATGGTACTCAACCGCCGAACCACTCGCCGACGGCACTATTGTCATGATTGGCGGCTTCACTACAGGTGGATACATCAACAGAAACTATCCCAACACCGAGCCCAACGGCGGTGGTTCCCAAAACTCTTACGAATTCTTCCCCGCGCGCGATGGCGATCCACCCAACCTGCCTTTCCTGACCCATACCTCCGGATTGAACACCTACGTTCATGCTTTCATGATGCCCTCCGGATTGATGTTCTTGCAGGCCAACGTTTCAACTAGTATGCAATCATCCTCACTCACTTTTATGCCTGGCTAACTGTATCCCCTTGATTAGCTTTGTGGAACTATAACGACAATACGGAAACTCGTCTGCCTGACATGCCCAACGGAGTCGTCCGAGTATACCCAGCATCCGGTGCCGTCGCCATGCTCCCTCTTACCCCGGCCAACAACTATAACCCGACCATCATCTTCTGCGGTGGTACCGACATGAAGGATGAGGAATGGGGTGATTTCGCATACCCGTACATCAACACCTGGGATTACCCTGCCTCCAAGGATTGTCAGAGAATCACTCCCGAACCTGAGGATGGTTCCGCACCGGTGTATGAACAAGACGACGACATGTTGGAGGGACGCACCATGGGACAGTTCATCATTTTGCCTGATGGCAAGCTTTTGGTGCTAAACGGCGCCCTTAACGGCACTGCTGGTTATGCTCAAAGCACGCTACTCGTCGAGTCTTACGCTGACATGCCATGGGGCGAGTCGCTTGCCGCTGGACCTGTCCTTACCCCCGCCATCTATGACCCCAATGCACCAAGGGGTCAGCGATGGACTCGAGCAGGACTCGAAGAGGCCAAATATCCTCGCATGTACCACTCTTCCGCCATGCTCTTGCCCGACGGATCAGTTTTGGTCGCAGGCTCCAACCCTAACGTCGATGTCAATCTCACTACCATCTTCCCTACCACCTACGCTGCTGAAATCTTCTACCCGCCTTACTTCTCTGCTCCAGTTCGTCCTGTTCCCAGCGGTATTCCCAAGACCCTCTCCTATGGCGGCGAACCTTTCGACATCACCATTCCTGCCACCTCGTATTCCGGATCTGCCAACGACGCCGCTGATGCTACTGTCGTCTCCGTCCTTCGTGGAGGTTTCACTACCCACGCGATGAACATGGGTCAACGCTACCTGCAACTCGAAAACACGTACACTGTCCAGAGCGATGGCTCCATTGTCCTTCATGTTGCTCAAATGCCACCCAACCCCAACATCTTCCAGCCAGGACCAGCCTTCGTCTACGTCACGATCAAAGGCATTCCTAGTAACGGAACGTATGTCATTGTGGGTAGTGGACAGATGGGTCCTCAGCCTACGCAAGCGGCCAGCACCCTTCCTCCCAGCGTCCGCCTTGACACTGCCAAGGGTGCTGCTGATGGCAGCCAGAGCGGAAAGAACACCGAGTCTACTGATGGCAAGGTCGAGGAGAGCGGTGGCCTTGGGACTGGTGCAATCATCGGTCTCGCCGCTGGCGGTGTTGCAGCCATTGCGATCCTTGGTGCCCTCCTTGGTGTCTTCCTTGCTCGCCGCCGACGTGCTGCTGGCCGCGATGCTGCTACCAACTATCCCATGGCGGGTGCTGGTATGGCTTCCGTTGGTGGTGCTGGTGCGTTTGCTGCTGGCGCTCGGGGCGTCCGTGACTCGGATTCGAGTGCGTTTGTGCCTTTGGCCCATGGAAACCACAGCCATACTTGGAACCAGAGCACGGCGAGCTTGGTATCGCCGTACAAGGACCATGATATGCCTTCACGAGCCAGTGGGACGGGTATTAGCATGGAGTATGACCCCTACGGTAACCCATCTCACTCGGGTGTGCAGCATCCATATTCTGGACAGCCTCATAGGTATTGAGAAGTTTAGATGAGGTGTAGGAGGGGGTTTTTCTCTTCTGTTTCTGTGATGCAACACTATTTCTTTCCACCACACCCCTTCGAGCCTCCCTTTTTTTGATGACGATCACGCTATCATGGACCCTTTTTCTCTCTCTTTTGACTACCATCTTTCATTATAATATTTGTCTGCCTTTTTATTCCATTAGTTTGCCGATACACCCACAGCACACGTTTCTGTCTATCCCGCCGTCCACTGTATCACCCAACATGTAGCAACTGTCAACCCGCATCTGCTCGTCTACATGGACCGCAAGACTGGAACGCACGATTGGGCAGCTGACTTTTTTTTTATCACGGAAAGACTGCATCTTTTTTTAGCATGTAGCGGACTACATAATACCGTCTTCGCATTCTCTGTGACATGATGACACTCAAAATTGCATGGAAGACGAATAACTTTGAAGACTTGCAAGAACCCGTCAGGATCGTCGCGAACAGTGACGTCATCAAGTCAATGGCAATTCGAGTCGAATATAAGAAACGTAAGGCTTCTATGTTCTAGAGCTCGGTTTCTTCTTGACACCCACGTCTTTGCTTGTGAACCGAAACTAATGTCGTCCCGTCGCTTTATCCCGCTACCCTCAAGCCACCCTCATGACACTGAGGGATGGCAGAAGGTCTACTCTGATATTCGGAAAGCGCTGGTCAGGTCTGTGAAACAGGTCGAGCGCGAGACCCGCGCTTCAGCGATTAGCGGTAGAGATAGTGTTTATGTTGGGAATAGCGGTATGTATCCATATTCTCGAATAAGTTCTGTTCGACGGTTGCTGACTATGACTGAACGATTCCCTGGCGCGTCTGGGCGCTTATTCTCGCTCTTTGTGCAGGTGTGGCGTTTATGCAGTACCACCTAGCGTCTCTGGATCTTGGATTCTCAAATTCAAAGCTATCACCCACTACACAGGAAATCTTGGGTCCCGATTCACTCCGGGTGAAAGCAGACCAAAACCTCTTCGCCGTCGTTCGTCAGAACCGGATTCCGGCAGCTGTGAAGGACGGGTCTAGGTGTTCGTTCCTCGAGACGCCCGTCGGTGTGGCCACTCTGATCCTGCGGAGGTGTTTGGAGAGTTTATCGAGGCCGCGGTACTCTGAGAACGAGAATATCCTGGCCAACCTGAGGAAGTGGTGGAAACCTTCTTTGGAGCTTCTTCTGGGCACTTTGCAGTGTATTCCGAGTGAGGATAGGGATGAGGAGTTGATGGATGAGGATGGGTGTGAGGTTTTGTATGGGAGGGCTGGGTTTCTTTATGCGTTGTTGCTGCTTAGGAAGGAGGTGGAGAAGGTGAAGGGGTTGAAGGCGTATCGGGAGGAGATGGAGGAGGGGCATAAGGAGGGTCTTGAGGTGGTTGTTTCGGATAAGATGTTGGGAGTTGCTGTAGAGTCTCTCATCGCGAGGGGACGGTATGGGGCCAAGGCGTATGAAGGGGAACTTGGGGGTGCCGCGGCTCAGGAAGGACATGGATTGCCGCCGTTGATGTGGAAGTGGCACGGGAGACGGTACCTGGGAGGAGCGCATGGCGTAGGTAAGGATGTGGAGGAGACACCCTTGTTTGAATGATTTCTCATATTTCGATTTTCAGCTGGTATACTGCAAATGCTACTTGAATGTCCAAGAAGCGTGATCGAACCGCACGTCCCTGATGTGGTTTCGACAATCGGGTGGCTGGTGGGATTGCAAGATACAGACGGGAACTTCCCATCGAAGGCTCCCAGTTTGTCACGCCCGAATCCAGATAACGAGCTCATTCAGTATGTTCGCTCGCGGACTTTCGAGAAAGGATGGTCACTGATCTCTTGACCTAGGTGGTGTCATGGAGCCCCGGCTGTAGTCACCCTCATCTCAACCACCCTCCACCTCGACTCCCAGCTCTTCACCCTATCGTCAGATCTTCGTTCACGATTCCTCTCCTCCCTGAAACGGGGAGCCGACTTGATATACGAGCGTGGACTACTTCGTAAAGGCCTTGGGCTATGCCACGGCGTCGCTGGCTCCGTATACACTCTTCTCGCAGCCTCGACGATCCTGGATCTCCCAGAACACAACAGCTCACCTTCGGGGTCCTCATCGCCGTACTTCAAGAAAGCTATTCACCTCGCGCATTTGGCCACTTTGGCGGATCAGCTTGTGGAGGAGGGTGCGATGAGGGTGCCTGATCGCCCGTGGAGCCTGTATGAGGGGTTGGCGGGGATGTGTTGTGCGTGGGGAGAGATTTTCCATAGGTTGAATGGCGATGCTGGAAGTCGGAGGGTGTCGAGTGGGATGCCTGGGTACGATGATCTGCGTTGAGTAGTGATTGGTAACTTGCTGTTACCAGTGCGTAATAATGGGTTACAGACGATCGGACAATCAAAGACATGAGTGGGACTAAGAGTCCACCCCGTGTCCGTTGGTTCCCGTCCTTGTGCAGGCAACAATGGCGGCCACGAGCTCCGCTGGGACACATTTATGCGCCTCGCTGATGGACAATGGGCGACTGGCATTATCTGGACATAGCTTCACAACGATCTTTCTTCGACGACGCTTTGACCTATCTGGCATTATCTCATGCATCCTTTCGCACCTTTGACGCCATAGCTATAAATACGCTACTCGTCTAACGTCTAAAGGTACTTCTCCCCATCCAAATCAACCAGTCAAATCCCCATGCCCAAGTCAACGCGCGAATAATTCGTTTCGCGATGTCCAATAACAACAACGTCTCGTCTACCACTAACAACGACAATAATAACAATGACGCAGTCCAGCAGGCGAACGATTCCACCATTCAACCCTACGTGACTCCCCCAACTACCCAGAGACAACAGGGCCGGTTCACTGGTCGACTTTCTCGACAAGCTGACGCAGAGGAGCCTGCTAGCCCTGGACCTTCTTCCGAGGAACTGGCAGCCCTGTTCCGAGACATTCAAAATATGACCAGGAACATGGAAAATGAGATCACTCAGTTTCAAGAGATTGACGCTCTTACGCTCCTCATGTTGTCGTTCCTGAGATCGATGGCAAGGCCACGTCGGACCTGAGGGAGTAGTAACTGGAACTTGATTCAAGAATAAATCTGAGTTTGGCCTGTGTTGATGTGCCGCCGTGGCCCTGCCGGTTCTATGGTCGGCTCTGTATTAGTTTCTTTTGTTGTATGAGTTCTTTTATCTCTGAATAGAATGCACCCTCTACAGACGTCCCATCTGAACCTTGAGAATAAATGTGTCAGTCGGAACGACGGTTCGTTGCCGGCATTTGGCGGGTCGCAAGTACAATTGCCCTAAAAAAGGAAGGCGAGTATCCTGGGTTAGCCAAGAGTCCCGACTCCCGAAGTAACCTTGAAAGACCGGTTGTAAAAGGCAGATCCATCGTGTCAAGCATCCTACTACCCGCATACATAGAGGTATGCATACCTCAATTCCTTTTCATCCCCCTTTTTCTGATGGTGCTTTCATGCAAGTCTTTATTCACTCTTCTCACCAACACCCGGCGCCAATCATAGCGGTTGGGAGTCGTACCGGGGGAGATATCCACGCAATGGTACCAAATCCCTTCTGTAAGCGGGGGTCGCGGAGCATCACGATGTCGCCCACTATATTAACCAGCGCGCGCCTTGGTGGTCCAGGCATGGGCCAGTGTTTGGGGATACCGTAGCGGCGTCAAAGCGTCCCCCCATTCAGGGGAAGTCATCTTGGCCGCTTTGACCTACACAGGTCCTGGCGTTTGGTCTTTTTCTAGTCTTGCCCTGCAGCCTCGGTAGTATAAATACGCTGCTCATTGCCTTTGCAGGGACTCCCCAACCGCAAATAACAGCCAGTCAACTCATATCGCCCATAACCAGCACAATCCGAAAGAAGGTACTCGCCCACAATGATGCCTGCTAACAACGAGAATAACACCGCCTCTAGCAATACCACCGCCTATAATGCAAAAGACAACGGGAAACAGACCTCTAACGGGCTTTCTGGACCTATCTACGCTGACGAGCCCATCCCAGGGCTTTCGTGCGACGAGCAGACGGGCCTCATTCTAGAGATCGATCGCTTGAGCAGAGAGGCTTACGGAGATGGTCTCGATCTCGAAATCGTCGAAGAGAATGGTCTTCTCCGCCTTGCTTCTGTTCGAAACGACGGCTTAAATTGAGAGCTTGGTAGGAGTAAGTTCAACGCGGTCTTGTTTACGACTCTGTTCCAGGTATCCGGATCGTAGATTTTATGAGATTAGAGGGCCTCCGACTCGAGAAGCGGGGTAAGTGGCGACCGACAAACTCGTAGGTTCACGTACTTCGTAGCACGCTGAGGCAACTATGCGCTATAGTACTTCATCCTTTTACAAATGATTCGGAAGAGTCCTCTCAAGTCTCCGGAGTAGTTACCGGCATCTACTGCATAGTCAGTTTGCATGTAGCCCGTTATATGGCGCTGTCAACGAACTAATGGCAATAGTATGCTTGCTTCTAGACTGAAATCTGCATTGAGTTTTGTGTCCAAGTTGGCGCGGGAAATCACCCCATCAACCCCGTGGGATCCTAGCCCGATCTTGGGCGCTTAATCTACCTTTTTTCCGCTTCCGAAGCTACATTTCCAATGGACTTTCGACATACATGATTGTAACCTGCGCCGAAGATGAAATGAGAAATGTAAATGAACTCTGGTCATTCGAAATTGACTACTGGTGCAGAGGAATTGAGACGATAAGGTGTGTAAGACGAGCTCTAAGATGAACCAGAGGTGCCTGAACGTGGTCGTTCCATTCAGTTGGGACCTTGGCAATCCCTGATGTGCAGAGATCCAGGTCGTCATGATCACAGTATCGGGAGATAGGTGAGAGCGTGGACAGGTTGCATGCCTGTCCCAGGACGAATATCACAAGTTATCTTATCAGATAGCCCGAACGGCCGAGTGCCCAATCAGCAGCGCCAAGACCGCAGAAAACATTCTGGGCCTTGGTGTCCGTGGAGACTTGTCGGACGGTTGTCTGTGTTGCCTCACAGACGGCGGTGTTTAGACCCTGTTCTGTGGTGCAGACATCGATTCAAAGCTCAGAAAATATAGCCTGATGTCTCTGAGCAATCATCGCCATTGGCCACGAAATGAACAAGCTTTTGAGTCCACCAACAGCATAAACCGAGCACTTCCTGTGAAGATAAACCGTGTATGAGTTTTCTGCTGTGAAATTGTCAATCGAGTCACCCAGTGCGTTGGTACAGTTGGTATATAATCCCGTGTGATGTGGTGGAAGTTAGAGTTAGAAGGAAACCCGTGTGTAATCGCCACCGGCCGACCATTCAAAGTTTTTCCAGGGTCTTTTAAACCTCCGCCGCTTTCCTCCAAACCACCACCTACACCCCCCGAATTCTGGCGAAATGTTGTCCTCAGCCTCTGCAAGGGTCCCAATGAGGGCGGCAGCTCGTTTCGTCGCTGGACAACGACGACCAGCTGTTGCTGCGGTCCAAGCTGTTCGCAGAACTGTTCCTGCGACCACCAGGGGCGTTCAGTCTGCTGCTCAGACAGACAGGGTGAGTTTCGTTTCGTTGCGTTCTCTCCTCCAGAAATAGGACTGTTTCTGGCTTTTGAATACCCTTTTCACTGGGGTTCTCCGGTGGAAAGTCATAGGCATTTCATTTTTCTACCCGAAATGACTCTGACAGTGTTCAACAGGACACCATTACCCGACTCCTTTACTCCATTGGTACCAAACGCGAAGTCGAGCGACACTTGCGAATCTTCTCTTCCTCTTCACACCCGTCGCAACCAGCCAAGTTTGCTGTCCTCAAGGTCGGCGGTGCCGTTCTAGATGACCTCGACGAATTGGCTTTGAGCTTGAGCTTCTTGTACCGTGTTGGACTCTACCCCGTCGTTCTTCATGGCGCAGGACCTCAACTCAACGACATCATGGAACGGGAAGGTGTCGTTCCCGACTACATTGACGGTATTCGGGTCACCAGTGAGTACAATCGCTTCCTCGACGTCAAGCGCCTCATTCATGCTTGATTGCAGACGCCAAGACCCTGCAAGTCGCTCGCCGTGTTTTCCTCGAGCAGAACCTCAAGTTGGTCGCGGCTCTCGAAAAGCTCGGCACCCGCGCTCGCCCCATCACCTCTGGCGTCTTCAGCGCCGACTACCTCGACCGAGAGAAGTATGGCCTCGTCGGAAAGATCACCAAGGTCGATAAGCGCCCCATCGAAGCCTCCATCCGCGCCGGCGCACTTCCCATCCTCACCAGTCTTGCGGAGACCCCTGAAGGTCAAATCCTCAACGTCAATGCCGATATTGCTGCTGGTGAATTGGCGAAGGAACTCGAGCCCATGAAGATTGTCTTCTTGAACGACAAGGGTGGTCTCTTCCACGGTGTGACGGGCGAGAAGTTGGACGTTATCAACCTTGACGAGGTATGAATTCACGCGGGCTCAGTCAAATGTCGGGCCACGAGCTAATGGTTCCTGTTGTAGGAATACGACCAACTCATGAAGGAACCTTGGGTCAAATACGGCACCAAGCTCAAACTGCGCGAGTTCAAGGAGCTCTTGGACCACCTCCCACGCTCCTCCTCGGTCGCCGTCATTAGCGCATCCTCTCTCCAGAAGGAGTTGTTCACCGATTCCGGCGCTGGAACTCTCATTCGTCGAGGCTACAAGCTCTTCAAGCACTCTTCCATCGAGGAGATTGGCGCCGACCGCTTCCGTCAAGTTGTCCACGACCGCGACCCCGACGTCCTCTCCGGATTCAGCTCCGTCACCGAGGTGCTCAGCTCGCTTAAGAAGACTCCTTACACCATCTACGGTGATGAGCCCCTCGACGTTGTCGCGGTTGTCTCTCACCCCGAGGGCGAGATCCCCGTTCTCACCAAGCTCCTCACGACCCGCCAGGGTGTCTTGAACAACGTGATCGACAACGTTTTCGACAAGATCAAGAAGGACCACAAGAAGTTGTTCTGGACTGCTCGAGTCGATGACGAGAACAGGGCTTGGCACTGGGAGCGTGCAGAGGGCAGCTTTACCAGGAATGGCAAGAGCCTGTTCTGGTACGGCTTGAGGGATGTCGATGAAGTCGAGGATGCTGTCGAGTTGTTCGATAAGCGAGGAAGGATCGAGAGGGCGTACCTCCCTGTCGGACCTGCTGCCTACAAGCACGACCCCAAACCCACCCCTGCTGCAGCAGCTGCCCCTGCCGGCGCTCGCGCTTACTCCACCCTCGCTCGCAAGGCTTTCGGCACCACCCCTGGATCGAAGAGGGGCTACGCTACCGCTGCTCCCAGCCAACCCAAGGCCAAGAAGCTCGCCTTGATTGGAGCACGAGGATACACCGGACAAGCTTTGGTATCGTTGTTGAACAACCACCCCCACATCGAGCTCACCCATGTGTCGTCGAGGGCCTTGAAGGGATACGATTTGGAGGGGTACAAGAGCAAAGGATTGGTGGATCAGGCCAGTCTGGGTGCGTGATGGATTTATTTGGACGTTTTATTTCGCCCCCGCTTTATATTCCATCTTTCCCGTTTTGTAATACCGGTGGAAGGACGGGGTTGTATTAGTGTTGTGTTCTTTCTCAATTCGTGTACAATGTGGTCGTAATACATTCTCCTTTTTCGCTTTTGATCTATGTTCTGGGGTGCACTGTGCTCATCTGGTCTCTTTTTCTCCAACAGGTAAAGAAGTGATCTACTCTGACCTCTCCGAGGCTGATATCGAGAGGATGGAGCGCAACGGCGAGGTTGATGCTTGGATTCTTGCTTTGCCCAACGGTGTTGGTGCTCGTTTCGTCCAGGCCATCGACAAGGGTGCCAAGGACCGCGTGGTTAAGGAGGGGGAGAAGAAGGGGGTTATCGTCGACTTGAGTGCCGACTATAGGTTCGAAACCCCTGGAGCCAGTGAATGGGTTTACGGGCTTCCTGGTATGTTCTAGCTGCATGTTGCTACCGCGAAGTGCTAATCAGTGCGTTTAGAATTGTACCAGCGCGCCCCTGTCCAGCAGGCTACCCGTGTCTCCAACCCCGGATGCTACGCCACCTCTGCCCAGCTCATGATTGCTCCTCTCTTGGAGTTCATCAAACCCGGCACCATCCCGACCCTCTTTGGCTTGTCTGGCTACAGCGGTGCGGGCACCAACATGGTCGAAGGCAAGGACGGCGGTCGTCCGCAGAGCGTTCCCAAGCGGACTCCCGAGAGCTTGGGCGGTGGTGTCCTCAGCTACTCGCTCACGGACCACATCCACGAGCGCGAAGTGGGCTTCCACCTCTCCCGCCTCCTTCCCTCGGAAACCACCACCTCTCCCACCGGCGTCCCTCTGAACCAGAAACTCAAGGTCGGCTTCGTGCCCACCGTCGCCCCATGGTTCTCGGGTATCCTCATGACCGCTTCCATCCCCCTCTCCAAGCGCTTCTCCGCTCGTGATGTTCAACAGCTGTACGCTGACAAGTACAAGGGCGAGAAGTTGGTGAATGTGTTCTCGCTGAACGAGAAGGAGAACAAGGAGCTGGGCAGGTCGGGTGTTGTCCCGATGCTTCAGGATGTGGAGGGCAAGCAGGGGTGGAGTGTGGGTGGATGGGGAATTCATAGTGAGGGTGAACGCGTGGTTTTGGTTGGTGGATTGGATAATCTCTTGAAGGGTGCTGCTACCCAATGCCTGCAGGTGAGTAACTTATTTTCTTTCCCGCGACGAAATGCTGAATTTCTTGGTAGAACTTGAACCTCGCTCTCGGCTTTGACGAGTACACTGGTATTCCCCTCGATTAAGGGGTGCATTTGCAAGATCTAATAAAAGGAGGAACCCATATAGAAAAGTCACCTAGATTCGATTAATAGACTTTAACTATCTACATAACCTTTGCTTCCATCTGTATCCCGTGTTTCTCTCTTTGTTCTCGTTTCGATACCATAAAGGAGATGGAATTTCCAAGGGCAGAGACGGGAGAAGGTATATCAGATCGAGGTGTGCCTTGCCGCCATCTATATATCACAACCCGTCGTCAACGTCTGACGCGTGCCGTAAGTTCTCTGGCCTGCAGTCTGGAGACCAACTCCCTTCTTTTTCTCGTTCGTGTTCGACCAAATACCAAAAACACTGTAACGGTGAACTTTCCTTACTAGAACCACCACCACGACGGGAATCTGTGAAATCGCTTATTCGGTCGCAGTTCAAGGAACCAGTGTGAAAGGGGTGTTGATCGCTAGTCTCCGTGACTCGTGGCGAGCTCGCCCACAGTTGGGACGCGTTTTGGAGACAAACTGAACATAGCGGTGAGGACCAGGACGCTCAAGTGGTACGACAAAGACCTGCTTAACCAAAATCTATGCTCAACAGCCGAATCCAGGTTCCAAAGCCATGTCGACGACGAGGCCAAGGGTGGCGCCGTCCGAGAGCTCAACGCGCCTTTCGCGTTCGACAACCAATCGATCGTCGACGCTAAGCAGCTCCTCTAGACTCTCTGCAAGCCCAACAAAGCCAAGATCGGGGTCCGCAACGTCTATCGCCAGCACCAACGCGACTGTCCGGCCAGGTGGTCGGGACAGCTTGAGTTCGAGCCAGAGTTTGAGTTCGTCCCTATCTAGTGCTCGGAGTTCCACCAGTAGAGCCAGTGCTATAGCTCGCTCGCCCAATGCGACACCTGTCCCCGGTCCCCAGCCTACCCCCTCAACCACATCCAAGAGGAAGTCCCTGACGTCTGCCGCGTCCCCGACGAAGATGGCGCAGAGACGGACATCTGCTCCAGCGTCTCAAAGCTTGACGGGTGCCGTGTTCTCCGTCAGCGAGCTCCAGTCGAACAGACAGGGAGGGTCGAACCCAAAGACGCCGTCACCTCCTGTAACTCGGTCAGGACGCGATGGAGGGGCGCCGCCGTCTACTGTAGGGTCGCTCCGGACGTCTCGAACGCTGTCAAACGGATACCAGCTCAACTCGCCTCCCATTCCAGAAAACGTTGAAAGCCCAGCTTCCCAGGACCCGCTAGCAACCCCAGCCCGCCGCCAACGCATCGTGTCCATGATCTCACCTGGCAAACACGGCAGCCCCGCTAAATCCATGCACAGACCGAGCTCCTCGGTGTCCCTGCTCTCTGCATCCACCGATTCGCCCATCATCAGTTTGACTTCACCAAGCCCCAAGGCGAAACCCACCCCTTCGAAATCATCAACGCTTCACAACCTCTCGACTCCATCGCCAAAGGCAAAGGCTGGTTTAAGTAAACTCGGCAATGGGACCCCTGTATCTGCGTCCTCCAAGAAGTCGGGGCTCAATCAGGGAAGCAACTATTCCCCTTCGCCCAAGAATGTCGGGAAGAGTCCCTTAAATACGCCTAGGTCGACGCCGATGAAGAAGTCGTGGGCCTCTCCGAAGGAACACGATTCGCTGTTTGACGAAAATCTGGAGCTGCAGAGTACGAGGATTATGAGCGGTGGTACTGGGACGGCTGTTGCGACGGATGATGGGCTGGGGAATGCACTCTGGGACTATGGGGACGATGATATGACAATGGAGATGGTGACCGACATTAACGACGGGGACGTTGACGAGGAGGTGAGTGGACCATCCCCATTGGCTTCTTTCCGGAAGAACCAATATTCTCTTCCTAGATGAGTGCTGCCCTAGATGGCATCCTTGCATTGCACACTCGGAAAATCCTTCACTACAAGCGTCTCTTAGAACGGGCTCAGGCATCGACAGCTGCACAACTGCACGCACTTCAAGCAGAAGTGCGGATGCTTCGCGACAACAATCAAAACGCTGGTGCTGCACCATCGTACCACCTTCTTGCCGATCCCGAAGCAGAGGGCCTGTGCGTCTGCGGTGGAAAGAAGCGCAAGGGCTACTGGGCTGCGTATCGGGACGACCTTGACGAAGACGATGATACAGTGGATTTGCTCACTGCCATCAGAGGAGGATCTTTCAGCGAGGTTGAAGTACGGAAGGCGCTCCGGGGCCTTTCTCGGGAAGAAAGGATGAGATTGTAAGTCTTCCCTTTTTTGCTTCTTCCCTATCTCTTCTAATCGCAGCTGTACCTTGTAGGATCGGAATTATATTAGACTGTGAGTCCCCCGTATCCTCTTCTCGAACGCGATGGCCCTCATTTCCTATCCTTTTCCTCCCTGATTAGCCTGCCTTCCTGGTGACATTAGCCTTCAGATCCTCCTTCTTGAAAAGTATCAGCGCTCGACGTTTGATATTCTTGGGCATCTGGCTCCCAATGTGGCCTTCCAGATTCTTAAGTATCTTACCGTGCCCGAGCTGCTTGCCATTGAGCCGGTCAGTCCCTATTGCATGTCCATTAGCATATCAGCTGGAGTTAACGTTGGGATGATCGGATAGGTTTCGAAGAAATGGCAAGAAATGGTACACCACCCAGCCATCTGGAGGTATCACTGTCTTCGTATTACCGCCCACGATCCTGTGCCACTCAAACCTCCTGCGAAGCCGGAAGGATGGTGCGTGTGCTTCTACCATTTTAATCTCTTTCGAAGGTCTGACTTGGGCGCAGGGAACCGCTCTACCGCAATCTGCATCATCGTGAATCCAACTTCCACAATGCCCTCCCACAATCTATTCGATTCCTGAATGGACACACCAACTTCTGCACCACACTCTTGTTGAGAGGCAAGAGGCTCATCAGTGGTAGCTACGATGAAACCATCCGTTTCTGGGATATCGAGACTGGCGAGATGAAGAAGTGCTTGTCGGTGAAGAAGCCAGTCAGCTGTGTCGACTTTTTGGCGGAAGAAGGTCGGTTGTTACATGTCTGCTTCGTCTTAACCGTTGCTGATAGTTGTCTACAGAAGTCTTTGTCGTTGGTTTCCACGACGTTGGGTGAGTTTTCCGCTTGTCAGCTTTCCTCAACGGTCTCTGACCTGTGCACTCAGACGAGTTCATTTGTTCTCTTCTGTGACGTTCACCCCTCTTCAGCAACTCGCCGGCCATTTGAACGGTATTCGCGCTGTCGCATTGTCATCCAAGAACCTCGTCTCGGCAGGAGCGGACAAAGCCCTTGTATGCTGGGACTGGCGAGCTGGTACCAAGATTGTCCGTTTCGGTCAGCAGACAACCGTGAACATTGGCGTGCAGCTTATTGCCAGTGGTGAAGAAGAGGGCGAACGCGTCGTTGGTGTCACCATCGATGGTATTGTGCGGGTGTTCTCGATCAGTGCGTCGCCTTCTTAGCTTCGTGTACTCCTCCAACCTGACGGCCGCTTTGCAGAGCGAAGGGAAATGATTTCGCAGTTCAAGCTTTCCGAGCTTGGCTACGGTGATCCTGTCTTGAACTCAAAGCTCGCCAACGTTGGTGCCGCGCCGAACAACATGTTGCAGTGGTTCGCAGCCAAGGGTACTCAGATGACTGTGTGTAACGCCACCCCCAACTTGACAACGGTCATTCAGCTAATGTATCGTTTAGTGCGCGACTAAGTCTGTCATTCTCCACCTACAATGGCAAGAAGGCGAGGACAAGCCCGCCATGGTCCAATCTCCCACTGCAATGTCGGCAAGTACAGGCCCTCCTAGCAGCTTCACAGGCAACCGCCGTCGCACAACAGGTGGACTCGACCAATCCACTGGCTCCAACACGCTCGCAATGTCCACTCCTGCTCGACGCATCTCACTCGCCACGTCGACTAGCGGTAGCGTTACCAAGGGAGGTAGGCTGAGCGTCAGCGGAGCCAAGTCTCCTGGCTACATGACGCCCAGCTTGTCGCCGAGGAACAGTACACGGTCACCTGGTCCGTTGTTTGCTGTCAGGTTCGGGCAGGCTGCTATCCTGACTGCGCCGCCCAAGTTGGTGGCGATTGTTGAGACGCCGGATGTGGCTGTTGGTGCTGTTGATCCCTTGAAGAGGCGGGTTGTGACTGCGACTAGGTTCAGCTCGAGAGCTGGGGCTGATCGAAGAGTTAGTGGCATTTACTCTACTCTTTTTTGACTTATGCTAACGATGTTCGATTTGTAGATCTTCTTGACTACTCATAGAGAGAAGGAAACGACTGGACCTGTCTCAACTTCTCAGGTCAACGACGATATTGACGAGGACGACGAGGACGCTGACCTACGGGCTATCATTAACATGGGATCTCCCGCTAAACCTCCAGCTCCCACTGTCGAGATCAACTCGGATATTACAGCGCTGACTGGTGCATGGTCGGCTATTTCTGGGTTGAGTCCGAACGACAATGTGCGCCCGAAGGGTCTGCTGGGACCGTTGCCTGCCAAGTACAATGGTCTCGCCACGCCTGAGAAGAACCCGATGTCGATGCAGTTGAGCCACGAAGAGGTGGTTGTTGGATGTGCTGATGGAACGATCTAGTGCGTATTTCTCTTGCTCTGATACTGGGGACAACAACCTAACCCACGTCCCTTTCGCAGCGTCATGAATTTCTTGGGCTACGACTACCGTAAAGATAAAAAGCAACCTGAAAAGGCTGCGGACGACTTTGAAAATTAATGCCAACTACCTCCCATAGAAGACTCCTGTCGCTTTGTCAAGTAACTCGCTCATGTCGTTTTCTTTGCGCCTTTTCCTTAGCCTACTCTAATGTTTTTACGCTTTCTAATGACTCCCTCTTCCGTTCAAGGCAGGGCCGCGATATGATTTCTTTCTTGAATCGGATGGACCTTCCCTACGACCCCTATGATGCTTTCGATTGATCTGCGTAATAGTAATATGATTTGGATTTGAATAAACTTTCGCTGAAACTACAAATACAGGTTTTTGTTACAGGTCATATGAAGCGTCCGTGTTGTACACTGGATAAGGTATCCGGTCAGAAATATGGTTTCGAGGTCGAAACCTAGAGCAAGTACTCACAGGTTATGCATTTATGCAGAACAACTCTTGCGAGAACAAACCCTTCACAAGAAAAACGCCTTGATCATAGTCTTCCTGCCTTCGACTTGTTGTCAGGTCCTTCATTACCGCTGCTTGTCTGAGGGCCTTTCTCCTTCGCCCACTCCTCTTTGCCTCCATATCGCAGTCCAGGACCGCCCTCAGTCTTGTAGGTATTGTCGATATTCTGATATCCTTCCCTCTTCCCTTCTTCGGTGGTGTTCTCAGGTCTCCTTCCTTCAGCAAGGTTCCTCTTGGCGGTATTAGGAATATCCTCGTTTGGTTTTAAGACGTTGTCAGAGGTGGTATCGATGCGGTAGACGCTGCTGTCTGAGGGCGGGGGTGTACTGTCCACGTCGTCTTTGGCGTACGAGTCCGTCGTGTGCTGGGTATTCTTTTGCGGCTCGCTCGTGTTCGTGCCCGTTGTCAAGGCGAGGCGGCGGGGTGTACAATGTAGTCCGCGACTTGAACGAGAGATGGGAGCGGTTGCTGCGAGGCGCTCGCCGCCGTTGCGCACGACGAGCGCGAGGAGGATGCGGGTTCGGGCGGGGAAGAACATTGTGCAGGTCACGGTGTGCAGGAAAGAGTTGGCTGGGTTTGCGATGGTTTATATTTGAAGAAGCAGAGGGCTTTATGTGAGTGGTTCACTCTGTCTGGGAAAGGAAGGCCGTTACGCATGGACCACTTGCCTTTTTGAGTGACGTCATTGGCGGGGTCGGTGGGGCGCGTCGCGTCGCGTCAATTGGTGGCGTCTACGCGCTCGGTGCTTGGCGTGGTCAGGGGAGAGTGAAGCCAGAGAAGAGAAGAAATGCTGGGGAGTTTTGTCCGACCGGACTTCCGGTGCTCGAACCCTGAGGGTATCTGGAAATATGGGTAAAGTGCTTGGAATCCAGTCGGTTGGATGCTGTCGATGTTGTTTGGACTGCAGGAAATTCGTCATGGATCGTCGCAGTGTTGGAGCAGCGCCACCTTTTCATGAGGTTTTACACGTTACGCTTTCCGGCTGCGGATGTAAGGCCAGTACCCGGTAGTATAAGTACTGTACAGTATGACGAACATTGATATTCACCGCAGGGATACAATCGTTACAAGCTGCAGAATGGAATCCAAGGTAACATGTCTTCCTCGTTCCCAAGTGGGGAGTTACTTGTCGACGTTCATGAATTTCTCTGCGTATTTACAAGTACATAGTGCTGTTAAATGTCCAAAGTACAGAATGTGAATTGTCCTTTCTGCTCTACGGGATCAAGTTACAAGGATGATGAAGGGCCTGCCTTCGTTCTATTTCTCAGCGAAGCACTGTCTGGCCAGACGGCGGACGTAGGCGTATGTCCCAACACACCACTCGGCTCGGGTGCTGACGAGCTATTCCAAAACCATGTTAGAAGGTGGGTCCTACGAAGAACCCTGAAGCTACGTACCTTTGTTTTACAACGCTTGAGGATGATACGTCTCTACAAGGTGATTCCGACGAGGATGCCGACTCAAAGTCTCTAGAGCATCCCTGTACGAATCCCTCCTCTATATCCGGGTTCTCCTCCCTCCGTTTCTGCAGTGTATTCCTACTCGAATGCTCAACATATACAGCATCACATGCGGAGTGTCTCTCACTTCCCAAACCGAGATCTTGCTGAAATTCGTCGAAGATGGACGGCACTGGAGTCGAAAACCTGATAGGACTTCGACCACCTACTCTAACTGCGTTTCCGTTCGCCACGAAAGAAGGGAGACCATCTGAATTTTCGTCGTCGTTCGGGGCTTGGGCCGCCCTTAGTGCCAGGATGAATCGAGCGGTTAGGAATCCTGATAGTCTGTATACCAAAAGTCAGTAAACTCGGGAACTCGAGAGGGGATTTGCGTTCAGAAGTAAGCGAGACGCACGGAAGCTTCAGGCCGTTGAGAAGCCGGATTACTATGGCATTTGACTGTAAATCATTTTTAGATGAGGATTACAGTAAACGGAACGGGGACGTTTAGAAAGACGTCGCGTACCCAAGCTTTCTGGAATGAAGGGTTAGGAGTGTTAGTGCCAATAGCCTCGCGATGGTTCTGCAAAAGCCTTACCCAGTTCAAGACCAGTACTGAAATGGATAACAAAGCAACTCCCCTGGTTAGTACCTCGACTCAGTATGGTTCAGTCATTTAGGATACCACTCGAGACATACGAGATGTACAGAACACCTGGAGATTCCAAAGGAACGCGTCAAGTCAAGGTCCATTTGCTAAAATACTATCCGTCGCTCACCCTGTGCGAGAATGACGTCGCTCACGAAACTGTTCCTGGGAATGAGATCATCCAACGCCATTATCTTCCTGGCCTCCCTCGACGTCCTCCATACACGAAAGGTGGCGAGCGCGAATGCAGAAAGATCGAAGAACAGCATGCATGCTGCTATCGCTCCTCGAACTGTAAACGCAGAAGCGCTCGAATCAACTTCTACGTCTCCATTGTATCGCCTTGTACTACTCACGACTGGAAATGGTGGGAAGTGTTGATGAGCGAGGTGCAATAAGACAGGATATGAGTAACCTTACCCAGGCATCACATTGTCACCGTGACATCTTACGAAAGGTGTCCTTATCTAAGTCAAAGAACACGCCTTTTATCACCCGTTTATCCGAGACGATATCGCAGACTTACTATGAGAAGAATCAGAATGACCGCCCCAAGAAGGCATAGGAAGCCTCCGACGACTCTTCGTCTGGTGTGGTAGACGGCGTATGTCCGCGAAGTCCAAACAGCTTCGGTTCGTTAGTTTGGAAACTCTTGAATACGCCAAGGTAAGCGCCCAACTCTGCTCACCGATGATACCGAAGTGGCCGAAGATGCTCAAGACGGACGAGATGGTGTACGCTACTCGACAACTTGGCGCGATTCGGACCACGGTCAGCGCACAATGTTCTGTGAACAGGGTCGAAGACATACTGGCCCAATGCAAGTCAGTACAAGTGATGCCAAGAATGGGTAGGGATTTACTCACCCTTGTACCATATCTGTCCTGCAGAATGGCGTACAAGTAGATGACATTCGCAGCGAGTGAATATCGGCAGCAAATATAATAGATCGTCGACGGTTTGAATTTCCCAAACCAGACATAGCGGATTTCGTCCTTCAAGGTTAGGAGGTAGTCGTAGTACAGTAGTACTACCCGCCCACCAGTGCGTAAGTACTATGAGCGTGAATTTAAGAGACGTTGGACCTGCCTCCGACTTACCTATGCTGATAAGTTGGACAGTCATTTGAAGTCTGTGCGTGACATAGTGAGTATGTACATCTCTTCTCCTCTGCCGCTTAAGGCGTCTCACCGTCGCAGTTGCATGGCCTTTTCACAGGCCGGAAGGCCCTCCAGTGTCAAAGGCGCAGCGCACGCAAGTAGTCGAAACCCCGACATATCATCAAACGTTGAACAAAGTATCGATCAAACAAAGGTTCAGGGGGGAAAGAAGTAAAAAACAGAAACCTTGATTCAACGAGGTCGGAAAGCTATTTAAGCCCTTCTTTCTTCACGGTCACCCACACCCTTCCTGTCGAAATGCCATGAACAACACGAGTACACGGGAGGTTTTACACAGCCGATGTTCCCATCTGGGAGTTGTGAAAGAGAGATCAGCTTCGACTGAATGGTAGGCATCTACGCCTTCCCTTGTTGGTAGTGGGAACATCGTGGAATGGACCTCTGGACCCCTCGTGCCGCATTCGAGAGCGCTTAAAGCGCCTATAGCGTTTTCTTTTCCGGGTTCTTTAATTACGAGTGTGATTGGAGTTGGGGAATGCGGTGTAAGTGTCTGATTTCTGGGTAGCTATATAGCAGTCTTCTGAACCTGAACATGGAAAGGGTAGTATACAGACATCCGAAGTTGTGCCAGAAGTAGACAGCTCTCTCCGAATGGGAGAGTATTTCTAATCGGATTTGGTGAGACTTTGCTGTGCCCGCGATAGCGATACGATGATAGTCATCTCCGCTGTTCGCACCGCAAGTGTTCCCTAGAGGTTGTAAATTACCTAGTCAGTAAAGGATTGACGTACCAGGCCAGGGCCGTTTTGTATTGCAAATCAGGGGGGTGGACCCGGAGAGATCGGTTGCGTCGCGGCTCGCTAGGTCAATCGTGCTGCATGGCGTGAGTGTCCTGGAGGTTTGATTCGCGGTGATAACAAGTCGACGACTCGGATGTAAACCAGAACGTCACAGCATAGAGGCTTCCAATGATTAGGATGACGCCCTGATAGAACTCGAAAGAACCTCTTTTGGTGCCTATGAAACACAGTGGATTAATAATTGGAAGCTGATAAGTAGGAGAATGCATATGACTCGGGCGGTGATGCTGATATACACCTCTCAATCGTGCGTGCCTAGCGGTACGGATGCGGGGTATGTGTAGCGGAAGATGTACATAGCTTGACAGGCAATTCTCACAGAGCTGTTGTGTCTGAGGATCTTGGCAACGATTGAGTTCAAGGGGACTCTTCCAAGTCAGAACGGCCGGGATAGGCGCCCATTTTCTTTGGCCGATCACCATTACGCACGTGCTCTTCGGAAGAGGCACGACGTTCAGCTTCAGCTCTCATATTCATAGAGACACGACGTATCAAGAGTCCAGCAGCTGCAGAGGCCAGAGGGTTAGACCATCCGAGAGAGCTTTGCGCCCGAGTTGTTTGCATTTCGAAGCCACTACTAAAGTCCAAATAAGCGCCGAAAAAAGTGTCACTCGGTAGGATCGTACAACTTTTCCCAAGCGATCTGACATATTCCATCCGTCACGTCAACACTGCCCTTGAACTTCTTACCCTGTGCCCATTGGCCCATGTACTTCGCGAAGGTCGTCGCCCTTCTCACTTTGAGTCCCAAGTTCTGTAAAATGTGACGTGACTCGGAATGATATTCCGCAGGTAACGAGGCAAGTACAGTGGGTGAGGATGATGATAGCAAGTAGTTTCCCCTCCTTCCTTACCTCATCGACCCCACCAAAAGCTAAGGTATAGTATCGGCGAGGTAGAAGAAAGTATATTACAATTGGTAAAGCGAATCGTCAAAACATTACATGAAACTAGTCATCACAGGTCGTCAATCTTTCAAAATTAAGTCAGTTGTAAAACTACAAAAACAGAAAACGAAGGTATAACGCCGTCAAGAAGCGGCTAAACATTCAATATCAAGGGCGGGTATCAGTCAAGCCACCCGTTAAAAAAAATGCAAACTTCAACGCCTCCGTTTCTTCTCGCTATTCTTAGTCTTAACCAAACTCTTCAAAATACCCTCACCATGCTTCCCGGCAGCCTGTTTGCCCATCTGCCTATCGTGCTCCGCCTTGACCCTCCTCAAGAGCCAGAACTGGTAGATGAGGACAAGCAAACCGCAGGCGCCGGCGGTGCACGAGACGACGATGATGGTGACTTTGGCTGTCGTGGAGAACTGCCCGTCTTGTACGCCGTAGACGTTGACGAGGGTGGTGATGACGCCGGCTAGTCCGTTGAGGAAGCCGGGGCTGTGAGCAGACGGTGTTAGAATGGTCCAGGCTAGGAGGGTTACAAAAGCGGGGACGTACACGAAGATTTTGCTGAGAAGCCAGATGTAATTCCTCATCCATCTCCACCAGAGCCAGATCATACCGACTGCTCCGACACCACAACACAACCAGGCGATAATGTACCTAGTAGACGCGATCTTCAGTCAGCCTCTGCTCCCCCACTGCCCGCCATAACCTAAACAAATAAATAGATGAGCACTCACAAAGGCACATGCGTCACAGCAGTCAAAATCCTTCTCCGCAGCTCATCATCCGTCTCTTCAGCAATCTGCTGCAAACTGGTGAACGTCCCCGGGAAGAGGAGGAAGCCGGCCAGCAGGACCCATGTGAAGAACGAGGCAAGGAGGTTGTACCAGTGCGGGATGTCGTCCAGTGCGAGCAGCATGTTTACGTAGCGGGTGTGGTGGTTGTTGCTGCTGGTGTTGCTGTTGCTATTGCTGATTTGGCTGGGCTGTTGGGCGGGCTCTGGGCGGGAAGGGGTTGGTTTGGGAGGAGAAGGCTTGGGTGGTGAGGGTTTGCTCGGTGCTGGTGCCGGGGTATTGGATACTGCTGGTTTGCTCGGCGCGAGAGAAGGCGTTGGCCTCGGAGGGACTGTAGAGAAGTTGCTCGCACCGCCATCGCTACTCTGCGCAGGCTTCTTGGGAGGTAGGGAAGTACTGCTCGAAGACTGAAGGCCCTGGAATTGGTGCGACGCGCTATTCTGCGGACGAACCGGTTGATTTGACGGTTTGAGGTGGTCAGAATGAGGTTGAGGCGGCGGCTTGCTAGGCGAGTGCTGTTGGAACGAGTGAGACGATGAAGGCTTTGGATAGTCAGAATAAGACTGAGATGGAGGTTTGTTGAGCGACTGCTGGTGGTAAGAGTGAGCTGACGAAGGTTTAGCGTAGTCGGATTGAGGAGGGGGCTTGCTCGGCGACTGCTGCTGGTACGACGAATGGGAGGACGAGGGCTTGATGGGTAGCTGCTGCGTCGTCGAGGGTTTATGAGGCGAGAGGTTTTGCGTCGCAGAATGGGACGGCGAAGGGGGCTTCATCGCAGAATTCCATCCCGGTCGGAGAGGCTGCGTCTGCGGTAGCTGGGAAGGCGGTTTATATGAGGATCCCTGGCTGGAAGTCGGTGGTTTGTACTGGTTGGACCCCGAAAGAGGAAGTTGGCCAGGTGGCCTGTATGATGCTGAATTGGTTGTCGAGGGACGTACAGGCGGCTTGTAAGAACCTGCTTGGGTCGAAGCCTGGCTCGAAGACGTTGATATCGGAGGCCTGCCATGCGCCGAACCTTGGGATTGTTGCGACGAGAATCCGGAAGGAAAAGGCGGGGGTGTCGTCGGAGGCGGTGGAATCAAGGCAGGCTCTGAATCGTCGTTGATTGGTATCCTTGAGTATTGGGTATCATCCACGCTGGTGTTTCTGATATCCAGAACCTGTGGTTCCGAATCGTCGAGAACGGGAATTCTTGGGTATTGAGGAAAAGCCGGACTGGGATCGTCCTGGGATGAAGCGGCGGGTTGAGGGAAGGTTGGAGGAGCGTCCGGCATATCGAGCGTGGATCCGTGACTGTCTGCCGTTGCCAGTTGAGGCTGAGGGAACAAAGCACCTGAGATGGGAGCCCCAATTGGTTGGAACGGCCTGACCTCGCCGCTGGAAATATCGTTGTCGCCAATGTCTTCGGTCGTCTGCCACGCTTCCCAAGGTCTCTGGACCTCTTCTGGTCGCGGAAACTCGAGATTCAGAGGCGGATCCCGAGGGTAGGCCATGGGCTCAGGCATGGGAGGTGGAGAACCGGTCTTTTCCTCGTTGAGCTGGCCTGCAATTATGCGTGTGAGGTCTTCGTCTGCTTCCCAGAACTCGCCGCTGCCCGTCGAGATAGACTCTGTTCCCGCCAGAGTATTCGAGCGCTTAACTGGGTCAAGGGGCGCCATTGCGTTTGTGGACGAGTCTGCACTAGGCATAGTCGTAGCTCTCGCTGGCATCCGTGTTGAACTCGGAGCTTTCCAACTTGTTGGTTTTGAACTCGGCTCTTCCGGGGTTTTGCCTGCGAGAGTCTTGGGCTCGTCGTGCTTGGCGTCGTTCATGGCGTTCAAGGCTGTCGTCGCCGCTGGGGCTTCAGGTTCGAAGAAGGGGGCGCCTGTGTAGGGTGGCGCCATCCTGAATCGAATGAGAACGATATGGTCGGCAATAAAGAAGACTTCTGTGACCCGTCACAGCATTTTTGGCGAAACCTGCATGATCGCTTTTTGTCGATGCGATGCTATGGCAGCTGTCGCGTGGCCGATACGCACTGCCACCGGAGCGGGGAAGCCATCATCGGACCCCATAAGGAGAAATGACGTCGACTTCGGAATCTAGACAGGCCCGTTCCAGGCGAGTTTCGTTCCAAGGCGAGCATTGGAGTAAATGCAGGATAACGATACATAGCTTTAGATTTCGAGTTCCTGTGTTCGTGTGCGGAGGTCTCGAAGTGAAGCCAAGACCCGGAGCGCCCAAATTTGGAGAATGGGGTGCTGGGCGCTCCGACTCGGGGCAGATAGTATTATGTCAGTGTTTCGCAGGGCTGCATCGATTCTGGGCCCTGCCCCTGGACCAAGTTCTCGTTCGAGTTTTCTCTTTGCTTTTTGCCCGAATCTGGTTTCAACTTTCCATCGCCTGAACGCCTGTGCCTACAGGATAGTCACCAGATAGTCAATGACGAAAAACGAGAGTCGACCTTCTACCAGCTCTTTCGCGATTCGTCTGTTTCTGATTTACTTTCTCTGCTTGACAACGTTGGCGCGGGTTCACAGTTACTAATTCGCGTTTGCGGGCCCTGCTTGGATTCTTCCGACTTCTGGGTGCAAGCTGCTGCAAGCTGCGAGAGATGGTGGGCGACGTAGTAAAAGGAAAACAGAACCAAGGCCGAAATTGGGGAGCGGGCCTCGCACGGTGGAGCACCTCTTTTGTTTTTGTTGAATTGGCTTGGGCCCTGTTATTGTGTATCTTTACAATGTCATGCTGACCTAGCCTCATCGAGCGAGCGTTTCTTAGCTGTCGTATTGCAATTACGATACCTATCCCGCCGGGGTGCACAAATCCGGTGAGTGTGCAGTGACTTGAATGGAAATTGGTTCGCTGATATATGTACTGACTCGACGGAATCGGAAATCGTCCTGAAATCGCGACGGTGGCTTGGATTTCTGATAAAGGTAAGCTCTGACAGTTGTTCGATGCATGGGAGGGTGTGCGATATTGTTATGTGCGATTCGGTGAAAGACAATACGCCACCTCTATTGAAGAATTCGTAAGTGTCTTGTCCCACATAGAACCGCGAACTGAATCCATCGCCGAAAGGACTTCGCGCAGGGTAGTATGGTCAACTTACACACGTTCGCACGAGCATCAACCTTTCCATGTTGGGGGACGCATCCCGACCGCTGCCCTGTTGGTGGTGGACTACTCGTGCGTAAGGGAACAGACGTGACCCCGTACATTGACCACACTTTGACCGCGCTTTGACCATATTCAAGTTCCCGAACCAAAGGTCATATCGCTTGACAACGATGCTTTGGACTGGGGCATAAAAGCAGCTCATAATTATTATCCTCTAGCAAACCGGCCTGTCATCTCCCAGAAACTCTTCTACATCCCCCAAGCAAGCACCAACATCACTACCATGTCATCTACTACTCGACTCACCCTTCCTCCGCTGCCTCATTGGGATGACAAAACTAAAAGACCCGCCAATTTCGAAAGGGACAAGCTTCCCAACCTAACCTTTGACTATATCCGGGCCAAAGCTCCAGGGCAAGGGATCGGTTTAACAGCCCTCCTCCACGGCGACGACGCGCACTGGTTAGCGCCCCTGATGGTTGATGGAACAATGCCTGTTGTCTCACCCGTAATGTCATACATCACCCTATACGTCTCTTGGCCTGGGTACGAAGACATCATGGACGACGACATGACCGACATCCCCCTCTTTTCCCTTGGCGACTCGGGGGACCCGCTTGATATGACAAGTCTCACCCGGGCAGAATTCGCGCGGGCAGTGGGCGGCGTTGTTGCGATGTTCATCTTGAATCGCAAGATTAGATGTCTGAAGGGAACGGACCCTGAGTGGGACTTGGATGGTATCGAGCTTGGGGATGTTGTCGTGTCGGGAATCCGCCATGTCTTTGGGCAGGTTTATCAGGCTGATATTCATATCGAGAAGGGGACTTAGGTTGGGTCGGCAAGCCGGATCCTTGGTCACGATCTCTCCATGTCATTACTACTTGCCATATTGATAGAATTACTCGTTCGCTTAATAAACAACTCCTCTCTTCAGAAAGCGCCTGTCATAAAATGCGACTGGCTTTAATTTGAAAGTCACTGACAAAAATACGAGAGCTTCATTCAGGAATCCATGATAGACTGACTCTCAAGGAAGAAACCGGACAGGAAAGTTCCCGTTGTGCGTTGATCCCTCATATATTTGTGCGCTTGAAACAGAAGGGAGAACCGTTGGTTGTACACGCGAAGGTATCTCGGCCCACATTTTATTCAAGACTGCAGCAGTGCAAACTCAGGATCTGCAGTCACATCGCCCAAATGCTGTGCACGGGCCCTTACAGTCCCGACGCCGACACTAGAATCGTGTTTGGTTAATGCCATTCTTTGCGTTGTAAGTCTTCCATTACTCACCAACTTTTTTTCAAATGCTGATTCTCAATCTCTGCAGTTCGGCCTGGTGCCGGAGCGTCGGTCCTTTGCTGCCCTTCGGCGCCTTTAATCAGGGCCTCGGAGCCAGGAGGGGATCGTGGAATCCTTATTGATGCCAAATGGAGTTCAGATCAGAGTCGACCAGCTCAAGCGTTTGCCTCGAGGTTTGCATGAGCGCCGCCGTAAATGCTTGTCGGCCCCACGACCACGATGCCTTACATATAATGCCCCTGTCAACATGATTCCAGCCGACTGCTTTTTCCCTTCTTCCCCTTTTCACGACTTACAACCGACGCTTCACGATTCTGGTGTTTCCCTTGGATTTGGTTGGGCTCCTGTACGGGTTCGGGTTCGTCGAGGTGAGTGTTCACCACAGCATTCGTGCTCCATGGCGGCTGGCGCTTTGTATTCGCCTAGATCTGATTGTAAAGGTCTAGTGCTCACCTTTTTTTCTTGCTTCTAGGCATAGAAGCTTTGTTGATTCAGGAGGCACCCTTTCACCTTTGAGTCTTAACCTGCCCTCGACACGACCTTCCCTGTTAAAGAGCCGCCGCTCGCTCGTTCATTCTTGGCTTCAGTTCCTCACTGGCACGCACACAGCCAAGGTACACGCTCGTTTCAACTATGGCAACCATCCAAAATACGACGAACATCAACCCGCAATTCGAAGCGCAACTCATCAAGTCCACGACACTCGTATTCAACGTCAACTTGTTCATCTATGCCCTCATTGCGGTAGTCGCCATCCTCCGTGTACCACACCTTATCGGTCTCTTCGGAACCACTTCTGAGTGGTACAGCGGTCACTTTCTTCACTACTCGGAACCAAAGGAGGAGAAGGTTCGCGTCCAACGCAATGATTCCAGCAGGACGATCGTGGCCCGTCACAACTCTACCAAGTCCGTTGGCAGGAACAACTCGACAAAAACGACGCTCAACCGGAATGCATCGACCAAGACGACTCTCGAGCGACATAATTCCACTAAAACCGTCGTAGGCGGTAAAGAGGAAGAATACGCCATGGACGATTACGCACTGCCGTACAGCGGTGGTAACCACCGTCGCCGGGGACAGGTTGAACGCGTCGACGTGAAGTATCCACCTCATTTCGCTGTCGTCCCGCCCTTCTTCCGTCCATTGCTTTCGTTGTCACGGGTACGCCTGTTCGACGGGTACTCGACCGGTCAACTTGCGCTCCTGGCCAGTTACTTTTACACCCTCGTCTACGCCACATTCTTCAAGTCCAACCCCTTCATCGATGCTACCCGTCCCGCTTGGGTGGCTATCTCACAGATGCCGCTGTTGTTCGCATTGGCGCAGAAGAATAGCCTTTTGGGCTCCCTTCTCGGTTATGGATATGAAAAGGTGAGTGAATTGTGCTGTGGAAATAGACACGGAATGCTGATATTTCCGTTCGAAAGCTCAATTACATCCATCGTTTCGTCGGCAAGCTTGTCATATTGGCTTCCAATCTCCACTCGATATACTACTGTAAGAAGATTCCACCTTTCTAACTTAACTTTGGCTCAAACACCGGCTTTTCAGTCTACCGATGGACCGCCGCGGGAACCTTTTCGCAGGCAATCGCTCGTCCAAAGAATGCCTGGGGGATGGTCGCCCTCATTTTCATGGACTTGATGTACATCTTCTCCACTCAGTTCTGGAGATCCAAGGCGTACAACCTCTTCATATGGTCCCACACTATCCTTTTTGCGCTCCTGCTTCCAGCTGTACGTCATTCCTTCCTTGTTCCTTCCTCCTCGCGCTCATCGTGATCGCAGGTCTACCTCCACCAACCGAGCCTCCTTCCTTACGTCCTAGCCTGCGTCTTTCTCTATGGCGCCGACAGGGCCATGCGTATCCTCAAGACCCGTATCACCACCGCGACTATCATCACCGTCCCCGAACTCGACATCACCCAAGTCGAGATCCCCTCGCTCAACTCTGGTTGGCGTGCAGGTCAGCACGTCCGCCTCCGCGTCATGTCTCGCGGGATGGGCTGGTTCGGCCTGACTGAGGTGCACCCCTTCACGATCGCCACAGCCCCCAACTCGCACGACGGCCTCATTCTCATGTGCAAGAACGCCGGGGACTGGACGAGGCGGCTTGGCCAGCTTGCCAAGGAACGGGGGTATGATGTTGGCGAAACCAGGGTCAAGGTGTGGGTTGAGGGCCCGTATGGTGGGCCTGGACGGATGATTTTCCCGAGTTTTTCGGGGGTGGTGTTGGTTGTTGGAGGGAGTGGTATTACATTTGGGCTGGCGATGCTCCAGGATTTGGTGGCGAAGGATTTGAAAGGCGAGAGTAGAGCCAAGTACATCGAGTTGGTGTGGGTCTGTCCGGATGCCGGTACGTTCTCATCATCCTGTAGTATTTTTGTTTCTTGCTGACAGACAATGCCCTTTAGCATCCGTCGCACCCCTCGCTTCCCTCTTCACCGGCCTCATCCAACAAAGTATCTACACGCCCATCCGCATATCAGTCTACTACACCCGCGCAATCTCCTCGAAGCTCCCTTTCAGCACAGGTGGCAAAGACGCCTCGCCCCACCTCCCGATCGCGTTCCACCCGAATTTCACGCTGACGCCAGGTCGACCTAAGATCGGCAAAGCGTTGGACTCGGCGATCGCGAAGGCTGTGAGTCTGGGGCCTGGGCGGAAGGGGGAGGAGGGGATTATGGGTGTGGCTGTTGGTGTGTGTGGGCCTGCGGGGCTTGGGGATGACGTTGTGAAGGCTGTGGCGGGGATTGATGCTGCGCGGAGAGACCAGGTTGGGGGGATTGAGATTCATGAAGAGTGAGTACCTGGGTTTCCTGGTTGGGAGTTTTGGGTGTATGGTTACTGATTGGTGCTTGTGTTTTTAGAACTTTTGGATGGTAGCGCGTATCTGTTATTTATCACAACCTAGAAACGTCCCGCCTATTGCATCAACATCGACATCGACAAGCATTGTATTTGTATCCATACGTTCATTACCCATTCACGATCATTCAAGACTCGACAAACCGCAATTCTGATAGTAGTTATCACCTCCGACACCAACATCGTCAGCATCATCATCATCGACATCGCCTACTCAACCTCGACTCATTCCATACCCTTGAACTTTCTCAGATCTGGTTATCTATGCAGGCATATATCCTACCCACCCTTCGTTTTCGTTATCTATGGGGATAAATTGCTGGGCTTAATTTATTTGTACCATAGCTGGTTGAGATTGTTGTTTGTGGAACGGTAGTGCTAACATGTCGGGAAGGCTTTTTGGCCCTCAGAGTCGGCATTTGGTACGCTGCCAGTTGTACCTTACTATATATCACCTTGGGAGGAGCCTAGGAGCTCTTCTTTGCCGTTACGTTCTGTTACCGTTGCGTACTTAGTGCTGCTACTCGTTACTCCCAGTCAGTGGTTGTACCATCGTGTATGTTGTTAGTACGAATGTAGAGGAATGTTTGTGGAAATGAGGATGCTTCAGATACTTCGAATTTGGCCGTTGATGAAACTCAAATCTCAGCGCGGTGTTTAAGCGCCCAGGATCCCACGAGTCGATGGGGCAGTGCAATGAGTCCGAAATTGGTGATGGGCGGTGGGTTGAGCACGTTTTGTACTTTGAACTTTGCTTCAACCAACAAACTTACCTCTCAAACGAAATCTGGACATAACGACGACAACCTTCTTGCTTTAAAACGAAATATGGATCCAAACCAGCCAACTCAGAGACCGCGAAAGCGAGATCGGTTCAAAGGCTTTCTGGATAAAGTCAAGCGTCCTTTCCGTTCTCAGACAGCTTCCCTTGCGAGCGGCTCGACCGACATGGTAGCAGGCCCGAACACAGGCAATATGGAGCCGGAGTCTGCGAAGATGGCCTCAAACAACCTCCTCGGCGACTGTTCTCCCAGTTCTGGCACGGAGGGGACCCTCGGTTCGACTGTCGCTCCTCAAACCGTTCCAGCGTCGACCGTGGACACCGGCGCTCAGACGACCGCAGCTCCAGCTGGTACTCTTGACCATGATCTCACCGGAACTCCCGACGACAAGAAACTCGACGTACAGACTCCTGAAGTTGCCGATCAGGACAACATCGGCAGGCCCAGCGGCTCGGCGTCGGACAACGCGCAGGGGAGCGAGGGTGTCCTTCCGTCCGATGATGCCACCCAGAATCCTGCCGAAAAGGGATCGTCGGGTTGGAAAGGCACTGCTTACAACGGTGTCAAGGCGGTGCTTGCCATGATCAGGGATAATGTCGAGTTTGCGCCCGTCAAGCTGGCAGCAGGTGGACTCTTAACCGTCTTGGAGACCATCGATGTGAGTGTGGTTCCGCTCTTCGGTTATTGCTGGATTCATCTAACGGTTTCTCATCAGTTGGTCAAGGAGAACCGTGAAGAAGTGCAGAAATTGCTCGCTAGACTTGAGATCTTGAAGGAGATATTGGAATCATGCCCTGCGGATTTGAAGGGCAAATTGACAGACCGTCTGGACGGTTTATCGAGGTATGAGTTATCCTGCTCATTTAGATTGGAAAACTGACTTGGGAACCATCTCAATAGGACTCTGGAGGAGAAGGCGAAGGAGTTGGAAGAAAAGGCGAAGGATTCGAGGCTCAAGAGAGTGGCGAACGCCACCGAAGACGCGAAGGACATCGTGCAAGCGCTGGAGGAAATCCGATTTGCGATCGAGATAGCGATGGTACGTTGTGGCTATAAACCCCAGTGCGCCGCTCATGAAAACTCCTAGTTTGACGTCATACCGTCGCTCATGGCAAGGCAACGCTTCATATGGCGAAGGAAGTGACATGGTTGAGCAGGACTGGTAAGTACCTTATCGGACACCCGCCCGAGTATCTCTGACAGTCACTACAGTGACGGAGACTAGGGATTTGGCTGGAGCTGTGAAGGACGATACCACCTGGCTGAAGAAGAACGGTATGGATGATGGCCTCCCTGTCCTGCGCTTTTACTCATCAAGCACTTTCACAGAGCTTTTGAAGAAGATCGCGAACGTGGACGGGGCCGAATTCAATCGTGGAGACCGACGTGGATGCATTGCTGGAACCAGGGTGGCACTTTTGTCTCGGCTGCTCGGTTGGGCGAAGGACAAGCACTCCCCGCACGTCTTCTGGCTGAGCGGCATGGCTGGCACCGGGAAGACAGCAGTGTCGGAGACCTTTTGCACGCACCTCTTCCGCGAAGGTCTCCTGGGCGGGAGCTTTTTTTGTTCGCTCGACTGGGACGACCGCCAGGACGTCTATCGTCTTCTCCCAGCCCTCGCCAAGACGCTTGCTCGCGTGCGGCCCAAATTCGGCGAGGAGCTTATCAAGGTGCTGGAGTCCGATGACTGTCCTGACAACCTTTCGCGGATGAGCCTCAAGGACCAGTACCGGATGTTAATCCTCGAGCCCGCCGAGAAGTCGCTCTCCCCTGACGAGGTCACCGTGCTCTCCATCGACGCCCTCGACGAATGCACGGACAAGGAGGCATTGGCGAAGTTGCTCGATATCATCATATCCCAGAAACCGCCTGTTGGACTCAAATTCTTTTTGACAAGCCGCCCCGAGGTTCCAGTGCGCGAGCAGTTCGAGGACAAGTCTGATGGCCATCACCACCAGTCCCTTCGCCTTCACGACATCGAGCTCGACATGGTCCGGGCGGATATCAACATCTTCCTACACCACGAATTCGCCAGCATGCCGTTCCTCCGCAAACACTTCGAGGGGAGATGGCCACCGCCGGAGCTCGAGGTCATTGTGGACATGTCAGGAAAGCTGTTCATCTTCGCCGCGACCTTCGTCAAGTACATCGCGAACTACAAAGGCGACCGCACCAAGCGATTCAAGCAGCTTGCCGCCTCGACAAAGGGCATCCCATCCCTGTACCATCTGTACTCGCGCATTCTGACGGAGGCGTTCGAGGGATTGGATGACGAGGACGAGGTTGAGGACGCAACTACCATCCGCCACTGCCTCTCCTTGTTGATGGTTGCTCAACGTCCAGCCTCGGTGAACGACTACGCTGGGCTACTCGGGAAGGGCGTGGACTCGATTCGCGAAGCGTTCAAGCATCTCCATTCCGTCATAAACATTCCTGCAGTTGATGACCAACCCGTGTCCATCTTGCATGCTTCCTTTGCCGACTACTTGACAACTGAGAGTGTTCGCCTTTCCCACCCGTGGGCTGTCGAAAGACCAATCGCTCATTTCGTTGCTGCTGATTGGTGCCTCCGGGTGATGGACGAAATGCTGCATTTCGGAGTCTCGGGTGCGACAACTTCGTATCGGAGCAATGATGAGCAGCCTGTTGCTTTGTCCCTTCCATCCCACCTTGCATATGCCTGTATGTCATGGGCTGGCCATGTTGTTGGCTCTGGTGGTGTCAAAGACATCCAACTGCAGAAGATGTTGAAGCGATTACTTGATATTCTGAAGGCAAAGGCCTTCTACTGGATGGAGGCTCTAAGTGTCATAAAAGCAGTAAAGCAAGGAGCAGAAGTATTGTCACTTCTGACCCAGGTATGTGACCTCTATTCCTTTTAGATGTATCATTCTCATTATAACAATAGAGCAGCATGTGCACTTTGGAGCTGAAAGAGGTCCTGCATAGTGCCCAAAGATTTGTCCAAACCTTCCATATCCCTATCACCCAGAGTGCATCCCACATATACTTGTCAGCACTTCCTGCCTATCGAGATATCCTCCCTTTACTCCCATTCCTGGATAGCCACCATATCACAGCTACTGCAACTTTTGTACATCCAGGAATGGGACCACAGCTTTTATGTCTTCTTGGACACACATTAACAGTCACTTCGGTGGCTTTCTCCCCTGATGGCACCACCATTGCCTCTGGCTCTTATGACTGCTCAGTGCGGCTGTGGAGCACCCAGAGCGGGGAGCCTGTCTTGGGGCCACTAAAGGGGCACACAGGCCCCATTTCTGTGGCTTTCTCCCCTGATGGTACCACTATTGCCTCTGGCTCTGCAGACTGCTCAGTGCAACTGTGGAGCACTCAGAGTGGCGAGCCTGTCTTGGGGCCACTAGAGGGGCACACAGGTGTAGTCACGTCGGTGGCTTTCTACCCTGATGGCACCACCATTGCCTCTGGCTCTTCTGATGGCTCAGTGTGGTTGTGGAGCACCCAGAGTGGCGAGCCTGTCTTGGGGCCACTAGGGGAGCACACAGACTTGGTCAGTTCTGTGGCTTTCTCTCCTGATGGCACTACTATTGCCTCTGGCTCTTGGGACGGCTTAGTGCGGCTGTGGAGCACCCAGAGCGGCCAGCCTGTCTTGGGGCCACTAGAGGGGCACACAGGGGCAGTCACTTCGGTGGCTTTCTCCCCTGATGGCACCACCATTGCCTCTGGCTCTTATGACTGCTCAGTGTGGCTTTGGAGCACCCAGAGCGGCCAGCCTGTCTTGGGGCCACTAGAGGGGCACACAGGCTCAGTCAATTCTGTGGCTTTCTCCCCTGATGGCACCACTATTGCCTCTGGCTCTGCAGACTGCTCAGTGTGGCTGTGGGGCACCCAGAGTGGCGAGCCTGTCTTGGGGCCACTAGAGGGGCACACAGACACAGTCACTTCGGTGGTTTTCTCCCCTGATGGCACCACCATTGCCTCTGGCTCTGCAGACTGCTCAGTGCGGCTTTGGAGCACCCAGAGCGGCGAGCCTGTCTTGGGGCCACTAGAGGGCCACACAGGCTCAGTCACTTTGGTGGCTTTCTCCCCTGATGGCACCACTATTGCCTCTGGCTCTTATGACTGCTCAGTACGGCTGTGGAGCACCCAGAGTGGCGAGCCTGTCTTGGGGCCACTAGAGGGGCACACAGGCGCAGTCACTTCGGTGGCTTTCTCCCCTGATGGTACCACCTTTGCCTCTGGCTCTGGAGACTGCTCAGTGCGGCTGTGGAGCACCCAGAGCGGCCAGCCTGTCTTGGGGCCACTAGGGCACACCTGGGCAGTCAATTCTGTGGCTTTCTCCCCTGATGGCACTACGATTGCCTCTGGCTCTTCTGACAGCTCAGTGCGGCTGTGGAGCACCCAGAGGGGTGAGCCTGTCTTGGGGCCACTAGAGGGGCACACAGGCGCAGTCACTTCGGTGGTTTTCTCCCCTGATGGCACCACCATTGCCTCTGGCTCTTCTGACAGCTCAGTGCGGCTGTGGAGCACCCAGAGCGGCCAGCCTGTCTTGGGGCCACTAGAGGGGCACACAGGGGCAGTCACTTCGGTGGCTTTCTCCCCTGATGGCACCACCATTGCCTCTGGCTCTTATGACTGCTCAGTGTGGCTTTGGAGCACCCAGAGCGGCCAACCTGTCTTGGGGCCACTAGAGGGGCACACAGGCGTAGTCACTTCAGTGGCTTTCTCTCCTGATGGTACCACCATTGCCTCTGGCTCTGCAGACTGCTCAGTGCGGCTGTGGAGCACCCAGAGTGGCGAGCCTGTCTTGGGGCCACTAGAGGGGCACACAGGCACAGTCACTTCAGTGGCTTTCTCTCCTGATGGAACACATCTTGTATCATCCTCAAATGATTGTACTATCTGTCTATGGGACCTTTCCGACACAGCACAGAATGAAATTCCCTGCATGAACACCTTAATACACCAAGGTCTGTTTTATCTCATAGCTATAATGATTTTTATAATCCTCATCATTACTTGGTCCTAGGCTCTATGTTTCTCCATACATACCCAAGTAACCTCTTTACTCTTCATGAAGACGGATGGGTTCGTAACAAGTCTAATGACCTGCTTCTGTATGTACCCCCTTCCATTCGAGCATATCTGTGGAAGCCAGGAATGTGCTGGCGAACAGGCCGCTACGCCAAGGTTAATCTCACTTATGCAGTCCATGGTACCGAATGGAAAAGGTATGCACAGCCCCGAGTAACGTTCGAGTTTACTGACCGCACACTATCCCAGATGTCGAGAACCCAGACGCGAAGGCGCGAAACCGCAACTCTGGCCAACCGGGTTCCCGCAATGCGACGAAAGTACCCCTCCCTCCGACTAGTTAATGTCGTGCCCCACCGCGCATCGTCCCGAAAACCTGTACTCCTTATTCGTTGACATGTTTCCCTGTAACATACGTCTACCCATTTCATCACTGATATCATACTCGCACCGTATCCGGTGACAGTTGACTTGACCATGCACTCTCGTCTCAGCGTTCGCCACCGAACCCACCCTTCAGCTCCATCTCGTTCTTGACCGCCAACCATAACGAGTACGCCCCGGGCCAGCGATGGACAAGCGGCCATTCGTAATGACGGCGGGCACGAAAGCCCACGAGTAGCATAAGTCCTTACGATGCACGATCAGACGAAGCTCCTCTGAGCGACGACGGCAACCACCAGCGACCGCGAATGCGGACACGCCTCGCCAGTCCCCAATTGCTCCGATGATTCTTCAGGCCGACTGTGGCCTGCCTTCCCCACGTCGAACGAACGAGGGTATGAAGCGGTCAAACCCTGTGAGTCGAAGGTCCGATGGAGAGGTGCCCCAACGTCGCCACGAGTTGGATGGCTGCACCCCACCTCCCTGGGTCCAGGTGTCCCCCTAAGGAAGCATTTAAGAAAGATCGTAGGTTTGGTCAAACATGGTCACTCACAAGACATAACTATGGCCGCGAGGAGGAACGACCATGAAAGGCGGACAACGAAGAAACGACATGGCAGAGTCGACCAACGACACTTCACCGAGGAATGATATCATGGGAAACGGTGTAGCACCTCAAAAGCGAACTGAAAAATGCGTTAGAAAGGGACGAACTAGGAGTCCTGGCAGCTGGACGAACCTCTCCGGTGTAGACGGTGACGTTCCGCGGGTTAACGAAGCATAGCGTGCGCCGCCAAACCCATAGGCCAGGCAAAGCCGTTCGTCAAACAAGACATGATACTAAACGGCAACATTAGCCAATGAAAAGCCATCCAGAGCCGACAACCTTCTCCCACCTTTGATTGTGTGCTCTACGAGCGGCAGTTAACCAGGTAAGACACTTTGCGTCCACATACAGTCTGGAGGAACTGCCAAGACCACAGCCATGATGGTGAAAGCAGAGGTCGTCGTCGAGTCGTCGTGGTCGTTGGTAGAAAAACAGGAATCGACATGACGACAGGCCGTCACGGCGATTTCCCGCGCCAAGACATCCCCTGTTCACTGAGCACTCGTCCTCGCAAGCTCCTCGATGCAAAATGGAGTTCTAGAAGTAAGGCTATTTAGATCCTGGAAACCAATCGCAATATACCATGGGTCTACATTGACCATACGTCAATATGTGGACTTTCCAACCGAAATTTGCGGTGGTCTTCAGGCTCCATTCCTCCCTCAGACCGAATCGCCCTCTCGAGGATTCTTTCGAGCTGATTGAAACAAGGGGAAATATTACTGGCGCGTGGGTTTTGCATAGTTGACATGGAGTACCTGTCAGTGAGACGAAGAAAATAAGCATGGGTGGACAAGTCGAAGACGAGCATCACCCAGCTTCCGTACGGTGGCCAGCAACGAGAGACTGGCGAATGCCATGTTGCCGAACAAATTTTGGTTGTTGAGCAGATCACCAAAACGTTCTGCTGATCAAGTAATCGCTCATAGGAGCCCGGCTGCTCCACGTAGTGGGTGTGCCTCGTCATACAATCCCCACCAAACGCTCCTTCAGACGGCACGACCTAGGTCCCATACCCAGTGTCAACCGGCCAATGCGGGTGCTATTCCAGCACCGCAACGAAGGGTAGAGTCCGTATCGCCGCTGTGAAGCGGAGCGTTTCAGGCATGGCAAACAGGACGGATGGGCTCGTGTCATGTAGCAGCCCAAGGACGCATGAACAACACACGTCCGCCTTGACCATCGGTCCTTCAAGGCTACCTAGCAGCCCTACCCAATTCAGCATAGCCGCTTACCATTTACAGGCTTGAAAGGAGGGCGTATACCGACAGGGATGCCTGCAACGTCCATGTCATAGTCCAAGACCCACCACGGAAGTATCTTGCGCACGTAGATAGTCGACACGCCATCCCGAAAGGAATCAGGGATAGTTTACGGGACTGGGAACACGAATCGACGGTCTGGCAGTGTCAAGGGGTGCTTGAGATGTGGGTGGTTTAATCGAGGCTCCGTTACGCCATCTAGCTTTGAACGTAATATCAGTGCCCGGCGTTTCCGCAATAAAGAGAGAACATACTGAGCGACCTCGTTCTCTGAATCGGACGCGAGAAACTTGGATGTGGACGGGTTTGTTGGATGGAAATGTCCCTGTGAATCGCGTCGCTTGGACTTACGCCCAACCAGGCGCGAAGGGATTGGCGAGGTATGTGTTCCCTTTTGGTTGAACCATCCTCGGGTCTTTCCTGGAAGGGATGTGAACGAGGTCGAGATCCTGTGCAATGGATTTGAATATGGCGATTAGTATTTATCCAACATCCCCGCCTGTTGTCATCCAACCGTCAGCAAAGACTGAGGCGAAGTGTGCACGACACAAAGACTTACATGGATTCACGTAGCCTTTCCCTGACCAGGATCAAGGTCAATAAAGAAGGAGCGAGGAACTGTTTCCTCGAACGACAGTCAGTCGATCGTTATCGCTATCCAGGCAGTATAACTCTTCGCGCAGGGCTCAGTGAAAGCCCCAATCAACGAACCGATACACCCACTCCCCCTATCTCGCCAAAGCCTTGCCGCACAAGAACGTGATTTCAAAAAGACGGGGATGTAGCATTAGCGGAAAACAACTCCTCAACAACACGCAAAAAAGATCGAATATCACAAAGCGACGAAGAACGAACAACAGTCAGCCATACTGTCGAGATGTAGAGTCTAGTCTGTCCAAAAACCATCCCAGTCACATCAACATCATCGTTGAAGTTGTTGCAGGTTTGGCAGACACATCACGACTTAGCAGCCTGACTTTGCACTTGTTGCGCCAACATACGTCTATACAAATGGAATAGTATAGCGTCAATCCTGAATGCCCAAAAAGAAACGAGAAAAAAGACGCACTGTCGCGCGGCCAGAATCATCTGGGCCTTCCGCTCCCTCAAACTCGCCTCCCGCTTCTCGGGGCTATCCTCCCACTGGGCCTTACCCCCAACCTGGTCTTCAGGGACGACCTCCCCCTTCTTAATACGTTCTTCTAATTGGTAGCGTTCGATCAGGGAGAGGGGTTTAGGGGCAGGTTTTGATGATGAGGACGAGGCGGATGCTGCAGCTGGTGCTCGAGTCGAGCTCGTGTTGGTGCTGCTTGAGGGGTATAGTTGATGGAATGCTGCTGGAGGCTACATTTTGAAGCGAATAGATAGTGAATAAGGGTGGGGTTGGTGGAAGGAGGAAGAGCTAACGCACCGCTTCAAGGAACCCCCTTTCCAGCACTTTATTCGTCGTCTGCTCCACGTTGCCCGTTCGTAACAAGTCATAATGGATGTTCGCGCTATAACCACGCGTTTAGCACCCACTTCGCCAATATATAGTGTAACAACTCACATAGGTATATCAGGGAACATATTCGATACAGTCGAGATCTACACGCAAAGGAAACGACATCATCAATATACCAATAGTCAATTAGGAGAACCAAACCGCAAGGGACTTACCATATCTTGGGACACCCGTTTAGGCCTAAACCCAAGCGCCTCGATCTGCCTCTGCTCAGCAACATTATCGCTCCCTACAACATCCAAGGTTTAAAGCAAAAACCAAACCGTTAGCTTTCAGCTCAGCGCTGGTACAATTCCAAAGTACTCACCCGAAGTCACCCATCGAAATAGGAATATAATAACAGCAAAAGCAACGAGAATGTTCACCAGCTCTCCCATTGTTTAGGCTTCGACTAGGCCCCGGTAGTTGAGAGAAACGAAAAGCGTTCTCGAAGATGTGTGTCGTTCTGGCGTCGTGTGTTGGTCGGCGGTATAAAGCCTCGGAGCCAGATGCCACCAATGACGTTGTTTGGGTTTGTTAGGTTTAGGGACCGATGGCATTGACTCGAGCCTTCAGGCCTTCAGGTTTCGTTAAACACATTTCATTAAGAGTACGCAAAGGTAAAGTTATAGCAAGGGTATAATCAAAAACTACCGACTACGATGCGGCCTTCACACTGTTCAACCGAACCACAAGGGGCAGCAACGACACATTCTCACTCGATGCATAAAACTGAACGCAATCCAGGTGAATCTACGGAATGAATGTCAGTTTGGTTATAAAGTAGGAAGAGAGAGCCAGCTTACTTGGAACCAATGATTGAAGTTCGTCTCAAACTTGCCCAAAACATCCCACCGCTTCGCCATACCCTGATCCTCTTCTCCATTCTCGGACACCGCAATGGCATTACTAGCAGTCTTGGTGAACGACGCCGTGTACAACGCGAATGTCGAGCACGTCAGGATCAGCCTCGAGTACGCCTACAGCCCAATCAATACACACACATTCAATGAAGGTTTAAAAGAATCTAGAGCGCACCTTCAAGAGCTTCGAACTCGTCAACATACACTCCTTCAAACACGTATCCAAAAAATCCACATGATCCCTCAAAAGCTGATCCACAGTCGTCACTTTCTCCAACTTGGCAGCCAGGTTCCTCCAGTTAGGCTCTAAAACTTCAAACGTAGCAAACGCCAAAATCTGCTGGATGAACGCGAGCATCCTCGTACGGAGTAAGCATACACGCAGTCTCCATCGCTCAAAGTCTGGGTGGTGGGGCATGCGGCAGCGCCAGGGTGTTGTCTTTTGTTCGATCCACATGGAAGAAAGGGATTGTTCGACGTGTTTGAGGTGGAGGAGGAAGCGGAAGAGGAGTTGGTAGCGCAGGATCGTCTTGCGGGAGATGACCAGGGAGAGGGGGAACTTGACTGTGTAATCCAATGTCAGAGCGTCGATGGCTGGTTTGGCGCGAGTTAGCAAGTACATTATACTATGACCGTTAATGGAAGACGAACCTTGCATCGATTTCTTCTCCTCCTTCTCCTTCTTGGCAGGCTCTTCCTGGTGCGCAGCCTCTTCCTCACCACCAATGACACCGCTGACATTGACAACTTTGAGCAAGAAGTCGTAAAGTCCACTGTCAGCCATAGTAACTTTCACGTCTTCACGATACAAGGCGTCTTCTCCCAGTGCATCGTTGTTCAGAGCCAAATCGAGGAGACTCTGCAACTTGACGATAGAAGCGGATCGCGACGCCTTGCGCAGCTCTGTGGCGGACAGGTCGAGCAGATGGGTGAGGAAGGAAGCTTGTGACAAGAAGAAGTAGCGCTTGAGAGATCGAAGACGAGGGATGAGCTCCTGATCCTTCAGGAGTAAGTTCAAGAGCGTCTTGTTGGCGAATGAGTATGCGTTTTCAATAAAGGTGTAGAAACTAAGAGGCTCTTGTTAGTCGAAAAGTCAGAAAAAGCGGGGTTGAGCGTACCTCTCTTCGTCCAAGAAGAGTTCTTCGTCGCTGAGATCGTCCCGATTCACATCATTACCGCATTCGCGGATGACATTCAGATATTTTCCAGCCAGGAGGATCTTGTGTTTCCATCCTTCAAGCAGAGGTGGGATACACGCTCCACCCGGTAGTCTCCCACTTGGCCGGGGAGGAGGGACACCCGCCATATGGCGTTTCGAACCAGTAGTCGACGAGCCATCTCGAAGCTATGAACCGTCAGCTTTAGTCAAAGTACCTGGAAGGTCCACGTACAGTATACCGCCTCTCCCAGTACTCATCCGTATAATCCACCTCCAATATCCCGCGATCAATGAACTTGCTCTCCTTGACCAGCAACTCCTCATACGGATCGACCAACTTTCCTGTCGTAACCCACGTCCTCAGCATCTCGACATACGGTTTGGCCGCCGCTCGGAGGAGAGATTTGTAGATGGTATGCGCCGTGGGGTCACCAGCCATGTACTGCATCTTCTCGTAGATGATAGTGAGGACTTCTCCGCCTTTGACGTAGATGCCGTTCGCGCCAGCAGGAGTCGTATCGCCCTTGGTGAACTCTGACATGACGACCTTCAAACCCGCGCCTCCGAGCCCAAGCGCCTCGTTCCTCGCCCTCTCTTCCTCATCCTCCGAAGAACTACTCTCAGACGACGATATCGATCCCCCCGTATCATCCAAATCGAGAATAAGCTGGTAGATCAGGGACAGTGTGTGGATGGTCGGGTGCACGTAAAACCACAGTTTCTGGAGGGAGAATTGCGGGGAGGTGTTGAACGCGTGCTCGAGTTGGGAGAGGAGGGTTTGATAGTCCTTGAGCATGTCGCGGATGGCGGCGCAGAGTGCGTGGTTGATCAGGCCGAAGTCCATATGGCTTCGGTTCTCGATGAACGCGTGGATCGCGGTGTAGTATGTTCCGAGAGGTAGGATGCGGTCGACCAGGTCTCGGAGTGAGGAATCTAGGCGTGTTTCAGTGAATTGAGCGTATATGTTGGGATTGGATTCCTTACCCAAGTACGGTGACACGACAAACTGGATACCACGGAGAGGATCGTCATCTTCAGGGGAATAATCAGGGTGATAAGTGATATGTTCGCCTTCGATCCCCTTTCAAAAGTCAACATGAATGTCAAAGTTCACCCATAGAGAATACTTACCATCAATACAAAAAGTAGATCCTCCAGAATCAAAGCCTCTTGAATCTCCAAGGGCACTCGATCCAACGATTCCTGTTTAGCCTTGCCCTTGCTACTGCGCCGGGGATGCGCATAGTTGGCTGCAACCCTCGAATTCAACGGGGCGCGAACAAACGACGTTTCGGCTATGAACGACGAGTCCTTCGTATCTACAAGGTTCCATTTCAGTGACACTTTTATAACCTAGAAATCGACGCGTACTTGACTCTCTGCTGTCTTCCTCGTCCCCAGCCATTCGATTTCGCCGAACCGATGCGATCGTTCCCGCAATCTTGGTGTACTCCTTCGAGGACAACCCGAGGGTTTTCTTGCGCGACGAGCGCGTGTGTGGTGTGTACGGCTCCATGGGTAGCAATTATGCACTTCGTCGTCGCCGTCGTCGTCGTCGAGGCCTTGGAATTCGTCGCCGAACGCGATGAAGAGCTGTGAGAATCCAACGCTGATGGGATCACGCCCTTTTCCGACTCGACGCGGCGAAATTTCCTCCGGGCGCGGGTACGCTGCTGGTGACCAACCAGCACTTGCAATCCTCCCTCGACGCTCGACAGTGTCCGGTCATCGTCTACCAGCAATCTCATAGACCTGGTAAACGTCCAGTAACGCGCCAAAATGCGTGATAGAGGCGTCTTCAGCTTCAGAAGGGCTCTGCCCCGCATGGTACGTCGTCCCACACCATGACAGCAAGCCAACGCACAACTCACATACCCTCTCTCATTATGTTGTTTGGTATATATAGAGCTGGTCGCCGAAGAACTTGTATAATCTCTGGCGACGCACGATGGGTCCCAGGTCCGACGACCTCCGTTTCCGAATAACTGCATCCACTACCCTCTTCCAACAACGCTGGAAGTCGAAAGCGCTCGTCCGAGCATACCATGGAGACTTTATCCCTGAAAAAATCTTCAAACGCTGGTACCTCCCTGAAACACTGCCTGACGTCCGTCCCCAGCGCTCGACGGCACCCGTAGGCGATGACAAGGCTGCTCTCGCAGAGTATGCTCGGAGGAAACAGAGGGAGAAGAGCTTCGACGAGGAGATTGAGGAAAAGGGCATGGCGCCTGTTGGAAGTTTGATGTTCCAGGAGGTGGAGAGGAGGATAGACGTGTTCCTTTTTAGGTGTTGCTTTGCGCATAGTGTGTATGAGGCAAGGCGGATGGTCATCCATGGTGATGTCCTGCTGAATGGCAGAAAGGTCTGTTCTTCGTTTCGGCGTGTCTAATTTTGACTTTCTGACGAGCTGCTTTTACTTTACAGCACACCAACGCCAACACCCGACTTGCTCCTGGAGACATGGTCACCGTCAACCCTGACGCTATCCGCTTCTTCAAAAAACTGCCCGGGGAATACGATGATATCGTCGGCAGGCTGCTCACTCCCAAGAAGCCCGCTAAGGACGCACCCGCAACTGCAACCATCGAGGCCGCAGAGACCACCGAGGCTGCAGCATCCACCGAGGGCACCGAATCCGCTGCCGAAGCCGCCGAAGAGCAGCCAGCAGCTGAAGAGTCCAAACCCGCTGAAGCCGCCGAAAAGTCGACCGGCCTCACGCCCTTCTACCTCCCGCACTACGCCTCCCCTTGGCTCTTCATCCCAGCCTACATCGAACCCTCCTTCTCAACCTGCTCCGCCATCTACGTCCGCCACCCCACCGCTCGCCCAGGGTACTCCGAGATCCCCACCCCATACGACGCCGACGGTGCGCTCATCCGTTACGCTTGGGAGTGGTACGTCCAGCGTCGCCCCCGAGTGAGGAGCAAGAGCCAGCTCGCACGTATGCCTGAGGATCGTGCCTTCAAGCTTCGACAGGCCGCTGAGGACGGTATCCTCAGCAATGCCCATACGAATAAGGCCCAGGATACGGAGAGGTTGAAGAGGTTGTTGAAGCAGTCGAAGAGGAGGGGAAAGAAGGTTGCTACGGTGTAGTTTCCGGATATGTTACTGCTCTCCTTATGGATCTAATAGATACTCATAATATTTCATCGGTTTATACGCCTCCGCTCACACTGATCTCCTTCGTCTTGAGTAGGAGGGTCGATTCAATTATGGAGCGTTCATTAGGTAGGTCCCTCGACTACCTCTTCGCGTTCGCAATCGTATGGCGTTCGTGCCAAATCAGTTAGAAAGTGCTGGTGGTTGAGAGTTCAATTACAGTCACCGTCTGGAGCTGGAAGATCGCAAGCGGGCGCTTGATGGTTTTCTTCGACACACGTGATCAAGCGCGTCGCGTCCATGTTCGACAAGGTTCCAAAAATATAGGTAAAGGGATGGTATTACAATGTACGAAGGTGATGTTGCTTCTTCCATTCTTTCTAGGACGCGTCAGACTGGTGCGCCAGCAGGAATACCAAATGAAACGCGTACCTCGTTAACTTGTAGGTGTTACCAGTGGCGTCCAATGTCCACGGCTTGCAATTACTTGCCATTCGGTCCTACACCCGCAAGTCCAAGTCTCTCCAACTGTTTCAACAATCCCTCTTCTCCTTCCAGCCCGGTCGCTTGTCCCCAGAGATAGTAAATCGCCCTCTTCTGCATGCTGAGCAGGTTGTGTGGTAGGAACTTGATGAGGAAGGTTAGGACGAGGGCGCACAGGGTCGCGAAGATCGAAACTAACAAATGATTATATGCGTTAGTGTCCCTCGACGCCTAGAGAAGGCAGTGTGACACTCACTGACAAGCCACCGCTCCCAAGTCTCCATAACAGTCAAAGCAAAGGTACCTTCAAACCACATCCTCCATCTCCACAGGTACACGGCGAGTTTCCCTGATTCGGGGCGGCGGGCATAGCGCAAGTCTGGCTTTGGAGGGGGGAGGTACAGGGGCGGTTTCACGCCGTCGGCGACGCGGGTCGAGAGTGTGAGGACTTGAGACATTGATACGGATTGGTCGTGTGGAGCTCTTGACTGATGCTTTGGTACGCGACTGTGAAGTCGGGACTGGATGAATTTCGAGTTTCGAATTGGGCTAGTGGCAGCCGAGTTGGGAATTGGACTGGGCTGGTAGGCGGGTTCGAAAGTAGGCGGCTGGCGGGCTCTTATAAAGCGCTAGGCGGGTTTGAAACTCGCCTAAAACTGTTTTAAACGACGTGAGTACAGAACATCTCAAGGCGATTGCAGTTGCACCGAACTCACCGTTGTCTAGTCTTAAGTTTCTCAAGTGGGACGAGAGAGAACCTGTTGGAGGCCAGTGAACGACTGGGTTTCAGACGCGAAAATACCTCAAGCTAGCCTAAGCCGTTCCGGTTTGAAGGGTCCACCCCCTCCGAGCATTCCGAGCTTTTTAGAACGCTTTTACCTTTTTTTGCCATCTGCGTCACCGCGTTATTCCTCAACGTTCTACTGCACGTCATGCGTTGGTATTGATTATGAAACTGCCAGTAAGCTGCCGGGAGCGAATGAATAGTCCGAGCTCCTATGGTTCCGGAGGTGATTTTCCTTGTTCTGAGTTCCTATGGGTTCCTTTGAAGCAAGCGACATGGCGTGAACTTCGAAACAGGACACGAGGCGTCTGCGATGATCTTCGTTTCGAGGGACAGGTCGCAATGTCTTCCAACTGAAACCAGTACAGCTGGCGTTCATGGGGATAGAGATACATTTCACGGAGGGGATTAGGGATATGGATCAGCGGGTAGGTTAAGCCTAACGTCATAGTGCGCTGGGCGTAGCGCCGACAACTTGAGAGCAAAAGGTTGGCGTCATCGTCTCTTCGTAATCCGGCGCCTACCGGAAAGTCAAATCCGCTCGGGACCGGAGCGAGGGCTGCATGGAAAGGTTAACAACTGTTGAGTTTTGAAAAGGTAAACTCTATCGGCGTGCAGGGGAAGGGACCGTGTCAGCATTTAGGGCGCTTCTGCGGCGGTTCGCCCAGCAGAAGTCCATGTTTGGTAGTCGGCTGGCCGGTTTGGGTGATCTCAAAATACAATCCGATTATCGACGCCAGAAGACGTTCGGATGGGTCTCAGTGATGGTTTTAGGTACCGAAGTTCGAGGATGGTTTGCACGAAAGGGGTGAAAAACGCTAGCTATATTCGTCAATGTACACTGTGTAGTGAGGGAAAGAATAAACCGGATGTCAAACGCCCAACCACCTGAGAACTATTCGCAAAGTCTCATACAACAGCGTTTCGTCAGCGAGGCTTTCAGCCTTGGACAAACCAAACTTTTGCTAAGCGCTGGTGGCAGTCGCGAGCAGCGTTTACGTACAACGACGCCCACAGGACTTTGTTGATCCTGATGGATGGGCACTACTTTCGGACGCTGCTGAGGCGCTTTGACCTTCAAATCGTCCCAGAGCGCGTCCCGCCTGCCGTCTGACAGGGCGCTTTGATTCTCGAGGCAACTTGAAGCCGCTTTGATCAATGGGCGCTCCGCTGTGGCAACTGCCCGAGTAAGCTCAACCAGATGACGGGCAATAATTTTGGTGGTCTTGTCGCATTGGGCTGGCTCACAAATGAGACAACGGCCTCTACGCTAGTCGCTCAAGGGACTGCCTTTTCATCCTGCCACTCAAACTTGGGCACAGCTCAGCGTTCATTCCAGTACAGATATTAAGAAAAGTGGTTACGTACGAGAACCAGGGTGCCCACAGCATGTTGTGAATATTGATTGACGAGTTTTCGCGCCTTCGCGAGGAGCTTTGACATAGAAAGCACCCCCAATTGTGTGGGTAACGCTCCCGAATCAAAGCGCACGAGTCTCCAAAGGTCTTCTAATTGTTCCACTGCCACTTTCTTGGCGTCAAACGGGCGCCAAGTGGCGCTTTTCTTCCTTTTCAGGCAACGGTCCCTGTACTTCGTCGCTTGGACTCGCGGACTAGTGGTCGTTGCTACCAATGGCTTTATGCCTTGTTGTTGAGATGCAGGACTTACTATTCAAGGCTATTTTAAAAAAATATGGGTCCAAACCAATCCTAGAGGAATTCCTTTGTATGTTAATTCTCGAGGCGCAGATGCCTTTAATGGTAACTTCGCCCCCTCCCCCGCTCGGAAAGGCTATTCCCGCCTCTACTTTCCCAACCAATCCACCATATTTTGAAAGAGAATATAAGTTAAGGGCGGCGGGATGGGCATTGTTCACTATCGAGCACGTTCACCTCTAGAACAGTTGCCTATCCCGCCTTCTACTATCCTGGGGCCTAGCACGCATCGACCGCTCTCCAGAGAGTTTACCTACCACTTCCCAAAAAGATGCCTCCCATCCGCTCTGCACCCCATGCCTCTTCCCCACGTGACCAAAAGGTTGGTCCCTCTTGTTTTTGTTGTATTCAAGTTAACGGGGTACTTACACTTTATTGTCTACAGCCAAATAAAAAGTTTGCTACGCACACTTGCTCCGAATGCAACAAGGCCTTCACCCGATCCACTGATCTGAGGCGTCACGCGAAGATTCATGACGAATACGCCGCGCGATACGTCTGTACTTACCCCCGTTGCGCCTACGCTACTCTCCAGCGCAGCAATTTGAGGACCCACTTGGCTACCCACACCGGCGAGAAGAGACATGAGTGCAATTTGGATGGCTGTACCTTCCGCTGCGCAGACCCCGCTTCGCTCATCCGCCATCGAAAGAGAATACATGGCTATACCCGTCAACCACGCTTGCGCATGCTCAAGTCCGAGCCCGACGTTAAGCCCATCATCATCGACACCGACATTAAGCCCATTGTCAACACGAAGAAGTCCGATACCAGCACCACGTCCAAGACTAAGGCCAAGGCTACTAAGCGCGCACCTCCTTCCAAATCGGCTACAACGTCCTTCACCGGCGCTTCTGATACCCTTTCCGATGACTGGTTCGACACTGACTTCCTATCTTTCCTCGATTCTATCGCTGCTACTACTGCTACTGCCGCTGCCGCTTCTCTCCAGTCGTCCACCATTAAACCTGATCCTGCGTACGAATCTGCCTTCGGACCAGATCGTCCTGGATTGTTGGACATCGCTCCCTTCCCCGAGACCTTCCCATGGGACCCTCTTGCCCAACAATTGGCTCAGCATATTCCTGATGATTCTCTGCAGTTGCCCGCTGTCAAGCCTGATCCTGCGTGCGAGGGTGTCTTCGGACAAGATATTCTTGGATTGTTGACCTTCTCCCCAACCCTCGATACCTTGCCGTGGGACCCTCTTGTTCAGCAATCGACCCAGCATACTCCTTCTGCTTCATTGCCCGATATCAAGGCCGAACCTGCCTCCGGACCAGATCATCTTCATGGGTTGTTGAGAGTCGCTCCCTTCCCCGAGGCCATCCCGTGCGAAGCTCCTGTCCAACAAGCGGCCCAGCATTGTCCTTCTGCTTCTCCCCAGTTGCCCATCATCAAGCCTGATCCTGCATGCGAACCTGCCTCTGGACCAGAACTTCTTGGATTGTTGAACGTCGCTCCAATCCCCGAGACTTTCTTGTGGGACCCTCTTGTCCAACAACCGGTCCAACACGCTCTTGACCAGGATCCCTGGTGGGACATGTCGCAGTCCTTCCCCTATATCCCCGCTACTCCCCCTCCCCCTCAGCACACTACAAATATTTCCGGCCTTCATTTGCCCGCCGATCTTGACAATACCTTCGACGGCAACACCTTCAAGCCCACCTGGTCGTGCTATTCCGCCAACTGCGGCTTCTAAAACCCTTCACATTCGGGCTACACTATAATTCTTTCTTTTCTTCTACACATAATATTATTATTCTGCAATGGCTACGTAGGCCGACACTTCGTATTACCCTTCATTTTCGTACCAGCATTCTTCGTTCACATAGACTAGGCCCTTTCGCACTTCATTTGGCTTTTAGACATGGACTTCACATCATTTTCTCTGAAGTACTAATTTATCCTTGACTAATCTATAGTCAAAAAGAATTTCATAGTTGGGCCAACTCGCCCAACTTGATTTTGGTCCTCATACCGAAGTACTGACAGTGAGAGTGGAATGGCTGAGCGACCAAAAGTGGCTGTGCCGAGCGGCAATCAGCTTGAAAGTTGACGGCCGAGGCGAATTTCCGGCTCAACTGGACTTTGAAGCCATGCAGCTCTGAAGGTTTTTTGGAACCATCTTCAGGGTCTGAACGGTCAACGATGTATCCATCGTTTGTCTTATCCTTTTCGCGCTCCCAGAACTGTTGGTTTGGCGCCAACTGGCTAACGGTGAGATGCCGCTAATGCCTCCGTATAAGGCTTGGCGGCGACTGCGCCCCAGATCAGAATTACCAGATTCCCGAAAATCTGGCCACACCAACTTTTTGAGTTCAACGTCGACGGTGCTGCCAGCGAGGGGTCAATTCTTCCACCAGTAAACTCGAAACAGGTCGTCTTCAGGCCACAGAACCAGTCCCAAACGCCACTACTAGACGAACAACACGAACCGGCCGGCCAGACGTCGCCACGTATCGTTTCAACACACCAATTAACTCCTGAAACAGCGGCTGAAGCGTACAGCTTCTAAGGACGACCAATGGCTACGATTATGCGCACTCCAGATGTTCTGCCTCCGGCGAAACCAGACCACGCGTTTACCCGCAAACCGTCGTCCAAGATCGGGATATTCTTTTGGAGGTGGAGGATGTGGATCGAGGCGACGTTCGTGTTGTCCATGTTGGAACCTTGGGAGAAGATCCTTCTCTGTACGTGGTCGCTCTAAGTATCTCCAAACTCTTCAACCTGAGCCTGAGGGGCGTCCGCGATAGGCCTCTGTTTTCTCATTTCGTGCTCCTTTACCCCTGTTCGAGCGCTAACCAACATGTTTCACCTATACAGGGACTATCTACCTCGTGACCTGGGCGTTCTTCCTCAGCGCGGTCCAGAAGTATCTCCCTCACCATATAACAGTGATGCAGCGACGCGCTGTGTATTATCTGTGGGGTCAAGAAGGCGATGTCCGCCTGCTCTGGCAGCTCCTTGGGTTCGGTGGAAACGACGCCGCCGGCCCTGGGCTACTGAAGGAACTGTGATTGATACCTTCAATGACTCTCTTAACGATCTCGCTTCGACGTTTTGGTTACTTATTTTGTTGGTTTGAATTGGTGGTGGAACCCCGCTCACGTTCTAGAACCTAATGCCCCACGTATCCACTAATCTACTAATTTTGTATGTCTCTACTACCTAGCAAGACTATTTTGTTTTGTTGGTAAGTACTCAGCACTCTTGGCTTTAAAATTTGGTTCTGACATTGCCTTTCAAGTTGCCCACTTATAGATCATGTTGTGCTTTCTACCCGCAACGATGAATGGATATCGCCAGTTGCACCCTTGATCGCCCTTTGACCTTTGTTTTCTGCGCCTCAGGCGGGCTTGGTTGAAAGGCTTTGGTGTTCGGCATCGCCTTACTGCACCATTGTAACCGATAAGCCTTTGTTTATTGCTAACTGATGGTCGCCCCTCAGCCTCGATTGGTATTGCATAAAACGCAAGTGCGTCGACAGACATCCCTCAACTAGAAACTTCCCAGCCAGCAGCAACGACAGAGGGCAGCGGCCATGCCCTCCATGGATTCGACATCTTCATTGCCCATGTACTGGTTACCACCATGTCCGTCACACGCTGTAGATTCGACAAACCCTCCGTCCGCCAGTCAGCCAACTCCCTCTCCGCTGTACGCCGACGAGCCCTTTCCAGGCTTGGGGTATAAAGACCAGATTACCCTCATCTTGGAGATCCACTATTATTCGATGAAGACCTACGGTGTTGGGCTCAAGATCGAACGCGTCCGGAATGCTACAGGGTTCTTCCGGGTTCTTCCAATAGGTGGTAACAGTGGTAACGAGACATCGGGTTAGAAGAGCTTTGCCATTGCTGGCACTAGGTTTTCTTATGCCTTCACCTTTGTACCAGTACTAATATATTAGGGATGGACATGGAACTCTCCAGTCGGATCGGGCGGGCGTGCAACCTGATGTCCATGCTTGCTAGATGGCCAGAATTAGTTCCATTGTGTTCTCCCGCCATTCCCTCGCTGTGGTGACGATACGACCTGGAGAGAAGCAACAGCTAAACTTGCATTGCTAGATGGTGTACGATATGTCGTTCTACTAGTGTGAGGGAAGAGGCGAGCGACAAAGTTGGAGATGATTCTTAATTTGAAACTAAATCGACTGATAATCAACGCTCCTCTGATCATATGAAGCTTGAGCCTTGAGGCCTCGAGGCTGACGTTCAGCGCTGATATAGATACGCCGGTGGCTGTCAGGCTAAGCGAGGAAATAACCCCAAGGGAGAGGGCGCCCTGGAAGGGTTACATAGGTGAATGGTAAACATGTCCTTACGTACCAAGCGCCCACATTCTCGAGTAATTTCACTCGCTACGTCGTGTCAATAAACATTGCCAAGTTTCGTCTCCGCTCTCATACAGGCAGAAACGCTCTCGAAATCAGTTTTCTTTTGGCCGCAGAGACCTTCAGAGGCCCGCCCAAACCTCGGAAGCTGTATAGTGTTGTTTTCGATCAGCCTCGTGTCCTGCCTGCTGGTAGGTGCCAAGTCCCTGATTCTGCCTTTTACAGAAGTCAAAGTGTGGTGAGAGATGCTTGATCAAATCCTTTCCGCGCATCTCCCCGCCTCCAAGCCCGTTCCTTTGTCTCTTCTTCGCTCCGGAGCGATGTCCAATAACAGCTATTTTCGAGAAAGTAGGTCTCAGCCAATCCAACAGAAATTGCCTTCTATGTTAATTCTAGCCCTCGATCTCCCTTTTGAGGCAACTCCGCCCTTTGGGCCTCTTGATATGGTAGAAAATCACCTCTCGTCCCCACACCAATCCTCCAGTTTTTGAGGCTGGTTATAACTGCGGGAGTGGAGATGGTTTGGAACATTCTGTGTCTTATTTTTGGCCTCAGGGTCGTGTCCCACCTCGACGCGTCCTCCCGCCCCTCCCCGTGCCCTGTCCACCTTTTGGCGCGTATCTCCCGCCGAAGTACTTCCTTATCTGGAAAATATGCCCCCTGTGAGAAAGGATAGCCGCACTGTGGACTCGGGTGCAGGTGCTTCGAGCGTACGTCCGATCCGTTCATTTAACGCGCTTCGTGTCTCAACGTACGATAGAATCGGGAATGTCCGCACTGCCCGAAGGTTTTCCGTCGAGCCAGCGACATCAGTCGTCACCTCAGGACTCATGATAGCAAGGCAAGGTAGGTATTCGTCTTAATATGTTTCCGATGACCCCAAACTAATATTCCGACTTGAGGCGTTTCTACTGTGACTGGGCCGGTTGCACCTATAGCGCTGTCCAAAAGAGCAACCTTGACACCCACCGCGCGAAGCATACGGGCGAGAAGAAGTACGTTTGCAAGGATGACCCCAAGTGTACATTCCGCACCGCGGACCCCGCCTCGCTATCTCGCCACCGAAGATATAAGCACGGATATGTCCCCAAGGTCCGACGTAAACCCACAAAGTTGGTGTCCGCACAGGCTCCCTCGGGTACCTTTGTCGAGATCGTGGTTGCCCATCCACCCAGTCCTTCGTCCTCGACATCGTCCGCCTACCCGGATGATTCCAACCCTGGCCCCGTCAACAACCCCTCGCATATTTCCATACCCACCCTCTATCACCCGCAACCCCTCGACACCCTCCATATTCCAGGTGGAGACGCGAACCTCGCCGAACCAAATCTCGACGATGTGGCGGCTTTCTTGAACCTCTGCGAGGAGGACCGTGATTCCGAGCGACACCCACCCTTCCTGGAGTACAGTCCCCTTCCTCCGACAGTCACCTGGGAGTTCTTCCCCCACCGCGATCTACAGATGGGTGTTGCTTCCAAGGAGCCCACGTTCGAGGTCGTGGATAACTACCCGCGCGTTCCGTCACCTCCTCTCTCTTCCACTCCACTCCTTACGCCTTCTCCGGATCCGTTTAATCCCTCTCCCACTCTCGACCAAACCTGGCTAACGGATGGGTGGGTAGACAATCCCCTTGGTTATGGTTTCTAAAAGATTATCCTGTTCCAAGATCGCATCTGGCACCACCACTCAATGTATTTGTATTCGTTCACTGGGTTAGACGGCAATTTGTAACACTAGCTACGTTGAGATATTCTGCGCATTTATTATTACTCGTTTCTCTACTAGACATCATACTACCCCCCAAGTCGTACAAGTACCACTCGTAGTAGTACCAGTTACTGATCCTTCGACTATTCAAATTTTAAGCGCCCGTAGCCCATATTCCCGATGCCTCAGATTCTTTGCGAGCGATTGATGGGCCTTAATGGGTTGAAAAGGGTGAGTAGGTCACAGGCGTCGATCAGCAGTTTGAAGCTTTGCGCTTTGGCTTTAGAGTCGGGTAAGCAGACATGCAGCACATCCAAGGGTAAATCCTGGACCACCAAGAATGTCAAAGCTGTGTCCAAGCCATCACGCTTTGTGCAGGTCAGGAAAGGATAAAAGCGACGGCCTTGAATGGGTCCTCATTCTCAGAAGACATCTCTCCGCCCATCACCCCTCCAGCAATCGGTGTATCCACAACCACCATGCCCGTTACTAGAAACGTCCCAGGCCGTCCAAACTACCCACTCAATTGGAGGAAAGTTGCACCATCTTCGACGGTTACAGAAAAGAAGGTTGTGAGGTTTTTGACACCGGTACCCGGTCAGGATAAGGAAGCTGCAGGCAGCTCCAGCGCAATCAAGACTCCAATATGCCCCGAAAACAAGCGCTGTCATGCCGATAGTAAACGCGCTTCTGAAGCCAAAGTTCCACCTCCAGTTGTTTTCACTAACGTAGTACAGCCTGGTGACGAACCTCTGAACTGGGGAGACCTTGGTAAGCTGTTGAGTTTTGCCGTTGACCCTGCTGCCCTCCAAGGATTCCAGTTGGAGGATACAGCGTCCGATTTACCTTACCAACCCCGATAACCTGTCCATTCCAACTCTCCCTGAGTGGTCTTTGACTTGATCTGAGGTCATCAAGCTAGGACCACGACGTGTGTCTTTCGTCTTATGCACTCACCTTTCACTTATGCCCTATGCTCATCCTGCTCTATGGTTATGAGATTATGTCCGAAATGTTAGGCGCAATATCCCAATTAATGTAAAGATCGAGCGCTGAGTCCTGTGATAGTGTGAGAAATTAGAGCGCCAAATCGTGTGCAAATAAGCGCTTACCTACTCTGCGTGCTTCCAACCAAGTTCATGGCCATTCTCCATCATTGGTTCCACGAATCCTCGAAAGACCCAAAGAGGACTGTCCTTTGCATCAGGGCTGCCATGGTCCTGCGACCATCGCATACCATACCCTTCCCTAACCCTGACCTCGTAAACCAGAACCTGATGAGGCAGCCAATGCAGGTTCCTCCAGCTCGCAGCGTCCATGATCTTCCAGAACAAAGCGACTGCCCGCTCGTTGATTTTCGCAACCGGACCCGATGGCGTTCCCCACCACCCTTCGCTTTGTTTTCGTTTTTTCTTCTCGTTCTCCCCGTCCTCTCCTTCTGCGATGGGAGGCTGCGATCGGTGTGCGTGCTTTGATCACGCTCTTGCCCCTGCCGTCAGGTTGGCCTTGTTGGGGACCTGGAATGCGACCAAACACTCTTCAACAGAGGGAGCTGTGGATCCCAGCGCCGACCCAACTGTTAGTGCTAATCCCTGCTCCAAATGCTTAAAGAGCGGTGAGGTTGGGTCTAGAGGCAGACGATCTTCATCGCCTTCACCTTCTTCCGTTACAGCGCCTTTCGAGGATGACCCTGAGTCGACCAGACCTTCCGGATCCCTCTCTCTATCGGGTGGTTCCTCCGAGTCGAGCAAGTACGAGTCTAAGTCCTCTTTGCCGCTATCTTCCCATTTCGATCCCAGATTGCGAAGATAAGCCAAAACCCTTGATCGTTTCTCTGTCGCACCCGGAACCTCCTCCATTCCATGGCACACAGGGTCCTCGAGCTGGATGTCAGCGTGTTTTCTCTCTCGAGTCATCCCCGGCTCGCTTAGCGTTAGCCCAGCGAAATCTGCAGCTTCGATGCTATCGCCCGGAAGACTGTTATCGCCCATGTTGAATCCCTTCCAACAACGCGCCCGGGGAGACTTTGGAAGCAGATATGAGTGCTGCGGAGGGAGGCAAAGCGCTCCGTTGTCGACTTCGTAGAACGTCGATATCGCTGGCTGCGGATTTTCCCGCTCAAAACGCCCGAAGTCGCATTCTGATCTGAAATCGATTTTGAATGCTTTGAACTTGCTTTCTTGTTCTTGGTCGGACTGCCCCTTATTTAGCGGTAAGATGTAGGAGAATAGCGGCTAATTCCTTGTCTAAGCTTCAGCTGGTTGAGGAGAACGATATTGCGAGCCTATTGGCTCTATCGGCCCCTTCCGCGATTTGCTCGGATCCCGCGGAAGTATTATGCTGGGTTCGGGGATTTAAGCGCCCAAACGGTGTGATTTCTTTGTGAGTCTTCGACTGTCTCCGATAAGGCTTTGGATAAGGATAGTACAGACGTCAGCTACACAACAGCATCAAGGCACCTGCTTGTATTGTTCCTACAGACTCTGCGTTATCTACAGGTCAAGCGGCACTCAAGTGACAGGTTTATGGTATGCGAAGATAAGAGAACCAACAACGTTACCATTAGAGATCATGTGCAGAGGGGCCTAGAGAGACGCAAATGAATGATTGGTCTGTGTTTGCCTGCGATATGCCTCCGCGGAACCATCGAGCGCAGATCAGCCACTAATTGTTATCTTGAGGTCTTGGGCAATTACGGAACTGAGCTTCAGGTCTTTGGAGGTTCGTCCGATAATGAGAAACGACACGCAAACACGACGCATCCCTCGTTGAGACATATCGTTTATCTCCCTTCCGCCGTAGTTATTCAATCGAGTCTCGACTATGATTTCTAATTGGTGGGACGCCTTCAAAGCCCGGAGTATTGGGCGAGAGTCTTCGGGTGCCTATGATTCCATTGGGCACATATCGTGCTCGGAATACCTGCTTCGTTTTTACTTCAGCCGTTTTCCCACTGTGGGCACTCAGTGTCATTTTTGGAGCGTCTGGAGCCACTTTCAAGGGTTCGACACTTTCAAGGGCTCGAGGGGAGGAAATAGATGGCTTGGCAAATTTGTGGCGGGGATCGGACTCGAAGCGCGAGAACGCGAGGTTGCCAGTTTGGATCGAGGTGGTGACGGCATTCCCTAAACGGCTTATCGCTGGCCAACTTGGTGCAATGCTCAGTCCAAGGGCAGGGTCAGGTATTATAAAGCCCTATAACGTGGTAAGGGCTTCCAGCAATGCCGACGCTGGGTACTGGCTGGCACCCTGACGCCACGTTACAATTTTTCCTGCGGACCGTGCAACCTGAATGGGAGGTAATTCGAGACTTCATCCTTTGGCGACACCCATGAAGGTTTGCTGACCCGCTTTCACATTGCAGTTATCTTATCATATAGACTCCAGAGGCTAAATTCGAACACCAATGTCACATTATGTCGAGAAGGAATCAAGAACTTATCGGACGTAAAGGTACCAAGTTCAAGAATAATCTGTAGGGAAAGATAGAGCTTCTTCCTTATCAGCGGACAAACCGGGCATGAATAGATATGGGAGAGGCATATTCGAGGTATAAAAGCGAAAGATTAAGGCGTTTGGTAAAGGCCATAGGCCACCTCCCCGAGTTGGTTGAGGGGTTGGATCGTACGACAGCGACGCAGTCCAACGTCTTTCGAGATGGCAGAGTATCTACTCCCTCAAGGTGCTGGCTATGGTGTTGGTATGTCTATCTACAGCATTTCATCGTACACTCGTCGCTCATGGCCTGCTCTTCATAGTCATCGGTAGGCTAATGTGGTTCATGACCTCCGTAAACTCGTCTGACGCCAGCGCTCAGGCATGGGTCTGTTCTTCTCCGCGTTCATGATCCTCTTGACTGCCATCCAAGCACGATACACCGGTTTCTCTCCCAAAGACTCCGAAGAGTTTACAAGTGCTTCTCGTAGCATCAAGCCAGGTCTAATTGCGTCTGGTATTGTGTCCGCTTGGACGTGGGCAGCAACCCTTGTAAGCCGTGTCCATCGACCCTGCAATGGTCATGTTCTAATCAATTGGTTAGCTTCAAAGTAGCGCCGTGGCCTACAAGTATGGCCTCTCTGGACCGTGGTGGTATGGAGGTATGGAGGTATGCCTCCCAGAGAACCAGGTCGAATACTGACTCTTCGCAGCTGGAGCAACCGTTCAAATACTTTTGTTTGCCATGGTAAGCATTGCTTCGTCGTCCATATCGTCCAGCTCTGACACGTGTTGCTATAGTTGGCTGCGAAGCTCAAGTTGAACGCACCATACGCACATACGTGGCTCGAAATTGTCGGAGCTCGTTGGGGCCGAACCGCCCATTTGGTTTTCATGTTCTTTGGGTACGTCGAGTTTACCCTAGCTGACTGGAAAGAGCTAAGATTCACAACCATATTTGCCTACTAGTCTCGCAACATGCCTTATCGTTAGCTCCATGCTTATCCTTGGCGGGTCAGCCACTGTGACTGACTTGACGGGAATGCATACAATCGCTGTGAGTCGCCTTATCGCTCTTAGTCTTTGGCCAGGATGTCACCTCAATATTAGGCATGTTTCCTGATTCCACTGGGAGTTGCCATTTACGTGGTTGTTGGTGGGATGCGGTCCACTTTGCTTTGTGACTAGTAGGCAGCGTTGCTTTTTTCCATTGCCTTCCAGTGTACTGACATTTTCCTGTAGCACCCACACTGCCGTGCTATTTGCTATCATCCTCGTGCGTACCTACACGCGGTTGACTGGCACCAGTGCTGATTTGCTCCGCTTCGTAGACCTTCATCTTCACGGTCTATGCCACGAGCGAAAAGATCGGCAGTCCCGCGAAAATGCACGAGTTGTTGACCCTTTCCTCTCTCATAAATCCAGTTGAAGGGAACAAGGAAGGGTCGTACATTACCATGAGATCCGAGAATGGCCTTGTTTTTGGGATCATCAACATTGTCGGCAACTTTGCCACTGTTTTCCAAGATCAAGCATACTGGCAGCGTGCTATTGCGAGTCGACCCGCTACCACCGTCAAGGCATATCTCCTTGGTGGTCTGGCTTGGTATGTCCATTAGATGTATCCCAATGATTCACGCGATTGCTAATGCCATGCGTAACCAGGTTCTCGATCCCTTTCACGTTCGCTACCACCCTTGGACTCGCCGCTGTCGCTCTTCGAGGAGATCCCCAAATGAAGGTCCTCACTCCAGCCGACGTATCTGCAGGTCTGCCCGCCTCCGCTGCCGCCGCGGCCCTTCTTGGCAAGGCTGGTGCTGCCGCTATTCTCATTCTCCTCTTCCTGGCTGTCACCTCGGCTTGCTCTGCTGAGCTCATCGCCGTTTCCTCCTTGCTCACCTATGATGTTTACAAGGCCTACATCAACCCCAATGCAAGTGAGGAGCAAATTCTAAGGGTTGGCCACGCTGGAGTCGCCCTCTACGCCATCGTCTGTGGGATTGCTGGCACCATCTTCTATTACATCGGTGTTTCCATGGGCTGGCTCTACGTACGTCGCCTGGTTTGGGATTTCACTCGACGTGCTAACCCCTTCCCGCTAGACTTTCATGGGAGTCCTCCTCGGATCTGCAGTCGTTCCTATTGCCCTCGCTATCACTTGGCATAAAGCTAATAAGTGGGGCTGTATCGGTGGTGCAGTTTTGGGCTTTATTGGCGGCATGGTCGCCTGGTTGGTGACAACTGCCAAACTTAACCATGGCGTTATCACCGTTGTGACAAGCGGCGGAGACTACGAGATGCTCGCTGGAAATGTTACATCAATTGGTTTTGGCGGTATCATTGCAGTCGTTTCGTCTTTGATTGTACGTGTCTGTTTTCACCGTTAACAGCTGTGGCGCATACTGACATCCGTTCCAGTGGCCCGACAACTTCGATTGGGAGACGACCCGCTCCATCAACCGGCCTGCTCCTCCATCCCCCGATGCCGCTGAGCAAGATTCCAAGTCTGACCTCGAGAACGAGAAGAAGAATGCCTCTGAAGTTGTTACAAAGCCCGCCTCTATCGCCGACTCTTTCGATGCCAACGAGGAGGCAAACGAACTCGACCCCGTGGCACTCCGCAAAGCCTTCCGATTTGCCAGCTGGGCGTCTATTTCACTCGTGAGTAACTTCAAGTTTACCCTAGCCTAACCCACCCTCGGCTAACACCACGTTGTAGTTCGTCGTGCTCATCCTCCTCATCCCGCTGCCCCTCTTCTTCTCCCAACACATCTACACTGTTGCTGGGTTTACCGGTTGGGTTGCAGTTGGCATTTCGTGGACCTTTTTTTCCATCTTTGCAGTCGTCATTTACCCTCTCTGGGAGTCCCGGGTTGCGATGTACCAAATTTCGAAAGGTGTCATCAAAGATATCTTCATGAAGGGCGGTGGAAGATATCAAGCCGAACCTCCTAAAACATCTGCTGCCTGAATGATTGTGGGTCATCTGGTCATCCCGGTATCTCTCTCCTTCCCTCTTTGCCTCTTTACGATTTGGTAATGATAGCCGTTTCACGCGCAAAATGTCTTCTTTCAACTCCAATGTAGTATTAGCACCTTCGCACTATAGCAGTCAAGGTAATACGATTTAATTGACGAACCCAGTTCAACAGACCGCGCTACATCGACAGCATTAATGGTAAGTTTCCGAAAGAGTTAGTTGTACTTCGATTTCTTCGTCGAGGCTTCAGCTCTTGCGGCCACGCGCAGACTCTTCGCCAAATCTTGATAGAGTTGGACAGAGATGATAGCTGGCACAACAATCCATATTCTAAGCGCAACGGATCACGCGATTAGCCTTGGTCGATGAGAGAGAGACAGAGAAAGACATACCCGTTCAATATGACCCACAAAATCAATTGGGGAACTCCGTTGTGTCCGATAGCGCAGAAGCCGCAGTAATATTCCTGAGCCCAGTAGAGAACGGTTTTCGAGAGGGTGGAGATAACGGTCCCGAAAGCCACGACCGGGGCTGCGGGAGACTGCGCGACGTGTGCGAGGTAGAGGTATGCAATCCCTCCTATTTGCTCAAGCATGTTGACAAAGGCTGTGGTTGTGAGTTGCGTCAGAGCCTCCGGATGAACGAAGAGGCCACGGGGACATACACTGTGCGTTGGTGAAACCATCACCGCTCTGGAACGAGGGTACGCCGTAAATCTGGAACGCAGAAACTCAGTATCCCGAATTTTGTTCCTAGTCAGGGTACACGGACATGGTCAATCTGTAGGTCGGAAGTGCATCGTAAAGTTAGCCTCAAGGGCAGTTAATCATGGGCGCTCGACGTACATCCTCCCATATTTCATAGACCTTCCAGATCCAATGCAAGTCTCCGCCCTACAAGTGCAAGTGGTGAGATTTGAGGTCAAAAAAGCGCGTTCCATGTTATGCTCTGGAAGGAAACGCACCACCATGGACCTGGGTCTGTAAAATCGAACGATGTTAGGGGTGTATCCAAGTTTTAGAGGTTGCCTCGTACCTGAAGAAGCAATATGTAGCATCATAGATGATTACTGGGAGGGTCAAGAGGAACCAGGCTGAGATCCAGCCACGGGGTTGAAGGGAGGCCATGATGGTGAAAGGAAAGCAAAAGGGCCTCTCGAGTCGTGAGTACTTTGAGTGCTGAACGTTGAACTCGAATGACACGATCAGAAATGTATGTCATACCAATTAGCTCACGCTGTCTGAAATAGGTAGCATGGAATACACACCTATACACCTCTATACACACACGGAACAGGGTTGGACGTCACCGGATCTCTATCAGACTCCAAAGCATGCGGCAGTGGGAACGGGAGTGGTGCAGCAGCCCAGGAGAGCCCAGGCTTCTGCTGTCAGCAGGGAACACGACGAATGATGAGAGATGAGTTGCTCACGCCTCAGGTACGGCCCGTACTTACGGGTACCTTTATCGGACTGCAAGCGCGCTCTCGGTAGCTTGTAGATAAGCGCCCATTCTATAAATGAGTAACAGCGATACGACGATGTCACCATCTATTATATTTCTAGTGAACCTAGTTACCTATCCTTGTAATATAGCTCTCTGACTCGGACTACAAAGGGTTGAAGCTACGGATGTAATTACTTTGATTTCAGGCGTTTCGTAGCATCGTCCACCCTTGCAGCGGTGCGCAGGCCTGCGGCAATATCTTGGTAGAGCTGGACAGCAATGATCGTAGGTACAATAAGCCAGACCCTGTTGAATGCTCAGTGAGCTCGGCAGGTCTATTTCAAAGGAACCGAGAGAGCGTACGCATTCAACGCGACCCAAAGCGTTAGTTGAGGCAGGGCGTTATGGCCAATGGCACAGAAACCGCAATAGTACTCCTGCGCCCAGTATAGAATAGTCTTCGACAGGCACGAGGTGTTGGAGGCGAACGCAATGAGGGGAGCTGCCGGGGTCTTTACCACGTATGCGAGGTAAAGATAGATAACCCCAGTAATTTGTTCAAGGAGGTTTAAAAGGGCTAATAATAACACGGTCAGAACGGGCGAGAGAGGAGATGGAAAGTGCGGGGATACCTTGTGCATTGGTGAACCCATCCCCACTTTCATATGCTGGCAATCCGTAGACCTGGGATATTGGGAGCTGTATCGACGGGCCGGAATCGCAGTTCAATCTGAGGAGATACGCACGTGGTCTATCTGTGCGTCGACGAGATCGAAGTGGCCTTCGTCAGACTACAGCTGTAAACGCTAAATGCATCACAACGACGTACTTCTTGCCACAGTTCATACGACTTCCAGAGCCAATTCAAATCTCCGCCCTAGAGTGAAGTTTGTGCTGTAGCAACGAAGTGGACATGTTCGGCGGGTCAACGTACCACCATGGACCTGGGCCTGTAACAGTCGCCACTCGAATCAGTGGTGTTCAAAGGCCTTGAACATTCCCGGAAACATACCTAAGGAAGCAGTACAAAGTATCATAGATAATGATGGGGAAGTTTATGAGAAACCAGACTGAGATCCATCCACGGGGCTGGAACGAGGCCATGTCTGGGGGCAGGATGGGTATAGTGCTGACGGTTAACGGAAACGAGCAGTTGAGGCTGTTTATACCCAATCCCTTGCCTCGGGTGATTGGAAATATCAGACCACAAACCGCAGAAAGATATAAATAGGATAACGACTAAGACTATTCACATAACCGGGCGCTGCTGCTCGGCGACATGATATGGTTGGAGAAAGAGACTCCGCTTATCCAGGAGCTTGACACTGCGTCTAACTCGGTGTAACCATCGTCGACTATTCGCTGGCCTTCACGGTGAAATTAGCAAGCGATGGGATGAAGGAGTACGCTGTATGTTGTCGTCGAAGTACCTCTTCGACTGGAAAACGGCAAGGCGTAGCCAACAAAATATACCCAGATTACCGGTCACTGGCCGTGTTGTTTTGCAATGATATTATACATGATACAGTACTGCCCGGGCCTGGAAAACATAGTTGATCCGGAGATGGCGCAGTTTTCTGAGCCTCTGACGAAGGTGTATGTAAACGCGGAAGAAGGACACACGACCCCTCTCCATTATCTCGGTGTACGAACCCCTTCTCCAAGTCGATCCCTGGCTGCCTAGCGCCTTCGCGATGTCACTAGGAAGACAAGGGTGGGCGCTTAAAGAATGCAAAGCCGAGGCCTGGCGCTCAGGCTGAGCGGAGGTGCGGATGCTGCAGAGCTAAGACATTGCCTTCATTATCTCTCAAACAGTTCAGTTGCTACCGCCTGCGCCGAACTCAAACTTCAACGACGACTCGGAAGTCTGAAAACAAGTGCGCGGACTGGGAATCGAACGTGCGACAAATCCAGTCGCGATCAGTTTACTGAGATTCGATCGCAAGCTGTGCTTCAGTAGGTTGGGACTGGGTTGGGAGGCTGGCCTTCTCCAAGTTCTACCAGCCCCTTCTTACGAAGTACAGCAACATCCTCTCACTACCATCATTCCTCTGAGCGTTCTCAGACAGACGCCCTATCCCGAGAAGATGAACATACGTCCCACAACGTTCGCCACTCCAGTCAAGCGGTCTAGGTCAATTTTCACCCGTCCGAGTCGTAACAAACTGCACCCTCTGACAGACTCTTGATGCTCGCATTCAGACGTACTTCGAGACACTTCAGTAAGGCTCAGACCCATCTAGGCTATCAAAGACAGTGACTGGAACTACACTGGACGCCAGTAGGACGGTGCACTCTTCCGAGCCTTCTCGTTACCTTTCGCCGATCAAGGCTCTCCAAACCTTCACTCCAAACCTAACTCGACATGGCTGCGCTTGCTCGGGATCTTGTTTCCTGCTCTACCCCTGTGTCCCTCGACGGTATCCATCTTCCCATATCTGAAGGAGTGGCGCAGGAAATTGCGACTAGCGGAGCAAGGCCTCCAATGGTTTCTTCGCTGAGTCTCTAGTCGGTGCGAAATCATCGAGGAGGCGAAGGGCCACAATTTACGAGATCCCGTCTTTTGAAAGCTTCTCTTCGCCTCCATGGTCACTATCGACTTGGCTAATGACTTGACGAATCATCAACGAATCTTATGGCCGGGCTGACTCGATGCCACTCTCAAAGGTTCGGCAACAGATGGCCTGGGCGGTGGTCGCGAATGTTCGACCTCCTGGTCGTCCTCCTCTCGCCAACACCTTATTCTTATTGACTCTTCTCCTTGATCGGGTCCGAGGAACAAACGGCTTCGTTTCACCTTCTTCAAGCCTCCAGACGGGCCCATTTTAATCAGGCGGGGTCGCTAAGCCTTGGAGAAAGTAAATGAAAGGTGCGCCCCCTCCAAACCCAACCGAATCATAGGCTTCCAAGTCCGCGACGGGTTGGAATCTTGAAGAATCCGACCGGCGACGGGGTGAATGCTGAAAGCGGGCTGAAGTTCGGCATTGCGTCTTGGGCCAGCCACGAGCAACGGTATCAGACATCGGGGGCACAGACTGCCTTCTCCGCTGGTTGTCTCCCACAAATTTAGGGTGTAACCACGAGTCTGAGCGAAGGTAAAGTGGCGCATTTCAAAACGAGCTAAATGCTGTTCACCCGCGTCATGTCTACTCTCAATCGACCGGATTCTGCGGAAGAACTGTCAATCAGACATGCTTCGCGTCGCTGGAGAGACTGGCCGAGATGACGGGGAAAATTCCAGCCGCCACTTCCTCCAACAAATTGCCTTGCCTATCGACTGCTGATGGATGTATATGGCAATGGACTGTATACATTCGTATCTATCCGGTGGATTTGTGCTGAATTGACTGTCGATCTAGGTCAGACAGGTGTTTGGAACGTCGGGTCTAGAGTTTGAATTTGAAAGCGGTTAAGCTTCTGGTGGCAGCATCTTTTCGCAGAGTTGAACGCCGCAGCACGAGAGCAATCGATAGGAATGAGAATTTCCTTGGAAGCAAAGGAAAAAATTGAACATGGTTCGACGTGGACGGTTCTTCTCGAATTCGAGGGTCCCCCTCCGCCGGGTATAAATACCCTTCAACCACGTCGCTTCTCTCTCCAGGCTCCTCTAGCTTTCCTACCCTCCCCAGTACTCAGACACGTCTGTTTTGCACCACACCCACCGTTTCTCTACGATGTTCTCCAAGGTTATCACTACCATCTCCCTCTGCGCTCTCTTCCTCGGCGTCTCCGCCGCCCCCAGCGACAGCAACCAGTGCAATGGTGGGCAAGTCCAGTGCTGCAACAAAGTCCAGGACTCGAAGTCCCTCGATGCGGGCGTCAAGGGCCTCCTCGGGGTGCTTAACATCGACCTCAGTCAATTGACTGGCCAGGTCGGTGTCACTTGCACCGCTGTCAATGTTGTTGGCGTTGGAGGTGGAAGCCACTGGTAAGTAACGCCTGCAGGTCCAATGTAGCGTACTACTAACACCCTTTCCCGTTGTGATTGTAGTTCCAACCAAGCCGTCTGCTGCAACAACAACAACTTCAGTGAGTCGTCGAGTCGTCAAGTAAATCTCCCAGCGTCGGTTACTAACAGGAACATTGCCAGACGGTGTCGTCGCCCTGGGCTGCACTCCCATCAATGTCAGTGTCTAAGCCGCAGGCACTATTGGCGGGTGAGTCCCTTCAGCGTCTTCACTCCTCATCTTGACGATGCTGACATGATATTTCCCCGTAGTACACCTCGCTCCATGGACACTTTTAATTTAGATCGCGTATTTTTTTGGATTTCGTAGTAGCACTAGTACTCGTCTTTCGCTTGTACTCTTGGTCTACCATGCATGTCATTTAGCTCCTTGGTATCCATTATCCGTTCTCAGTCACACCGGGTCTGCACCGTCAGTTCCCCAGCGTTTCATTGTCCTGAGGATTAGTACATTCTGAGTGGAAGACTTTGGAAAAGATGAATGTCCAATGTGGATACATACCTGTCGGCTGGCGGCCAAAAGCCTTCCTGGCCGACGGAAAACTCATTCACGGGGAGCACGTATTAGTCGCGCCACAAATCCCCTTCGACGTTGCTGGTGGAACGCGGACACCGAAGGGCGACTCAATTGCGATTGTCCTGCGGCAGTAGCCTGATGTATGTCCTATCATCTCCTCCGCAGGGCACTTCATGGCTCGACCTGTGCGTTCCTGGTCCCTTTTATTCTCGAATTTCCTGAATGGAACTTTGCCATTGACAGGAAGCGCCCCTATTCGAGCGACCATGCCGACTGATCCGTGAGCGCTTTCCCACGTGTGTGCATTCGGGCGCGCTTCATCCCCTCGTTCAAGCCGAGTTCAGAGTTGAACAGCTTTCTTCGTCATCTTTCTTCTCAGACTTTATTCATATCGGCCAGCATAAGGATACCAGGGGACCGAGGACTCCCAGTAAATCAGACTATCTGGACGCCAGCCGTCAACCGCTGCGACGCAGTGATACGCAGCAGTAACCACCAGACCGTACGTCTTGTGTCATTTATTGGCAATAGACTTACACTGAAACTTTCCTTTATAAGTCTACCATATACGCTCAGAGACCTGACTGGGAACTCTGAACAGACGCTGCAGACAATGTCGCTAGCAAAACTTACCTCGATCTCAACTAAAACGCTGTCGCTGCTACTGGAGCGTCAGCGGCTCCAAACGTTACCGAGTTTCTCGACTCCGAATTCCCCGTTGCACGACCCAAATTCCAGTCCCAGTACGGGCTCTCTACACCTAACTCAGATCAAGAAGAACTTGGAACAGCTGCGGAATGGGATAGCAGCGATGCAGGCGAAGGAGGGGGACTCTGAAGCGGTCGGGCTGTTGAGGAATCAGTATGAGAGGATGAGGGGGATGTTGGGGAGTGATGCTGCTGGTGTCCCTAGGTGCGTCTATCTGGCGTTGAATGGGTTTGAATAACAGCTTATGGTCGCTTTAGCTTGAGCCCAACTCCACAACCCAGTCCTGAACCATCACCCTCACCGTCCAATTCACCGTCGCCCGTACCCCAGTCAGTACCCAGGGAACCGTTACCTTCAATAGGGTTGTCAGGTGGTGGTAGTGGCGCTTCGAAACAAGCCGCGTTGTTCCTCTCGTCTTCGACCTCCCCTTCATCACACACCCGCTCAGATTCGCATGGAGTGTTTGCGCCATACAAGGATGATCCCTCGCATTCGACGTCGCCGCCCAAACCAAGTTACGCGGACGAAGAAAGTGGGGATAATGACCACTCGATTCTACTCCAATCGCAGCGCTTTTTGATGCAGGAACAAGACCAGCGGTTAGACGAGCTCTCGCATTCGATCAACCGGCAACACCACTTGTCAGTGCAGATTAATGACGAGTTGGATGTGCACCATGGGTTGCTGGAGGAGCTGGATACGGGAATTGATCGGACCGCTGGACGGTTAGGAAGCGCGAGGAAGAGGCTGGACAGGGTTGCGAAAGGGATCAAGGAGAACAGTGAGTGCTTGAGTACAGTTGTATCCTCTTTTGCCTGGTTCATTTGGGTCCAAGCTGCGATTGGCCTAGCAATTTGTCTTTCTATTGGTTGCTTGGTAGAGCGGAAGTACTGACTGGAATTTCTGTTTAGGCTCAGCATTTATGATTGGCCTCCTTATCTTCGTCCTCCTCATCCTGATTATCGTCCTCAAAACGTGAAAGCCACGCAACGAGGCTTCTCAATTCATTCCACACCACCGGGGCCGCGCATTGGGGACGACCGATTGGGGCCGCTCCGTTTCGATTTCTTTGCGGGTAATTCATTGTACACTAGGCTATATATCCACATTATCTTCTATTCCATTTCTTCGTCTTGGATCTGTAACTTAATACACATATTCCTACCACGAGTTGACTTCCCTAGACGCCCAGGATACTCCAGACGATGCTTCCCACCACACTCACGCCATCGTTTCTCCAGAATCGCCTTTCCATGGCCTGATCTGCAATGTCTTCCGGAATGACCTTGCCTCTCCGTTCCTCCACCAAGGGCGTGACAACCTTCTCGTTCCATTCTGGGTGACCCTGCACGGTGAAGACCTGAACCTTCTTCAAGAGCTCACGGTTGCTGACCAAGTCCGCGGTGAGAGGCGGGGATTGGGTATTGGCCTCGAAAGTTGATGGCTGGGTATTGGCGATGGCCGGGTTTTCTGGGTTGACATTCGACGTCGTGGTATTCGGTACAGTTGCTGGCGTCACACTTGGAGGTGGCACATCTGCCTCATCGTAGAACTTGACCATTCCCTGGTTTCCCGACCGTTCCGTTGAACCTAGCAGGTGGAACGAAGGTGGTGTACGGTCGACTGGAACATGGTCTCGATGCATCTCTTCGAGTGTGATGGTGTCCAAGCCTCCGAAGATCTGTTTACCGAGGTCGGTGAGGTCGATGTTCGTAGGTCCGACTTCCCAGCCTTGGGTGTTGGGTACACATTCCCCGCCAAGCGCGCGTGCGATGATTTGGTGGCCGAAACAAATGCCTGTGCGAGAAAGAAGACAAGTCGGTTAGTTTACTAGGACGGTGTGGGGCGGCGAAGGAATGTGAGCCACGAGAGCCCAGCAAGTAAAGCATGACAAATATATTCAAGGGAGTAAGCAGACGTGTCTCATCGGGGGCTGAGTCCCGCGAAGCACCAAGGCGACAAAAGAGTGGCTAAAATGGATCAAAGCAGGTTGACGAATTCGGCAAGAAGTAATCAAAGGATTAACCTAGCCCGATCCGAGACCCACTCATTCACCGAGGACAGTGGTCTGGTGAGGGCTTGTATGAGAACATCCTCGAGCCGGTGTGGGAGGAGGAATGAGAAAAGGGTGGATAGGAAGGGAAGGAAATGCCAAGTGTCTGGCACCCAATGCGTGGGTTGCATCCAGCGAGGCCATGTGCGCGACCTCGAGGCCAGAGGCCGAGCACCCAGGAAGAAGTCCACAACGGGAACGTGACGATGGAAGGGTAAATGTGAAGGGATTTCACACTATCGACCGATTCGGATGAAATGATGCTTGGGGGAGGGAAATGGCACGAGGACTGGGGATTGCCAACTGCCCTTCCAAGGAAGAAAGAGACTTGAAAAAGACAGACAAGGGTAATTCACCGCTGCATGACCACGTGGTATCTCGCGTATGAGGCAGGAAATGAAAAGGATGAGAAAGAAAGACAAAGAGACACGTTGGAGCATCGAGGCGGTTAAACGTTGCGTAATTAAGAAGGACGGAGCCAAAAGAGACGACGGGCAGCTGGAGAATTGAACTCACCGATTAGCTTGATCTTGGGCTTGGTTTCGACGACACGTTTAGTGAGGGCGACGAGTTTGTTAATCCAGTCCACGTTGTCGTACGCAGACGAAGCTGTGTTATGAATTGAAAGACCGCGTTCCAATTCAACGAATAATGAAATCCCCAAGGCATGTTATGTATATCCGTCAGTCGAGTTCATTTAGCGGCAAGCAAAAGATGAGAGGACGCACGAGAACCAGTGATAATGATACCGTCATAGTCGTCGAGCTTCTCATCAGTTGGGAATTCCTGAGCTTCAAAGACATCATATGAGTCGAGAGTGAATTGCCAGACGGGCTGTGCATCCGAGTTGTCATTGTTATTAGACGGGTTCTCTAGGTTGGAAGCATTCTTCTGAGTGGGGGAGAGGACTGCTGTATGGGAATCTAGGGAATCTTGGAGGAAGCGCTTGTAGATGTCGATATAGTCCCCATTTTCTGCGCGCGTTTTTCCGGATGTTTTACCGCAGAGTAAGACCGCCAGGGATTTGTGGTTGCGGGTGGGTGCAGCCATGGTGTTTCCTGTTGATTTCGGCGTGAAAGAGGTTAAAGCAGTTTCGAGGGCTGCCTGCAGGTTGTGCGGTCTGATAAGCAGCTGAGAAGGCTGAGAGATACCAAGATCCGCTCAAGGAAACATTACATCTGCCGTGACTATGCCGAGGAAGCCTCCGTTCAAAGATAGGTCGCCTTTCGGCGGAAACTTCAGAGTTCCTTAGCTACAGTTTCCGTTGTCCAGATAGCCTTTTAATTGAGAGGAGAATGAGACAATTGGGCAATAATTAGGGGGAAAACGAGGACAGGTGGTTGGCCGGAAATAACCCGACTTCGGAAGACAAACGCCGAAAAAGGTAGGCGGAGCTGAGTTTCAGTTTCTTCCCACGGTGTGAAAACATCTCCATTTGAGAATACGGGAAACACCAGAGCATCGTGCCTGAAAGTCTGGTTCGTTGCGAAAATACATATCTTCTTCTCCCTTTTCCCAATTCTCGTTCGTCTGGCCGTTCCCAGCCGTGAGTCTTTCGTTCTCTGCAGCCTCAGAGCTGAAATCTGATTTGTCTGTCCTCGACAGCGTCCGTCGAGGACAAAGGTGCCTGCCGTTGTCCCAAACTTAGACGATCTAGGACAAACTAGGCACCGAACTTGTCGACAAGCTCCACAAGATATTGGCTTCTTTGTCTTCTAGGCTCGACGGGGTACACGTCTTCTATCACAACTATGCACGACGGCGTCGGTGGCGGGGGCGAGCAGCAGCAGCAACTCGGTGTCGGGGGCGGTGGTTGTGACCCCAAGGTTCTGGTCGCCACGACGCTCGCTGCCCTGGTTGTCGCGGGTTCGGCCTACATGTGGAAATCTGGGACGCTCCCGATACTCAAAAACGGCGTGAAATCTAGTCGAAATCTCGTCGGAGACGACGACCAATCGAACGCTGTCCCTGTACCAGCCGACGTGGGCCCATCGACTCCTCGCCGCGACGCCGTGGCCAAGGGCTCTTCATCAGCACTCGGTTCTGCTTCGGACCCGACGGCATCTGGGTCTGCATCCCTGCTGAACGCATTGTCAAGAAGACGGGGAAGCCAGGCGAAGAGCGAACGGGACAGTACGGATTCAGTTGACCCTAAACACGATGCAGTCGGCGGGTCCAGTCAGCGTCAACAGGAGGCAGGCAGTGGCGCCACGACAGGGCCTCTGGGCCGCACATCTCGCACAAAGGAACGGAGGAAAAGAGGCAAAGATCCAACAAAGGAGCTTCTCAAATCTGGGAAGCTGAACAAGGCGGTAGCAACGACGTCGAAAAGCAAATCGGACGTTACTTCGGCCAGTTCTCACCGACAAGACCCAGGCTCGCCAACGCCCTCACATTCGCGTCTTTCGTCTGACTCTCATGGTCAATCATCTACACCACGACCTCAGCGTCGACTTTCAACTTCGTCGACACAGATTACCTCGCCCTCCAGCCCGCCATTGTCAGATAACACTACTATATCCATTGATCGTTACACCCCAACATCTCCTCAACGTTCACGTTCCCAACATCGGTCTCATTCAAGATCACGATCTCGGTCGAGGTCCAGACGCTCTCCCGAACTTGCGGGGTCGTCATCACGTCCCCCTGAATCCTCATCGCACTCGCCGACTACCCTTTCGTACGACTCTCTCGCGGCTTCCACAATCAGCCTCGATGCGGGTTCAACAACCTCCTCTGCATCTTCCTCAGCTGCAACTGAAGGAACAACGTGTTCTTCAGCGTCGACCGCACCTTCATCGCTTACTTCGCCAACACCAGAACGTCATCTCGAACCCAAGCGGTCCAATGATTCTGACGGCACGCCCAAGGCAGAGGACGGTTGGGCCAAATCTGGAACATCTACCTCGTCCAGTGCAGTCCACTCCAATCGTCCTTCCGAGGTGCGCAAGAGCCCATGGGACTGGGATGGGGCTGCTGAACTGAATTCCCTTCATTCAAATCGCCCAACGCCTTCCAATGGATCAACCAAACCCCCGAGAATTCAACCCAAGGCGACACCTGGTGGTAGCGGCAGCATTTCTTCATCCGAGGTTCTGTCGGGCAACGCTCCGCCTCTGCCATATGCCTCCGTTGTGACATCGAGCGTTAAATCATCTCCGTCGACTTCTTCCTTCTCTGACAAAAGTGATTCGATTGTGGAGACTCAGCGGGACCGAGGGGGAGAATCGAATTCCCTCGCCCGTCAGTCTGCGGAGACAGGACATGACAACCGATTCGAACCTGGGGAGGTCGCGTTCCCCTCGCTTAATAATCCAGACTCGTCGTCCGCGTCACCCTATTCAACCAGTGGGGCGAATTCGGCTTCGTCACTCTCGAGACCGCAATCTAGGGCCTCGTCCTCCTCCGCCGCATCCAACTCGAAAGGCAAGACCACCAAACACGCAAGGGTGCCTTCAGGCTTGGCATCACTGCCGGCGAGGCAGGCAACCAACGCCTCCGGTTCGACTGGAGGGCCCCGCCGTGCTCCAACTCCGCGAGATGGGAATGGAAGGCCAGGTACACCCAACTCGTCCAATTCAGCCCATCCGCCACCATCTCCATCGTCATTATACCACACACCTAATTTTGCGAATTCGGGGAATACGGTAACTGTATCCGCACAAACGCAACTGGCGTCACTGCGCGGAGCGCTGGAAGCAGCAAGGTTGAGGGAAGAGAAGAGCAAAAGTGAATTGGATAAGGCTACAAGGGAAACAGAGTCTCTGCGGTGGGAGAATGCGGCCTGGAGAAGGAGGGAAGGCGAGGTAAGTTCCCCCATTTTCTCATGATCGTCGGAGTTCCTGATTCATTGCGGTTATACACTTTAGTTGCAGTCGCAGATACAGCAAATGGCGCACCAGATGCAAGCGTACGCCAATTATATCGCCTCTCTGAACCAACAAGCGCACGCGTCTTCGTCCCACATCCTGCCCCCGAATCCGGTCCTTCCTGGCGTTCCTCCTTCCGTACCTGCTCCCGCCACCCCTTCGATCCCCCCTCCTGAATCTAACGCCCAGGTGGAGCCGACCCCCATGATAAGCGCCGATGATAACGATACTGCAGAGCCTCCAGACGCGACTGTCGCACAGAAGGCTGACCCTGCAGGGGAAGGCGACGTCGGAACCAATAGTCAAATAGAGGTTTTAACCGATTCCTCGACCTCGGTGCCTGGCGATGCTGGCTCGCAAACTAAGCCGGGTTCGGCGACAGATTTGAAGCAGACAGACAACGCAGTTGCTGAGAAGGAACAGAGCAACGTGGCTGCTACCGCTTCAACGCCTTCTCAGCCCCAGACCTCCCTTGTACCGCCCGCTCATTCCTCGCCTGCCATCGGTACCCTCCCCTTCGGCCCTCACCCCGTCCATAGTCCGCTGTCACCTACATTCCCCACCATACCGCTAGGTTCTTTCCCTCATCACCACCCGCCCTACTTCCAACATCCCAGTTCGCCGCACCCTCAAAGTCCTGGAATGGGAGTCATTCCATTTGGATTCCCTCACATGCCCCACCTAAACCACCAGCACCCACCTCATCTTCAACAACCCCACCAACATACCCCGCCCTACCCCGTTATGACGCTCGGCTTGAACGGAATGGGACCTGGAGCACATGTGCCATCTCTGCAGAGCCCCGCTCCCCCTGGGATGATGCACCATCAACACCAGCAGCCACCCCACTACGGTAGCGGCTCTGCTCCTGGATCGTCGACTGCAGCAGGCTTCCCACCTCTGACACCAAACGCCCATCCTTCCGTTGGGTCGAATATGGGAATCGGGATGATGAGTGGGATGAACACAAATCCTAGCGTTCCTTCACCCCTCTGGATGAGTGGAGTTCTGCCCAACGGGTCAGCGGCGGCTGGGAATAGTGGATCCGTCGCTGGGTCAAGCGGGAAGTACGCTACTTCGTCCAGTCCTGATCTAGACCTCCTAAGCGATCCTTCTAGTCCGTCGCCCGCTTTCTTCCAAGAGCGGGGTCGGAGAGGAAAGAACGGGCGGTCAGGATCAAGTCTGAGTGGTGGTGGAAGTTCTGGTGAAAAGGACGATGAAGGGGAGGGCTCTAAAGAGAACGATGGCGATGAGAGTCGAGTGGGAAGAGGTGAAGACGACAGCGACGATGGGAGCGACTTCAACGCTTTGTTGGCCGATGCTATTCTCAAGAGACCGAGTAGCATTCGCATGGGATCTGGGTCAAAGACGAGCAGCTCGAATTATGGAAAAGATTCGTCCTCGTCATCGAAACTCGGTGGTCTGGCTGGGAGTGTCAGCCTGGATGGCGTGTGGCCGGCAACACTGAGTGGAATGGGACAGCAAGACCTTGGTCGTGCGGGTCGGGAACATGCTGAGGAGGACCCTGTCGCGGAAGAGGTCGAATCAGAGTTTACATTCCCCTCGCTTTCGGAGTTGGGCAATGTCGCGAGGGAGAAGAGGGTTGGGACCCCTGCGCCAGCTGATGCAGTTGCGTCGCCGAAACCCCTGTCAACGGGCGTGGAAAGCTTGATCCTGAAAAACGAGATGGACAACCCGTCTTCGGCTTCCATTCATGGCCCAGGACAATAACGTCCAATCAGTTACACCTGATTTGTCCTTTCTCCTCTCTCGTGCTAGGGCCGAGTCAATCCTGAGTATGTCCACATTCATCCATTCTATAGGACCAGTCGTTATCCCTCCTTTCACTTTCTCCCTTCCTCTAGATCAGGATTCGCCTCTCTTCTGTCGACACCCCTTTGATACCTACGGCTACATTTAGTGTACAGTCCCGCCTTCACGTACATGCTCGGCTTTCGTTAGAAAGGCAACTTTTAATTCGAGTCTTAGTCTCCTCACCCGACTATCCCCTTACCCTTTCCTGTCGCGTTTTTCTCTGTATTCTTTGTCTTATTAGCATGATCAGGCACCTATTTCATTTATGTATACATCTCGGATCTCTCGGCGCTCTGTTGTTGCTTCCATTGGCTGCGGATGCCTTGCTCTTGGCCCATGCGCCTGTTAACGAGGCGGAGGGCATTCTCAGCGGATCATTGGAACGGATCAAACGGAGCACTGCATAATCCAAAAAGGCAAGCCCGCCATTATGCCAAGGCAAAGCCCGCTGATACCACCCTTTCGTCTCTGCGCCGTGCGGGATGTCTTGCATAGAGGAATGATCGGGCCATAGGGCGGCTGTACAAGGAATCATAAGAGCAAATAGATATTGGAATCCAGCACCGATATAATAGCAATACAATTCCGAAAATGCACACGAATTCCCCCTAGAACAACCCAGCAAGATCAGCGAATGGATCCTTTTTGGCCTGAGATGAAGCCGATGTCGACGCAGGAGCGGACGATTGGGATCCCGATGCTTGTGGCTGCAAGGGCTGGAACTGAGGAGTGGAAGTCGATTGCACAGAACCCATAGTCCTAGGTTTGGCAAAGCCCGAGGCTGGTCCTGTGGGCCCGGTGTTGGTGTTGAAGCAGTTTGGGGACAGGGATACATTCGGGACCGGTGTTCCACCCAGTCGGATAGCAGCAGGCGGGGTATTTGTCGGCTGGGGTGGGTTCATGCCACCAAAAGCGCCGAATTGTCCATTGGACGAGCCCATGACGGGCTGAGGAGCGATAGGTTGCTGTTGAGGTGTCGAGTTTCCGAGGAGATTGAAAAGGTTTGGGGGAATAGTTGATGTTGTTGTAACCTGTGGTGGTGCTGGGCTCGAGAACAATCCACTGAGATCATTTAATGGTGCAGTTGACGCTGCTGGTTGTGCCGAGGACGACTCGGACTCGTCATCAAAGTCGATAAGCGATTGTGGTTGTGCACTGGAGCTGGCAGCTTCATTAGGGAGGGGATGAGCGGCGACGGAATAGTCTCCTTTCTTGAATGCTTCGTATCGGGTCATGACGGTATTGATTTGGTCATTGATCTGGAGGAAAGTGTCTGGACAGGGCCTCAGTGAGTTGCAGTGAAAATAAACAAGGTCGCTCACCAAGGGATTCAGGATCATCATTCTGGGCGTCAGAAATCCATTTCTGGATTTTGGGTCTTGCAGCTTTGAGAATAGCCGAAACTTGATCGTATGCATCTCCGTCGACAAACTTCTCCCCTCGGTTAGGATCTACGTTATCCAACATCTCGTTGAGCAAAATGACTTTCTGCTCCAGCTTGTTCAATTCCGTCAAAGCCTGCGCCCTGTAATCAGGCTTTGCCTCTGGATTCGCGCCAGCCAGACTCTTCATCAGCTCCTGCGCAGCGGCCAAATCCCTAGGGGTGCCCCGCCGAATCAGTTCCTGCAACTTGGCAGACTGCGCCTCTCGATCTTCCTCCTCCAACTCTTCTGCAGTTTTCAAATTCTACAAGGCTACGTCAGTTCACCCACGATACGTGTACAATCCACCACGTACCGCGGCTGCGGCCACTGAGGGCTGTGGACGAGGGAAATCGCGGAACCGATATCCCTTGAAGGTGAGAAGACGGTGCATATCCCGAATGTTTCCAAGGTCCTCTTTCCATCGCGACTCTACACATATCGTCTCCTTCCATCCATGAATCAGATCGAGGATTCTGGACATAACAGGTCCGGGGAAAGGCGGCGGTCGTTCTGGGAAGCGGCGGACGAGCTCATTGAGGAATTCTTTGGTGGATATCTGAAGATGGAATGGGTAGCCGCAAGATTGTACCAGGGTATCCAATAGGGCGAGCGCTAGGATTGCGACGTGTGGGTTTCGATGATTCGCTAGCCTGGCTATGGTCATAGCGGCTTCCCTAGGACTATCCAGGGTTCAGTACCTCCTTCTATCGGAATTTCCATTGACAAATCGAGAGAAACCGACCTGTTTGCCTTCTTCTTGTTGATATAATCGGCGACCTCGAGATGTAGGGCATAATTAGGCTCTGGTAAAGACGGATCGCAAGCGCGAGTGACCAGGATCTCGATTTGGGACGGCCTTGACCAGCCAGACGATGTCGGACTCGAGAGCATCCTTTAAACAGCGTCTAGAAGACGAACCCAGAAGTTGAAGAACTAAAAACGAGCCAGCGGCTGGAAGATCAAGGTGGTTTCTGGTAGAAACTGAGCACAGCATGACCGATTCCTAGCATCAACTTCATCAGACTTGCCCTAAATTTCCCACGTGATGGCGTAGTGGGCGCTCAATTGCAATTCCAATTCGTACACTCATGGTCCATCCATTAGTGCCCAGTAAACTTGGATACATTAACGGATAAGACAAATGACAACAATACTACATGGACCGGCGTCTAGTACCACCTTCCACTGGGGTCCCAACTGCTTGTTCTTGCTGCAACTGTATGACAATGATCGCTGACATCCCGAGAGAGAATTATAACGCACTTGGCAGTGTTTCCACTCCCCCAACGCAGTTTCACCACCAATAATATCATCAGGATTCTTCAATCAAGGTGCCGAGCTTCCTATCCAACGCTGCGGACAATTCATCCGCCTACTCTCCATCTGGCTGAGGCGTAGTCTCCCAGCGTCCCCTGTCCCAGTCAAGTCTAGCCTGGACAGCAACAGCAGACTTGTTTGCGACTCTCGCACATGTCGCACGGAAAGCTATAAGTTCTGGATTCGGGAGCAGGGACTCAAGCGGGACATCAAGTTGTTCACATTTCGATTGGATGAGGGGGTTGAAAGAGAGCTCGAACTCCCCATTTTCGCCGAGGCCTTCAATCTGATGCCCTCGACATTTTTCCACTCGTGATCATGGCTTTTGACTTGAAATCGGTTGGGCTTTAGTGGGAATAAGAGTTATGAAAGGATATATCGATGTTGCTCACTCTGCCCTTGACCTCTTCAATCGACCAGGCAAACGAGTCAAACCCCCAACGGAGGCCCGGGTTTGAATGAACGGACATTATATTACCCCACCCATTTTTCTGTGACGCTATCTTCGGTACTGGGTCGAGGGTGCCCAGGAGCTGAAGCAAGGCCTTCGGAGACTGTCGAGGCCAGTCCACAAGCATTGGTGTATGAAACTGCAAGCAAATGGTAATGAGAATTAAAATGGAATTCCACCATCCTTTCCCGCGGGAGTACGGTGATATCTGCAACCAAACCAACAGCGCAGTGATCTTGTCGGCCGTTGACAAGGCAGTTCAGATTGTCCGGTATCAGGGCCTACGAAGTCACCGGTGAGTGGTGACTCCCATCAGGCGTCTGAGTAAGGTGCACACTGTATACTTGGCTCAGTCGCAGTTTTTGGCTTGACACCTTTGAGGAAGTTGTTCACGATACCCTCGACGTGACTCTCCATGGTGACATCTTTGGGACGTTGCTCCACGAGATCAAGACGGCTAATGCCCTTAGGCGTTGAAGGGTCAACTGAGGGGGGAGCGCCTTGTCAGAGGGAGACAGAGAGGGCTGCAGTGGGTCGCACATCATGCAATACTGAGGCAAAGCCGACAACGCTGACCGAGGTCGAGAATCTCATCCCAAATGGCCGTTACCTCTTCTAAACTTCCTACTGAAAGACCGCGAGCTTAGATATCATGACATGCAAGAACTTTACGAAGCAGGGCGTTGTATGCTGTTCGGGCAAAGCTGTAGTCTGCCGTAGTCCGATTGGTGTTCCCACAGACGCCCATAAGCTTTTTCAGATCCGGTTACCTGTCCCGCTGGGTCCATTGCAACACCTTGCGATGTACACTTGGTATTGTGGAACCCCTGGGTCTTAGCGCGCATCACGAAGATCATTAATTACGTACGACGATGTTCCCAGCACGCTGCGAATTCTATTGATTGACGAGTTTTCGAGCACTCTCAACCTGGAAAGCAGCCAAAACGCGTCGTTAACGCTCCCGACACACAGCGGATGTCTCCAAAATACTTATCTGCGTTCCACAGCACCTTGACACGGCACGTTCTTGGCGTCGAACGGACGCCAAACAACGTTTTCTTTCCTTTTCAGGCAATGGCCCCTGTGCTTCGTCGCTCAGACTCGCGGGCCAGTTCTGGTTGCTACCGAGGGCTTGTTGTTGTGATACAGGATTTACCATTCCAGGTTATTTTAAAAAATATGGGTTGAAACCAATCCTAGAGGAATTCCTTTGTAAGTTAATTCTTGAGGCGCAGATGCCTTTCATGGTAATTTCAACCCCTCCCTGGCTCGAAAAGGCTATTCCCGCCTCAATTTTCCCAACCAATCCACCATATTTTGAAAGGAATATAAGCTGAAGGCCGCGGTATGGGCACTCCCCAACATCGAGTACCCGTTCACATCCAGAACTAAGTATCTCGAGGTTTATTGCCTATCCCTGCTTCTGCCATCCCTAGTACCCATCGGTACCCATCCACCACCCTCCAGCAAGTTTATCTGCCACTTCCAAGAAAGATGCCTTCCGTCCGCTCTGCACCCCTTGTCAATTCCTTACGTGTCCAACAGGTTAGTCCTTATTATTTGTTGTATTGAAGTTCGTAATGGAGTTCTAATATTATTGTCTACAGTTAAACAACAAAGTAATCACTTGCTCCGAATGCAGAAAGACCTTCACCCGATCCAGTGATCTGAGGCGTCACGTCAAGCTTCACGACGAGACCTCCGCGGGGCTCTTCTGTAGTTACCCCAATTGCACCTTTGCTACTCGCCAGAGGAGTAATATGAGGACCCACCTTGCCACCCACATGGGAGAGAAGAGGCATACCTGCAATCTAAATGGCTGTACCTTCCGCTGCGCAGACTCCGCTTCGCTCATCCGCCATCGAAAGAAAGTACACGGCTGCATCCGTCAGCCGCGCGTGTGCGTGTCCGACAACGAGAACGAGAACAACAAGCCCAACGCCAACGCGAAGTCCAGGTCCAAGCTCTTGAAGTCCAGGGCTGAAGCTATGATGGCCAGATTGAAGGCTAATAAGCGCGCGCCTATTTCCAAACCTGCTCCATCCGTTACCGACGCTTCTGATGCCCTTCCCGAAGACTGGTTCGACGCTGAATTCCGAGAATTCCTCGAATCTATCACTGCTACTCCTCCCGCCTTTGCTTCTATCCAGTTGCCCACTATCAAGCCGGATGAGCCTGCCTCTGGACAACCTGGATTCTTGGACCTTACTCCAATCCCCGAGACCCTCATGTGGGACGATGTTTTCCAGCAACCGGCCTTGTATTCTCTTGGCCAGCAGCCCTGGGACTTGGTCCAGTCCTTCCCCTGTTTCCCCGCTACTCCCTAGTCTTCAGACAGCCCCTTCGAGCCGAGACTGTCCAGCTGGTTCAAGCTACATGTACTCTATCACCAACTGATTGTTCTTCTAAAAATACGCACATCTAGACTAACAGTATACTACATTTCCTTTCTATTTATCCTACAATTAGCAAGACGGACACCTCATACCCTTCATTCCCATGATACCAGTCGTTCTTCATTTACCCAGACTAGGACATTTCGCATTTCATTCGCACTACTTCTCTCTATTCCTCTCTCTCGAATCAACAAGACACACACTTGATCACACCAATCGCGTCTGCATGCGCAGTGAGATCGTGAATGAATTCGTAACCACAAGGCACTTCCTTATGTCTCACTGGAATCGTTTTGGGACGAAATACGTTATTATTCCTTGAATACTCGGATGAAAGGTAAGACCATACGACTGGGGAGCCATGAAGAGAACAGAAAGATTACAAGAATCGTACATTACAAAACGACAGTCGAAGCCCTTGTCATTTGTTACATCCATTCACCACTTTGCTTTAATTAGATCGGCCGCCCTTTCAGCGATGACATAGACAGCGAATTGGGTGTGAGCTGCTGGGATGAAAGGCTGGGAGACGAAGCGGTCAGAACAACATAATCAAAACACCCAGTATGGACCATACCATGACACCCGCATCAACGATTCTCAACCCCTGGACGTTCTTGACCGTTAGGTCAGGGTCAACGACTCCATACTTAGCTCTCTTGGGAGACATGACCGTAGTCCCACAAGCATGCCACGCGTGGATGACAGTGGCCTTCAGCAAAGCGATAGCAGCTTCGTCGTTATCCATGATCGCGTCCGTCCATGCTCCGGCTGGTTGCAGAATGTATCCGTTCCAGGCATTGGCCTGGAAGAACCTCCGCAGGGTCCGGATGGCGTGAAGCATCGCTTGTTCGTCGAAGGCAGATGTGAAAAGTCCGGGGTCGATGTTTGGCTGGTCGAAGGGGTTGGAACTTTGGAGTGTCACCGAGCCGCCTGGAAGAGAAGATTAAGCAAGTCTGCACGCGGTTGGGGACTCTGGGAGCAACATACGAGACCATGGTGTTGAGATAGTAATTCCAGCGCTGGTGTAGTACCCTCCTTGTGCGCCAGTGAAGCCGGCGCTGTTCTAAAGGGTCCAGTCAGTACCTGGAGCTCTGGTTAGGGGATGACTTGCTTACATCGAAGTTCAATTCAAAGTGGGGAGTGTTGCTTCCAGAGGAAGGGTCAGGGAACTGACCCCAGATCGATGAGTTGTCTGGGATCCTCAGCCAGGACATCTGATTCGTCCCAAGAATCGTCAGAGGACCAGTTCGAGTGGCGAACCATTGGCCAAAGGCTTGTGCTGCAGCATTTGGGTCCAGCGTCAATCTGCAGGATTATTGGTCTGTGGTTAATAGTTAGCAGAGTTGTATTGAAAGTGAGACGCACACGTCGCGGGTACTGGTCGAATTAACCTCCCATGCAACGTAAGTAAACGGATGGTCGGTGAGGTTCTTTCCCACTCCAGGAAGATTGACGGCGGGCCTGATTCCCAGCGCAGCGAGTTCGCTGGGATTTCCGAAACCAGAATTGAGCAGGATGTGGGGCGTTCCGATGGCACCTGCGGAAAGGATGACTTCCTTCTTTGCTGTCAACTGGATTCGCGGAGCTGGAGTCGGGTTGTGGGGTGAGCAAAATCAGACATGGAGGGTATTGTACTGTACCATTCGGATTCTTCTGGGTAGCGATCTCTACAGTTCTGAAGGCCCGTCCCGGTCCACCCCTGGTCTGAAGAACTCGCGTAACTCGTGTGTTCACTACAACGTGCAAATTTCGTCGCCTGAGACAATCGGATTCCAAGTAAGCTGTGGCTGCGCTACTTCGCTCGCCATTGCCAATCGTGGACTGAGTCCAGCCTGGCATGGGTTTAGCGAAATCGATGGGCATGTCGAAGTAGCTGAACTCACCCGTTCCCAAGGGACTACCCGAGTTCATGTCTACAATTGGTGTGAACTCGCCACCCAATTCCGCGGCAGCAGCCATGACCAGAGGGTCAATCTCAAGTGGGTGTCCAGGAAGGGAGATCTTGACGTTCCCGGAAGTTCCATGGACGGAAGGGTCGACCTGGCCCGTAGTGTCGTGTCCATCAGCAGGAGGAACCAAGCTTTCCATCTGTCGAGAAGCGTGAGACATGGGGCGCCGCTGGGCAAAGATCGACCAACACACCTTGAGCGTGTATTGGAACAGATTGTTCCATGACCAGCCGGGGTCTCCTGTAACACTTGCCCATCGGTCGTAATCTTCGGCGGAACCTTTGGTCCAGTACATTCCGTCTACATTCCCCATGTCAGACCACTGGCCACACAGCATTGAGAAGTATGAAACGCACTGATAGAGGAGCTCCCGCCTAGCACATGACCGCGATTGTAGTCGAGAACACGACCGTTGAGCGCCGTCTGCGGGGTGGTGGTGAAGTTCCAGTCATATTCTGTGCGGAAGAGGAGTCCGACGTTGGACGGGACTTGGATGTTCAGAACACCTTCGTGTCTGTATGGAAGGTTGGTCGCTGAGCTCGACATATCACATAAGTGGAGCGACGTACGAAGGACCTGATTCGATCAGAAGAACCTGGTGACGGTGATTCTCTGAAAGGCGCCTTGCCAGTACTGATCCTGCAGTCCCACCTATACACAGTCCATTAGCGTGATGCAGAAAGGGTTCAGCCGCCAGTAGGTACACACCTCCAACAATGATAAAGTCATAGTTGATACGAGGGGCCGCGTTGATGTTCTGGTAAACGGCGGCGCTACAGCCAGCAACCAAAGCTGCGACGAACAGAGCGATGCGTGACATGACGAGCGACTTGTTCGAGGGGACACAAGCCACGCAGAACTATTTATATTACGGACTCCCGTATCGTAAGGCACGCACTGGACGCGCTCGGCGTTTTGAAAGGAGAAACGCTGAGGGGAAGGAAAAGCGCATCAGTATCATGTCAAGGTGACACTCCTTGGGCGGTAATGGCAGCGTGATATTTCTGATCCTGGAAAGCGCCCAGTTAGGCCGTCCTCGGCTGCAAGGTACACATCTGCACGGCAGGGCTGCCTGGAAAGTCGCGATTGGGTCAGATAGGGTCGAGTCCCTCAAGCGCCCATCGGAACGGGGTTTAGGAGGGGATATCTGGAACCAGGAACGATGGAGACATTGTTGGCTGAAGCATAAGTAGCTGGAATGTGGCCGATGAGAACGTTAGTCCCGTAGACATCGCACTGAAGAAATGAGAAAACTAACGTTATTTCAGGGCAAGATTCGGATTCTACGGCTTGCAAGCCTTGTAAAGTCTTGTTCCACCAGGCGCAGTTACGCGCCATCAAAAGAGGATCCATCAGGATGTGTAAGATGTCGGAGCGCTCAAGTGAGACCAATCCCGCATTCAACGTCGAACGTTCACGTTTGCTTGTTGCTTGCGTCTTCTTTCGGGCATCAAACAGCATCGCAGCTCTGGCGACCTCGGCCTTGAACCGCATGGTTGGGGCCTTGGATCAAAAAATCCAGAGGTTCAACGGAAAATAACGAAGTCGAAGTGCAGGCGGGTGATGATGATGGCGACGTCTATCTTTCCTACTGGTCGGACATCACTGGTCCATACCGAGGATATTTTTTCAATCAGATCTACCCCGCATTCTGCGATCACATATTCCGAGTGTTGTGCCGGAACAGAGGGAATGAAAGACTGTCCAGAGCATGCAACTGTCAGTTGCTACAATTCCAACAATCGAAAGTGAAACATACCGTGCCCTCTGGGTCGATGGTCCCCCGTTTGTCGACCTTCCGAACTCAAAGTCCGGATACAAGACTCGGTGCATGGCGCTCTGTAGTAACACGAGACAGACCCTTACAGTATTCCGTCTCTCATCGTACTCCGAAGAGTCCGCAACCGGTTTTGACACGAGCTTTTGGAAAGATAGGATGGAGAAAGAAGAGAGCCAGCCCAGCCTCTACTTAGGCCTAGATAACGCAAAATGGTAGAGCTCCGGATAATTGAGGATCCTGGTTTCACGCACCTCATCACCAAGAATCCGGAACAAGCGAGTGGGCGACCGAACAAAAAGAAATGCCCCATCCTTTTGGGAAGCCAGTTCGTGATGACCACAGGCCCTCGGGGAGCCGGAAACCGGGAAATGCGCGCCCTTTGGCCTGTTTAAGATGTAATCCGTCCAGCTTGATCGTTGTTGGCAGGAACATGAGCGCAGCTTGTGATTCTAGACGCTTTTGAGTGCCTTGACCACGTCGTCGAGGTCGCCGGTCAGTTCAAAGTCGCGTCGGATCCCGGATGGATGGTGACGCGCATGTGGGAAATCCAAAAGCCAAATTCCCGCGCCTCTCCGCAGAGGCGCATCACGTCCATATCCGGAGCTCCGAACGAACCAGACTGTCCGCAACGGCCTGGCTCGAAATCGACGAAATAGCGTGGATATGTGGGAGAGAAAAACACTAAAGTGCATATCATTAAGTTTACCGTAGCCCCGTCAGTACCTTCACCGAATGGTCAGTCTCTCGAAGAAGCCCAGCTACAGCCAATTTATTATTGGTCTGACTTGATGAAACTCCACTCCACTATCTGTCTCACCGGGAAAGGAGAAACTCAATCCTCGCCTGGTCCAAACCAAGTTCAGTTCCTGACTACGATCCCACCTACATTTACATCTACACCGCTCCTAAAATTCCATCAATCTGTTGTCCGTCGCTCCATTCGACTCTCTTGACTTCGAGAGGCTATTCAATCCTGCCCCCGACGACGTCACTTATCGCCGTCCTAGACAACTACGTAAACCCCCATCGTCCAAGTCTCTGTGCCTCAACCTAGATCCTATCCCTGAAGAACGCCACGAAAACGACACCGGAAAACAAATACGCGATATGCCAACCAAACACGGTCCTGAGGAGTTTGCTCACAAAGCCGAAGAGGACCTCGACAAATTCGAGGACAAGGTCCGAAGTGAACACCGAAGGCACACCGTTGCGAGTTCTGGAGGGAGTGACTTGAGGAAGTCGCTCAGTGGTGTTTCGGCTCACGACCGGGATGAATCTGTGAGCTGTCTCTTCAGATGCTTCGGGTGTTCTGGAGCGCAATCTGACTGAGCGGATAGGGAGTGTTCAACAATCTCGAAGGTGTATTCGATGATCTGGAACAGAAGGTTCCACATGAGCACAATGCGCCGCATAGTCCCCGTATGCATGACCCCAGCATCGTGAGTCGCCCAGATATTAGTTGGGATGGTTCAGCGCTAAATCTCATCTCTCTATATAGACGTCTGGCGAGTCCAGTCAGTACGTGCCCCACGCCACCACAACCGATTTCCGTACCCTCGAGTCCGATGCTCCGCCGCCTATCAGCATGAAAACTGGCACCCTTGGAAGGCGGGCGAGGATCACAAATAGCAAGAATCCCTATCTGGCCGGAGTTTCGTGCAGCTCCAAGAAATATGATACGAGCAATTCGTCGATGAACCAGGCCAGCAACAAGACGAACAAAGAAGGATTGACCAAGGAGAAGGAGACCCGAGCCAGAAAGACATCCTTCTCGCAGGATCTGAAGGCCGAGGTCGATAAATTCATTAAGAATTAGATCTTCCATCGTCGTGTAGTGTGCTGTAAATGCAGGCTTCGGTTTCCGATTGAGTCCAAATGTAAATTAGTCGTAGGTACCAACGTCTTCGCACCGAATTGGCCTTGCATGCTGTCGAGCAATCCTGCTCATCGTGGAGGACGATGCCAAGAGAAAGTTGATGCCGCGTCACACAATCTCACACAATTGCCTTTTGTGACTCAGCCACAACAAACACAAAACAGCCTCCCGTCGACACAGAGCACCGCAGCGCACAGCGCGCAATTGTGAATGTTGCCGCTGCGGTTCAGTCCTTCTTTTCTTCCTTTCTACTATCTATAACTTCACCTCGTCATTCAAGAACGTTCCAGAAACAACTCAGAACCTCCTAGTGGCCACCGATGCCTCCCCAGTACACCCTGAACACTGAGGAGAAGGATAGGGTCAAGGCAGCCATTCCGACGCCTCCAAACAAGATCTTTTATGCCTGTCTGGCCCGTATCTACTATGCTTATCCAGACCCAGAGAAATGGTCGTATGCTGGCCTTCAGGGGGCGCTGGCGTTCGTAAAGGACGCACAGGGCATCCTGCACTTCAAAATGGTCGATTTGGAGGGAACGAGGGGTGTCATTTGGGAACACGAGCTGTATTCCGGCCTGGAATACAACCCAGACCGAGCTTTCTTTCATTCATTTGCAGGAGACGTACGTACAGTTTCGTATTGCGGACGTTTGGGGTAATGACGTCTGTTTATAGCAATGTCTAATTGGCTTCGTGTTCGCCAACGAAGTTGAGGCTAAAGCTTTGTGGAAGAAAGTCAACACGAAGAAGGATGCAAAGCACAGTGGTATGTCGTGGCGATGGCTAGGAAGTCTCTGTCTGACCCATGAACCCCAGCAAAGCCTCAGAAGCAGAAGAAATCCAAGGTCGCAAAGGGTGGCAAGATCGACAAGTCAATGATTTCAGGACCCAAGGCAGGCTCGTTCATCCACGTAGCACACATGGGCTACGACGCCGACTCCGGTTTCAAATCTCACGGCGTCGATGCATCGTGGAGCCAACTCCTCAATGACCTCGAAGGCAAGGGCATCGGGAAAGAAGTCATCGACCGTGAGCTCGAGTTCATCAAAGACTTCGTTCGCAAAGAGCAGCAGCAGCAGGTCAGACCGGCCAAGTCTTCGAAACCTCCTCCACCACCCGCAGCGCGAAGGTCGAAACCACCTCCACCTCCAGCACCTCGGCGATCTGTCCATGTCCCCAAGGACAGTGTGTCTTCAGTGTCATCTGCAGGGGACCATACACCAATCGCAAATGGCAGGCCCCCAGCCCCTCCTTCGCGTCCCCAAACTCTCGAGCCACCTCAGCCACCTCGTCCTCCTGCGAGACCTTCGTCTGCATCGAAGCCTCCAGCACCACCCCGCCCGGTTTCTTCCGTCGCGTCTGCACCACCACCGGCTCCCCCTCGCAGACCCGCCGTGTCGTCACCCAATCCGCCGCCACCGCCCAGTCGCCCGCAACCAAACGGCGCTGCAGCAACTCCTCCGCCTCCGCCAAGACGACCGGCGCTCTCGAATCCTGCACCTCCGCCTCGACCACCCGTGCCGACGCGTGCAGTTGCCGAGGAGGATACGACGTCTGTTTCTACTCCTCCTCCACCTCCACCACCTCCACCGCCCCCGCCAGGACCACCAGCTGCCACAGGAGGTGCCCCACCTCCGCCTCCTCCACCGCCACCTCCGGGAGGTGCTGCTCCACCGCCGCCTCCACCTCCCCCGCCTCCTCCAGGCGGTGCCGTTCCTCCACCTCCCCCACCGCCACCGCCGGCAGGGGGATCAGGCGCTCCCTCTGCCCTCGCTTCTATGCCTCCGCCTCAGCCAGGCCGCGGCAACCTCCTCGCCGACATCCAGGGCAAAGGCATCCACGTCCTTCGCAAGACGGAGAAAAGCGAGGCTCCCGCTGGAGGAAGCAGCTCTTCTGGTGCAGGCACGGCTGCTGCTGCTGCGGTCGGCGGTGCTGCTGCTGGTGCCGCGGCTGGTGCTGCCCTGGGAGGAGGAGGAGACCTGGCAGGCGCCCTGGCTGCTGCACTCATGGAGCGCAATAAGCGCCTTGGAGATAGTGATGACGATGAAGACGACGATGATGATGACTGGGATTAGTTAGTTATCCGGACTCGTATTTTCATTTGATTTCATTCGTTTTCTCAAACGACTAATCACGTTCCCTTTCACCATGCACCCTCTTTTGAAGAGGGCAGATTCCCACTCCCTTCCCTTTCTCTGTTCTTTTTCTTCTACCTTACTCTCTTGCATTTGGATGGACTATCTCAATTCTAGAATCAATATTGCTATTGTTACTCTTGCGAATGGGTACCTCGAAGACCCGTCCGGACACCCGGATGTTGATCTTACCGATCAGGTCAAACTGAAGAGACGGCTGCTGAGCTTCGAGTCAAGTGCTGGTGTTCAAGGTTAAGCTCAGCGGAGGCGGTCGCCTCGAAGGCAGTGTGCCTATTCCGGGACTCTCGGATAACCAAGTCGTCGCTCAAATATTGTATGACCGCTTCCTCTGAAATGCGTCTAGGATGCTTCCAGCTCCTGGGCCTGTCTGTGCACGATCCAAATGGTTTGGGACACATACTCGTGAGTCGTACACCGTCACCCAGACCGCAAGTAATCTGACCGTGGCATTCAGCAGTGACATCATCCACCCTCGCTGATAGCGGCGAAGCCAAAGGCAAAACGCTAGTCTTTTTTTTTCATCGATGCCCTTGCCCCATTGCACCCAAGCTCCGATTTGTCTGACTTTAATTATGAACGCCGCCTACAAAGCCCGTCTGTCATTCACGAGGGAAATCAGACATATGCCTTGGAAGTTTGGAGCACTGTCATCCTTATACGACGTCGAGTTTCTCAACGGGTTCTTCAGACCCGTTTGGATTCGACGAGATTCCATGTGCATACTTTCAATTGCCGCGAGTGGGAACCGAGCCGCTGACAAGTGGTTCAGGTTTCACCGTCCTCGAGAGAAGCCATTCGGATCCGGGTTGGGGGGTTAGTAATTCCAAAGTGTTCGATGATGATGATCTCCCCGTGCAAGCCACCTCAGATCATGATGGCCGACCTCTATCCTCCAAGTCTGAGAGAAAAGAAGCTTGCTGCTCTCTCCAGACTGAGGTAGATTTTCCGAGAAAACAAGAAAAAGTACGAGATTGACATTAACTACTACACAAGTTATCATCGAGTAAAGGGAGTGCTATAGACAATATTCGATGTGCGGGAATGGGAGGCGGTTTTATCTTCGCGTGGTACGTCTGCTGGATATGGAAAACTGGCGTTCGAGGTAGAACGTCAAAACAACCTTACAAAAATACCACGGCCTACGAGCCAAGGTCCTGCGCTTCCCTATCTCGTACAGCACTAAATTCAGAATGCAGCTTGAGCGGCAGCCCTCTCCGCAACTGAGCCCCTGGGTTCCCATGCAGGGACATGCTCCCCTCGCCCTTTGACCGTTCCCTCGCACTTGCCCCACGCCCCTCCACCGGGCGTTTCGATCTTCAACCTGTCCCCAGCCCCCATCCATACAGTCGCTTTACCTCCAATGTTAATTTCGCGGGTCACTAGTGTGGGGTTGAGAGGATCAAGATCTCCGTCTTCTTCGCGACACTGCTTAATCCAGGTGTTACGCCCGAAGCCGCCCGGACCTCCACCTTCCATACCATAAGGTTGCCGTGTCCTGCGCTGTAGATGTGTTAGCGGCGGAAGTCAGGAGAGAAGACGTGCAAGGGAGAAGGGCTGGAAGTGTTGGGTAGGTATTCTGAGATCAGAAAAATCACTAGAACCATACCGTCCAAAAGAGATCGAGGGTAGGCGGTAGTAGTAGATGTTGTGTAGCATAGGGCAAGCACGGAAATAACAGAAAGCTCCCAGCTCACCTCAGACAATATCGAGACTTGCAATGGTTCCAAGAATTCGATCTCTCGAACAACTCCCTCGCCTCCGTGCCACTTTCCAACTCCAGCTGATCCCTGACGCAATCCGAACTGATGGATCATAACGGGGTATCTTCGTTCGAGGATTTCAACATCCCCGATTCGTGTGTTGGTAATGTGAGTGTGCACGCCGTCTGTACCATGCCATGAAGGGCCGGCTCCAGAGCCACCTGCAATGGTCTATAAAGAGAAAACGGAGTGAGTTCTCTGCTGAGTTGTTAAAAGGAAGAGACATCGTGACGAAGGGATGATAAGATAGAGGTGAGAACAGTCGAACGGGTGCTTTTCGAAGCAGGACGATCGAAGAAGGATGACGAAGTGTTCTAATACATACCTCGTAGTATCCCCACCCAGTGACATTCTTCCCATCTTTATCTTTCCCTCCCGCACCAAATGTCAGGTTGCTGCACAAGGTTAAAGAAGGCCGCGTCAATCGACCCCTATTCACTTTCGGGCCAGAAGTGTGAACAAGTGACTCACTTGGTACAACCTTGGCTGGCAGCGGCAGCATGGAAAGCTTTCAAAACCACATCGACGATACGCTGCGAAGTTAAAACATTGCCTCCGCACACGGCAGCTGTACGAGAAGGCGAGAGGAGTGACTTCTTCGGGATTTTCACTTCAGCGACGTAGTGAATGAAGTCAGCAGAGTTCAGAGTTGGAAGAGAACAGAAGGCAACATGGCATAAGGCCAGTTCGACTGGAGAAGGCTCTCACCTGTAAGAGGGACCAGGCATCCCGCATTAAGCGGGATGTCCAGATCGAGCATTGAGCGCATGCAGTAGATGACAGCTGAGTGAACGACAGATATGGGTGCATTCAGGTTTCCTCGGACCTCACACCCTGTTCCCTCGAAATCAAGGACAGCTGAGCCCTCGGTTTCATCAATTTCGACTCGCAGTTGGATCTAATTCAAATGTCGTAGTAAGTGGGTGCCCATGGGATGTACATGCACGACTGACCGGAGATCCGTCATCGAGGTAATCAACGGCAGAGAGGACGTTTGTTCCTGCCCTTTTCGCGACATCTCGAAGCAAGTTGCGAACGGACATTTCGGCATTTGCTCGGATATGGTACATGTATTCCTGCACAGTCTTCAAGCCATAATCGTTGACAACTAGGGTGTTCATTAGATAAAGGGATCTTCCCAACGCGGAGCATGTTAACGATAAAAACTCACTCTGGTGGATCAGCTGGATTCCTTTGTGATTTGCAGCGATTTGCTGGAAACAGGAACACGGGGATCAAGAAGCGCTCCTCCAGCTTTTGATGGATAACCTACGGCTTTCAAGTCGCTCTCCACATCCCGGATGTTTCTGCAACCCGAGCTTCCAGGGTACTGCGCCGGCTTTTCGACCATGTGTTCATAGAGTCCCTGGGAATTGAAAACACCGCCATCGACTATCTTGAAGCTCTCGATATTCGCCCCTTCTTCGAAAATATTCACGGAAGTCGGGGGCATTGAACCAGGAAGAATTCCGCCAATATCAGCATGATGGCCTCTGGACGCAGTGAAAAATATGATCTCTTTGGTCTCAGTGTCGAAGACCGGTGTAATGATAGTAATGTCGGGTAAATGTCTGCAACGATTTGAGATCATGCAATTGAGTTTCGGTCGTAGTGGGTGCAGGAGAGGACAAAGTTGCTCACGAGCCACCGGCATGCGGAGAATTCGTCATCAGAACGTCTCCTTCCTTCAGGGTCTCTCCATGTAATTTCATCTGGTATTTCACCGCACTATTGAGATCACAGTGAGTCCTCTGCACGATGTTCGGCTGACTACGCAGAATCAAGACTCACAAGCTCATAGAACCGAGGTGAATAGGGATAAATGGCGCATTGGCAACGAGATCGCCATCTGGAGCGAAGAGTGCACAGGAGAAATCCAAGCGCTCCTTGATATTGGTGCTGATCGAAGTTTGCTGCAACGAACGACCCATTGCTTCCGCTACGCTCATGAAGCGGTTTGCAAAAAGAGTCAGAAGGATAGGATCTGGCCCCTTCCTTAGTTTCTCTGACATTGGCGTTGAAGTTCCGGACATGGTTGGAGAGCAAGATTGGCCTTGGGTTCGAGGTACCAGATAACAGATTATATAGCTAGATTCCGGGTCGTTTCCGAGAAATTGGTGATATTCCAAAGGGTCCCTCCCGCAGGTGGTGCAAATTGGCGTGTCCAAATGGTGGTGGAGACAGTTATTGAGGCAATCTGTTGCCTGCCGACCGCAGTTGTCTGGTGTGGAACGAAAGAAACCAGGTCAAGAGTAGTCCACCCTCCTATGACGGCAATTCCGGATAAATTCGCTCTGGGGCGGGCCGCATCAGGAACGTGAGAGATTCTTGGTAATCCTCATGCTTGAGCTCGTTGCTCGCGTCGACATCCAGGACTGACCACGACGACAACCAACAGACTTGAATTCACCACTGTGCACCTATATTCTCTCATATGGCTGAGTCGACGCTCAGGGAATACCTGGAGAGTCAGGATGATCTGGTTCGGGAAGCAGGCCTTGCCCTTCCACATTCCTTCAGTCACTGCACATATCCCCTGGGCTATCTAAGGTCGCGTCTTTCCTGTTGTCAACAAGTCTATGTCACTGATCCTTAATCAAGGCAGGCTGTATATCTCTGCTTGACATGTCCAGAACCTCGGGGAATTTGTTCCGCATGTTCTATCGCTTGCCACACCAAACATGAGCAGGTCGAACTGTGAGAGAACTGAGGGTCAGTTCAGACTGCATTTGAGCTGAACGAAGGCTTCTCCAGCTTTCCGAAACGGAACTTTCGATGTGACTGTTCCACATCGGCTATCGCACATGCATGCACTCTGGAAAACACCACACATCCCCCCAATGAAGATAACCAATATGGTCAGAATTTCCAGGGTCTTTTCTGCAGGTGCTCCCGAACATACGACGCTCAGAAAGAAAAGGAAGCTATGATTCAGTGTCTCGCGTGCGAGGTATGTTCTTCCACACCACCACCAGGTTCATCCCCGTTTGAAATGTTTCGTCCAGGATTGGTTCCACGAATCTTGCTGTAACCTCCGAGAAAGACCGAGTTCGAGAGAACCTACCCCGGTCGCAGAAGCCCCGCCCAACCAGGAGGGGGAATTGTCCGCGACTGCTGAAGGTGATGATGCGGACGCAGACTCCGAGGCATCGTTCGGATTGCCCCCACCTCTGGTATCCGCATCAGATTATGAGAGCTTCATCTGCGGCGCTTGCGTTCGGAAGATACCCATACTCGTGAAGTATGCGGGAACCCCGGGTGCCATCATGGTGGTTCGGGATACGACCGATTCGCCTTGGGTACGCATCGGCGATCATGTTCAGGGTGGACGAGAAGAAGCCGTCGTAGTGGATGATGTCGGGCCTAGCAATGCAGGGCATAAACGTAGGCTAAGTCCATCAGATGCAACAGCAGGCACTCGAGAGCCCAAGAGAACCAAAGTGCCTTCAACTCCCGACTCAACTGAATCAAATCCGTGCATCGCTCCACAGCCCAACCCACTTGCTTCTACGATCTACGAACAGGACCTGACTTCCAGCGATGGTGGCAAGTTGGGAACGGGGGATATATTTTTAACCGACGGCTTTAGAGAGCGTTGGTGCCGATGCGACAATGTACGTGTATTCTCCAAACACGTTGCGCGGAAGCGGAAGAGAATGAATTGTTATGGCATTAGTGTCGAATTTCTCTGGAAAATCATCGGTATTTGGTAGAGGAAGAAGAGACTTACGAGCCACCGGAAGATCCCGACTCAGGTACCCATTCATTTACTTCAGTCCTCCCCTCTAATCGAAGTTAACCGGCGGGCACATTTAGGGTTATCCTTGGAAGAGCTCGGAATGCGTGCGTTGGCGCGACTTCCTCGCGACAGAGCTCTAGATGGTATCCAGGCGTTCAATAAAATGAGGTAAATCTTCGTGCGACTCTTCAGCTCGGACTGGTTAATTGACCTCGTTCCAGGGATGGGCTTAAATCATTCTTGCAGCCGTTCGCGGAAGAAGGCAAGGTTGTGAACGAGGCTGATGTTCGAGATTTCTTTACCTCCTTCATGGAAGCGGCAAAGCAAGGCAGTTCGTGAAACTACTCGAATGGCTATTCCTTAACTCTCGCTTTTCTTGTTCTAGGCCAGGGCTCTCAATCGTATAGCTACCAGTACGACGTTTCCGGTCTGATAAGGTTTGGCCCAAGTCAGCGTTTCGACAGTCTGGCGGACCTTCGAGAGCGAGCCCTTCAATCCGGCGAGGTAAAACTCAACCTCGATTACCCCATCTTGAACAGCGTAACTCCGCCTACACCTCGCAAAATTATCAGACGGACCTTTTCTTCTATTCACTGGATTCGGGACTTGTGCAGGCTCATGCTCTCGCTCGCATCAAGCACTTGTTGCCCTCTACCTCGGTGAAATGCCTCAGAGTAAGTGTACAGATAATGTCCCGAGCGCCACTGAGAGAATATTGACAATATTTGTTTCGGACTTGAGCACTCGACCCACGTCTTTGTGGCCTTGTTTGAGGAAGTACATCTGTCCCTAGACCCGTCATCAGATCGAAGGAAGTCTCTACGAGTCCTAAGTTCTATCATATGGCCGACCTAGGTGCTTTACTTAACTTCTCTCGCGGTGGTGCGGGATACCTGGGACGCTTTCGCAGGTTCATGCTCCTTGACTATGACGTGACTTCTATGTGGTAAGAACTCCAGGGCTTACTGATTCGTTTCGAAAAACAGGAGCAACAGAAAGATTTAAGAATGGTACCCTTCCTCTTGCACCTGATTTACACTGACCCTCGTGGGCGGGAAGATCTTCCAAAGCGTGGGGGTGCAAACTTAATTAAAACTACCCGTGCTTCGAAAGTTCTTCTCATCGAAGACTCAGACGAAGGGAGTAACATTGGAGCACAAGCCTGAGGGGACTGGATCCAATTCAAGCTTTCTGCGCCATAACCGTTCACATTTTCACAGCAAAGGGTGCAGTGGGAGAATGCCGCTACAAACTCATCAACAGATTGAGACCCAAATCCTCCAACGCTCGACTTCCCGAACAGCCTCGTCACCCTCGTTTTCATAAATCCCGCAACATGGGTAAAGCTTAATGATGTTCAGGTTCCTTCAGGGGAGGAAAGCCGCCGTGTCCCAAATATAGGTATCACAAGAAGTTCCTTGGGCCTTGCTGCAACCTTCTCCTGCGTTCAAAGTCCTATTGGGCGGGCCGGGCGTCTATTTCAACCGAATCGCCCTCCCAGAACGCCACATGAATGACGAAAGGGCGCCTTCGGTGATCATGAACATAAGATGGCGATTATCCTGGTTGAAAAAGCACCATGGAAAGATGGACAGGTCTGGCACCGAGTCGAGGCGAGAGTGCATACAAGTAGGCGTACAAAGTGGGCGTTACTACGTGTTTAAGGACTTCGGTGGGCAACGAACAGTCATCCTCGAGGAAAAGCTTTTCGAAAAAGCTGAAGTAATTGTTATCATCAGACTCTTCTCCCCGAACCTTGGGAATCTATCAGGCCTAACAACCAGCGATGCCAAAATACAGAGAGCGAGGAAACGAAAACAAGGCGGTGTGGCGCTACTAGTCAGCGCGGCGGGCGAGGTCTAGTGGCCAGGTCTTTGAATGCAATCGCATGGTTTTAGTCCTAGAAGCGTGCATGTGCAATGTCTATTGGGTCGTGATGAAGCCTATGGCATACTACGAACAAGGATTTCCAAATGCAAGAGGGTGTGATAATTTACACGAGGTCGTCAAATGCCCAAAGTGAGAAAGATGCGAGAAATGGAATGTTCTATGTTGAGAAAAGAAAAAAGGAAGAAGGACAAGTTACAACATGGCTTGGAGCTGGCCCAAGTCTGAAGGAACCGAGTCGCCGCTGTATTTCGGCAAAAGTGATACATACGATTTCCAACCTTGGTCTGTGACGATTGGAGCTTGGACGTAATTTTCGATATCTAGTTGGATCAGATAGTCGGGAAGGTGCTGCATGAAGCTTGTCACAGCGGCGTCTTCACGGATGCGCTGTTGCATTCGGGTAATGCCTAGCACCTCGGAGTACCAGGCTGGATCTTGGCGGATAACGGCACACTCGTAGACGTCGAGAATCGCCTTTGGCATCCCTGCCTCTACTGCAGCAGAATATGCCATTGCGTGTCCTATCGCTTCGATGGCGAGTTGTGACTGAGGAAGGATCAAGAAGTTGAACTCATCGCTTCGATGGTTGCAGCCGAGTGAATTGTAGAGGTCGATGTTTTCCTGTAGGAGAGAATGTGCGTGGTAGGCAAGAGCTGACTCCGAAGGATCGGGGAGGGAGAGGGTATATCGCCCTTGAACTAGTTCCGAGAATAGACGGATGCATAGGGTTAAAACGTCGCCTTCTGCAATGATAACGCCCTTCCCGTCGTTCTGGATGCAAAGGTAAGAATCAGAAGCATGTCGGAGCACGCGAAAGTATCACATACCTCGATCCTAGCCATATAGTTCTGATCGAAAGTCCCTTGGGCTCCGCATCGTTCAGCGATTTCGGGGATGCACCTCTGGAAGTGCCGACAGACGGTGGCCTTCGCAATGACCGAAAGAGCGTGTCGGATGCGAGGATCTCGTTGTGTCATGGCGGTCTTCACCACAAGGGGGTACCAGTTGTCCATAATCATCGCTGCCGCAGTACAGTGGGCCACAGGCCACTGTTGCGTCCGGAAAGTGATGATGGGTGTCGGCTCGCTTGATTTTCCAAGGATACACCGTTGCATGGAATATCGCCCGCCGATGAAGGCAGTCGCTTTCATAGCAGAGATCCATGGGGCAGGGACAGCCAAGGTTCCCAGCTGAATTCGCCATACTTCGTCCCACCAAGCCTCTAAGGGCCGCGACGGGAGGGAAAAATCAAAAATATCGGACGCGACTAGTGCCGTCGGAGGAAGATGGACATTTGTGAACGTGGTGATGGAAAAATCGAGGGGGCCGGTTCCGCTTCTGGGAGGCAGTCGAATTGAGGATACACCTTTGTACATTTGTCGGGAGTCGCAAATGGGAACCACGAAAAATCGGCATCCACGGTCTTGTTCATCGACTATAAGTCGAGCCATGGCCAACGCGACTTTCGGTATTCCAAAAAGAGGTGTTGATGCTGGCATAAATCTAGACTATGTTAATTCACCAATCGACGGGTACTAGGAATCGAGGACGACTCACTTCGACGCCTCTTCCCGCGGGGTATGTAGTACGAAGCCGTCCTTGGTTTTCGTCGCTGTAGTTTCAATGTTAAAGGAATCCAGGCCGTGCCCTCGTTCCGTTAACAAGTATATTCCGACAGTGTCGAAACGCAGTAAGCGATCCACCAGTGGGCGTAGATCTGGTCGCTTCCGTAGATGTCGAGACAGTGTGCCAATGGTGAGTCCGACGTGGGCGGCCAGAATGGTGAACATTGCGATGTCTTGGGAGCAGATAGGGTCCCGCATCATTGCCCAATACTTCGGAGAGCAGAGTTCAACGTCCTGGGCAGAAAGGCCTGGAGGGGCGTCAGCACATGTCGACGCCATGACAGGGAAACGGTTGTACGGTATGTCTGCATCAGCAGTCTGGCGCGCTGATACGAGAGAGAGACGCGTTCGTCGGTGGAGAGTAGCTCGGGTCGGCATTGGAAGAGGGGGTGACGGAACAGTTGGTTATTCATGTTGGGGAGGGTGGTTTGCCTTCGAAGTAGAGTAGTCCTCCATCTTTATACTGGTGGAATTCTCCAAGATTGGAAGGTATGGTGGGATCTTTTGCAGGTGCAGGACTTTCTCGAGCTGGGAGGAGCGATCGAAGGAGAATCGGCGATCCTCCAACCGAGCAATTGGAAACTGGTTTGAGAAAATCAGATCGGTAGGCGGAGCTTCATGCTGACACGAGGGTTGCAACACGTCTAATGGTCCATTTTAGGGTGTCGAGAACGACATAAAGCATGCAGGAGATAGAGGGTTCGTCGCGGTGTCAGATTTAGTATTAAGCGTAAGTTTAGTGTCAATTTCTAAATGTCCGGTGGAGAGGCAACGGATTGGGGAAATGCGTCCGCGAGTTTCGGCCGCCATGAGAGATGTCCGAGAACCAGTTTGGATGTAACTGACATGTCGAATTGTCTCCTCGAGCTGGGTTCCTGCGGTTCGTTCAGACCGGTTGACAATCTCAGAAAAACGCCGACCGATCCAGGAATCCCGACCTGAAATCGAGGTCCATAATGTTATAGATTATAGTCTAAGCTACCAGGTGAGCCTTCAAACTTTTTTCGAGGTACGACGCCATTATCTTCGAGAATCTATTACGCCTTCCAAGGGCTCGAAACGAAGTGACTTGGTTTGGTTACCAAGACGGCTACACGTATCTGCTAGGCGAATATCATGTCTTTTCCTTGACATCCGTTATTCGCAAAGGAATCCCAGCACTGTCAGTGTAGAAATGGCTTCGGAAGAGAAGGGTACAGTTTGGGTACAGTGGATCGTGAAAGCCTTAAGTGAAAACGTCCGCCATGCCGCGGGGATGCCGCCTCGGATTTCTTGTGGGAAGGGTGTGTCAATGATTCCCACGATGCAAGTGTTTGGGCCGCAAAGTTTTGTCCCAAATGGTTCATCGTCTTCTTACCCTGGCTTGTTGCCCCGGATCGAATACAGAAAGGAATCCTTTGAAATCCCAAGCTTCAAGGCAGAATATTCCACACCTTCAATTAGGGTTCTCAAATCGCCCTCAATAGATGAATAAACCTCATCTACTGTGGGTTCAGTCGAATTTGTGTAAACGAAGAGCACAAGCTAACATTTCGAATAGCCTCATCTATTGTGGGCTTCAATCAATACAACGAGTCCACTTCGAGGCGATTGTTTACCCGTTTCGGGAATGAATGTACACACTGAATGGCGAGGCCACTGGCGCACATACTACTCCAGGAGCATACCTGACAGAGGGGGACCGGATTTCCTGCTCGACCAAAGATATCTGCAGGGGCATTTCCAATACTCGACTGACCATCGAGGGTCATGTACATGTCTGGATGTGCTGGTCGTTTGCTCCTTTCTGACATGCGAAACTCACGATAGCCGTGGTAGCCCCGCGTTGCTTGATTACCCTGACATCCTGTCAGAGTAATTAGCGCAGTCGGCTTCCTATCAAATTCTTAAAGGGTGGTGTTTATGTGAGAAGTATCATTTTGCAGCTGACAGTTTATTTTTGGAAAGGAAGTTATTGCAATTCTTCGAAACATGGGAACACCACGACTTTCAAGACTCATGAACATGCACGAGGCTAAAGGTGTTTCTTCGCCCTTCCTTCTTCTCACCCATGCGTACCACCACCTCAGTAAATGACTCCCTGGACCATTCAAGTTCCTCCTGCGTAGACGCCAAAGAGGGATTTTCAACGTCTTGTCCTACCATCGAAAAAGGCGAAGAACTTCCACCACCGGCCCAGCGAGATTCTGATGATTTCCCTGAAGGCGGAGTTCGCGGGTGGCTGACGGTCATTGGGGGGTTTGTACTTTCTACCCTTTATCTATTGTTCGCTGTTTGACTTAACTTTTCTCCACCCTCAGGGCGTTAGTTGCCTTCTGTACTTTCGGTGTGGTACAGTCGTTCGGTGTTTACCAAGACTTCTACACGGTATGCAGTCGAGGTTCACGTCGATAGATCATTCATTCACAACATACCAGCGCACATGGTTGAACGAGAAGACGCCATCCGAGGTCAGCTGGATTGGGTCAGTCCAGGTCTTCCTGGTCTTTGCGATCGGCCTCCCAGCCGGTCGCCTGCTTGACCTAGGCTACTTCCACCATACGATGATCAGTGGCACTGTTATTTTTGCGCTTTCGTATGTCTTATTTCTATGACAATATCCGCCTACTCATGTTGTCACTACAGGATCTTCATGTTGTCACTATCCCAGCCGCATCACTATTATCAGAACTTCCTTGCTCAAGGGCTCGGGATGGGTTTGGGAATGGGTTTAATGTTCATTCCGGCTTTGACCATGACATCACATTATTTCCGGCGGAAAAGGTCGCTGGCTATGGGCGTCGTTGTTTCTGGTAATTCACTTTCTGCTCTATATTTCCGACGAGTTTAAACCTCTCTCCGAAGGGTCCAGCATTGGCGCATGCATCTATCCAGTCCTACTAAACAACTTGTTCGGAAGGAAATCTGGCTTCGGCTGGGGTGTCAGGTATGTCAATACATATTCGTTCCATTTATTCCAAATGCTATTTGCTCCCAGTGTTGACTTGTTCGTCTCAGGGCTGTCGGATTCCTCGACGTCGGGCTGCTTCTGATAGCCAACTTCTTGATGAAACCGCGACTGCAGCCTCGAAAAGGCACCAATCAATCACCACCTGCCACCTTCAGAGATATAGCCAACGATGCTCCTTTCTGGGTTTTCGTTGCTGGGACGTTCTTGGTAGGTTTCCCGAAACTAACCGTCTCTCAACTGATCCTGACGGCGAGCAAGGTCTTTTGGGGTGTTTTCGTTCCATGTAGGGGGCCTCAAAAAATGCATATATGCAACATGGCTGATCTTCGCCAGTCTTCTATCTTCAGCTGTATGCCGCAGTATATGGCGTAGATCCCCAATTCTTGAAGTACGCGGTGGGTGACAAAGTCTATCCTCTGGTATTTGTTTGACTAACATGATGTCTCTTAGATCACTGTTATGAATGGCGCCTCGATATTAGGTCGAACGATCCCCAACCTGGTTGCTGACCGTCTGGGGCCATTGAATGGCAAGAGCCTTCCCGCGCTCTTTACTCCAACCTCACTAACCCCGTCACTCCTCTTTCTGGACACTTCACAGTTCTGATTGCATCGTCTATTATCTCAGGCGCCTTGATGTTCGCTCTCTTTGGGGCTACCAGCGTCGGAGGCGTCGCCACCTTCGGCATCTTTTACGGTTTCTTTTCTGGCGGGGGTAAGTTCCTCGTCTTCGCCCTCGGAGCAGGGCAGTTGCTGATCTATGGGTAGTCATCTCCCTCGCAGCGCCTGCTGTGGCCTCGTTCATCACCCATCCTGACCTCTCTGATCTAGGGTGCGATTGTTAACTGCCGCACGTTTCATCCTTCTCTAATCCATCCTTGATGGTTGACCCAGAATCCGCATCGGAGTGCTATCGTTCTCCTTGGCCTTCGCTCTGTTGACGGGGAACCCCATCGCTGGCGCCCTTCTCACCTCTAATCACCACTGGCAACGACCACTAACCTTCGCTGCGGTATGTTCTCGACTGATATCAACGTATTCCGGGAAACCTCTCATATGCATGCCATTTCAGGTCGTGGTTTTCGCCGGTGCATTGTGTTATCTCCTGGTTTGGAGATCTCTCGTCAGCCGTAGGAAGACGAAAGCAATCTAATCTACGACAAGAACATACGTGCCTTCGTGGAGCCAGCCGGCACCTGTGGACCTGAATCTCACAACCTCTCTCATGCCATCCAAAATCCGAATCGCGTTATTTGAAAGGCCCTGATACGCCGCACCACTCGAATTGGACATAGAACTTTCCACGTTACTAGAGCTTCCCTTGTCTCGCTCCGCACCGACCCTGTACAGTAGCACCTTTCGGACACGAATAAATCACGACAACGAGCTTTGCAATGAGCGACCAGAGGCTCCTGATTGTCTTGGGGCATTCCGCTCCACGACCCTCAATGGTTTCCACTCTTCGTCGAGATCTGTTTCTCACCGGGTATCGTGGGCGCTGTCTGGGCGGTTGCGATCAAAGAACATTTCGAACTTTTTTGGGTTTCATCCCTCCCCTCGAGAGGAGCATAAGGTACGTCCGTTCCGGTATCAGCGACGGCGTGATGCTAACTATACCTTATTGACAGATACGTATCAATAGGACGAGGAACCGGGTATACGCCAAAGCATGGACTTTGCGCTGTGTACGCCGTGCGCTGGCTTTTCGATGCTGAGGCAACAGGCCAGATTTCCACGTTCCGTGCTTGGTCTGGAAGTCTTCCATATGAAGGTGCCCGCAACGAACGCAATCCATCCTCTCGACTCATGTGTACGGGGAATCCTTGGGGGCAGCAACCCTAAGTTCTAGTCGAGTGTTCTCGGTATTCTTGATCCAGTTCAGTAATCAAGCTCCGACTGGTCACTTGAACAAGTCGCCGTGTATCCGGTTCTCATACTATCTGGACAGCCCTCGGTGGGTTTGGAGGTTTGGAAGGGAGGAACCATGAAACTTGAAACATTTAACTAACATTTCCGGCTTCACGTGTCCGACATAATCAGGCTATGGCTGCCCTTCTATCAACCTTGGCTTCACCCTGATTTAGGACTGAACGATCATTTCACCTTGATGATATGCTCGTCATATATATGGCATTCCTCCGGTATACCCATGGTGCTCTTTCCTCCATCTTTCCTCAACGTTTCTCACCTCGATTCGTAGTTTCGAGGCCCTGCCATCCAATGCCAACCGATTTTTCGCTCCAAACCGAGAAGGCGCCCATATCTCTGAAATTCCTGGTTGTTGGTGGTGGTATTGGAGGTATGCATTGACCCGGCAGCCTGATTCTATCCTGTGCGGTGTATTGATAGCATCCACTTTAGGCCTCGCCGCTGCCTATGCATTAAGAAGTGCGGGCCATAGCGTCCTTCTAGTGGAGAAAACCGATGGAAATCCGCGGGTGAGTGCCATTGGGTTCGGCTAAGCTGAAGTTCGGGCGCTTAGCGGTATGGATCAGAGCACAGGCGGCCTTCGGCAAGTCCCTCTTCTTGTCAATTCAATGTCCATTGAATTGACATTCTGAATAGATCGCCTCCAAACATGACGCGGATCCTTGATCAATGGGGGCTGACGCCCCAACTCGATAAGATCTCGCAGACGTGCGACGCTGTAAAGATGTACAATGGTCAGTGCAACTGAGCCTTCGGAATGAGGCAAGAACTGACCCGATGTCTGACCAGGTGGCACCGGCTTGTACATTGGGTCGATGATTACGCAGGAGTCCTTCTTGCAGCACCTGGGAGCTGATTATCGGTTTGTTAAAGTACGTCGCTATCAAGTACATACGTCACGCGAGCTTTTTTGACGCCGACTTGTAGCATGGAGACTTGCATTCGCTGCTGTTCAAGGCTGCCAGCGATATTGGCGTCAATTTTTTATTCAACACTGAAGTGACGAGCGCCGATACACACAGCGTTACGGTCTCACTACGAAATGGAGACGTTCTCAAAGCCGACGTGATTGTTGGAGCAGATGGATACGACAGTGTCATAAGAGCCGCTATATCGGGCCCTGCAGACGATGGCTTCAATCCGGACCTTCATCAAAAGAAAGTCTGGATTACATTTAGCCTCCCTGCAGAGGTGTTACAGCAAGATGAGGACCTCCATTTCCTTGCCGACCAGTCTAACGTATGTTTATTTTGACTGCTAGGAGTTACGCATAGCCTCATTTCTTTAACTTAGTGGGTAATTGCGCTGGGCGACGGCTTCATCTTCTCAGGCAATCTTGCGGTAGTAGCATATTCCATGTGCAAATGGGCGCCCTGGTTGACCATACGCTGAATTTCTAGCCGAATGGAGAAGAGTTGGTCGTGTCCATACAGTACGACACCGACAGACCGCTGGAAGAGGGAGATGATAAATGGAAGAACCAGACTTCACCACTGGACAAGTGGGGAATAGATTACTCCAAAATGGAACCGCGGTTGGTTGTTCTTTTTTTGCCACTATACAGAGGCAGCTGACCCTGAGATACGATCTCGTGTGCGCAGAATCGTGAAACTGCTAAGGCAAGCCAAAGAGTATTCCTCAAGAGTGTGCATCGTTAGACCGAACCTGGACTCTCTTGTGTGCGACAATGCTCGAGCCGTGCTCGTCGGTGAAGCCGGTAAACCACTACTTGTAGGTCTCTTCAACCGTGCTATCGTCCACCCTGTTCACACGTATACCATATAGCCATCTGGTCATCACACTCCTGCTATGGCTCTCGAAGACGCCCAGACCCTCGGTATACTTTTCTCGAAAATAAGACATCCAGATCAAGTCCCACAGCTGTTAACGGCATATGAAGAAATCCGGCAACCACGAGCATTGACTATCCAACACTACGAAATGCAGCATCAGAGTATGCTTGCTTGCCCAAGCGGACCGATAATGGAGCAACGTGACGCTATTCTGCGGCAAGCGCTCGCCTATCGCGACTGGGAGGAAATGGACGAAGCTACATTCAAGATGGTGTGGGGGGACGAGCTAGACATTTGCAGTTACGATGCGGCTGAGAAAGTGGAGGACTGGTGGACGCAATGGGGCTCCTACTTTGATCGCAGTAACGAGAGAAGAAAAAGCATCGATCTGCCAACGTTGGTTCAGGTATCGGTTTCGTCGTGAAAGGACACGTTGATATTGCCCGACTTGAATGCGCAGAACTAAAAAGACCCCCCAGCACACTTTCTTTCAACCCACTCAGCTTACGAATGGTCACGAATAGAATGGATCATCTGTACCGACACTCACTGCCTTATGACTTAACGACCATTTATGTATGCATTCTGCCTTGTTAGATCGACCGCATCTCATCTGTACCACAACACTCGGACGTACCTCGTCGTTTATCACGGAATTTATTTATACTTCTGGCCCTCGCTTTCATTGCCTCTGGGCGCTGGATTGTCAGGGGAAAGGGCAGGATCGCAAACCGACTTCGATGAGTACTGTTTCGAGTAAGAATGCGAATCCCAGCACCCGCTTCTCCTTTCGTCATTGAGGCCCCTATTTGTGGATTGATTGGCGCCCAAATGGAGGTGGCGATCAGACTAACTCCGGATCCCGAGAAGCGCGGTGGGTGACTTGTTTCAAAGTTTGACAACAGAGACCTACCTCGGTAGCTCTTGTGCATACAAGTAGGCTGCACATTAACTTAATATGGCCTTCGATTTGGAGAAGCCTGGGCCAACGACGAGCTTGATGAGTTTGTTCGTTGGTACTGCTTATTTGTTGTCAGCTTTGGAATTGGACACATGTCCAACTCGCGTTAGTAACATTGGGGGGGCTGTCGGCGGAAGGAGGTCGAACGGCGACAGGTGTCACCGACCATTATCTATCCAAGGGCCATCGACATTCGCATTAATTTATGTCCAATATCCATGGTCGATGGTGACAAGAAGAGCTTGCACCTTGTTCGACAGGGGCATGAACCGGCACGGGAGAATCTGATGCTCCAACTTGGCGGTCCTCACCCACAAACCGAGCATATAAGCGCACGCTTAGTTCCTTCCAAGGGCGTGAAATGCCCACAATGGAGCTAAGGACCTAAAGTCCCCAGGCATTCCTGCCTTCATCTGTGTGCACGCCCCTGGCAAGGCTATACATACAATACACAAGTGGGCCTAAGTTTAATTCTGCCGGCATATGGCACACGGCCCTGGATCTGCTGGGGCTTCTCAATCTGACGCACATAGCCCAATCAAACATACGCTCAATGACAGCCTAACAAAAAAACTTGAGAGGCCAGAATGCCAGGAATCCAAGAGGGATCTATTCCCGAAGTCCTCGGTCTGAGAGGATAACGCCAGTGGATATCATCTGAAAAGGAAAAGGTGGTATCGCGACCCTGCCAGAGCCCCACAAGTTGCAAAACAAATTCGCGTATCTGGCCATTTTGCATGCATCAGACCCGGTATATCGAAGTAAAGTGTACGAGATACATAAAGGGTCCATCTGTCCATTAAAAATACACCAGCTGACTCCCAAAAGGACTTGGAGAAGTTCGAATCGACGATCTCTAGTTTCCCCCGCCTGAGGAAAGGATGAGCCTCTTATGACAGAATTAAGAAGCTTTAAGCGCGTACCAAACCGCTTAAACCCCTCCCTCAAGCCCTCTCCGATAACTGAAGCAGTTTTGTCATCCTGTGTGCGACGAGACCAGCTGTTAGTGGGGGGTCAAGACTGAAGAAACAGCGAGACACCCACCAAGTTGTACCCAGCCGACCCCGCAACAGACTTTACAGTGCTATCAAGCCAGTCACCTCCCTTGTTGCTCTCGGAGACCTCGTCCTTGCGGTTGGAGGAATCGTAGGACGTCTTGTTCTCGTTCGAATCGGAGCCGTAAGACGATTGCTTGTTGGAGGATCCATGAGGCGTTTGAGTGGTTGAGGAGCCATAGGGGGGCTCATTGTTGGAGGGGCCGTACGAAGTCTTGTTGTTGTCGTTGGACGACCCGTAGTTAGTGGATCCATAGCTCGATGAGTTCTTGTTGCCGTCACCGCCTTCGTTCTCCCGCCTGGAACCGTAAGTTGAGGAAGAGTATTCCTCTTGCTTAGAGTTGTACGATGTTTTGTTCTCTGAACCATACGAACTATCTTCATCGCGCTTTGAGCCATAAGAGCCAGTGTTACTGGAACCATAGGCACTGTCTTCACCCCGCTTCGAGCCGGAGGAACTGTTGCTGCTGGAACCATAGGAGTTGTCATCGTCGCGTCTGGAGCCATAGGCAGACGAAGTGGTGGTGCTCTCCTCGTTCCGCTTAGAGCCATAGGAGGATGACTTGTTCTCGCCATCTTGGCTGGATCTATACGCGCCGGAGCCGTACGAAGTGTTGTTGCGAGATCCATATGAGTTGTCCTTGTCGCGCCCCGAGCTGTAGGAGTCCTTGTTGCTCGATCCGTAAGAATCGTCGTTGTCACGCTTGGAGCCGTAGGTGTTGTCTTCGTCGCGTTTGGAGCCGTGACTGGGCCTGTTGCTGGAGCTGTATGAATTGTCTTCGTCGCGCCTGGAGTCATATCTGTCGGTGTTTCCGGAACCATACGACTCGTCGCCATCGCGCTTGGTGCCATATCTGTCGCTGTCGTTGGAGCCATACGAGCTTTCGTGGTCCTTCCTGCCGTACGAACCAGAGTCGGACTGGCGGTTGGAAGAGTCCCGGCCATAGCTGTCGCTGCGGCTGTTACCACCATAGCCGGTGTCATCCTTGCGATCACGACGGGACTCGCTGCCATACGAGTTGGAATCGTCGCGCTGGGAGGAGCCATAACCAGAGCTGGCAGTGTTGCGCTCGCGGCTTGAATCGCGACCGCCTCGGCGGCCAGAATCGTTGTCGTTGTTGCCGTAGTATGACATGGTGAACAGGGTGAGGGTAGTTTCCAGAACTTCAGGTGACGGCTGGAGATGCTGATTACGAGGTGTAATTCGGCCTCGCTTTTATCTCGTTCAAAGGTCGAGATAGGGGCTTCGCTGTTGCATCCGAGGAAGACATCCGGAGCGACGATGATCATGGATGGCGATGCATTCGATGTCATTCTCATGAGGTGAAGGCTGGGATGGAACGCCGGGAATGGACGAAGTGTCAAGCCACAGGGGCATTCAATGTCCCGATAGTCATGCCGGCCATTCTAGACGAATGGCAGTGATCTGTGAGCAGAACGACTTGTCCGGGAGACCTATCGGTTGGAAGAGGGGCGCGGAGAGCATGGTACGGCGTTGGCTATTGGCTAGGCTGAGGTTCCTCGTCATGGGATGGGATATGCGAGAGCACCGAGAGAGACGCACGATGGAACTATGTAAGCCGGTCATCATCTGAGGGTCAATGTCGTCCCTTGAATTCATCACGTCGATCCCCTGTGCTGTACAGCCCTGCTGCGCAGCATCAAATGCGACTGGCACATCGGATGACCAAAATTCTGAAACGCAAGCATGAGTTGGGATTACACGGCGCATGTCACTGGCGGACTAGGTCTGGAGCCGGGCGAGCGCAGCGGTCAAGTGAGGAATGTCATCAAGGGGTTGTTGACCGACGTTGACCGGAAGATCTATATCTGATAAGGGGGGAAATAGACACGACAATGAGAAAGAGTGAATGTAGACGTCGAGTGCGTTCCGAAAAAGTCATTGTTAGGTCAGAGACCAAGCGTTATACGCTGCTGTACAAGATGACGGCCACCTGAAGTGAATTCTGTGTCCCAACATTCTTCGAACTTTGAAACACCAACGCTGACTCAATGAAAGGTCAGGCCATCGATGACGAGGCGTATAAACTGAAGCTAGATGCCTCCGTTTACTAACATGGCAACACCTGAAAGCGATGCTTGTCGGAACGAGGAGGTAACGGGCGGGCAGAGATGAAGGATTTGAAATGGGGATTCGATTCCTAGCGCGGTTTACGACCCACGGTAATGAGAACGACGGGAACGAAATCACTTGGGATCTGCAACTGTGCCGCAGACTTTGCAAGTACGGATGGTGGGGTCACTTTGCCATCGCTGAATGAGAGGTTTGAGTTGCGTTCCAAGGTCGGTGCAATGGAATGATTCCTCGTAGATGACCGTGAGCTCCTCGTGAGTGTCGGACGGGCAATACCAACGAAGTCGATCTACGAAAATGAAGGCAATGTCAGGTCAAGGTGCTGAGCTAGGGTTCGGGACGAGGTGGCTCACCAAGGGAGCCTTCGGGGCGAATGCGTTCAACCACGATTCCTACTGTGTTCGCGAAGCGGACGGGGTTGTGGGGTGTGTTGGCTAGGAGAATATGAGTTCCAAGTCTGAAGAATGAAGTGAGGGGTTTTGTACCTGGAAGTAGGAACATTTCTCCCTCCTCAATACGGATGTCCCTGAACTTTCCCTCGTCCACAACACGGAGGAGCATTCCACCCGTATGCTGATAGAACCATTCCTTCAAAAAAGGCCTCGATTCAGTTCACCCAGCACAAATAACAGAAATAGGCCATACCTCTGTCTCGTTGATGTGGAAATCATTCCGCTCATTAGGTCCTCCGACCACCATGATCGTATAATCTTTACTTCTCCATAAACAGAAGTTGTTGACCGGTGGTTGGAGTTTGTGCTGGTTTTCTGCGAGCCATTTGGTGAAGTTCAGCGGTGGAGGAAGCGGCATGGTGGTGGTGGTGGTAAGTCGATGAGTGAGGGAGCTAAATTGGCCAAGATTCGATAACTAATCTCCGGGTTTGGGCCTCGACGGCTGACTGATGACAATTCTAGCCTGGTCTGGCTGTTTGCCAATGGAGAGAAGAAACCTTTTCGAACATTCAAGTATTGTGTTGGCTGATAATGGGCGCTTAATTCGAATAGTTGGGCGTCTGAAGTAGCGTCTGAATGGTTGGTCTGAAGGAGGGATTAGAGCTACGAGTTTGAGTGAGAGAGGCAAGCGGCCAATTGCCGCGTGAGAATTCCGGTCGACGGGGGGCCCGGCCCGCACTCCTTGCCAGGAACAAACACGTGAGCAATATTTCGAGGCACGTGAAGGAACGCCCTCGCCATCAGGCGGAGGCGTTTCCTGTCTTCTTCCCGGACCACACCAATTTCTAGCCCTCAGGCCGTCGTCGAGGACAACTTGCAAGCGCGCAAGTCACCAAAGGTCGACCTCTGGACCTTCCAAAATGGTCGCGACGACGACGCCAAACATTGCGCAGTCTCAAGAGTCCGAAAAGAGGCGGAAGCAAACAATGGAGAAAGCAAAGGCAACTCATGTTGGTATTGTTTGATTTGTGGCGAAGTATGCGCAGGATAGTGGTTCTTACCGGCTCTCAAAGTTGTGCAGGCAATTGCAGATGCGTCTTCAGTACGCGAGGCTAAAGGTTGAACATGGTTGGGTGAGAGTGCCTTTAACCAAATTTCCTAAGCTGCAACTCTGATGGCTATTATCCAGCAACGGCAATCCCTGAACGAAGTGGAGAATCTCTACTTTGCTCATTCGCATCAACGAGGTCCCAAGTTTCTACCTCCCTCTATGGTAGCTACAACCACACAGACGGAAGTGCCACAGCCGACGGCGGGCTCCACGGGCGCTAATGCCCAAGCTCCCTTCTCTTTCTTTCCGCGGACGACTTCGAGTGTACGATTACCGGAGGCCAACAGAGCTTCTACGAGTACTCCACCTAGTGGCGTTCAATCCTCCGGGTCTTCACAAACTCAGACGCCCGTTCTCTCTTCTGCAGTCCCTTCAACTTCTACATCAATCCGCCCAATTGCTACCAGCACGAATGGGAATGCTTCATCATCATTTACACAACTACCTCCCACACCTACGTCTCCAAATAGGCCACCTCCAACTGCTACAGTTCCCCAAACTACTTCACACTACACCGGAACCTTTGGCGTTTACACTTCGCCTTCCACTTCAACACCAAGGGATTCTACTCCAACATCAGCTTCCATGTACCCAACCATGATCGTCCCTCCATCACCATCCAGAGCTCGCGCGAAACTACCCACAAAATCTCCAGCCTCCCAACCTCCGTCTCATCATTACAGAGACAGGTTCAGCTATACCTTGGCCACCTCGGGGACTGCCATGACCTACGATGCATTCTGGTCAACACATTCTTCGCCTCGTCCTGCTGTGACAGCGACACCTCCCACTCGCAGTGTGGTCTCGCCCTCGTCAACCAGTTCGTCCGGTCCACCCGCTAATCCCGTCGCATGAGGACACTCTCAATTTTTGTTGTAATCACCATCTATTACCCTTGTATGTACACTATATCATCACAAAGCTACCCGAGATAATGTGGTTAATCGAACTCCTCGATGTCATCGCTCTCAAGCCAACCTCCAGTCGACTCTTCCGCAACGACTGTTGGTTCCAGCTCCTCTTCATCCGGGACCTCGTCCGCCGCGTCCTTCTCGTCTATCTGGGACGTCTGCGGTCCATTCGACCCATATACAAACACTGGACTCGAGAATAGCCGATGCGACTTTGGCGGTCTTGACTGCCGATCTGCACTTCTGTCCTTCAATTTCAACATCGGTCCCAACTCGAGGATCACCTCGCTCGAGCTCCAGCCGCCCACTCTGCGCCCTTCTGGATTCTGCGGGACGGGTTAGATTTTGCTGGAATGGGGGAATAACCCACTTGCCTTCCTCAGATCCTCTTCCACTATCCACTCCTTGGCCAGCCTTACCGCATCCCTTGCGTCCCTCTCCTTCTGTAGCACGTCAAAGAACTCGGGTTTATAGATCTTCTGAGATCGTCGGATGACCGGGGAAGGTAACGAGTGCATCGTCCCAAGGGCAACGAGGTGGAATTGGTGTGGGTTGGCTTGATACCACTGCAAGTAGGGTTAGGAATGTTGAGAAAATGACAATCGGACTCACAGCTTCGCCGCCACTCAAATCCACCCAACTGAGCCAGTCAGCAACGTCACCAATCTCCTCCACTTCATTACAGAACTGCTGGTAATTCTGGTGAATGTATAACGAGAAAAGCGACGAGTCGATGGGCGAATCTTTGTATATGCTGTCGACGTCCACGCGACTCGCTCGTCGGTTGTGGTGCTCCAGGTGTGCAGGGAGTGGGAGTGGATCTTGCAACTGAGAATCCAGTTCTTTTTCTTTTAAAATATCCTTGGCTGACGCAGATGAGCTCGATGGATCCCCCTTGCGCTTGTTATACAGAACCTTGCCGATGAGGTGGAATAGCGCCAGACTCTGCTCGCGTCGCGTGACAGCTTCGGTGACCATTACCGTCGTCGCGTTAGCACCTACCCTCTTCTTCGCAGCTGGCCCTTGTACTAGACACGCGAATTGTAAAGCCATAATCGCGCTTCGGATGTCACCATTGGAGGACTCGATTACGATGTCGAGTGCTTGCTTTGAGGGGGCGACAAAGTCTTCGTGCATGGCGTGGGCCTGTAGCATGTTCGAGAGCGCTTTGCGCATTAGAGTTGGCGCTATTGGGTTGAACCTGCGAACAAGTTAGACAGGGAAGATTGGATAGGGACGTTTTGACTTGCATTATCTGCGTCACGTATGGCCCGTGAAGGAGGTCTCGCGGCAACACTGACCGTACATCCACAACTTGTTCTTTATCCTTCCCCCACCCAAAGCCTCCCGCTATCCTCTCGTCTCTCGCTTCCCCGCGTAGTCCAGTGTCACTTATGATTATGACAACGGGCACGGGTGGGTCTGAAACCGGTGACTCGACCAACGACTTTAGGCAATCATGGAATTGACTTTGCGTTTTTGGATGGAGGATGTTGGGGAGGTCTTCGAGGAGGACGAGTTGGCGTTTGGCCTTTGACGAACTGGACGAAGAGGAGGGGCCCGAGAAGGCCAGTCCTTGACACCGTGCCGCTCGGTTGAAGAACGTCTCGAATTTGGTGAATAGAGTTTCGCTGTCTGAATCGTAGTCTTGGTATCGCCCTGTAGAATACGAATCCTGACCTGGATACGCTTCAGGGTGAATTGAACGCCTTGGTTAAGCGGAGAAGACGTACCCCAACTGGATGTCACCTCCCCAATCGCATTTCTCCATTCGACAATCTCGAAATCCAGTTCCTTTGCCAAAATCTTGATTGTAGATGTCTTCCCCGTCCCTGCAGGACCAGTCAAGGTAAGAATTCTCTGAGAACTGAATTCAGCGGGACGATAAACCAAGTCGAAGGAACTTACTCTGTATTTCTTAAGTTTGCCCGACGGTCCTCCCTCGTACGCTTCCTTCAGCCAACGGCGGACGTCTTCGACTTTTCGAACATGGACTGCGAGTTCTGCCTGTGTTTTCAACACTTAGTCAAGACTTGGACCTTGGCGATGTAGAAAACTGACCTCGCTCGCCGGTTCATGGAGGTCAACCCACAGTTGGTCGCCTGGTTTGGCTGTTCAGAACTATATCAAAACTGTTGGACGAAAAGTCACGCACTTTGGCCTGTTTTGGCCTTTTTGTTCGTTTTCCCTTTTGTCTGACTGTTTCGCGTTTGCGTTGCAGGTCGTTTTCTGGTGTCCTGCGATGATGATCCTGGGTCGCTACCGCTGCTCGACGGAGGTGGTGGAGGCGTATTTCGGAACTGAGCGAGTCTTGTCAGAGATTTGAGAATGCAAGGCCTAATTTCAAGTACCCACTGCAGTCAACGGATCGAATCTCTTGTTCCCTGTGAACCCACTAGGCTGCGAGCCGAGTTTTACTGTGTTGATTTTCGCTGTTGACTTTGCATTCCTTTTCGCGGGCTGCGAAGCTGCTTTCGGCGCCATGGAGTCGTCGACGCGGGGGGTGTCCGTCCCTGGTTGTTTTGGAGTCTCGGTGTCGCGATAGGCGCGTCGTCGCTGTTATGAGATGGAAGAGAGGTTGAGGTCCGTGCGGGACGCGTCCGGCGATGATCGTCACGTCAATAGGGGCGCGGTGGCTTTTACTTTCGGCGTTTACCTGCGACGACGACTTTGGTTTGTTGAAGCGAAATGCGTCCTATATCCCTGGCAGCTGGTTCACTGGACTTTCGCTTTCGGCGTTTACCTGCGACGACGACTTTGGTTTGTTGAAGCGAAATGCGCCCTATATCCCTGGTTTATGGAAACTAACATCCGTCATATCACAGAATACAACAAGGGATAGAAAAACGAAAGGTATCAAATGCATGTAATGACAGTGTGGAGGTATAGCAGTGTACGAGCATCGAAAACAATCACTAAAAAACGAGAACGCGCAAGAAGTAACGGTGTAGACAAATCGAAGAGCAATATCGCTGATGGCTACAGCTTTACGGAGACGCAGCGACGAAGGCGTTGAAATTGTACGCCGTGGGCCGTGTAGTCCAATTGTAGCCTTGGGGAGTGAAGACGAGCATATGGTAGCCGTCCGATTCACGAACAATGGTTGCTGTAGGTGTGCAGTCGTTTGTAACCGGCAAACGCACTTTGGAGACTCCGCTGTCCAGATCTAGGATGATAACGTTCTCTCCGCAGGAAAGATTGAGACGAGCCTCGTCGGGGAGGAAGATGACAGCCCAGACGAAGTCTTCGGTCTGTATTCATTGGTGAGCTTGTCTTTTTGCTCTGGAGTGGTAGAGACTTACGAAACGGAAGTTCTCAGGTTTTCCTACTGGGTCACTTGGGATATCTTCTAGAGCGGGATGAAGTCGACCCCAGAGGAAAATTCGGATCCGGGATATACCAGGGTACTGCCCTGTCTTGTATCCTTGGATATAGTACTGCTGCAAATCAAGCCACCCTATACGAAGGCTCAGCATAACTCTAGAGCCATACCAGCCAGCGTACCCTGGTGGTCAAATCCGGTTGTCCATGCCTCAGAATGGGGCTGCGCTCCCTCGATCGGGCCCATGTAGTGCGATTCGCCATAATCGTTCCACGAGATGACTTGGACCATGTCTATGTGATCTCGTTCCTGAACAAGCATTTCCCAGCGTTCAACGAGTAGCCAGTTGTCTGCTCGGAATATGAAGTTCTTGTTGTAGGAATCAACGCCATAGTGCTGCAGGTGCCCCCGTCGAGGTCAGTCCTCTATTCTCTGGTGCAAACCGAGAAAACTCACAGTGAAGAACCAAGGAGAGACGGCAGCCATGTAGGTCTTTCCATTGAGAGCGCTCAGGTATGCGACATCGCTGTCGTTGGAGATGTCGTAGTTCCCCATCGGCCATCCTGAATCCCACTTGTTCCGAAAGTTGGACAATTCAGTCAACAGGGACCTTCAAAAATGGCAGTGCGAACACTCACACTGAACGCTCCGTCTGTGGATGACAGTCCAGAATAGGTCGAAGGCTCCACGAACAAGGAAGGGACGAAATGTACTTCCGTCAAGTGAGTCTTCATAATCCGCCTCCAACCTTCATTCACTGTCGGCTGACCGAACTGACAGTACTGTCCCCCAAAGGTCGTTACCAGCGGCCGTTCGCCTACCCTCAGATAGTTATCATGGGAGTGATACTGCTCCACGTATTGACGCAGCTCAGCACCGTCGGCGAGGGTGCTGCAGGGGAGAGAAGCCATGTCAAACGAGAGGATCAGTTTGAAGGGCGTCCCAGTTGCTGCAGCGAATGCGTCGGCTACCCGGTCTGGCTGCCAATCGTCGCGACCTATGTTCAGGGAGAAGCCGTCTATGCCCTTGGAGTAAGCCAAGTCCATGTCTGTACATAGCCATCAGTGCGTCTTTCCACAAAGAAGAGAGCTGTGCGGACCTCGTCTCCATGTTGTCACATTGTAGGGAAAGGCATTTCCGACCAGAAAATGAGCAATAACTGGTTTAGTGACCTGTGCATACACCGGTACAAAGAGCAGTATGAGGCATAAGACACCGAGGGGGACGACCCGCACGTTCATGGAAGTGTAGGAATCGATGCGGTGGGTGGTCCATTGAAACTTTCCGTGAGTTTGTGAGAGTAGTGTCAGCCTCCGGGCGCGTCTATTAGGCTGGACATATATCCAACCCGTCCCTTTACAGGTTTTCGGCTATTGCTGAACTGTATAATGCATTGTACGCGCATTCCTCGGTTCTCCTTCGATTCTCATCCTCAAACACCTAGAGCCCCTAGAGCCCCTATCGCACCATACGCCCCTAACGCGACGCGTTGCGCGATGAAATAGGGGTCTTTGTAATGTATCACGTGGTGTGATGGACCGCATTTGGTATCGTGACAGCTCGCGTCAAAAGGCCACATCCAAGAGACCAAGCTTGATTCCAGACAACCACCACCATTTTCAGCCCGTCTGGCTCCAGCTGGATACCAAAAAGCAGTTATGTCGACAGCAAAGGGCAGAAGCACCCATGCAAAAGCCATTTTAGGCCCTGAACTCTACGCGCAGCTCGAAAATACGCATGTCTTGCTTGTGGGTGCAGGTGGAATCGGGTGTGAGCTCCGTGAGTCAGAAAAATCGTTTTCCAAAACCAAGAATTGGGCTGAAGATTGTGGAGTTTAGTGAAAAATATTGTTTTGACGGGATTTGGGAAGATCACCCTGCTTGACCTTGATACGATTGACTTGTCGAACCTCAATAGACAGTTCCTCTTCAGGAAGAAGGATGTGAAGCAGAGTAAAGCAATGGTGCGCCTTGGATCACATCTTTAGGTGAAGACACTGACTGGAACGATGTACTGACCATATACTTCCTTAACTATGCGATATGATCAGATTGCCGCGCAGACCGCCGCTCCCTTCAACCCCAATGTCAAGCTTCATCCCATCCACGACAACATCAAGGAACCGCAATACGATATCCCTTGGTTCCAGCAATTTGACATTGTTCTCAACGCCCTCGATAATTTGGGTACGTTTCTCTCGGTTAGATGCGTTCCAGCCTTCGATATTCAACTCCTGTAAATTAGACGCGCGACGGCATGTGAACCGCATGTGCTTGGCCGCCGGCGTACCATTGGTAGAGTCTGGTACTGCAGGCTACCTCGGTCAAGTCCAACCAATGCTAAAGGTATCTCTCTTCTCCTGGCACGCATTGTCCCACTTTTATTCATCATGCGCAGGACAGAACCGAATGCTTCGACTGCATTCCCAAACCGACGCCCAAAACCTTCCCTGTGTGCACTATCCGCTCAACACCCAGTCAGCCAATACACTGCATTGTTTGGAGTAAATCCTACCTCATGGGGTTTGTATTTTTGGAACTGTCATGGAGTGCACCCCTGACTAAATGCTATTAGACAACTGTTTGGCGAAGACGAGGATGCCGGAGGGGAACTTGACGAAGCAGAAAAACAAGGCGAGAATGGTGTGTATTTATCTCGTTTGCTTCCCATGGTACCCCCCCCTGACACCGTCACGTCTAGCCCAAGAAATTGCCGCACTACGTAAAGAGGCAACTGCCTTTAAAGCGGTTCGAGATGCTCTCCGTTCGTCGAAGAGCGATGATGTTGCTAAAACTGTGTTCAAGAAGGTACTTACGAAACCGCTATACCAGTATAATCAAGCTAATACCTGTCAGGTTTTCGACTCGGACATCAGGAACCTTCTATCCATGGCGGATATGTGGAAGTCTCGGACCCCTCCAACACCGTTGGACTACGATGGAATCCTAAGCGGTGAATTCACCGCAAAGAAGCCAAACGCACCTGCGCCACCTGTCGCCAATGGCAATGCTGTTGCGAGCAGCAGCAAGTCCAGTGACACCGCCGCCCCCGCAAATGGCCAAACCAACGGAAAATCCACATCTGGGCTAAAGGATCAGAGGTCTTTGTCCTTGAAGGATAATTTGGAACTTTTCATTGACAGGTGAGTTCATTGCTTTTGGAGTGCAAGGGTCCGTTCAGGACTGACTAAGCGCTCTAGTACTAAACGCCTCGCGCATCGACTCCAAAATGGAGAGGATACCATTTCATTCGACAAGGACGATGATGACACGTTGGACTTTGTTACTGCTGCCTCGAATCTCAGGTCTACTGCGTACGGAATCGACACCAAGACGCGCTGGGAAGTCAAGGAGATGGCAGGAAACATTATTCCGGCCATTGCCACCACCAACGCCATCGTCTCGGGCCTCATCGTCCTGCAAGCCCTCCACCTTCTCCGAAAGACTTACGACCGAATGCGCAACGTCCACATCCAGTTCAAGCCTGAAGTGCCTCTGAGCACTATCACCCTCAGCCCGCCAAATCCTCAATGCGGTGTCTGCCGGGACACCTATGGACTCCTGCTTTGTGACCCTTCGCGAGCCAAGCTCGGGGAGGTCGTCAAGGGCCTGCTGGGTGACGACGACAGAGAAGTGAGCGTGTTCGAGGACAAGCGGATGCTCAGTGACCCAGATTGGGACGACAACTTTGACCGCACTTTGGAAAGCCTAAATGTCACTAGAGGGAAGTTCCTCGCTATTGTAGACGAAGATGGAGAGCTCTCGACATTATCCATTGGACTCGCACCTCTGCCGTAAGCTGTTCCTCTTTACCTTGGACTATCGATTAACGCTTGCGCTCTCTAGTCCGAACCACCCTGTGGATGCGCCCCCTTTCATCTTACCTTCACCGCTCCCTAAGCCAAGCAGGAAACCCAAACCACGGGCGCCTACTCCTGAAACCCCCCACAAGGCCAACGGAAAGCGAACACTGCCTGTGGAGAACGACGACGGTATCATCGACCTTGCACCTACCCCCAAGAAGCCCAAGTTCAGTGTTGCCTCCAATCTCCCGCTCAAGCGCAAGGCGGAGGACGAGCCTAGCCCAAGCAAGAAGCGCAAATTGGAAGAAGATGGACTCGTCGTTCTGGACGGCGCAGACGACAAGATTGAGGAACAAGACTACATCGTTATTGACGATTAATGGGTTCCCATTGGCGAGGTGTTTTTTTCTTTCTGATTCTTCCTATGTGTATGCGTTCCCATTAGACTGCTCGAGTATGGGAACTATGCGGACATTATGACTGGTACTTCTCATCAGCATATGGTCCTTTATAGTTTGATCCAGAACCTCGTGGCTGGTTGTTCTCTCAGGATGGAAAGGGGGATGGGATGGGATGTGAAGGAGGACAGCTGGGCTTTGGTCGGATCCTGTCTGATACCGTCGACGCAACTGAACATTATGCTTCGCCTTACTTTTCGTTACTGTAGGTTTTCTTAATCGCGTATTCGCCTTCCAGCACCACCCTCGACCATGAACATCCTCGGTGTTTGACAACTGTTTTGGAGATGTATGCGGCTGTTCACATCCGTGCCCGCCCATTGCGCTCTTATCTGGTGTTGTCCTCATTGCAGGAAGTTCCCCTTTATCTGTCAATCATCATAATTACGGACTCCCAGGGCGATGCTTCTCAGTTTTTTGTTGCCGGACTTGCACTCACGTCCAATCATTCCTTGATGGCGTTAGGCGCCGATGTGCGATCACAACTCAGACGCACAAGTTTCAGCTACAGGTTACCTTGACATCCCACTCACCATTCGTGCAACGGACAGGTCACAATGGCATCGCCTTCGAGTATTCATAACACAACGACTGCGGCACATGTATGTACGTATGCACGATCTATGATCACCTCGCGATTCGCGAGGGTGGCCAGGAATTGTGACAGCACATATGTCTTTTTTTTTCTCGCGGAGATCAAGCCGTGGTTCTGGTTTCACTTGGGGATTTACATGACGCCCGACCTCGGGCGTTATGGATTTCTGGGCGATATATAAAGTGGCTCCCCTTTCGGCTATTCCTTTTCCTCAGAGCTGGCCTCTACCCTCCTCGAAAGCATTGATTGCTTGATACCAAAGAAACCCTTACCCGTCTAACCTCCAGCCAACTCGTCGCCTATCCTTCCCCACTCTAGATAGTATCCACAATGGTCCACGTTTCCACTCAAGCCCTTCTCACTGCCCTCGCCGCTTCCCCCGCTATCGCTGCTCCTCTAGCCCGTCAATTCGAATCTGCTGAAGAACAGTTCTCAAGAGACTACGTCGAGCCTGAGTTCGATGCCCGCGACTTTACTGAAGCTCTCGATGTCCGTGACCCCTTCATCATCAACAAAGGGCTATGGGAGTTTGGTAAGAAAGCCCTTGCGGCCATGGCCATGGGCGGTGGCATGGGCGTAGCGTATGTCTTCCGTTCTTATCTTCGACTTCGCCCGGACTGATCGAATTCGCGTTAGGATGGCCCCTGCCTTCTTTGCCAAGGAGAAAGGCAAACGGTCGTTCATTGACGAGGGCGAGCTGGATGCACGAGACTTTTTCGATGGGGACGAACTGGAAGCCCGGGAGCCTATCAACCTGCAAGGCCTCAAGGCCGCTGCTAGTGCTGTGAAAACATTCGTCAAGGCGAATAATCGACTAGCTCTTCCCATCATAGGTGGTACCGCCTTTGGGCTCGGGTGCGTTACTTCTACTGTCGTTTCGAAGCGTTCTAATATTCTTTTCTTAATTGTAGTGCTTGGGGTCGGAAGAAAACACTGCGTTCATTTGAAGAAGATCTCGATGCTCGAGACGTGTTCGATTCCGACGAGTTACATTCGCGAGCAGACGACATGGAGTACTTGGTTGTCAGAGCCGACGATGGATCGTATCACCTCGTCGCACGGGATCCAAACATTGCAAACATCCTCAAAGCTGGTCCGACTCTCGTGAAGGGTGTCCTCAGTTCGAACAAGATAGTTACACCCTTGGTGAAGGCTGCCAAGGCCATCAAGAATAACCGCCGACTCGCATACCCTATGCTCGGCGCAACGGCCTTTGGACTTGGGTAAGTGGATTTACAAATGCTATTGGCCTCCATTGCTCAGCTTGTACGCCAGTGCTTGGGGCAGGAAGAAGACTTTGCGATCATTTGACGACGATTTGGATGTTAGAGGTTTGTTCGACTCGGGTAAACTCGACGATCTTGATTAATGGCTCAAGGCACGTCGTTGAGGCACAATGAACACTTGCTTTTGCATGTTGGCAAATAAATTAACGGTTTGGGGTGTATATCTGTATATCCTTTTGGGACTACTGTGGGATTGGCAACGATAATTTGTGGAGACTCTGGGAAACCCCATGATACGGCAAGTCAGTTAAGCGCCCGACTGACATCGGGAAGCAATGGAACTATACCCTACAGCCAATGAGATAGGCTTTCCAGTGACGTCGGATACCCGCTTATGCACCTGAATCCCTGCTGCTAGTGCTATTGGCGCGTCCAATGTTCGTGTTCATCATTTACCTAAAGGACTGCCGCCGGGTTAAGGACTGAACAATGTTTAAATTTGGCCAAGGATCACCCCGAGTCGCACGTTTATTCTTAGCCCTCCGAGCTTACTTGGTTGTTCCAAGCCGCGATTAGGACAGTGGTACGTCTATTGACGAATAATACAAGAGACCCACAGTGACGGTTGGCGCATTGTCCCATTAAGCGCCCGTGACTATCGGACCTAAGTGCGACTGCCAGGAGCACGTGGAGATGAGTTCTTGTATACGGCGGCGTAAAAGGTGCGCGACGAGTATGTGGGTCATCCCTGACATTAGCGCCCAACCTACGTGCCAGTTCTCTGCAACCTCCCCCAGCACCTCATCGGTGAGAGGGTCAATCTAGCTAGTGGTTAATCTCTTGTGGGTGTTGAGAAGAGTACGAAGTAGGTATATCCTCCCTACTAGCCCCGACTTTCATAGATTCATCGTGTCCACGATCAATTACTCCGGGTCATGATTTGATATCCTGAAGTCCTTGTAAGGATCCACGCAGAAGGGCATCTCGGGTTGTCATAGTCCCATCACGAATCTGTCTTAAAGATAGAAGAATGTACACAACAGTATAGCATCTTGGCTGTTCATTGAGGGCTGGCGCATATCAGAGAAGTAGATTTTGGGCAACGGCTGACCGGCCAACGACTTGGATCTGAGATTCACCGTATTGTAGAGGGTTCTTTTCGTCTCGTGACATTGGTTCTTGACGTTGGGCGGGTGGGACATGGCTATGTTCATGGCATCGGGACGTTCTTCAAACAGGTATAAAGCCACGCCGGTCTTGGGCCATTCCTTTTCCTCAGAGCAGGTCTCCACTTCCCACTTGATAGCATAGATTGCTTATCCCGCAGACTTCATATCCGCTTCCTCCTCATCAACACCACATCCTACCCACTGCACCGACACTTAAATCAACATATCCTGTCGAAATGGTTCACGTATCCGCGAAGCTCCTTCTCGCCGCTCTTGCGGCTTCACCCGCCTTTGCTGCCCCACTCTTACAAGAGGCCACCGATGAGCAATTTGCCCGTGACTACTCGGACTTTGACTTCGAGGCCAGGGACTTTTATGACGACCTCGATGTTCGCGAGCCCGTCAGCAAGGGCCTATGGAGCTTCGGCAAAAAGGCATTCACCGCGTTCTCTGGCGCTGCCACTTTAGGCTCTCTGTAAGTGCTGTCCCTGTCCCCTTTTTTCTTCAAACAACTCATCAAGGACGACACTTTTGCAAGGATGGCGCCCCTTTTCTCCAAAAAGAAGAAGGACGAGAAAAAGAAACGCTCGTTTGTTGACGACTATGAGGTCGATGCTCGGGAATTTTTCGAGGACGAGCTCGAAGCACGAATGTTCGATGGTAATTTTGAATACTTGGTGGTTCGAGACTCCGAGGACGGGTCGTATCATCTGGTCGCCCGAGCTCCCATTAATCCAGCGAGCCTTCTCAAGATCGGAAAGGTGATAGGTAAAGGAATTGGGGCCATTAAGAAGCACTCGAAATGGGCTATTCCAGCCATTGGTGGTGCTGGATTTGGTGTTGGGTGAGTCGATGTCCCACTGCCTCTCCGTCCTGGTATGTGAACTGAGGCCTGATTTTCTGTCTCGAGTGCACTGGCGAGAAAGAAATCCGAAAAGCGGTCGTTTGACGAGGATTTGGATACCAGAATGTATTTGGGCAACATAGATGAGCTAGACTAAGTTTAGAGCCACAAAAACCTTTGTATATTCTTGCCTCACCTACCAATGCGAAAGTCTATTTGGGTTAACGTTCAGTCAGCACGTACACCTCTTCGAAGAATAGCAAGAGATAGAGGCAGTGACTGCGACGAATGCGGTTCATGTCTCAGTTCCCACTGTGTTAGAGTGCATCAACTTATCGCACCTCTCTTCGACGTTCAGCCCTCTCAGTGTCCATTCACTCGAAACAACGCAGAATAAGCGCCCGTCCTCAGCGTCCGTCAGATTACGTCATCTTGCTGACTGCGACTACTCAGAGATAGTAAGATCGTCGAAATGCGTTGGAATTGGGTTTGGTTCCGAGGAAGAAAACCTGGCATGACTGCAATACAACAGGATCGTGTTGGGTGGATGTCGACTCTCGAGACTCAAGGGAAACTCGATATCTATCGACAATTAATGCCGAGGCAGAGCGATCCCGAGGCCCCCACCCCTGTTAGGTCTGAAGGCTCAGACCAAACAGTCGGCATCTTGGGTTGATCACTCTCTGCGGCACCTCCTGGACTTGTCCGTCCCCGTACATATTCTCTTCTCAAGAAAACCTATGCAGGTGTACTTGTTTTCATCGTTCGATACGCTTCACTGCTCTCGAGGGAAGAAGCGACGACATCAATCAACACAATGGACAGATATTCTCTCAAGCTGTTGGCGTCCTTCATTCCTACCGAAAGCTATGAACTCATGGTTCGTGGTAGTTGATGAACGCTCAGTTTACCAACGCTGAGATGGCGTACCGCGAGGTGCAAGAGTGACACGAGGACATTAAGCGGATTGAAAAGACCTTCAACTCTACAACGAGGTGGGTTGCCTCTTGTCCGAGCTAGAGTCGATCGCTCCCAGGATCTTTAGATGTGCCCTCTCGTCGAGCAGCAAGGAGAAATCATCGACAGCATTGAAACTCAAGTCGACAAGGTTCAAGCCGACACCCGGGCTGGGTACGTTGACTTTCGGAGCATGCAGTGGTCGCACGGTACTGTACTGATTGGTGTCTACAAAGGTACGAACAAACCAAGCTTGCTTCCAAATGGGCAGCGGCCGCCCGCAAGAAGCGGTGGATATGCTTTTTTATCATTGCCATTGCGGTTCTTGCTATCGTCGGCGGTGTTGTCGGGGGCATTGTGGGCAGGCGAACTAAGTTTCCGTTATTCCAGTTTCGAGTCCTTTGACGACGATACCTTTCCATTTCTACGCTTCCTCGTTGCACGGATGATTCTTATTCCGCTCTGTTGCACACTTATGATAATGCTGATAATATATTCAATGTTAGAATCGAAGCGCAGTTCACTCCACAATCCACCAAAAGGAAATTCAGGCCCTCGGATCACACAAATCCTGACAGGTTCCTCGACTCGAGCCCTACACCCGGAAGGCTTTCGCTATGAACTTTGACTGTAACAGGCGACTTAGAACTCCGGCGTTTGACTCGATTCACATTGAATTGTATTTCCAGAGGATGTAATCGCAATAGTTTCCGGAGTTCTCATCTCAATCCAACCAAGTGGTCCAGCGATTTCTCTTGCCCTGAATCACATCCGCGATCTGCCTCGCAACCACTCTGCTCGCTTGCTCACTCGGATGGAGCTCGTCGTACCTAGACCATCGTATTTGTTTAGTGTGGGCAACGCCAGGCGGTCTCGAACTCGAACTCACCACAGGTAGCTGTCGCGGTCGGTGCCCTCGACCATAGTGCATCGAGGGGTAGCGTCAGGTGGGGCGTTAAGCTCGTAGACGCAGCTGTCCACCATACCATCGACATTCAGCGGCGCAGTTCCATTCAAGTATTTTGACGGATTCTTGTACATGTCGGCAAAGAGCGAATGTGCATCGAAGAGCGCTAAATGCCATGGATCAAACACAGAAGTAAGTGACTGCCAAAGATTTTGTCAATACGTTATCAGAGCCCTCACCAATGTTCGCACCGCGCAGCTTGGGTGCCAACGCCTCGAGTTTGATCTTGGTGAGTTCGTTGCCGGACAGGACAAGCTCCCTCATGAAAACACTCCATTCAGTCGTGTTCCGCTCCGCCGTCCAATAGCGGTTTGGGTACGAATTCGGAGCATAGAGTGGGATAGTCTCCAATGGAACCATCTGAAAGGCAATAATCTTGAGCTTCGAGGGTCACGGTATTCAAAGCCCGCGAATGGCGACCTACGTTTTGGAATATGAAGTTTCTGGCGCCATTCTCGTAGAGAACTTCAACCCAATCCACCATGCAGTTCGTTACATCCACCAATGAAGCCTCGCTGCTTCCTGTCAGCAAGGCATTCGCACCAACGTCATTGGTCCCAATCCAAAGCGTGTAGATCGTTTCGTGTGGCGGTAGCTTGAACGTTCCGTTTGCTTTCTGCTCCAGGAAGAGAGGAACCTGGCTTTCGGTGAGTGGCGGGAAAGGTCGATAGGTGAGTTCGTTGGAGCATGTCGCTCCGGCCTTTGCAAATGGTAACAATTGCACTCCAGTGTACCCTGCTGTATAGACTGGCCATGGCGTCCCTCCGTTTGCAGACCAATCCACGCTGGTGAAGCTGTCTCCGAAGGTCACAAGGTTCTTGATCTGCCTGGGGCGAATCCCTGCAGCCAAGGATCCAGAATTGGTCCACAGAAGCACGCAGAGTTCGAACACGACCAGTGATAGGAAACGCATGTTAGGCATCCTCGGTGCGAATTTGGGCGATTCCTTCTCTCTTCATACTTATCGTCTTCACAGGTCCCACAATCAACCCATATTGAGCCCGTATTTTCCGCTCCCTCCCGTTTTTCGTCCGTATGGCAGTCTTCGCTGCCCTTCGAAATTGATCCTTCAATGTGATCACGAGTTACGGTGCAGTCACAGTCAAGTCAGTGTTCGATGCTTTCGAAGACCTTGGCCCTTATTGCTATGAAGACGACTTTACATTGCTATGAAGATGGCTTTACACCTGCGTCTGGAATGACAATATTCTCGAGTTTCCGCTCTCCCAAAGCGGCTTAGACATGTGCAACAATCCGAAGTATATCCGGCTCCTCTCACAGACGAAAATAAGTATATCGAGGCGCGGGCCATTTTACGTCGATCGGCTCCCGTCGCTCCCTCGTTCATTCGATTTCGAAAAGTTGCCATTGGTGAGACCCTGCCAACGCGCTTTAACTTTGGAATATCTTCTTATTCATTCTGATAACCGCTATCTCCATCTATCCAAAGAAGCGAACCCCCTCCCGCTTCCTGGCTTCCTGCCAACGAATGCGTTCCATAATTCCATTTATTCTACAGAGAATCATTGCGTGAATCTGTATTCTCACCAGGGACGCTGACTTGCAACTCGTACAGCCATTCTAGACGCGCAGCATAAGGCTCGATTATGCGTATACGTTCGGTGACTCGTATCGAGCACAAGGATCGAGGCAAAAGGTGCGTGTGTCTCTCGACGTGCCGTCCGCGCGTTGGTATTACTGAATCGTATGGGTTATCAGGACAAGTTTTTAAACTTTTGTTAACTCGCTCAGCTGTCTATCAAAGACGCCGACTGGCCTTCTAGCAGCTGTCGTCTGGTCCCCTCCCTTCAACTTCCTGAAACGTTAGAATGGCAGTCATCGCAGCGCGGGTGTTCCCCGTCACCGTTCCCTCGAATAAGGTTTCACTTAAGCTTTATCCTTGTCTTTGGAGCTTTGGAGCCGCTCTACCAAGGGAAAGGGCCGGACAGTGACGCATCTGGGCTAGGCTCTATCCAACATGGGACAACGTTCTTTCTCTTGGGCACCAGGAGCCTCCCTCGGTCTGATACCCAGAGACGAGGGTTATGCTTGTGTGCGTATTATGTATGCCTATCAGTGATTCTCCGAGGGATGAGATGGATCGAATGATTGCCTGGACCTCGCAGCAGAACACACTTACTAGTCATACACGCATAGTTTCTGAAGCAGTGTAGAGGTGACCCGATAGCCCGACTTGGATATGCGCCTTGAACGGATATGCAAGACAACTTCTCAATCCACACTAATGGACACAACTGGCGTCAAGGAACTCTCGGGTGGAAGGCGAAGACGAAGTGCTGTGGGGTGCTACTAATACAGGATGCTACAAATAGCCTTAGTCCCGGTTTCCCTCCCCCTGTTTTTAAAAGCGACATCTGGGACCGGTTCTCTCGCCTCACTACTACCCCGCTTCCGCAGCCAGTCCCTTCTGCTACTTCTGCTAGCCTTGGTTCGCTACACTAGTGCTCCCACTGTTACTTGAGATGGCCACGGCTAGTATGGAGGCGTACTTGCGCCCTGCTCTGAAGACCTCATTGCTGCTCCTCTCTGCCGTCTCCGTCCACCTCTCTCTATCGCCGCCTAACCCTCCTGTGAAGCAGGAAGAACTTTATTGGCGTTCGGTGCGCGCCAAGGCTACGCTTTTTGAAAAGTTTGTTCAGTCCATCACATTTTGTAGTAAGGCGAGTTCATTTTGTTTTCCTTTTGGGCGTGGTGATATTGACTATGTCCCGTTCATAGACAATGGTGTGGGTGGGGGTTCTGACAGAGATCCTGGTCCCAACGATTGCCAGCGCATGGAGCCGGCACTGGGCATCGGCTTTGTTCGACGCCTCCGCTTCATATTCGGGTTGCGAATGCCATCCATTGCTCATTGCGGGAGCGTTGTTCACCATTCTCGCTGCCTCCCTCCGAATATGGTATGTGAGATCCCCTTTTTTGAATCAATGTTTCAGTCAACGAAACTTGAACGCTCTTTTTCAGGTGCTTCAAGAAACTCGGCCCACTGTTTACTTTCGAGATCACCATTCGACCTAAGCATGAGCTCATCACCTCTGGCCCCTATTCCTTTGTCCGGCATCCCAGCTACACTGGCGTCTTCCTGACATTGATAGGGGCTTCCCTCTTGCTGTTCGCTCCGAGCAATTGGGTAGCTACGAAGGGCGTTTGGACTGTGCCTGGTGCACTGTTTGGGTTGTTTTGGGCTGTGAAATGTGCCTTTGCGTTTCGCGGGACGTATTTGAGACTGACGACGGAGGACGAGGTACTGAGGGAGACGTTTGGAGTTGAGTGGGAGGAGTACGCGAGGAGGGTACCGTGGAGGCTGTTACCTGGGGTGTTTTAAGGAGGGGCTGTAACGAAATTCGAATGATGAACGAAGAGTCTATGTATTACTTATTGGACAATGCGCGGTATCGCTTCTTGAGATCGACTTGGGACAGCGAGGATCGCGTTAATCGTAGAATGAGTATGAGATCCCAATTTTTTTTCGTTTATTTATAGCTTTTTGTAATGGTGTCAACTATGTAGGTTATGTGATCGGATTTTCGGACTGCTCTGAAGCAGTGGCTTCCCGACCTGGTCACTATCAGATCTAAAGAATGGCGCATCAAAATGGCCGACGCGGCGGTTCGTCACGTCCGTCGGGGGGCTGTAATTCCTCTGGAAGCAGCAGTGCTATCAGTAAAGGAAGAGAAAATGACTCGATATCTCGCATCACCCTTCATCTTTGACGTCCTTGCACTGGAGCATTATCTGGCCTTGATGCCAGCTGAATGGCCACAGATAGGAGGCAGTAAACATTTTTGGAAGTGAAGATTATGATCGCGACGGGCGCTTATATCTTGGTCAGGTCGTTCTTCGATCTCACCTCATTATTCCCCAAAATCCTCGCCGGATATGCTCCGCCCATACTAGGCGAAGTATGTAAGCTGATTTATCTTCAATCAATGTTTTGGGGCTGTTGGGAAGATTGACAACCGGGCTTAGGTAGCCAACGTGTGCACTGTCCAGGTGTAAGGCTGGCGTCTGAGCCCACGGATCCCATAATCTGTGTGTATAGCCACTTCAGACACCCTCGATGCTACCTCCGTTGACCCGAACCGGAGGCGAGCTCAATAGTGCTGTTATTTGTCTCTTCAAATCGAAAAAAAACGTCGGAAAAAGCGGCGCGCTTTTGAGGATTAGACGACAGTCGGCCGACGTCGGCAATGGCGCGGTTGATGTTATCGATGCTTGTGGGGCTCCTGTCTACCCACTGGGACACCAAAGACACGCCCAAGATTCAAGAGATCGCACTTCCGTTGTTTTCTACTGTTCTAGAGTCTTCTATCCAATGTCGAGGAAGTCGAAAGGCAGTCCGTCATTCCGAGAACAAAATCGGGGAAGAGAACTGCGCACCGCCACCGATTGATGGCGTCATAGGGGCACGTGGGGTCGGAACAGAGTTCGAATCGGGAAAGCATTGAAAAAACGACTTCACTCGTCACTTGCTTGTTCAGACCTCCTTTCCCTCTTTCTTCTCAATACCGTCGTCGTCGTCGGCGTCGTCTTCATCGTCGCCACCGCGCTCCTCATTATCCCGCCGTTGGCCAAACGATGCACACCGCACGGAGTCGAGGTTGGGCGACCAGTTGTCGTCATGGTCTAGACTGATACTAATACGTGATTTTAGTATTGCTAACGAGGCATTTGGCCTCTTCGCGGCCAGTGGCACGCATACCCAGCACCCGGACCCACCTTCTGCTACGACGAACGACCGCCACAACACCACCGCCGGCATCGTCAAGCACTGTGCGCCCAACATCCAGAATAATCCTTCGATGACTCACATTCCTCATATTTCTCACCTATAGCAACCGCTTGCCCCACCGCGATCCCCAGTTTCCAAGAAATGGCGGAACTTCCTGCAATTTCTGGGGCGCGCAACGCTGATAACAATATTCGGAGGGTCAGCGGTGTTCTACTATCTCTCGCAGCGAGATAAGCACCCAGGCACCCAACTGCCCTTTGATCCCGAAAAGAAAACTCTCGTTGTTCTCGGGAGTGGATGGGGTGCTACCAGTCTCCTTACGACCTTGGACACCACGGACTATAACGTCGTACGTATCATAACGCAGTCACTACCTATCACTGATTGCATTTTCTGATCAACGCTTATTTAGGTGGTCATTAGTCCAAAGAACTTCTTCCTCTTTACGCCATTACTACCTAGCGTCGCCGTCGGTACCTTGAATTCCCGTTCAATCATCCAACCCACCCGTTATATCACGAGGCACAAGGCTCGAACCGTTTCCGTCATTGAAGCGGAGGCTACGGACGTTGATGTAAGGAGCTCCTTTTTCTCCAAGGATTCCGAAGTGCTAATGACGTATTGGTTGGCGTTTCCCTTTCCTCCCCCAGCCCGAGAACAAAACTGTGACTTTCATTGGTGAGTTGCGGTTACTATCACTGTTGGGGTGGACGTGTTGGAAAGACCGAGATGCCTGGACGAGGCGGATGTGATCCGGAGACGAAGGTCCACCTGTTTGTCCCGAACTTCCACGCCCACTGGGCCTCGCTTATCTTTCTTGGCGTACTTGACGGAAGCCAGGCTTTCATTGTCCAACTTGGTGATTCCAATGGGGGCGCTTCCAACTGGACCTTTCCGAGGAACCAGCGGGTCCGTTCTACTATCTGGAACGGCCGGACAGGTGCGCGATCGTGACGGGAGATGTCTTCCTACGATGCAATACACGGGTCATTTGGAAGGAGGAAATCAAGGAAGCCTACGGCAGGGATTTCTTGAGGATCCCCGGCCCCAGTTCGCCACCGACCATCCATCCCATGCGCACTGCATTCCTTATATCGAAGCTGATGCTGATTCGTGTTCGCCATAGACAACTCGGAGATCAAGGGTGCAACATCATCAAGAACAATACAATACGACTATCTTGTCTACGCCGTCGGTGCGGAGACCCAGACCTTTAACATTCCAGGAGTCAAGGAACATGCAGTATTCATGAAGGAGTTGCACGATGCGGAGAGGGTACGTTCTCCGTCCGAATGCAAATCACATTTCAAACTGACTTGTTGACAGTTCCAGCGGGGATTCATGGATTGTTCGTTATCTTCGATCTGCACCCGTCGCATTCAGCTGACCCCCATGATCTCCAGGTGTCGAAACAGCTGCATTCCCCGGACAGTCCCCTGAAGAAATTGATAGGCTATTGCATATGGTGGTGGTTGGAGGTGGCCCAACTGGCGTTGAAGTCAGGTAAGAACCGGCCATTTCCCTCTCTTGTTGTTCGTCACTCACAGTTTCTTACAGCGGTGAACTCCACGACTTCCTCGAGGACGACCTCAAGCATTGGTATCCCGAGTTGGCTGGGCGGATTCGCATCACCCTCGTGGAAGCCCTGCCCTCTGTGCTTCCCATGTTCAGCCGGCAGCTGATTGACTACACTGAGTCGACCTTCAAAGAGAGCAAGATCGATATCCTGACCAAGACGATGGTTAAAGAAGTTAAGGAGAAGAGCGTCGTTCTTCAGATGCCCGACAAGAGCATCAAGGAGGTGCCTTGCGGTCTTGTTGTGTGGGCAGCTGGGAACAAGGGGCGCAAGATCACTCAGGACTTGATGGCTAAGCTCCCCGAGACCCAAACCAACCGACGCGGTCTGACAGTGGACGACCATCTGCGACTGAAGGGTGCGGATGGTGTGTTTGCCATCGGTGATTGCACTGCAACATCGTACGCGCCTACCGCTCAGGTCGCATCGCAACAGGGTGCATATCTGGCACGAGTGCTGCACCAGTTGGCGAAGAAGGATTCGATTGAGCAGCGATTAAAGAAACTGGAGGAAATCCAGGTCGAAGACCCAGCGGAGAAGGAGAAGCTCGAGAAGGAGGCCAAGCTGTTGCAATCACAGCTTGCCAAAGTGAAGCCCAGGGCCTTCCAGTACTCGCATCAAGGCTCGCTGGCCTACATCGGCTCAGAGCGTGCTATCGCGGACCTGCCTTTCATGAACGGCAACGTGGCCACCGGTGGTGTTGCAACCTACCTGTTCTGGAGGAGTGCCTATCTGAGCACGCTGTTCTCGCTACGAAACCGGACGCTAGTTGCGACAGATTGGCTTAAAGTGAGGCTTTTCGGAAGGTATGTCCTGTCGTACGAGTCAGATGAAATCCTTTCTGACTGGCATTTCTAGGGATGTGAGCCGAGAGTAAATCTGCGGCGCGTTCTGATCGCTTCTTGTGGTGGCCACCTACCACTCAAAATTATGTTTTGTTACGAGACGACGGACTATAATACCAATACCATTACTGCTAATCTGCATAGTTTCCAACCATAGAGTTTTCTTTTCTCTTGTTTCTCTGATAGACTCTTTCGCCATCTTTCACTGCTGATATAGAGGTTTTTTTGCTCCGCAGTACATAGACATTTCAACGCTCCTTGTTTTGTTTTTGCTGTTGCATTATTCGTGTTCGGAGTATGTTACTTATAGTCGTAGTATGATGTGCTTGCTTTCTTCAGTATTTTATTGGAATGTGGGGTTAACGTTTTTGTATCCCCTTGGCGGGGTGGGCGCCCTCAGAATTGATGCGCCGCAGTGCTCGCGAATCCAGTGACTTTCCCACGGACTGGCGACGCGGCTCGCGGTCGTCTTCGACAAGTTACAACTCTTGACCGCGACCATAACCATCGATTTCTGTCCTCCCGGCACCCAGGCCATACAAAAACAGCAAGGGCTCTCGTGGACTGTATTTGGTCCTTGGATCAGTGCAATGTGAACATTGACTGGGAACAGTATTATCACGATTAAAACGGAACCTCCCGCAAGGGCGATATGGGCGGCTACCAAAGCCTGGGCAAGACCGCGTCGACCTACTGTCTGGCCAGTGCTCAATAGAGTTGCTGACTTTCTTTCGTTTGTTCAGATAAGGTACGCTCGCTTTTTCCATTCGCACGAAAGGGACAAATCTAATCCTTTGCGCCATGGCTGAACAGAATTGCAAGTTGCAACAAGCAAGGAATTCAATGGATACAATGTTACTACCGCCCTTTCTCCCTCTCTACCACATGTCTCCGCCTACCACGGACTCTCGGGTACCAAGGGCACCAAGATGGATTAATATCCTCCAGTCGTGAACCTCATTTCGACTCCTCTCAGAGATCTGCGAGGTCCTATGACCGCTCTGAAACACCGCCTTGCTACGGGCGGCCAAGTGCAACAATGTTTGTTAGCCATCCGGGCTTTTTTAGCTTGAGAACGAGGTTTTCGCTGCTTCTAAAGACCTCGAGCGCTCCTTCTGTGTTCTTGTGAGAACATTGGGTTCTCCCATATAAAAACCCTGGATTATTGCTTGCGTTTTTGGCAAGCCTGCCATGTTGCGCACCATTGTGGTCCTCGCCGCACTCGCTGGGAGCTGTAGCGCTGCCCTTTACCAGAACATCAAGGCTGTTCCTCGTCGGGAATATGATTTCATCATTGTCGGTGGTGCGTTCTTTGCCTTCTCTCGGAAGATCCTTCACTCAAGAGTGTTCATTTGCGCCCTTCTGCAGGTGGAACGGCAGGTTCTGTTCTTGCGAACAGACTTTCAGAAAACCCTCGTCACCAGGTTCTACTAATCGAATCAGGACCGTCGTGAGTGATTAAAAGGTTCTTATTCATCGGCAATCCTCACCGTGCACGTTAGCAACGAGGGCGTTCTGAACTCGATAATTCCTTATTTTCATCCGTTCCTGCACGGTTCGCCGTATGACTGGAATTTCACCACTTCGCCTCAGACAGGTCTCGATGGCCGCGTTCTCGATTATAATCGTGGCCATATCCTGGGTGGGAGTTCTTCGATAAGTACGTGTTTCATTTCTACTGTGGACAGCGATGCTGATGCAGGACGTGTAGATGCCATGTTTTGGACGAAGGGCACTGCGGAAGATTATGATCGATGGGCGAAGGTTACAGGAGACCCTGGATGGTCATGGAAGAGTTTGTTCAAGTACTCTCTCAAGGTGTGCGAAGAACCTGTCCACTTCCATGTTCCTTGGGATTTAACTGTCGAATTAGATTGAACGTCTGGTTCCTCCTGTTGATGGCCACGACACTACTGGCCAGGTTGACCCTTCTCTACACGGCACTGATGGAAACCTTAAGATCTCGGTTTCTGGATGGCCTCTTGAAGTCGACTCTCGTGTGGCAGGGGCCGTGGAGGAGCTGGGAGAGGAATTCAAGGCGATCGTTGATATGAACTCAGGGGAGCCTTTAGGAACGAGTGAGCTTAAATCTGAGATTTGATACTTAGGCTGTCACTAATTCGAATCTCGATGCATATAGGTTGGCTCCAGTCGAGCATTGGCGATGGCGAACGTAGCAGCGCGGCCGTCTCATACCTTGCTCCTAAGCATCTCGAGCGACGAAACCTCCACGTTGTGGTGAATACCCGCGTTACGAGGGTGCTCCCCAGTAATAGCAAGGGTCTGCGATTGGCGTTCAGAGCTGTTGAGGTTGCGACCGAGAAGAATGCTGATGGTGGGTGACGGTACTCTAATTCCAGATTTCTTGGATTAACTGTCGTCATCAGCTCCTCGAGTCAAGCTGACAGCGAAGAAAGAGGTCATCTTAGCCGCTGGTGCCGTCGGATCTCCTCATATCCTGCTACATTCCGGCATTGGAAATCCAAGTGATCTCAGTGCACTAGGGATCAAGCCGCTTGTTGACCTCCCAGAAGTGGGAAGGAACCTTACGGATCACCCCTTGGTTATGGTGCTCTGGAATGCTAACTCTACCACCACTGGGGATGCGTAAGTAGACCCTCTTACCTTGCCCGATGCAGACGACTCTCAACTTGCCCATGTTCTAGGCTCGTGCGTGACCCTATTGCCCAAGCAGCAGCATTAGAAGAGTGGAACACGACGCGTACAGGGCCATTTACCTCTATTGGCATTAATCAAGTTGCGTGGTTGAGGATTCCGGACGACGCCCCGATCTTGCCGATCCTGCAGCGGGTAGAAAGACTCCACATGTAGAAATTACTTTCGATGTAAGTGAAGTCGTCTTCACCCTTTGCGGTCATCAAGTACTAATAATACTCGTTTAGAACAGCGCAGGTTTCTCTGGCATCACGGGAGGATACTATATGGGTGCTGGCTTGGCTGTTCCAACCCCGTGGTCTCGTATGCCTTTTTCCAAGGACGGTACACCAGGCGCCTGCTAACGATGCTTCTGTTTTTAGGAGGCTCGCTGACACTTCGAACCTCGAACCCATTCGACCAACCAATAATTGATCCAGGCATCTTCAGCTCTCCGTTCGACCAGTACGCGATGCTGCATGCTGTTCGAAGTGCGCGAAGGTTCTTCAAAGCTAGAGCGTGGGATGGCTACATCCTTGACCCAGTTGCACCGTGGACAGATGAGATTATCGACGATGATGAAGCTGCAATTGGTATTTTGAAGTCGACGGTTGGCCATGCGTGGCATCCTGTTGGAACTACGCTCATGTCGCCCGGGAATGCGAGGTACGGTGTTGTGGATCCTGACCTGAAGGTCAAGAAGGTGGAAGGGTTGAGGGTTGTGGATGCGGGTGTGATGGTAGGTCTATATGTTTCCTTATTGTCAGAGCTACATTGCTGAACATATCTGCTCCAGCCATTCATTCCTGCTGCCCATACCCAATTCCCGGTGTATCTCGTTGCGGAAAGGGCGGCGGATTTGATTAAGGAGAAGTATACCTGATTTCTGAATTTCATGTCGCACTAGTGGCTACTAGGTCTGCGCCCTGCATGAACAAATTTCTAAGCAAGATGTCATTTTACAACCCGAAAACACAGGTATAAAAGTACAAGTGGTATCAAGTAAGAGTGGTATCCAAAGGGGAAGAGTCCCCACAGCCAAACACAATCACTTCACTCAATGCGCTGATCTCGATGTTTTCTTGTTGTGCTTCTTGGGTTGGGGGCGAGGCAACTTGAACGGCGCGTTCTTCATCCTACCAAACTTCTCGAAGTCGTCCGTTTCAGCTCGGATCGTCACCTCGGCGTAGGTGGGTTCCCAGTCCATTGGCACTTCTGGCAGTGGTGCTTGTCGTCGAGCCCGGCGTCTGGCGAGGTTGCTTTGTCGAACATCCCCGATGCTTACTGCCTTTGAGGGATGCTTGAGACTGTACCTCGACGCGGAGGGTCGAACGTAGGGGGTGTGTCTGTAGGTACTGGACGGAGCTTGGCCTCCTCGGTAAGTCCGTGGTCTGGGGAGATGGGAAAAGACAATCAGCACTGGAGAATAGATTGGAAGTGGAGAGTGTGTACTCACGGAGAAGCAGGATGGAATGGAACGGGGCTGGCAACGATTGGGTAGAAGTCGACCGCGCCCGGCTCGCGTGTGAGGTCAGCATTTTTGTTACGCTCGGCGAACGGGCTGGCCAACGGGGCGGGCTCCTGAACGGGCTGAACAGGAGGTGGAGCGACCACAGGGGGCGTATCGCTCTTCGCATCGCCTTGCTCGCTACAAAAGTTCAAGACGGTTAGCTCAAGGTGCCTGCTGGCCGCGGCAAAGAAAGGGCACTCACTGGATAGGAATGTGTTGGAAGAGAGCGTTTCGGGTGGGGAAGACCGTACCGCAGACCTTGCATGTGAGGCGCTCAATGGGTTGTGGTTTTCCATTACCGCTTGCTGTGTGTGAAGGATGCTTGCGATTGTACCTCGACTCGGACGTTCGAACGTAGGGTGTGTGTCTGCGGGTACTGGAGGGAGCCTGGCCTCCTCGGTAAGTCCGTGGTCTGGGAAAGGACAGTTAGCGCTGAGGCATGGAGAATAGATTGGAAGTGGAGGGGATGTACTCACGGAGAAGCAGGATGGAAGGGAACTGGGCTGACAACAACTGGGTAGAAGTCGACCGCGCCCGGCTCGCGTGCAGTGAGGTCGACATCTGGGTTACGCTCAGCAAATGGGCTAGCAAACGGGGCGGGCTCCTGAACAGGCTGAACAGGAGGTGGAGTGACCACAGGAAGCGTATCGCTCTCCATATCACCCCGCTGGCTACAAAAGTTCAAGATGGTTAGCTCAAGGTGCCGGCTCGCCGGGGCAAAGAAAGGACACTCACTGGATAGGAATGTGTTGGAAGAGAGCGTTTCGGGTGGGGCAGACCATACCGCAGACCCTGCATGTGAGGCGCTCAACGGGCTGTGGTTTTCTATTACCAGAGGGCTTATCCATCGCACTGCAGATGCCAAAAGGGGTCGACGTCAGTTCAACGGTTTAGCTGAAACGTGATAGATACTTACTGAATGGGAATATGCGCGAAGAGAGCGTCTCGGGTGGGGAAGACTGTGTCGCATAGCCTGCATGTGAGTCGCTCAATGGGCTGTGGTGTCTGAGAAACAGAAGGCTTATCCATCGCACTGAAAATACCAGACAAGGGTCAATGTCGGTTCCACGGTCTAGATGCAGCGAAATAGATACATACTGAGTAGGAATATGCTCGAACAGAGCGTTCCGGGTGGGGAAGACCGAGTTACAGAGCCTGCACGTTAGGCGCTCGAGGCGCTTCAGGGCGGCGTTGATGTGTTCTTCCGAGGGTGACATCATCTTAGAAAATTGCAGAGCTAGATTGATATAAGAGGAATCGGGGTGCTGGGGCTGTCTAGGCTGTGATAGGGTGTGTGGTTAGTGGAGTGGTTAGCAAGTTGTGGTTGAGATAGCAGAGGGTGTACAAGAGTAGCTTGTACGGGGTGAGAATCGCCGGATTCTGGAGAACCAAGTGCCAGAGCTTCATCCTATTTTATAGTCTTGAGACGACGAGGGACCGTCTTCGCTCGGACCTCTGCATACGTCGTCAATCCACCACTGTTGCCAAGCTAGAACAAGCGCCAGCGCGCTTAACGGAACATTTTTCGGATTGTCCCTTGTCCTCATGAAAAACAATTGAGGCTGGGACCGGAAATTTGGCAGTTGTATGACCATCCGTTGATCCCGCGGCGACGTTGCACTCGGCGCAATGCCAGGTCCTTGCGTTGTGGTGAATGGAAGTGTCCAAGCGGAGGCGGTCATGAGGAGCTCAGTGACACCGAGTAAGAGTCAGACTGACTCTTCCTGTCGCCTCCCATCTATTGAGGGCAGACACCTTCGGGTTGGGTTGAATCATTAGCCCACCTTTCCATGAGCATTAATGGGGTAGTGGTAACCTGGATCGTTGCCATTCGACTAGCTCGATCCGCCGGGGGTTCGATTCCCCCTTGATGCATTATTTTTTCTCGCCTGCAGCGAGAGCCCTGCAAACGGCTGGGCCACTGCGGGTATTGGTTCATCTGGTGTAAGCATCCCTCCTAGCACAGCTAGGACCGAGACTAGTTTCCTCCAGTCCCATCAACCCAAGGCAGAAGTGGTTCTAGGCAGTTGTCCGACGCTTGGAATTGTTAAGCAAGTGATGTCATGTATTGGAAGTGTTCGGGATGCGGTAACGTCTGGACAGTGAGTGCTTATGTGTAGAACTTGCGGTTCTCGTTGATACCATATAGATCCTTCCTAATCTCAGGGAGCATCTGTGAAAGGCGGAGTAACACGGTCAGCGATACCCAATGCGAGATTTACAAGTCAACGCACCCTATCTTCTAGCAATCTCAAGCGCTCATCAAGAGTGTTATCAAGTGTTATCCTCCTCGTACCACTGATGAGTTTAACTCCACCAGCCCTGTACAAATTCCATCATCATCGGTACGACCAGGTGGTGAGAAGTTGAAAAGTCACGTACAAATCATCGCTCAAGCTAGCCTCGACGTCGTACGAGATAGACCTCCCACTCAACTCTTCGAACTTCTTGGCGGCCTGTCCCGCTGCTTCCTGCGCTGCTTCCAAGTCGACTTTACGGGCGAGGACTGTAATTTCTGGTTCCATGATCTGGAGGAAACCCTGGAGGATGACGTCTTGCAGGAACTGGGTGTAGCGGGAGGCATTCTGGGAGAGGGTGGAGATTGCGTTACGGGTCGTTGTGAAGAGGTCTTGGAGATGCTCTTCACGGCGGTGGAGGAGCCTTAGACGGGCTTTGTTGGTGAGATTGGACTGCGCACTGGAACGGGACGGGATTGGGATCAGAGATTCATTCGGTCGACAGCGGGACAAGAGGATACGTTACATCTTCTGAGCGACTTCAGCTTGTTTGCGTTTCTTATCGTATTGCGCGTCAATCGCTTGTTGTTCTTGCTTGACGAGCCTGGCCTACAGGGTCGTAGCAGGACTGAAGGTCAATCATTCCGTTCTAGGCAAGCTAGGAATGAATATTGGACGACTCACCTTCTCGATAGCGAACTCCTCATCGGCCTTTACTCGAATCTCACGAGCTTTCTCCTGAGCCTCTTGTTTGATGAACAAGACCTATAGAATACGGAATTGCGGTTCCCGAGCGTCAGTTTCCCTGTTCCAACCCGAGATTAGGATCCTGAGCGCACCATCTTGTTCATCTCGGTGACCACCTCATCATCGTTGAGCGCACGGGTTGCCATATTGTGCGGTGCTGTAGTGGGTAAACCAGGTAGAGATTGCGATTAGAAGGGCTGCTGGTTCGTGCTCGACGTAACCAAAGGAGACGACCACTCTCCGGCCCAAGTCGTACGCATTAGAAGGTGTGGGAAACCAATTGTGATCCCATCAACCATGTTGCCCCGAAGTGCCGTCCATCCCGTTCGCAGTTTCCTTGAAACGAAGAACTGTATTTTGCGTCCAGTACTTCCTCCAACTAGTACTGGGCGCTGAGCTCCAATCTTTCAGCTCTGTCTGCAACCGTTGAAGGTCGGTATAAGTGTAGGATCCATGCGTGTCGTTCACCAATAACGAGCTTGCGTGGCGCTTCCACTCTCCCTACTACTACGTAGACGTCGCCACAAATATCTATTAGGAGTCTTCAATCAAGGTACCGACAGATTAGCTGTCCCCCGACGCCCCATCTGACTTCAACTCCGTCTCCCAGTGTCAAAGCTCCAAGCTCTGGGTTCGGTACCAGGGATTCCAACGGCATATCAAATTATTAACATTTCAATTGGATGGTGGGGTTGAGAGAGAGCGTAAACGTATCGAAGGCACCTGAATGAGTCGGATGGCTTCGACATCTTTTCAATGGCGATCATGGATTTCATTTCTGCGTCAGCAACTGACGCCTCGTTGCACATGTGCGTGCGTTCGGCCTCACACAGCTCCTGGAAATTCGGAAGAAGATCCTAGTACTCTCCATCAGTAGGGCTCTTTACATGCAGTCTACGAGTCACCTCACCGCTGGAGTCTCTGCTTTCGAGGCTCCCTCCTGGTTGACCGACCGATGCGGAGGCTCGGAGGAAGTGATGAGCGGCGATCCTCAAGGTGTTTTTAATTGTCCTTGCTGCACAATCACAGATCACACGACTAGAAACCTTTGGCGCCTACACATTCGATGGATAACGCTCCGAATCGTTCGATTATCGCTTATATATCGCGCCCCATGTGTACCTAACAATGGAGAGTCCGACCTAGGACTGCGCTTGTAGGTTCCCTTCAAGTCTTCACCGTCTAGTAGCTTCGATACTACCCAGGACCAAAGGACCGGTTGGTCTACTAGCGCTCACCTTTCCGCTGTCAAAGGTGAATGATATCTGGCGTCAAATTAACAAAAAGGCAATAAAGGCCTTGAGCCTTCTCTTCTCTCCGAACACGAATCTAATCCGGATCCGAGTCTGTCTGTCTGGCCATTACAACTGCGACTCGTTCGGAGTCAAGGCGATGATCTCTGTCCCGCAAACTTGGTGTCCTCGACTGCGCGCCGCCCAAAGCCATTTGCCAATTACGAGCGAGCCTCGTGGCAGCCTCCAGGCCATAAATCGGATACACCTTCTAGTTGTCAATCTCCTCGTTCCTGTTGTCATCGGTTGAACAATCATCAGACTTGATACAGAAATGACTTCCTCGTCCACGCCTCATTGAACTGGGCCTCGTGTGACTCGATGACTCCAGCTTGCAACCTCTTGTACTCGAGCACTAACCGCTTACAACGAACCCCGTTTTGGAACGATTTTGATGAGAGGAGTGACGATCATTTCTAGATGGGGATGGGTGGGAGGCGTTGTTAACAGTGGCAGGCTGCGTTGTGGCCTTTTGGCATCTTGGAAGAGGGTTTACCTCAAGGAGATACATAGGGATCGGGGAGGAGCCTGGAAGGAGGTAAGGGACAGGCCCCCTGGTACCCCGTTCTATGTAAACCGTTGTCGTAGATGCTCGAGTCCGAGGGAGGAGGGGTTCAAGTTGAGCGTCCGAGATTGGATTGCTTGGCGAGTAAGGCTTAACTCGACGGAAGAAGGTGGCGGCAGCCTACTTGCTGTACCGTCGCGATACTTGTAAACCACCGTCCCTCTGTTTTCATTTCACTCGCTGGCCATAGGGGTTGCCCTTTGTTCGGGCTTCTTTACCGCTCTTTCTGGATCTTGAGAGAGTCTTGGCCTTGAAAAGGCGGGTCAGACACAGAGTTACATCCGCGAAGGTTGAAGGGATAACGATAGTCGTTGCACAGGACTTACGGGGACTTCGGCGTAAGATAAGTAATTGACAGCGAGCCTAAAGTCTTCCGCTCGGGCCATGGGTCTAGATACTTACCAACCCATCTTGAACTCGCTTCACCTCAAGCTGGTCTTGCTTTCGGCTCTCAAGCCGTGAAAATCAAAAGACAGCCTCTCAGTCGGAGATATCTACTAAATACACTTTGTTCAACTGCGCGATATGCGTGACGGCGTCGCCGGTGGCCTATTATACCATGAGCCCTGCACTTACGTGAATACTTTCTCTGACATTCCAGGTGCCCCTGATTCCTGTTCCTCGACTTCAGACTATTACATGTACAGCATCTCGAAGGAACGGGTAGTCAGTGGCAGCAGATATGAAGGTCACCTTCGGCTCTCTGAAGTCTGAACATGAAAAAGGCTACCTCAGACATCTAGCCGTAGAGCGCGTATCGAAGGAGATAACCGTCAGAGCCAAGGGTCCCGAGTGAGATGAGGTACGAAATGAACGTCGAGGGCTCGATTTGGTGCTCCCATTCGCAGAAACATGGGAGCGAAAATACTGCTTTCAGAAAAGAACGCGTTACATTGGTCAAGCGCCCATTGCCATTGCTGAATGTTCAATCAACCACGGTAATCGATTTCATTCACTCATTCGAGTTCGCTGCCATTAACTTCAGCTGATGGCGACGAACGGCCTCGGCTAACGATACCACTTTGGGCCTCGCTCCTATCCGTCAATACTACGAGGCGCCAGCAGCACCCCCTCCATGGACCACCAGCCGACGCCCAACAAATTCGAAGACAAAAGCGGGTCTTTATCTTTGGGATACGATCTGAGTATCTTAAGGCTGTACACCAACAGGCCGGCACGCGAGTTTGAGTGGTACCCTCCTTTTGAATCGCCCGCCACCGAGTGCAAAAAGTAAAACAGGGTTCGTCTCGTATCACGACTCGGACCACTGACTCGAACACCAAGCAAAAGGCTACATTCAAACGACATCTGAATCGAAGCAGAAGGCAGACTCGGGGCGCAGATATGAAAGACCTTCAAGGCGTTGCTTCAGATGCACCGGCTGGTATGGGTTGAGGTCAGTGGCGGTGATTATGGTCGAGATTGAGTCTTCCCTGCATTCCGTCATATAGTCTGCTGGGTGCTCGAACCATTACTTCGTTGAACGAAGCGTTAGTACCGAGGGTCGGCTTGACAATCAATTGTGGTTCGAAGATCTGGGTGTATCAATGCTTTTTAGACGTTTTAAAAAGCATTTCAAAGACGGCGAAACACCTGATATTCGAGTATTGCTCAAGGAGGCGGGTATAAGCAGTAAGTGTTAATAAAAATAAAAACATTATTGACGACCATGTGTATTCCGACCTGCCTGGCTCGAACAGGCGACATCAAGATGATCAAGGTGTTTCCAATTACAGTCTTGCGCTCTTCCAACTGAGCTAAGGTCGGTTGCATATTTAAAGATTTACACTTTATATGACCGTAGCTCAGGGCTAGCCCAAAGCAGGAGTTTTATCGATACTTCTGGTTCACCGGTTCACCCCCTTGTTACATACAGGATGTGGCCTAGCATCAGAGCGTTGTCGGTTGTGAAAGGATACTAGACAATCTGAAGCGACACTAGGACGTCTACTAGGGAACGAGATCAACCCGCAGATCCCCAAGGACGAGGCTGTTGTACTCGAGATGGTCACTAACCCATAGGTCAGTTACAAAGGCTTTTCCTATAGAGTAGTGCGACCAACCCATAGCACGTCTCGACGTCAGGGACCAATGGCACTAAGGGACACAGCATGGTCAAGCACCAGTCCAAATGAGTATCATCAGTCCCATAAAGTAGTCGATCGACGGTACTTTAGAGACTGGGTAGCCACACGATGTACTTACTATACATCCTTCGTGCTCCCTGGCAGGACTACATCCGACAGTCACTGCGCTGAGGCGGAGCCTACTAGAGACCGAGTAGACCAGCAGCAAAACCTTCATCAACCGACCTTAGCTCAGTTGGAAGAGCGCAAGACTGTAATTGGAAACACCTTGATCATCTTGATGTCGCCTGTTCGAGCCAGGCAGGTCGGAGTACATTTTCGTCAATTATGTCCTTAATTTTATTAACACCTAATTGCTTCGGAATATGTCTGTATTTCGTTCAGTTTTCTTTTCTTCTTCTTTTTCTTGTTTTGAAACAATTTTTGAAACGGCATTGAACACTCAGACAGGTACCTACCTACCAAAGTTCACACCTACAAAAGTTCTCTTTTCTCTTTTCCTCGCGTTTTCCGTTCAGTTAACACAAAACGCAATCGTGGCGAGGAAGTGAATCTGACTCGTATATTGGATATCTACGGCACCGTTTAGCCCGCTGGAGAAACGAATTGGCACACTCGAGTACATGTATGGGATTGAGAAAAGGCTGGATAAGTGAATTTGTGGGCTGGGGTATGGATGCGAGCGAGAACGGCCAGTGAGCAGCTATCAGAACAACGATCAAATGAGGTAAGTGCTTTGCAAGGGGAAGAGGAAAAATATCGTGAATGTGGTGTGAAGTGAACTGCGAGAAAGCGAACGAGTGAGTTGTAAGAGTAGGGCAGGTAGATGTCCGTAGGCGTCGTAAACTTTGAAAGGGGGGAAGGAGGGGGCGTCCCAAGAAACTACATGCAGCACGAGAGGAGAGACATCATTGTTCGGTGTTAATTCTATGGCAAGGTTGAGTATGTCCTCGAGAGGGAGCGGATTTGGGTATATGTCGCGACAGAGAGGAATGGAAGACCAAGGTTGGAAGTCTTACTTCCGACCTCGACACATCTCCCACATCTTGATGTAGTCACTGGTATCGAAAGAGATGGCTAGTTAATATCGGATTGGACGTGCAATGGAACAAGCTAGTACTCACATTCTCAGACTCCTAACCTCCCTGTTCTCCGGCCACGTCTTGTACCACCTATCCTGCGCCCTAGCAAAGTCGCGCATGGCGGTTTGGCTCTCATCGTACCACGGTTTTTTCTATGGATCAAAATCAAATCAAAAAGTTAACTTTCGCAGAGAGATATGCGGCGGAGGACACCGCATAGAACAAGAGGAAGCACGATACTCACCGAGTCAGAAACCTCAGACGAGGACGAATCATCCGGGAACCACCCGCTCGTCCCGCCCACGGCAAGGTTCACAATCAAGAAGAAGGGCTGGTCGAACGGCGCATTGGCAGCACCCTCGTTCTCCTCCCATATGTTCTTGACGACAACCATCTCTCCGTTTCCGGTATCGTCGGCTGTCCAGTTGGAGGCGACTTGGGGGTATTTGCCGCGGGCCCAAAAGTTCTGTAGGGTCAAGGTTAGGGTGGGGTTCGATGGAGGGTGAAGGGGAAGGGAGCACATGGAAGGAACCGAGTTAACAAGGAAAATAGAGGTAAAATCTGGGGGTTTGAACGGAGAAGGCCTAACCGAAACGCACCTTCTTCTTCGTCCTCAAACCTGTCACTTCCAACATGGCGATGATCCTCTTGTCGACGAACATGCGGATAAAGTCCGGCGTCCATTCCAGCGTATATGTGTGGAAATCTGTGAATATTGGTTGGTATAAGCGTGGTCGGAGACGCAGAATGTGTAAAGCTCACCCTGGTCAAACGACTTGCGCTTCATACCCTGCCACCCAAAAATCTGGGTATAAAGCGCTGAAAGAGGACCATAGTTGAGCGAACTGCGAACATAATTTGAGCCTTGGTGCGAGTACGAGGGTCCATTTCCTCGTCCTTCAATGATATCGATTTCGCCTAGCCGTGGATTCGAGGTGAGTACAAGGGGGACAAAGTGCAAGCCGAGGTCCCGAAAGACCCTTGGCATCAAAACAAAACAAACCCACCACTCATTGGCCAATTGCCATACTTGTTCTCCTCCGGCAACATCCACACTGCAGGCCACAACCAATCGCCCTTTGGAAGCTTCGCTCGAATCTCGACTTTGCCGTATCGAATGCTTTTCTTGCCCTTGGTGTTGATTCGCGCGCTCATTGCGGGCGGGATGACGCTCCCAACCAACACGTTCGAACTCGCGCTGCACGATAATCGAGCGTTGTTGGACCCATCGTGGAACGAACCTTGAGCTGGACCGATGTACGAAGTAAAGTCCTCGCCGGCTGTGCAATCCTCGATTGTGTAGTTGGACCCGTCGAAGATGTCGATACCCAGCGACTCGGAAGTGAGGGTTGGGTACATGTAGAGCTGGCCATTCTTGATGAAGAGGTTCTCTTCCCTTGCAGAGGTCATCTGGAACTCGCCATTCCCAAACCCGCCCATCTGTATCTCGACGTTCCAGTTGTCGCTGTCGAGGGAATCTCCATTGAAGTTCTCGTTCATCACCATGCACAGGTCAGAGTCGTCCAGGAGGGGCACGGAGGTGTACCCAAAGTAGCAGAGGGCAGCGGCGCCACATATGCCGAGGAAGATGAAGAGGAGGGTGAGGAGGTACGAGGTGAGTACGCGAGGTTGGCGGTGTGTGAGCCAGGGTTTGTCTTCCTCGGTGAGAGGCTGGACGAGGCGCGTGCTCGGGCCGGGAGGTTTGGACTTGGGCAGTGGGAGGCCGTTGGCGTAGGCCAGCGCGAGGGCGGTGGAGGATGCACTGGCCGAGTTGGTGTCGGCGTATTGGCCGAGTCCGGAGAGGTGGGCAGGAGGAGCCCACGAGGACGGCCGCGAGGCCGGGGAGAGGAATGGGGTGCGGAAGGAGTGGTTGGACGAGTTGCGAGGGATGGCGGTACCCGAGCTTGCGACCGCCGCTGCGGCGCTTCCTTTGTAAAGGGAATTGGACGAGGAAGAGTGGCGTAGCGAGTTGGCTTCGGAGGAGGCGCCGCTGTTCGTGCCGTTGCCTCCGGCGTTGCTAGACATGAAGGGCGGGTTGGGAGGAGGGAGGTCGTCGGACACAGAGGCGGAGCGTTGATGCAGGACACCGGTGATGGGCTGCTGGTCGGACAGGGATGGTGACTGGCCGCGGTAGAGGCTATCCAACGAGGAGCGTCGCCTGGTATAACCGGGGATGGACATGCCTGGATCGGGATTGCCGGGGTAGGCCTGGAAAGGGAATGCAAAGGAGGAGGGTGGTGGACGTGCGCTCGGCTGGAAGAGAGCGGATGGGGACGCAGAACGCGGTGTTGTGACTGGGGAAGGGTCGTGGTCTGTAGCGTCTACCTGAGCATAACCCTGGCGAGGCATGGTTGGAGAGGAGCGTAGGTGAGGATCTCTGGTTGAAGAGGCAGCTAGAAAAAAGGGTCTCGGTGGAGCCAATGGATCGACCATGGGTGCAAGGGAAGAGAAGTGCAGTAAACAACAACCGCACGATAACGAGCAAACTCGCGTCTCTTCTTTTGACGTCATCAATGACCCATCGGGCGAGGGCCATTATGGAAGTAGGACCCCTGCCACTTTGAGATCTCATCGAATCGTAGATCTCCCCGATTCTCATTGTTTTTTATTCAACTAGAGTCTTTTCATATCCCTGCCTTCCTTGCGTCCTCTCCTTTGCTTTGCTTCCCTGCCCACACCCTCCTCCCTCCTCCATCCTCTTCCCCTACCTTTGCGTCGTCGTCTGCCATGGACTACGACAGGAACGACGCCCTCCTCCACTGGCTCTTTCGACAGACACAGGGAGATGCTTGGTTCAGGCCCAATGAGGAGAATATATCCTCCGGTGTAGCCTTGCGTGTTTCCGACGGTGCGAGTTCACTTGCACTCGTACTTTCGACAACCTTATTGACTTGGACTTCCTAGCTGCACATTCTGGAACCCCAGAGTTTCGCGTATTTCCCTATGAAGAGGCCAGCCTTGAACCCTTTGAGACCGCGGTCGCAGCATTGAATCCTGTCGTGGCTATCAAAGTTCGTTCTGCCGCAGTTCATGCTGCTTTGGGTGAAGTGTGCGTATTCCTTTCTCGACGAGTTCCTCTTTCTTCTCTTGTTCCTGTTCGTTTCTGGTTGCTGTTATCTTGCCCGTTTACTCGCCCAAACGATCGGACGAGCCTGTCGCGTACCTTTGACCGAGGCTTGGCGGAGGTGTGGAGCCGTTATCCGCATTCGTTGCCACGCGACTCTGTACATTCGTTCCTCCTTTTGTTCATCGGTTTTAGCGCCAGCCACGCTCGTACGGACATTGTGCTTGTGCCAGGCTCTTATCGCTGCGACACCTGCAATGAGGAGGCGCGTTGGCGTTGGCGTCGACTTGATTGATTTCATTTCTCCCTGCTGTTGGTCGTTGGTGGTGGACAACGGGCTTGACTTTGGCAAGGCGACGATCTCCTCGTATCGCACACAGTCCTCCTCGTGTTGGCCCTAGTATCCTCACTCTTCACTTTCATCTTGCGAGCGCGTCATTTTGGATGTCATGCTCCCTTTTTTCTTTCGAGTTTGTTTGACAGGGTGAGAGTCGCCCCCTGCCTCGTGATACGAGGTGGCCGCCGACGAAACACGTTTTTTGCACCCTGTTTGTTGTTTTTTAATTTGACTTCGTCGCTGGAAGAACTTGTTCGTTTTTCCCGATGTTGTGTTGTCTTTTTTCCCGTCGGTTGGTTGCGAAGGGGGCAAGGCACGACGTCATTTAGGATGTTATCTGGACGTCATTTTGTTCTGATGGGGTGGAGGCTTTAGTGATACCACCCACATCGACACACTCCCTGTGTTCTTGGGGTGTATGGAAGTTGGCAAGATTCTCTCCATCACATTTGGTGGTTGGAGAGCAGGCGCACACTTCGAAGGGGAGGATCGTCGTTCCCCGCTACAGAGCAACTTGCTTTGGGTTCTGATTCTTCGTTTTTCATCACCTTCTCTCTGGTCGAGTTACGTCTATTGGGATAATATGCTGACCCTATTCTTGTTTCTCTTCAACTTTCCATTCGCGCGATTTCCGCTCCATCGACATGCGGTTCCTCAATTCGACTCCAACGGCCGACACTCGCACACCCTCGCCACATACATACTCATACCTAATCACCACAAACTTTCTCACATTGACGTCCAACTGCACTCGCCTCACCTACTGGCATTCCAAACCTCTTGTGGAATGCCTCGACGGGCGCCAACACCCGGCGCTCCCTGGTCCATTTGCTCCCGCGCCCTCGTGCATGCGTTTCGCGATCGGCGGACCCCGGACGCTTTTGCTGCTCCGTGGCTGTGTTGGCTCGGATCCGCGCGTTCTTGGCGCGTCGGTGACCCGCCCTGTGCCTGGACGCGCTGCCGTCTGCAACGATGAACACCTCGACGAATACGCGCGAACAGTTCGGCGGAAGACCGATACATTTACGTGGATTCTGAGACGCGTATTCAGATAATGGATACGATGTTGATGCTTCCTCAGGCTGATAGGGAGCAATGTGCTGCTTTTATCGTGAGTAATCATGCGTTTTCGCTACGGGATACGACAGCTTACAATCTACTCCTCTCGCCACCAGCGAGACGAACGCGTCCTCATCGTCTGGTCTGAATCCATCGACCGCATTGTACCACTTTGCCAAGACTTTGAAGAACGCCTCATTAAACTCCTCTGGCGCTCCCGGCCCATGCTTTCAGGCAGTGCTCCTTCGACTCAAACGCACATCTCGATTGGGAGTGGGGTTGGCAGTTTGGCGAGTGGAGGTGGTATGACCCCGTTGATTGGCGCTGTGCCTATTAGTCCGAGTGCGCTGAGTGGGGTTGGGGCAGCAGACGCTGCTGCTGCGAACGAGTGGGGGTTGAATAGACCCCGCAATAGCAGTTTGTCTAATATTGCTGCTGCTGGTGGTGTGGATGGGACTACGGGGAGTCGTGCGGGGAGTTTATTCCGTGTTCATGGTGGCGTTGTGAAAGGCATCTTCGGTGAACTCGGACGTGATCCTGAGGAGTACGATTCGGTGCCGCTCGAAAAGGAGAAAGCGCTTACGGGTACCTCGCCTGGTGTGGAGGTGAAGGAGAAAGAGGTGGGAAGGAGGTTACCGCGAATTCCGCGCAAGGAGACGACGAAGAAGGTGCAGAAGAGGACGTGGTACGGCCGGAAGTATACGGTTGAAGTCCCGCTTTCGGAGAAGGAGATGTACGAGTTGTCGCCGCAGGTTTCGGATTCGGCGTCGCTTGCTGAGCAGGGCTCGCTGCACTCGCGTTCGACGGATACTTCGCCTACCATCGGTCCTGATGGTGCGTACATCCACCCGCCGACCAAGGGCGATAAGAAGGCGAGATGGGGTATTGGAGGGCGGAGTCGGCCTGTCAAGTTGTACTCCCCAATATACAATGGAATCGCTGCTGGGATGGCGTTGGTGTTTGTGGGAAATGGGATTAGGACCTTGCTGATGGAGTGGAGGCTTGATGGAGACTATTCGAGGTTTGCGTTGGTGGTTTGCAGTCCTTTTTTGTTGTGCGTTTCGTTGGTGAGTGGTTTCCCTTATCCTTCGCCGACTATGGATGCCTGACGGTACTTATTCTATTACAGTTCTTCGCGACGCAGATTGTGCAGAACCTCGCCATGGCTGTAGGACCTATCGCTCATTTCCATGAGAACTCGAAGTATTACAGTGCGGTTAAGCCCAAGCCTAACAAGGAGGTGGATAATTGTTTGCCGCATGTGACCATTCAGATGCCGGTTTACAAGGAGAGCTTGGATAGCGTTCTGTCAGTTGTTATGCGCGCCCTCTTCTACTGACTTCACTGACGATGCTTTGACCTATAGGGCACCTTCGATCCAGTCATTGAAAAAGGCCATGCAGACGTATGCTAGGCAAGGTGGGACGTCGAATATTTTCATCAATGACGATGGTCTTCGGGTGGGTTTATCTTTCCTCGAGGTGTGAGGAGGGAAACTGAGAGGCTTTTCGCACTAGCTTCTCTCTCCTGGTGATCGGGATGCTCGTCTGGCTTTCTATGCGAACCATAACATCGGTTGGGTCGCGCGTCCTAAACACGACGATGGGCCGGACGGGTTCAAGCGTGCTGGACGGTTCAAGAAGGCTTCGAACATGAATTACGGTGAGGCTCTTTCTCTTCCGATTCCTCCAGCGTCGATTTCAAACTGACATTCATCATGGAATTATAACAGGTCTCGCGCTCTCTCTGAAGATGGAAAAACACCTCGAAGCGCTCGTTGCTCAACGTGCGCAAGCTAATAGTCGGGACTCGACAATGATGACGCGTACTAGTGATATTCACGGAAGTTCGAATGGGGAGGGGACTACGCAGTTTGGAGCGCAGTACCAGGGTCGGGATGGGGATGAGAGTGTGCGATGGGGTGTGGCGTTTGGGAATAATCCCCCTGCTGGTGGCACTCCGCCTGTTTCTCCAATCTCCCCGTTCAATGGGAATGGGAATGGACGGTCTACACCTAATGGACGGAGTGGGACGCCGAGACTTGGTGGTGGTGGAAATGGCACTGGGACCCCTGTTTCGAATGGTGGGAACCCGTTGGCGACTTGGGGCCATGATGATTTGGAGGAGAAGGCGCTTGCGCTGGCTATTGAGGAGATGTGGGAGGAGAGTGGGAGGAGGTGGAGGCCTTGGGCTGCGAATGGGAAGAATACGAGGATTGGTGAGTCTTTCAGTCTTCTCTGGTTGGGTTGGGTTGGTTCGATTGCTGATTGTGGCGTTTAGGTGAGATCGTGTTAATTGTGGATAGTGATACCGTTGTACCGGAGGATTGCCTTCGGGATGCTGCGAGGGAGATGAGGGAGAGTCCCACTGTTGCTATTATTCAGCATGAGAGTGGTATGTGGTTTCTCCCTAGCTTCCAAAGTTCGAGAATTGTTGCTGATGGTGGCGCAGATGTCCTTCAAGTCGCGCACCACTACTTTGAGAATGGTATTGCCTACTTCACGAGGAGGATTAACAAGTGCATCTCGATCTGTGTGTTTCTCGTTCACCGTTATCATCCTTACAGTCACTGATGATGTGTCGGGCTTGTAGCTTGTGCCAACGGAGAAGTCGCACCGTTCATGGGACATAATGCGTACGTTTCTTTCCCCTATCTATCGTGTCTGATTCGCTCTCCGATGAGTCCTGTCTTCTTCGACTTGACCCGACCCCCCTATCTATCTATCGCGTCGTTCTTTTGGACCCTGGGCTGATGTTGCAATCTCCGCCTTTCCTACAGCTTCTTGAGGTGGAAAGCTATCCAAGACGCCGCTTTTGTCGACCCAGCCGATGGTCAGGTGAAGATCTGGTCCGAGGCGAATGTGTCGGAGGATTTCGATATGGCGTTGAGGTTGATGTTGAAAGGGTATATCATTCGGTGAGTTCGGGTTTTGGCTGTCGCATTATGTCGGTGTTCTCACCCTCTCTTAATCTGGGTAGATGGGCCACATACTCGGATGGAGGGTTCAAAGAAGGTGTTTCACTCAGTGTGGATGATGAATTGAACAGATGGCAGAAATACGCGTATGGGTGTAACGAGTGCGTGGATCTACTTTTGCCTTTGGGTGCACGAAGGTCAATGTGGAGCTGACGGTGCGGACTTGGTGCAGGTTGTTGTTCAACCCTATCATCGAGTGGTGGCGCAAGGGACCTGTTTCCCGCCAGATTCACAAGTTCTTGTGGAGTAGCACGCCATTGCATTACAAGATCTCGATGCTGGCTTGTGAGTGCTGTATTCTCTTGAATTTTGTTGTTTTAGAGAAGCTAATTGTGGATTTAATTTTGAATAGACATGTTCTCGTACTGTGAGTATATTTTTTCCGCTGCACGCGTTTTTGTGTTATTTTTGGGTGTGGAGGGATAAGGGAGGCGCTTCCATTTGGTGTCGCTCCAGACCACCGTCGGTGTTTCCTACTGCACGTTCTCCGTCCTTCCTTCATCCTCCCCATCTCCTATACCCGACACGCCTTTGCACTTCGTGGTCGGGCGATTTCATTTCCCCTTGGTCCATCTCGTTTCATTTCAAAAATACTGACAATTGATAACCATTTGCTTCCAGATGGCATTGCGGGCGCGATCACGATTTCGCTGATCAATTACGTCCTACTTGGCTTCCAATTCCCTGTCGATGGCTTCTTCATGCATAGCTTCGAGATTTGGCTGGCCACCACGGTTGTGTTCTGGGGGAGTGGAACGGTTGGATATACGCTTTTGGAGTATAGGCTTGGGAGAAAGTCCTTGGTGAGTGGTTTGATTTTTTTGTTCTTAGAGAACTTTGGGTGTGGCTTGCCCGAGGGTGTTGGTGTGGCTCTCTCGACTTTTGGCGTTTTGGAGTTTCGTTGAAGGCTCTAGTTCCTCGGAGGGAGGAGTTGTTGTATGCCCGTGGATCCGGTCAATATCGGTACGAGAAGATGACGGAGATGAGGCTATGGGGTGTGGATAGACGTGTGGGTGGCGTTTGGGAAGGTCGAGAGTCGCTGACTGCCAACAACGGTCGCGTCTTGTCACTCTGTGGCAGTCTGGGCCTCTACGGGCTATCGACGACCGTGTTAGGGTGCGCTAGTGTCCTATGAAGTCCGTCAATCTCGTAATTACTGTGGACAGGATCGAAGCACTCGGACCCCGTCCACTCCTTCGATTTTGACCTGCCCGTGGCAGATGCATGGTGTTGGGATCGCCACGTTGTGGGCCTTGTTTCTCGACTCTACTCTGGGCTTATTGCTTCCTTGCGCCTTTGCTTTCGAGTCTAAACCAACCATACTTTGGCCTACAGCTCGGCGCCTTGTTCGAGAACTTGATCTGGATTCCGTTCTTGTACGTTACTCTTTTCATTAATATTCTCTCGCCGGTGTTGATCATGTCTGTTTTCATCCCGTCTCCGGCAGCTTCTTCTTCTTCGGTGGATTGGCTATCCCTCTCACGCAGGCCATTCTCGCGCACTTATTCTCGTACAACATGCAATGGGCAGCGACAAAGAAAGAAGTCGAACGATCCAATTTCTTCAAGGAAATTCCAAAGATCGCCAAGCGGTGCGTGTAAACCTATCTGACAATCATCGTCTGTCGTCTTCTGAGCGTGGTTTTGATTGTGCATTGCTCTATTAGGTTCTGGTTCTCACTCCTGTTCTCGTTCATCATCCTCGTTGCTATTGTTATCCTGGCGACGCCCATTGTCCCCTTAGAGTGGAGGATTACCGGCGAAGGATGGGCGGTGATCCTTCCTCTTGCGTACGTGCTTTTGTCACCCAGCAGTAGTCCTGGCTCTGATGTTCTCCCTCCAGGATGACTGCCGGTTGTCATATCTTGTTCCCGGTATGTTGCACTTGATTGCTTCTTTTTCTCGAGGCGGCGTGCTAACTGAACATCTTCCACTCTTCTAGATCGTGCTCAACCCGTGGTTGATGGTCTTCTCATACTAGAATGGACGATTACAGACTTGAAACTTTTCATCACTTTCTGACTATGCTTTTTTCTTCGACGATTTCCTAGATACCTACTGACACTACCCTCACATGACCGTATCTCGCTTTCTTCTCCTGTGTTTTCTTTATGGACCTCTCCTCTATCGGCCGGTTAAAGGACGCTCTTCAATTCCTGATGACTATCTGCTAGCTGTTGTTCAAATTCCCTTAGTTTCTGCTATACCAGTACATACACCTTCCTTTCTTCACTCATCGCAACACCATATACGCATTTTTGTTCCATCTCTTCCATGACATTCAATACACCGATATACCAACTAGTTTTTACGTAGTTTTTAGAGACGACAATTTCAGGATTTTGAACTGTTCTAGTGTGAACAACTCGCCGTGTAGACCTTATTCCTGAGCCCCATTCGACCGCAGTTGGCACTCAGTTGGCCCATGTCCCGTCGAGAGGGTGGGCTATACTTGGTGAGTACACGCTTTCTCGAGAATCTCGGTACACGTGTGGTACGGAAAACATGAGTCAATTCTCGTGTCGTGTCGAACCGGCGACCTGTGTCTTCCCAATTCCCGTGAGAGTACCTTCATTCCGAGGTGTAAAACTTCGTTATATTTCCCGCATCGAACCCTGGTTGAATCGTGTTCCCGGCGGTTCGTGGGCGCTCATTTGATGGGATGAGCGCGCCTATGACGTAGTTGCGCCATCCGACAGTTGGTTCTTCCTGCCTGAACACTTCAGCAGCCTTCGGGTGGGTTTAGGGGACGATATAGCGAGTACGAGTGAGACACGCAAGGAGGCGTCGGGGTTGCAAATGGGACCTTCGGATTCTGGAAGGCGTATGGTCGATGTGAATGCGCCTAACGCCTGTGACTGAGCCTCGAGAACGGATCCTGATTTTCCGACTCGGTAAAGTCGGACTAGACGAGCCTATCTGACTGGTGGGTCAGCCACTGTAATATCATACAGTGACATTGGCGCTCATTTGCATTGGTATAGTCGGCGCAATCGGTTAGCGAGGTGCCCGAAAGTCCAGTTGGCGAGGTCGCTTGGGCTTGGGAATTATGATTTCATTCTGACGTCTGAAATTGATTTTCTTACTCTGGTTGGTAGGGGGGAATGAATGAATGAATGAATGAAAATCATATTATAGTCCTATCGGGCGGTGTGCCCTAGGCGGACTTTACTTGTACTACTCTAATTATCTAGTTTAACGGTGTTGTGTTCTATCGACCACTCGCGTACCCTCCCACTTTCGCCTAGGCGAAGGTGGTTAAGCACGAATAGGAAGGTAACCCGTACCTGTAAGTAAGGTTGCGTGGCTTAAGGCCGTTAAGCTAATCTAAGTGTCCTTGATCGTAACTACCCCATCGTGTGCCCGCCTCGCTCCTCACCCCTTTCGTGCAGGAGGCTCCCCCTTCTACTCTGCTTGTTCTATGTCTACTCGGGTGTTTGTTTCACCACCAGTCCCTTCAGCCGCTCTGTTCTCCCAATATACTTCGCCAGCTCTTTCATCCCCTTCTCCGTTCCACATATGTACTTCCAGTCCCTGGCTTTATGCCGTAGCTCCAGTCGCATGTCGTGTCGTTCGTGTCTGTAGTTTGGGCATTCCATCACGTAGTGTTTTGGGGTCTCCGCTCCCCTCCCGCAGCTGCAGGTCGCCGTTTCCGCCTTCCCAATTCTATGCAGATACTGGTTGAGTGGAATGTGTCCTGTCCGAATCTGTACGACTGCGCTGATCTCGTGTCTCTTGAGCTTCTTGGTCCGGATTCCGAACTTCAGTAGTTCGTCTAGTTCTCCTATCTCTTTCATCCTGTTCCTCCTCTTCGAACGTTCCCATTCCTCCCCCCATTCTTTTCGAGCCTTAGCTTTCGCCTCTGCCTTCGCCGCCCCTGCGCTGGTCGGTAACTCCCCATTCTTCTCTATTCCTCTTAGCATCGCGTTCCTCGTTTCGTCTCCTTCCGCCGCCTTGTTCGCATGTTCGTCTGCCCTCTCGTTCCCTTCCACCCCGTCGTGTCCCGATATCCACCTCAGCTTCAGCTTCATCCCTGCATGTTTCTTCCTCAACTTCTTCGCTCTCCTCACCACTTCCTCCGTCAGATAGCTTCCCACTCTCAGTTTCGGGTTTGCTAGCCCCTTAAGTACTGCCTGGCTGTCGACATTCACTGTCACCTCCTTCACCCGTTTTGTCTTCTCCAACATCTGCATGGCCAGGATCAGCCCCATCGCTTCCGCGTTCGCCACTCCGTATTCCTCTCTCTCTCCTAGTCTCCTTCTCTTCGCCTTCGTCCCTCTTTCTCCTCGTCTCTTCATTACGGCCGCAGCTCCTACTCCTTCCTCCTTATGGGACCCGTCTGTGTATATCTGTATCTCCGCTTTGTCCTCCTCTTCTCTCTCCTTCGACTCCTCCCTCGTTCCTGGGATCTCAATTTCGAATGGTAGTGGCTCGTTTGGTGCTCTCGCAGCCGGTTCGATGGTTTCCAGTCTCGTCGTCTGTATTTCGGGGTATGCTCCTGCCAGCTTGTGTATCTGCGACTGGTGTCTCTTCGGTTGTCTCTTTGCCGCTGATTGCACTACCTTGTGTAGTGGGTGTGCTTTCGGGATCGTCGCTAGTCGTATCTGTCGCGAAGAGCGAACACTAAACCAAACCAAACCTTGAAACCAGAGCGGAAGTGCCAGAGAGCTGAGAGCAACGAGAGAGGCGAGAGCGATGAGCGACTTGTAAGCCAGAAAGCTATGCAGATGTATTGACGAAGAGGTCAAGCTGAGGAACATGCAGAGCGAACTACCTAAGTTATATACTGTAACTACAACCTACATAGCCGCAATGAGTCAGGATGACGAGCGATGAGGCAATACAACAAGAACAATAAGGAAAGGTCACAAGGCTGCGCGAAGGCTGCGCCAAAACAAGGGTGAAATAATAAAGAAGTAATGACGAGTCATAACGAGTCATAAGTGGCTGTGTGAGAGTGAAAGAACAATAGAGGACAGGGTAGAGGGCAAAACGAGGCAGTGTTCCATGAGAGAAAGTGTCCATGACGAGAATAAAGGGGAAAAGACAGGGGCAAAGATAAGATAAAAGATGAACGAAGCGATAAGATAAGATGGGAAAAATAGGGGTCGTACCAGCAGTTCACGACATTACCCCCCTTCTAAGACTCATCGTCCTCGATGATCCTAGGCAAGCGGCGCCCCTCCTCCCAATCCAGGTCTGTATGCCAGAACGGTTGAGTTGTCGGCTGCTTCTGCCAGGGAATAGATGCAAAGGCGGTGGCAGAGATACGACGTGGTGCGTTCGGATGTCGACGGTGATATTCGGCGATGAGCTCCTGCGCGTTCTTCAGGTTCTCCTCCGGTTCCCAGGAGTCGTGTCCAGCGCCATACCCCTTCCAACTGACCAGGTACATGAGCTTCTGGCCCCTCCCCCTCTTGACGAACTTGCTATCCAGGATGCTGTCGACCTTGTATTCAAGCTCCCCCTCCAGTTCAACAGGTTCAGGTGGGGGTGGCAAGGTGCCGTTGACATCATTACCCTTCCAGGGAGAGAGCTTGTCGACGTGGAAGACAGGGTGGATGCGAGAGAGGTCCTTGGGGAGATCGAGCTTGTAGTCGAGGTCGCCAACGCGTTTGAGAACCTTGTAAGGGCCGAGTCGAAGATCGCCAAGTTTGCGAGTGGGTATCTTGAGCTGAATGTCCTTTGCGTCGAGCCAGACATAGTCGCCTTCCTTGAACTGGTGGGCAGATCGCTGTGCCGGCCTCATAGATGTCCTTCTGATGAGCCTTTTCAAGTCGAAGAGCAGCTTCGGCGTCCTTCCGGACATCCTGCAAGTGCTGGAGGCGGTCATCGACGGGTCGGAGTCCAGTTCTCTTGCCAATCGGGATGTTGAAGTGAGGGATGTAGCCATAAAGGACTTCGAATGGTGAGCGGTCGTGGGCGGAGTGGATACGGGAGTTGATAACAAATTCGGCCATTGGAAGTGTGTCGTCCCAATCGTCCCCTGACGCGCTGACATAAAGACGTAGGTACTTCTCGACTTCTTGGTTGGCTCGTTCAGTCTGCCCATTGGCTTGAGTGGTGATAGGCCGTGGATAAGGTTGGACTGGATGCCGAGTCGACGGAGAAGGGTGCGCATGACCTTGGATGCAAACTGGGGACCGCGATCGCTGATGAACTGCAGGGGAAGGCCGTGAAGGCGGAAGATTTCTCGGTAATAGATGTCTGCGACCCCTTCGGTGGTGATGTCGGACGAGCAGGGGAGGGCGTGGAGAACCTTGCTGTAGTGGTCGGTGAAGACAATGATGGCGTCGTGTCCATGTGCTTCGGGAAGCTGAGTGATGAGGTCGACACCAACAGATTCCCAAGGGCCTTGGGGTACGTCCAGAGGTTGGGTGGAGGCCTTGGGGTGCTGCATGTACTTCTTCCGTGCGCAGGTGTCGCAACCGTCCACGTACTTCTTGACAAATGCTCGGATACCGGGCCACCAATACTGTCGTTCAACTCGTTCAAGTGTTCCATGGACGCCGGGGTGACCAGAGGTGGGATCGTCGTGGCACTGCTTGAGAACGTCGCGGCGAAGTTCATCGTCCGGGGGAACATAGACACGTCCCTTGTAGTACACCAGACCATTTTCCTCTTCCCATTCAGCAAGACCGTTAACCAGACGGCGGGGGCCGGAAGTGCGGAGTTGGGCAAGTCCTTCCAAGACGTGCGTCTCGCGAGTGCTGGCGTCGCGGATACGCTGCTCCAGGGGGTTGACGAGCATATGAGCGGCGGCGAGCTTGGCGAAGTACTCTGGTTGAGAACATCTTGCTGCCTATAGTCTTCAGCGTCCGTGACCTGATGGGTGTCTAGGCGAGAGAGGGCGTCGCCCTAGGTGTTGCCCTGCCAGGGGCGGTGGGTGAGCAAGAACTTGAAGCGAGAGAGATAGAGGGCCCATCGTGCTTGTCGGCGGCTAAGGTCTTGAGCGGAGCGCCAGTACTGGAGATTGGAGTG